TGATGAAGTGTCACAATTAACTTGAAATACCTTGAGACTGATAGAGCCTAATATATTAGACACACTATGACAATTATAGGGAAGGCAGAGAAAAGATAAAAGTGACGTGTGTGAGGTAGGAACGATTATTCATAATAATGAAATTAAATCATCGTGAATGTATTATACATATATAGCCGTTCGAGGTGTCTGTAATACATAGTTTATATACATATATATGTATGTATATGTACAAATGCAGATAATGTTAATTTATCCGTCAGGTTGACGTAATTTAGCGAACAGATTAGCGACTTCGTGTTATGGTACGTATAGGCATGTAGGTTGTAGGTGTTCAACGACTATTTTATTAATAAAAATGATTCTCTTCGAAATCAACTCCTGCGCAGCTCGCACGTTTATGTCATGATTTATGGACAGCTATCTCGCTGAATGAGGTAATTGATGCAAAAACTACATAAACTGATCCTACGACACTCCTACAAGGAAGCTTCATGAATACAGGAATGGTTGATAATAATCATATTGAAGAGATTTTGGATTTATGATCGGGTATTCATCATCAGAACAGCCTTTCGCCATTACAATCTACCGATCCCAATAAGGCGTGGAAACCTTTTAAGTTAAGACATTCAGTCACCGTTCTAAAACATAATTCACATGCAAACAAAATAAAAGCTATAGAAAGTGATGTTTTCTAGATGTTCGCATGTGTTCCATGATCCGATCCAAATTCCCATATCCGGTGGTCGGAGGCGCGAGGCATGCCGAGTGACTTGTGAACAGAATAGTAATTACAACCACGACAACATCACTGAGAGTGAAAGCTCCGGGGAATCATACGATGACAAGTTAACATTCGACGGCTTTGACTGCCAATAGATAACATTAATTAACGCATTTTCTAAATGACCTCATCTCAGAAACAGTGACGTCATGATGACGTCGCTCTTATAATTCAACTTACTTGCACTTAACAAACAAACTCGCCGGATAAGTATAGTGACACTAAATAACAATTAAGATAGTGAGGTTGGGTAGTGTGTAACTCAATACACAGGGGACTGATGGTTACGTAATTAGTAGGTGCGAGTTCTGTTCACAACACAGAGGAGACAATATGCAGAAGAGACGTTGGACTGAGACTTGATTGTATTATACATACCCGATAGTTTCATTCATATTATTTAATACAATGAAATTACGAATATATTTTAGACAGAACAAATATTGCATAATAATTGATAAAGCAACTTGAAAACTTTATTATCAAGTACACAATTTTAATTTTGATTCCCTACGAATTAAAATAATTTAAAAAAACCTGTAAAAAATTATAATCGTATAGATCAAGATTTAGGAATTAGGAAGTTCAGTTAAAAATAAGTTCATACACCTCTTCATCAGTCCTCTCAGAGTAAAGTCTCTTGTAGGCATAAAATAGTTTGTAGAACGACTTTAACGGTCAGCCTCTGACTGCTGAGTCAAGCGTCGGTCAAGGTCAGTAAAGTTGAACGCTTCGACTTACAAATACTATGTAAGCTGGTTACTGTGTTCTGTGATTTATTATGATGTAGGAACTTACTTTCTAAAGGATAGATGAGAAAGTTTAGACGCCGTACGTTACAACGATTCGTTGATAAACAAATAATTTGTTCATCGAGACATTTGAGAAATATCATTTTTAACAACGCTAAAGACTATAAATTTGACGTCAATTTGTGTCTGTCTTGGACATCGTAGCTCTTAAACGAATTAACCTATTTCGATGCTGCTTTTTTCATATGTAAGCCTTTTTTTTTTCTTGAATTATTTCTTTGATATTCAGTTAATATGTGTTGTTTAGAGGTACTGGCGTCCAATGATGTACGTAACTTTAGGCCTACGATAATTAATGTGGAATAATTTACACTCCATTTATTAATATTTTCGATTATGATTAAGTATTCACTATTGCATATTTTTTATTGAATTTAAAATTAAAACGTAATAAAGTATTTAAACTTTAATAAAATATCAGAAATAAATTTAAGTAATTTAATGTTTGCATTACGTAATTCGCAACAAGTTACTAGATTTTTTCTTTCTGAAAATTAAATACTCCGAGTATTATGATAATACAATAGTTCCATATAAGATGTAACGTCAGTGTGTATGTTAGATCTGTTGTAGGAACCACGAGTGTGTCTTAAGTCACCCTATGCGAGTGTGTTACAACATAGTATATACTAGGAGTACAGAAACTATTATAACCTTGTAGGGTATCAAGTGACCGAGAGAAATGTGTCCAGGTGCGGTCACTCGAGAACGAGAACCTTTAAGATTAGCTGCCTTCAGATACTTACAGTAACATACCGAAAGATACGGATCAAATTTAATTTATATTACATCAATGTACCGTAAAGTCGATACAAGCCACTCCTAAGAAGAATTTAACTAAATGATCTTAAATCTTTTCTGTGAAAACATAATATCGATGTTTAAAATACATAGAAAACTAACAACCAAAGACATTACGTTAAAAGCGTTGTTATTCATTAACTGTAAGTGTAATGAGTAATTTATGTGTAGAGGACGATCTATTTATGTGACATCCATCGTATTTACTTCAACCTTATGTAATTTTTTTAACATATTATTTATTAAATTATTAGTATTGTTATTATTAAACTATGCCTGTTGAAGCTCCTCTCCATATAACGATGGACCTGACACCCGCACAGTGAATACATTGAATGCTAAGGGGTTTCGTCTTAACCTTTTGATTATTTTTATCTTTTATATTTGTTTAAAGATCTTTATTCTCATAAGAACATACATAGGTTCACTTACATGAGATGAAATAATGTTACACATATACATTAATATTTGATACATGGAATGGCTAGTACTACTTAATATATATATAATATATAAATATATATATATATATATATATATTTTAAGTTTATTTTTAAAAGCATTCCTTTATATAGTTTGGCAAATCATTGAATAGTTTTACTCCATCAAAACGTATATTTTTGTGTCCATAATTTAAGGTTCTGACTTTAGGTACCTAATTCAAGTTTATATCTTTTTCTTAAGTTATGCTTGTTTGATTTTTGTGTAAATGTTATGTTTGAATGAATACTTTTAAATATTATCTTTTTGATTAAAATACATGTGTTATAAATATATATTTGATTTAGTATGAAAAGTACTTTTATGATTTTGTACTGCGTAATTTGTAAGATTTTAAGGTTAGACTTTGAAGCTGACCCCCATATTTCAATAAATATATTAATTATAACTAAGGAATTTATACGTGTATTAGTAGAACGATATGTAAACTATATGTATTATATACCCTGATTATTCTTAAGAACACATGTAATGCGTCTTGATCGCCGTTAAAGAGTTATATTGGAGGTACTTCAACATTTAACTGTAATATATCTGACATTGTTGATAACTGTTATTTACTGATACATATCTCTCAATTGTCTTCGTTAAAGTGATATTAATGTTGAACCTTGGCTTTCATTACCGGGACGGGTTTGCTATTATTATTGTGCGGGCGTTTCGTATTATATTATTATTGGATACACAGGTTTGCATCAAGAAGATTTATTTGTTCATAATTATGATATGTCATATATGTAAGTTTATTTTGTTGATTTCCTATGTTTATTCTTATTCTGACCACGACTTATTCATGACTTTATTCCATATTAATATTAAAAACTAACAAACGTGTTGAAGTATCCTTTATACCAGTTTACGTAACCGTTACTAGTTACATAAAAATTACTCAATAACACAATAATGACATATTTCTTAAAATACCAATCACAATAACTCTCGTCAGTGCTAAAACCATCTGTTCAAAATCCTCGTTCCAATTCTGAGTAAGAAAGTGGCTATATAAGGCTCGTCCATACGGGGCAAGGGCGGCGGGGCGACGCCAGATATGGTCCTGGCCTTAGCGCCAGATGGTCGAAAGTAAATGTTTTATATAAGATTTTTAGTTCTAAGAACTGCTCATGTTCGTACCTAAAGATGCCGATGACGTCACACATCGTACACCGTTCACATGATGAGTGTGAACCTCTTGACTGATGACAGAGACTAATGAGAACGAATGTCGTCTGAAACAATAAATAAATAAATAAAATATACATACATACAGGACGAGGCGCTTCATATACATACATATGTATAGCTTTTATATTGACAAATAGGTAATCGTTTCAGTATTGATACTATTGAGTCAATAATGGGAATCCCAAAGAAGTATGGCTTTTCTTTATCAATATGAATATACGACTAATGGTTTTAAGCAAACAAAATTTATATAGTTTTGAAATCTTACACTCAAATGTATAACCTGAATAAAAAAATACGGAAAAATTATTAATTAATTTAATTGATTCCTCTGAACAATTATTAACAGAGTGTGAGCGTCGCATCTCTATCAGCGACAAGCGAATGTCAATATTATCATTTGTATATTATAATGTCACTGATACTACACAGACAGACAGACAGACTGTGATCACGTTACTAAATAAACAGTTTGTTTGTTCAACACCTAGGTTGATTGTTTACTTGTAAATACAAGACACGTGGAGAACATTATAAGAAGATTTATTATAATGCAATACTTAATAGAAATTAATATACTTCAGAGAGACTTTAATGTCAAATGAATCCAAACTGGCTTAAAATTTGTTTAGGAAATATAGAATTACAATTATTAACACGAGCCAGTAACGAACCTGTAATCTCTGATTTGAAAAGTTAAAAGCGCCTAGTATTTGTATCAATTGGAGTATTCACTCAACATTGCTTTCAAGTTAAACACAGATTTAAATTGAACAGAAACTCTTTAATATGATAGTGTCACAGATCTCTTTATATTTTTGACGGACCTATTTCTCTATTACAATCTCAAATATTTATTTCATCCTTTTTACTGTAATATAAATGTTTTCTCATGTTTTATATAATTTGATTTCAGGATGTCTGAAGGAGACGTGTCGCTCATACGCGACGAGGACGTTCTACGTCGAATGGTAAGTTTAACAATATCATTTAGAAAAGGTTAATACGAGTACATTGAAACCAAAAAGCAAAGTCACATGGATCGCATCACCTTTTAAATGAAACTAAAATTATTCGGATTACTACGCGTATTTTATTATTAAAAAAACTACATACTCCCAATGTTTCAGTTAGTTTTCAGCAACCGTTCACGGGCAGACGAGATGTGAATGTCTTTCAGTTGGTCCTATTATTTATCATCTACCACCATCGACTTATTAATTAGCTTAGAATGCGCTCGCGGTGTCCCGAGATGCTGCAATGTGGTCACAGACATGGGATTTTATGTTTTTAATTACGGGATCTCACATCACTTTTGCTAAAACAAAACTATTCTACAAATGTTACAAAAAATATATGTTTCTGTTTCAGTGGCAACAAACAGAGGACTTCTCTCGTAAGAAAGAGATCCGCGCTCACATGTACCGGCTCCGAGAGGAGAGGCTGAGGAACCTGTACTCGCCCGACCCTGGCGCCGCCGCTAAAGGTACAGTACACTCACATAACAAGACCTACAACAATTATTAACGTAGTTAGAAGCAATAGCAGTAGGAGTAGTAGAATATTTCTTATATGTGTACTTTATTATATATTACTTTATTTTTTACTATATAAATAATATTATTTACTCGTATATTTCATGCATATGTAAATATGTATATAAAAGAAGTCATCATATAATTTACTTATACATAATGTAAGAAATGTATTATCAGATATTTTTTATTTATTATATTATGACTATATAATTATTATCATGAGTACACGTATATATCAAATATTTAGTTGTATCGACCCCCTTCAACAGGTTGTGACTTTTCATCCACGCAAGGACACGTGAAGTCGTTCGCGGACCAGAGCTTCCAATCCATGAAGAGTAAGGAAGTGCGAGACGCGGGCTCTCCGCCCAAGGAGTTCACTTACAGCGGCCAAGGTGCCTACTGACTACTGAACAACGAAACTATTCTAACATCACTAACGCCTCAATAACCAGTAACATAAAAAATATATCTGTTATCTTATGTTTACCTTACACGTTATACATTACAGAACTGGGGGACCTCTCCAACGCTGGCTGGAATGTTGAATCTGAAAACAGAACCTCCGATGACGGCCACACGCACATAAAGTCAGTCAACGCGAACATCGAGGGTACGTATGACGTCGAAGGAGGACGGGGACAATTTGCAGCAGTCGATAACAATAAGGAAGCCGTCACTGAATATGACGACGGAAACACCAGTTTGAGACGCAAAGAGAATGTTTCTAACACGGCAGCTCATGAACAAGTCGTGCGCAAAACTGATGATGGAACCCATTTTTCTTCATCGACGAAATCATCGTCCTCTTCTTCGAAGTACGAACAGATATCCTCTAAACATGAGACGATCCCGTACGAAATAAAAGATGACTATGATCTACAGTCACAAAAATCTTATATTCATCGTGGTGATGAAGTTACCGATACTAATACCAATAGGATTACAAAATCGAATTTGACTTCTCAAAACTTATCATCTGATTATGAACACGCAGAATTAGTTTCCAGAAAAGTCGAATATCCGGATGAAAACACGAAGGTTATTGTGGAAACGAGATGCTTACCCGATGGAACAAGAGTGACCAGCACCCGTCGGGAGTTCCGAGCTCCGGCGGTACAGACCAGCCGCAGTGAGCACCGGTCCCAAAACACGAGGACTGAAAGTAAATCATCTACGTATGAGTCAACACAAAAACGATCACAAATTAATGAGACATCGTCTAAATACTTTCAAGAAGATATTGACAATAAACAAAACGATATTGTAGAATCACAAAGAAATATTGATGAGTTTGATTTTAGAAGAAATAAAGACCAACAAGATACTTTAAGTAATAAGGAAAAACTGTATCAAAATAACCGCAACACTGATGAATCAACAAACCTACAAAGAGAAATATACACAACAAATAATTTTGACAACACTCAACCTGATACTAACAAGTACAGCAGTTCAATAAGTACTGTCCAAGAACGAGAGAATATTGACATTCGGAAAAATATAGTGGAAGAAAGGCAAATAGAAAAGTCAACATATCAAACAGAGTATTCACTAAGAAAAATAAGCGATGATCTGAGCCCTGCCCACCAGGCCTGGGCTAGCACTCTTCGTTCCGATACGCCATCAAGACCTTCTACGAGGGCGACTTCTCCCGGAAGTAAAACTTTCAAGTCCAGTACATCTTCGGTACGTAGTAGCGTTAGCCCTGAAAAAACTTATTATAAACCATCTAGCCGAGGCAACAGTCCTAATAAAATCGATAAAACTATCAACAATATTGTTGAAAGTCATTCCACCACAAACTCTACTAAAACAACCGATAAACATACTATCAGATATTCTAGTCCAGATCGAAAGCCGCTTAGATCAAGCATTTCACCCGAAAAAAATTATACTCCGCAAAGATCTAGTCTTAGCCCAGAGAAGAAAATCAAATCTGATAGACCAAAGTCACCTACAAAACAACACCCTAAAGAAAAGTCTCCTTCAAGGTCAACAACAAGTCCAGAAAGCAGACCTACTCCAAATTTTTCTGGTCCACGATCCGTATCGCCCCAGAAGCAGAATATAATCAAAGAAACTGAAATAGATACTGATTATTCTACATATAACAAAAATTCGATAGAAAAAGAGACGTACTTTAAGAAAACACATAGAAGTCCAAGTCCTAAAGAAAGAAAGAATATGTCAATGTCGCCGGAACCAGAAGCTATTAAGGTTAATTCTTCAAACAATGAACCTAATTATATGAGACCAACAGCCACCAGCAAACCAAAATCAACCTCTCCTACAAATAATATTACACCACATGGCACAGAAGTTAAATCGTTTGAAACTAGAACCAATGAAATTAGTAAAGAGCACTACAAGTTTATAGATGAAGAAACAAAAATGTACACCCGAAATGCTGCTGAACGAATTGAAAATGTAACAACAAAAGTTCAAAAATCTAAAACTCCTGAAGAACAGAGACCTAATGTGCCAGAAAATATAAAAATGCGTAAACAATCCCCTAGCCCTGATAAACAGTGCAAACCAAATGTTGTTCAAAATGAGTTTGTTGATTCTGAACCACTGAAAAAGGATTATAGAGATGTATCACCTAAACGTAAGACTCCTACTAGAAGTTTATCACCGGAAAAAGTAGGAAAAAGGGAACAATCTCCTTTAAAAGACGAACGGATATTAGAAAAAAATAGGAGTCCTTCTCCTCAAAAACAAGTTCCTCGAACTGATTCTGATTTAAAAACGAAAAAGGTTTTGGAACATAATAAAAACGAAGCTCTTAAAAAAGAAGGCATTAAAGAGCCGATTAAATCGAAAACACCTTCAAGAAATTCATCTCCTGAAAAGAGTGTAAAGACAAATGAAAAACCATCCACGGCTTCTCCCAGTTCAAAAGCAAAAAGCCCTTCACCAAATCGATCCATTGCCACTACTGTGGATTTTAACATTAAACAAGAAACACATATTTCAGATTCTTTAGATGTAACCTGTGATATAACTACGGGACAATATGTAGATAACCCTACTCAATCTCAACAACCAAGAGACCTTTCTCCGGAAAAGAACTTTGGAACTGGTTTGTCAGAAGTTCCTCGCCGAAATTCCAAGAGTCCTTCACCACATCGTCGAGTATCTCCCTCAAAAGATATTCATAAACAACAAGACCTTGAAAGACCAAAAAATCGCGATAAAAATAGTAAAATCGAAACAGATTTAACAAGAACTGATGTCAAAAATAAAGGTGATATTAGATCTGTTTCTCCACAAAAACAAACAAATCAATCTCCTAGAAGTGTATCTCCTCAAAAGAATACGAAAGAAACTAGTTTTAAAGATACCAAGGACTTTATTGATATAGAAAAGCAAAATGAGGAAGTAAACAAAAAGACATTAAGAGAACGTCCAAGACAACTTATAACTCCTTCAACAAGCCCTAGTAGAAAACCTAAATATAATGATAATTCCCCATCCTCTGAACAAAGCTCTCCCACAACTTCCGCGAGTGGTTTTGTTTATTTTGGCTCTCCAGATGTTGAAAACAAAAACGTCCGAGATGTTGAAAGTCACACATATAACTCAGCTAATAGAGAAGATATAAATAATGAATTAACTGCACAGACCACCACATCGAAAATTCCTTGTAGATCACCATCACCTGAAAAACGACCATCTGTCAAGGAAAGCCTTCCCCGTAAGAGTTCGCTTAAGAAGACTTCTTATCCACAAATATCACCCACGGAAAAACCACCGTCAAGCTTTCTCGTTTCACCTAATATAGAAAACAAAGAGTTTACAGAACATAAAGTAACCATAAAGGATCAACCCGACGAGAAAGTGAAGGATATTAAACCAAAACCTCCATTTGAAAGAAGAGAAACTTATGAAGAGCGATGCCGAAAAATATTAGGCATGATGAATACAGATTCCGAAAATAACGAAATTCAAAAACAAAAGGAGTCTGATTCTAACAACAGTTCACCAAGTGTCTCTCCATGTCATAGTCCATCTTCTGAAAAAGAAACTTCTGAACATTTTAAGAAACCTACTTTGGTACAAGAGCTAAAACAAATGGACAGCAAAGAAACAGAAGAGCATAAAATTACCATTTCGGAACAAGAAAACATTACAACTTATAAAAGTTCACCTAAGAAAATTACACCTAATGTTGTAAAAATTGATAAATCGATTTTACAAACCAACGAATATGATGATGTTACAAAAAGTTCTTTACAAGACGTTACATCCTCAATCGATAAAACTAAAATTGAGTCAACTGATATGAAACCAAAAGATTATGAATTAAACCCTATTCCTAAGAAAACTCCAGACACTTTGAAACCTACTAAAAGTGACAACTTGTCAGGCCAACCTAGCCCTGTATTGAAGACAATTAACCATGTTCAGGAACTTGAAAGAGAACCTAAACCAGTTTTAGACAAGGGTTTGATAACACCTAAAAGTCCTAGTAAAGACAAAAAGAATGAAATTACGGCTGAACGTAATAGTGTACCGAAAAAAGAAAAGTTGTATCCAGATGTAAAAGATGATTGTGAATTAAAACCTACCTCTCTAACATCAATTTCCGTACAAAGAAAGGAGAAAATTGAGACCCAGAAAACATATGACTTAATTGAAAAAGAAAAAGAAGTTATGGAAAAAATACAAAATTCTTTAAGAAAACTCTCTCCGGTACGTAATCAGAAAAAGGATAATGATACCATCACTGAATCATCTTGTACGTTAAAGAGTTTAGATATTGAATCTAAAAATATTGATACTAATTATGTCTTATCAAGTGACTGTGAAGAAATAGTCAAGGAAAAGAAAATAAGTAAAAATGACAGTGATTTAGAAAATGAGAGACCAAAACCTCAAAAAGTGTCAGGCAAGCCCCCGTCTAGAAATGTATCACCTACAAAAAAGAATCTTAATTCTTCTCCCGTATCACCGAAAAAACCATTGTCTCCGGTAGAAAGACCAAAATCTCCTCAAGTACCAAAAACAATTAAGCTCAAACCAAAAGATCAGGGAACTGGAATCACTCGTAAAACAAATCTTACATCTCCAACGAAATTAGACAAACCTGTTACCTCAGATGCTAAAAAAGCTTTGCCAAATAAGCAAGGAAATTATGGAAGACCATCCACAGAAAAAACAACTCCAAGCAAAACAGTACAAAGTTCCCTCCCTAAAAATACGGACCAAGAAGTTAAGCGTGCGCCTACTCCAAAGAGTGTAGTTAGAGATGTTGGGAAAAAAGATTTACATTCAAAATTTGATAGAACTTCAAGTGACACTAGTCTTAAAACAAAGAAAACTATCTCTCAAAGGCCGAAATCTAAACCTGATATTCAAGTCAACGATATAAGTGCGGCTAGAGTTGTAAAACAAACATCCATACCGAAAACCCCAAAATCACCTATACATCACGCACAAACAAAACTACCTTCAAATAAACCCAAATCTGCAACAACTTTAAACACAACAAGCGATGATGATGATGTAATCATTGATGTTCAACAAGCCAAGTCATCCCGTGAAAACTCCCCTGACCGTATTTGCCCAACACCAGTAGGATTTTCAGAGGATGATGGATCACCTAGATTCCCCGATGAAGTCAATGAACCTGATGATGAAACACAAAAGAGGACCTACCAAACAATTCACGAAACTGAGTCTTTAGTCGACGATATAGTAGAAATATGTGAAGATGAAGAACTTTTTGTTAGGAAGACGGATGTAAATGAAACTATCAATAACGTTGATAAAGGGAAATATTCTACAAAATCGTTTAAAGAAACCGATTATTTAGATGACAAGTTAAAATCTGACGATTGTTTACTATCCGTATCCGAAAAAGTTAATAAATTTGCTAGAGGAAGAGTAAACATAAAAGATAACAGAAGTCCATCTCGGAATATTACAGATGAATATGATAAACACACGACCTACCAAGATGATTACACGAAGTTAAGTGTAAATGACAAAGCTCACTTGTTTATCGAAACCGCGGAGAATGTCAAAGTAACAAAACCTAAATCCGTGCACAAAGTTGAACGGCCTGACCTTAGCGACGTAGATGATGAATTAAAAAAAGACGACTGTTTACTAAGTGTATCTGATAAAGTAAACAAATTTGTGAGAACTGCCGAACAATTTTTAAGCGAAACACATGAGACAGAAGAGAAAGAAAAGAAAATACTAGAAGAACATGAAAAAATTATGAAGAGAATAATTGGTAATATTGATGATAGTTCGTCGGAACTACATAGAGATACAGATGAAGTTGACGAAACTTTAAAGGATAGCATTAAAGATGCTGCTGCAACTCCTTCGAAAATTAAAAATCTTGACAACACAAACCAAGCTCCCTCTAACAAAGGTCCTGCGGTAAAAATAACAACATTACGTAGCAGTGAAGCAGTTAAAAAGGCTAAAGCTTTGTTTGAAAATATATCGTCAACAAGCCAAAAAGTAAAAGAATCATCTAAAACACCTCCTAAGTCGCATACTGTGTTACCCAAAAAAATTACGAAACCTGAATCAACAGTCATCAAACCTTCTGCAGATAATAATGTTATTTCCAATGAAACAGACAATATTACTGTCAAGGTTGTCGATAAAAAGAATAAAGAAGTAAAAACTATTGAGTATGAAACAACTTCTCATAATATAGAAGATCAAGTAGGACGAATAAGTACTGACAGAATTCACACAAAATCTCCCTCACGTACTGTTACCGACACTACTTCAGTTGTTACTAAAGTTTATAAAGATACTACTAAGCAGACACAACCTGAGAAGCTTGATAAACCAATTGACAAAGTACCAGGATACCAACGACCGACAAAAACGACTCAAAACAAGGAAGAGCCAAAGGTTGTTGAAGAAAATGAAGTTAGTAGCCGACGTGGAAGTGGAAAGTTTGGTGTTGAACTTCGCAGAACAAGCACAGAAAGAACCACCAGTAGTGAGCGTCGCCGTAGTAGCATTGAACATCATCAGCCCTGTATAGAAGATATCTACGATGTAGACCTCCTAGAACAAATGGTGCGTGTAAAACTAAGCTTTCAATATAATTATATTTCATATATGTGTATATTATATTTATATATTATATATGTGTATGGGTGTGTGTCTATGTATTAATATAATAATATTATTGTTTATGTGTAAATTTCTGTTTTCAGTTGGAAAAAGTCGTAGGTTATGAACAGAGGCGGCGAATCAGAGCTCAAATACGAGTGGCAAAGAAACAAAATGAAACATCCACAATATCTAAAACAAAACATATTGTACCTAAAATAACCAAAACAAAATCTCCTGATCGTCCCGGCAACAGATCACCGGATAGAAAAATGCCTACTGATAAACATAAATCTCCTGAAAGACACACGAAATCACCTTTACCAAAAGCTACGTCTCCTGAACGCGACGTAAGGACTAAACCCCAAATTACTACTACTACTAATACGTCATCCAAGAGCGAAAATGACAAGTTTATTGAACACGAAAAGACTGTGTTACGAGAAACGCAACAGAGAACGCATAGTCCTGACAAATTATCACCTAAATTGTCAAGAAACTCTAAAAGCCCTATGCGTCAACCCAGTCCAGACAAACGATCCAGACCCGTCTCTCCCACTAAAACTCCAGCTAATACAGTCAAACCAAAATCTAATCGCTTTAATGATTATGCGTCAGCGTACATGAAAAAAGTAGGCATTAACACTACTGAAAAATTAAAAGATACTAAATCTAAGAAAACTACATCTGCTGAAGATGTAAAGACGAAGAAAATAAAAGCGGAGGAGAACTCAGACATAGCACATTCGTCAACGTTGTCTCGTAAAACAACCGAAGTCACGTGTACTAAAGATGTCATTGAGATTATTGAAGTAAACGGAAACCGTTCACCTACACGCGAGACTCGTGTGCCAGACACAAAGAAAAATATTATTAAACATTCTAGTCCTGAGAGGAAGGTTGTTAGCCCAGAACCTAAATCACAAGTACGGGAACAACAACGACGAAGTCCAGAGAGATCGCCGAGTCCTGTTAAGAGGCAAAAATCTGATATCAATAAAAATGAAGGAAAGAAAGAAACTATTATTAAAACGGTATATGATATTGAGAAGAAAATACCTCAAAAACCAAAGCAAGAGGAAAAACCATCGTGGGTCACAAACAGAAACTTGAAAAAGGTCACATCTGAAACACGAACATTCAGTTCAAAGAAAATTGAACCTGAAAAGCCCAAGTATAGAGCTCATAGTCCTTCTAAGACAATATCGAAACCTATAGATGTGATCACTTCAAGCTACGGCCCGGGACCCGTGGACGCAGACGGTAGACCACTTTTTGGCATTAAAGCTTTGAGGAATGGAGCTTCAAATTATCAAGGTGTGTAATAGAGTAAATAGAAGTATACATGACTCATGAATTATTTGCTCTCAAAGTATAAGTATCGTTTTAGTAATTTGAAATAGTTTTAGTAGATATCATAAGAAATTTATATAACATGTTGTTGGTACTAAGAGTCACTTTAAAAAAAACTATTTCTGTAAAATTATATTCTTTATGTAATTGTGTTGACAGTATCAATCGGTTCAATAAATATCTATAAGTAGTAAGGTTAACAATACCCCTTTATATAAACTGTTAGCTAACATTTTTATTACTAATCCGACAGTGAAAGGCACGGTTATTCGTCAAGAGTTTCATTCGCGGAACGGAGGTGAACCAGAGGGTACGGTGTCGGTAACAGCATACTCCACGGAGCCCGAAGACTTGGAGCGTCTGCTGCAGGCCCAGGGAGAGAAACCATCTCGTCTTCACGGCCTGTCAGCTATCACCACAACGAAGAAATTCGGTGGTGACACTGGTACTACGTTGAGGGAAGCTCACAATGTAAGATTCTATTCAATATAGATTTAGACCATTTTATAATATTAAAATATTGTTAAAAACAAGAACTTTCGTAAAACTTTAGTTATTATTTGTTAATAAATAGCCTTTAAACCAAATCAATTACATTACAGAAGGAGGATCGTGCCGTTATCGACCAGTTCACACACAGCGACCGTAAAGTTACTGAACATAAAATCCTCACCAGTTCCAATCACGACAGGAAACAAAAGAATTACGGACATACAGAGACAGTACAAGTTATAGAAATAGATGAAGATGATAAAATTAACAGAGCGGCCGGGGAAAACGAAACCATTTACAAACACGACACTAAAGAATTGAAAAAAGAGGCAAGTGAAAAAGAAATTAAATATAGTAGGAGTCAGAAGGAGACCAGAGAGAAGAAACAAGATACGGAAAGTAATAAACGTGGACTGGAAAAGATGGATAGACCTGCGAGAGTGGAGAAACGATCTGATGAGAAGAAGACGATAAGACAGAACTCTGTTAAGTCACTCACTGAAAAATTTATAAAGAATGCCAGTAAGTAAAGACCATTTTATTTTTGAATTTAAACATTTATTTTATGCAATAATAAGAATATTAATCTATAAATGTATACTGAAATGAAAATCTTTTTCAAAATAGAAAATTATGACTTCAAGTACTACATATTTCATACTATACAACATACATAAAGTCATATGTTATTCCGTCTTAGCTACTCTGTAAAGCGAAAAACAGAACAATTATGCTTCACAATCTTATCATTTATTTATATTAAAACTCATGAATATTTTAAGGTGAGACTTCCAAGTCTGAACGAGCCACGTATCCCAAGGCCGGCCTCATACTGCGAACCAGCACCGTGAAAGACTGCGCCTCCAGTGACTCTTCAGCACACGCCGGTACTTACTAAGGATTCATTTTATATAAGAAAGACTTTTATTTAACTCAAAACATAAATACACTGCATATAAAACAGTACCAGTTGGAGAAATAACTAAAAAACCAATATAGAACAATATTTTGTATAACCCACTATAAAACATTATTATTTTATTAGTCATTAAAATACATTTTGTTTTATATACCTATTATTATTTAAAGAAAAAAAAACTATGTCTTGTATAATATGTAAGTCATATTGCGAAAGATAATGTAAAAAAAACAACGCTCACAACTAAATTAGTACGTAACATTTTGTTTGTTTTTTCATTAAATGAAATGTAATTTCTTTTGAGAAATAAATGTCTTTTACCACAGAAATAACTGAAAGGTAAAAATATTTTAATATAAGTATTAATTCCTCTCAGGCCTCACACGCGGGGACAGCGAACACAGTCTGGACTCTATGGACGAGGTGATCACGACCACCAACACGGAACAAGTGTCTACTGAGGACGGGATGAGGACTACCACGACCACCACAACCACGAGGACCGGCTCCAGGACACAGGAGAGATCCTTCCTGGACAGTTCCACCAAGGTCACCGGAGTACAGGACATACTCACGAGAATGAAGAACGCTGACATCGGTAAGACTACACATAATACATCAATATTCTCATGAGAGATTTAAGTAAAGAGAACAGATATCCAGAAATGTGCACGTGCAAATTTTAACTATACGGACTTAACACAAATATTATATTGAATTATCAAATAATTTCCCGTAGTGCCTTTAGGTGTAAATAAATAACTCACAAAATAATGAACCTTAACAATATTCCGCCTGACTAATGATTGACACGAGTCTCTCCCGAGCAGTGATCGAGGATGGAGACACGTGTGAAGACACGGAGGCGCGAGCTCTCCTCAACAAGTTCCTGGGAGCCACGGTCCTGATGGCCGGCATGCAGAGCTACGTCACCGAGAAACCCTCGGGGAAGGTCATCATCAAACAGGTCAGTACACGAACAGACGCCAGGACTCACTTAAAACATATACATACTACATATTAGGAACACAGCGAATGTCTATTACTGATAACTCCATGCGCATGTCTTGATTCAGGACACTCTAGAAGATATGCAGATTGTCGATCTATAATAATTATATATATAAAACTCCCACACGTGAAGTAGTCCCGACGTTACAAGCAACATTTCCTTCTCTATAAATATAAATGTACATATCGGAATTGAAATATCTGCAATAACCGCAACTTGGCTGCCTTCCCGATTTCTAACGCTCAATTAAATTAACGCGATTTTACATCCTTTTGTTTATACAATAAATATTAGTTTCGCGTGTTCCTATTATTAAAATATTGATTGCGGAGTACTGTATGCACCTTCGTCTTCCAATGCTCTATGAGTCATGCAGTCATTAAATTAATTATCTAAGCACTGCAATGTTTGATGAGAAAGTCCTCGTTCTAGCGGAAACATAAAAAGGAAAGGATGATTGAAAGTAAACTTACTACTCATAATAAATAATTAATTGCTTCTATCTATGGGTAGTATCTGAAAACATAACATGTTTTTTAACATTTTCAAACTCAAGATCACCAGCAATGGTTGCGTGTGCCGTAATTATATCGTAAATCAAAACCGTACGGAGTTTATAAAGACTATGCGTGTATGACTGGCAGCGAGCCAAACTAACGTTTGTGAGTATTTACTTTCCTCTCTAAGTAAACATCTGGACTGCCAACATCGAATGTGTCAAATCATCGCCGGGAACTGCGTTATAATTACATAATATTGATAAAAAATATTAATTAAGACACTACAGAAGAACAATAATAATAATACATTCATATATGTTATTGTATTAACTTTTGGAAATAGATCGATGACATTAAACGAATGTTTATGAAGTTTTATCATACAAATACTAGTTACCTAATAATAGTAGCAACGTGCGTGAATGTGTCCACTAGACCGCTACTCACTATTGTTGAGTTCTACACTATGATATAAATGTGTAGTTTTCTTTGGACGTTCCAGATGGATTAAAATGAAAGTTTCGTTTATGTACCCATCTTTTTCCTTCCTCTTTCTGATTCGGGAGTAAAGATACTGTGTACTATCAATAATCCGTTTGTAATAATCTTTTATTTAGTGTTATTCTGCGTGACATGTTGATAAAAGTGCCATAAATGGCGTGATAGTATCAGAACATGATGTACCATGTGTAGTAAGATAGTGAGGAGTGTAGAGAGTGGAGACGAACAGTAAACAAAAAGTCCCGATGGATGCGGCCGCGATGTTGCCGTTTTAAGACACGCGCGGGAAACGAGAAAATTGCCGGCAAAAATAACACCGCGTATATTCACCATGCGAAAAGATATAAAACATTAATTATGTGCATACGATATTCGATCTTATTGACTCGGCGCGTCTAACTGATCGGAAGGAAAGTCGCTCGTAGTATTTTAGGCTCTATATTTGGTATGACTACGTCACAGTCCGCCGCGCGCGCAGTCTGCCCTCGTCGCTCGCACTGAGCGGTGCTGTCTATTGGATCTAAATTAAACATAAAATCCATTTTAATGGAATGTCAATTAAATTAGTATATGAAGGGTGACCATTATATAATATTAATAAGTAGTATTTAACAAAGTGACAGTACATCAGTCAGGATTGCGTTACGTCCAGTAACTTTTAGGTAAGCTTATTTTTAAAAACTTCATATACTCACTAAACTTATTTGAAAAAATTAATCCTATAAATTTTTATAATTATTTAATATCACTATGCATTTTATATTGCAAAAGTAGGCTTTTTAATTTTTATATTTGTTTTATAACCATACTTCTAATTTACAAAAAAAAATGATTAGTGATAAAATGAAAGAAAAAATATAAATTTTAATTATGTCAAAATATTTATTTATAATTAATTATGTATAAGTTTTATGTCTGGGACAAGTTTTTCAAAATTGCTTTTAGCGAAAGTTTATCACATAAATAATTAATTAGTGCTGAGTGAAGTTTTACGAAAAAACATATAAATAAAAACAAAGAAGGAACTATAACTGACAAATATGGATTTAACAAAAAATTTAACACGGTACTCTAAATAATCATAATATATAAAATAATGTTTATGTAGTACGTAAAAAAATACTAGAATTTCATAGAAGTAAGTAAGTTGTAGTAGTCAGCGGGCCGAGACCTTAGGAGTACATTATGTAACATTACAAACGACGGACTTTTAAAAATAAATACTATTTAACAGTTCTGTATTGGAACCAGCGTGACCGAGGACGAGCCCGCCTCACTCACCACGGATGATCGGACCAAAATAATTCATAACATTCGTCCTTGTATAGAAAACATTTCTTTGTTTCATATTAATATATAGAATAACGGCCGGTCATAGCTTATTGCTACTTACTGTAATGTTTTGTAATAAGTAGCCAACGAAAAACATGAGAAATGACGGACGACACGACATATAAAAAATTGAGATGCTTAGGGTAGTTAAAAAATATATACTTAATATATTGACGGAATATAAAACATAATATCAGTACATCGAGTATACATTAAAGAACAAATAAATGTCATATGTAGAAGTTATTATAGTAACTGGAAAATTATATATTACTTGAACCGATCGCGAAAAAATACGTTAATGAAATATATTCATTAAATGAAGAATTAGTAAAACAGTTTAGAAGTGAAGGTGATGAGGGTTAGAAGGGCGTAAGAGAAAACGATTAAAAATTTATGGAGACCCTAAGAGATATCTTTCACGTAACAAATAATATAAAAATCAAGATTATAGCGGATTATATAGTCAAATAGTCAGCATGGTGCTTAGTAATATAAATTAATATGAGAAAACTCAAACGACTTAACTATCAACCGCGAAGTGACACGCCAAAACTGACAGAATTAAGGTAAAAGGTATCAAAAACATACGAAATAATAATCTTAAAATGCACAAACAAACTACGGACACGAAAATACTACGCGATTTATAAATGTGATAATGACGAAGATTTAATATATATATATATACATATTTATTGATAACTTCCGACAGCCGAAATAAAACAACACGCAAGCAAACATTACTTTATTACAGGATTTTTACAAAAAATATAAAATCGTTATAAAGATAAACATGAAGTGAAAGAAGTATAGTGTGTAGGATAGAACTTATATTAATAATTTAAGTTTGTGTAAAAATAAATAAGAAATATCACCACCAAGTGTTAAACCATTGAAAAGAAATAATTTACATATAAGGAATTTACAATAATTAGAAATTTTATTTATATACTTATTTTATGTATTCCACTACGTATTCAAGAAATGAAAATTAAAAATAGTTCCTAAAATTTACGTCTAATCTGCAACCAAATTGTGTGGCAACTTCCAAGTAGATTCGACCTGAAAATTATTAGGCAATTTATAATTAATTAATATTATCGAATTTTGCAAACTCTTGGTCACCAAAATTTTATCTTAAATATCATAAGTATTAAGCCCAATTTACTATAAATTTTTCAACATACTTTTGTCAAACCAGTTTTAAAAAGATATAAATGTATTAATTGAAATTTCGCAATTATCGAAATCATGTTCGATCGTATCAGTGTGTGTTAAAAATAGTTTGTTTATTTTTTAATTGCGACGCCATTTAAATAAAAGCAAATCATCATGTGCTTTTGTTCTAACCGCTGCCAGAAATATATGAGCGTGACGTCACAGGGGACAGCCGACGACCGAGCGCATTCAGCCACAGGTCGTATATAATATATACGGAACTAAAAGGGACGACTCAAGATGTGTTTGCATGATACTATACAGAACAAAAACAACATTAACATTACAAAAAGTACCGCTAAAAGTTTTAAATTTTAACACGAATTGGAACACAAAACCAACTAGTTCATGTCAAATCTACATATTAACGGAATGCAAAAGTAAAATTAATAAATTTTTTCCCGCCATTTTTAAAAGTCATGTGTCGTGTGAGCTGTCAAATATATGTAATTTCACTTTTGTCCTAAATGGCTTATAATATATATCCTTACATACGTTCCAAGCCGACACATCCCCAAGTTTGGTTTGGTGCCAAGACGCGTGCGCAACTCGAGCTAACGACCTAAGCGTCTTCCTTTCCGATTTAGGAGGTGCGCGTCTCCCGAGGGCCAAGGTTGAGATCCCTACGACATATATTATAAGACAAATAAGGAAACAAACGATGACAGTGACAAGTCAAGCGTTACAATCATTGGTCAGTCAATCATGCAAGTACGCGTGACCAGCAAAGTAACATTTATAGTAAATAAAGTCAGTCATTAGATCGTATAGTTGATATTTCTCGTCACAATTCTTTCTCCGTCAATCAACACTTCACATCTCGACCTATTTAATCACTCCGCCATTTAATGTAATTCATTTTCCCTCTATCTGAGCCACATCTTCCGTTTCTGAACTCTATTTTATTTTCCGTTCGTTAATCTAAAACTTATTATGATGAATCGTATTCTTCTCTGTTGCCAAATGGCTGACATAATTCTAATGTCATGTTACTTTAATGTCGCCTCAGTTTTGATACAATGATTAATTACTGTGCATCATAAATATATGTTATCGTAAAATAATAATACGGACTTACAACGTGGCTTTAATTATTAAATTTAAATGTGAAATAACGTGTTAGGAATGAATGTACTTCTAAGTGAATGTTGTTAATTAAGTGTTTCTGCTTTAATTAATATAAAGTTACTATCTTCGATAGGTTTTTTAAATTTGTTTGATAGTAAAATTTAATTAAATGAATGCTAATGAGTAACAAAAAATATTAAACGGAAGAAAATTATCGTCAATCAGTTAATGAAAAGGTGAAAACGATCACTTCTTGGAGTCATTTAACATTATTCACAAAAATTTGTTGTTCCCTCTGTTGGTGACTCTTCAGCGACCTCATTCTTCAGCTTTATACTATGAATTAAAACTTAATACCGGTCAATTATCTTAAAGTAATAGAAACTTGTATAATTTATATGAATACAAAAAAGGCATATTTTATAAATAGACCAAAAAGTTGGCCGTAGTCCTTGTTTCTTCACATGACATTAAAGATCACCTTTAAGTAATGGGAACACATTTTATTATGTACCTGCTGTAAGATTATTTTGGAGTTTCTCTCTCTCTCCATCGTCTCCTAAAGTTGCTGAACATTTTCTACAGTCTATATAATGTATTGTCAACTCTCTCTTCATGGAATCATATCTACCAGATGATGTGTTAAGGCTTTCAGACAACTAGGTTTCTTTTTTCTTTGCTTTCTAACGTGCATTTTTCTAATGGTATTCATGACCATTATAGAATCGGATCGTCGGTTTATCTGTAACAGTACATTAACATACTGAGCAGTGTGGACTGTGGAGCGTGGTGGTGGACGTGATCACTACCGGCTATAATAAATGAACAAACGTTTACATTGTAATTACAAAGAAATGTTCAATAGAAAGCGAACAATAACTGTACTAGGTTACAGAGATCTGGACATCATTTATAAAGAGACTCGAGCTTACATTTGAAATTCTTTCGTACATTTTCTACATATTTCATTGGTGGAATATTTTAAACGTATTTACTGTTGAATCAGATACGTTCTGTAGTTTATTGGGTCATGATTTAGGATTACGTTATCATCAGTGAAATGTCCACCGGTGCTATTAGTCTGTGGCCCACCTGGCCGTCGTCCAAGCCTCTGTTCCCGTACCCTTTGTTTATAGTACACCTGCCGTCACCTAATTCAACGCCTCTTCCTGCACCGACTTTTATTCGTCTTTAATAAATCAATCCTATAAGCGAGATACAGTTTCGTAACTCTAGCAAATAGAGCAGAGTCTTTATATATATTTTCCAAGCTGCTGATTGTCCAAACGCATCACCTCCCGATCTAACATCTAATGTTAATGCGCGAACGCATTGTACTGTTATTTTTAGCTGTCCGGTCGATGCCGCTCGGTGACCTGCCAAAAATTTGGCCCACTGATCTTCTACGTGGAACCTAAACCCAACTTTGTGTTTCCTGATCATCGCTTCTTCGAGTTCTGAGCTATTTTTATAACTCACAGGAATCTCACATTCACTGGAACAAAACTCATTTTAATTTACAGTGAAAAAATATCCAACAATATTAACATTTGAAAATTGATACGTCTTGAAAACCGTCATAGTTTATACTATAAATGTATTAATTACATCCAATTAACCTTATACATAGTTCTCATTGACATTCTTATGTATATAAAATACAAAGCCATCGTTCGTCAGACTGTGTGGTATGCGAGACGTTTGAAAATTGTTTACGTTTTATTATTTAAACTGCAAGTGAGTGCCGATATATGGATGACAAAAACTAGTCCTCGCCTCGTCTCGTGTCTTTGACGTGTCTCATGATCCCAAGAAATGTCATGTAAAGTCTGAACGGCCTTTGCATGGGAATGTAGTCAAACTAAATGCCATTTCTCATTGTAATGAGAATTAATATCGATCTTGAAAAAAAAATGTAGTTTTTTTGTTTATAAGAAAAGCGCTTCTCTCCGATCGTCATTCATTAAGCTTAATTTTAATGTTAATTAAAATTAAAAAGGCATTTCAACTTTTTGTCTGCAGCGACTGTTCTTAGCAGCATGTTCGATAAAAATTAATAACTGGTTCCTTCATATCCATTTCTATTTGTGAAGTTATGAGGCGTTTATGTGTGAAGCTGTTGTGACACAATTCATGGCATTCGGTCATTTATTTGGGTCGTTAACTGAGAACTATCAATGAATATATTGTTTACTATGTTGTATTATTTAATTATATACATAAAAATGCGATTTTTATGTTAAAAGAAATATAGATAAATGAAAAGATAATAGATCATCTATATTCATTTAAAATATTACATGTCTTAATATATGTTTACGGATAGAAGTTTAAATATAAGATGAGTGTTACAACATCTCTTTCATGTGCATCTTTAAAAATATCTTTATAATATCGCTAGTAGTTTCGTAGTAAATCTGCTTCAAGGCTGATGAGGTGTTATATTCGTGTTGTTATTACAGAGCTCCGCCGCCCACCAACTATGTTTGAATGTTTTAAAATTTTCACCGACTTACATTATTTAATGGCCTGATACAGTTTTATATAATTTTATTATTGCATCATTCTTTACATTTTTCTTAGAACAATTTGTATAAGATATTTGTTTTTCAGCTTCAGTTTTTGTTTGAAGACCATGATAATATTTTATTTTATTAATAATTTCTTAGCGCCCGTTTTGTTATTGTATGTGGCTTTAATTACCGAGCGCCCGTCGGTTTCCCAAGTGTGTTTGTATGCGTTAAAAGCTCATTATGATTGACTCTAAAAAATCACTTGTTGAAATATATCTGTCAGTTGTAAGGTCAACGTCGAGTGGACTCAAGGTCTCTATTTTCTAATAATAATCAGAAAAACTCGTGCTAAATAAAATTTCGAGTGCTTTCTGCAGATGATAATGAAAATTATTCAGAATTATACAAACCTATATATTTTATGAGACCTTGACTTACTCGTAATGTAGTCAAATAATTTTGCTTGATAGTTAATAACGTTTTAAGTTAAGATATCTGGATTATAATATAATTTAAAAATATACCTCGATGTAGGTGATTTTAGGAACATAATTAATTAAAACTAAAAGACACCCAAGAAAGGTTAGGTATAAATAAAATATAAGAGAGCATGAAAAAAATGAAGACTTGCGTTAAAACTATTGGAATGAAACTATGTTGTTGGAATATACTATACAATAATACTAATATACTACGCGGTATTATTATAACACTTACATTTCCCCGACGTTTAAATTACTTTAAACAACAGTGGTCACGGGCACACGAGATGAAAGTCTGTCAGTTAGACTTGTCGTTTGTCATCAACCGCCAACGATTTCTCAATTTTCTATCGTCCCGCTCTGGATGAACGCCGAATGTTCTAACTGTAGCTTGAAGTCTTGCGGTGTGGTCAGGGACATAGATTTAATATTTTTATTAAGGAGATCCCAGATGCTAAATCATTGCCTTCTATTTTCTCGATTGAAATTAAGGTGTTTTTTTTTTTTGTAGTAGTTGTCTATCAAATTAATTACAGTGTAAACTCTATATAACGACACTGAAGGGACCGTGCATTTTAGTGCGTTATAGAGAGTTGCCGTTAAATAGAGGGATGAAAAATCAGAATTAGAAAAAGACAAAGTTTGTTTCAGACTACTGTTAGTACTTATGTACATAAAAAAGAATGTTATAAAGTCTGTTGTTTTTGTTTGACGTGTTTTGCTGCACCAGTAATGTTGTTGTATTTTTTACGTATTTTATTCATATCTTACGATATTGAGGCATATTGGTGAAGAACGAATTTCTTAGAAAGTTTGGTATGCATGATTACGACAGTGGAGTTTATTGCGGGCTAGGATAACAAAGCGAAAAAAAAACGTACACAGCTGCGCATTTTTTACTAATTTTAGCAACTTAAAGGGTACTTTTTATTACTTAATTTTGTCGTTATTGAGAGTGGCTGTGACGCTATATAGAGTGTATCATTGTATGGTAGACAAGCTAAACCAACCAAAGTCAAATGATTTCGACGCTTTAGAGAGTTTGTCGTTAAATCGAGTGTCGTTATATGGAGTTTACACTGTATATTGAAAATATTGACAAAGAAATCTCAATAAAGTATAAGAATAACGACGTAATAAACATTTGAGTGATGAAGAATCGTTAATGACAACATAATTGTACATAAAAAATATTTTTGCTCTGAAAACTAATGTTTGAACTATACTATAATATCTAACTTAGAATTGTTTTTTTGTCAGCAGGAGACTGTTCAGAGTAGCGGCGGTAAGGTGACCAGCAGTCGATTCAACGAGGAGTTTGACGTTGACCAGTGCTGGGACGAGCGGGTGCTCAAGAAACTTGTGAGTGATGCTATATATATTATGTTATACAGTTATACATGTATATGTTTGTTTATAGATATCCTCATACAAATAGAAATGTCTATAATATTTAATGAACAAAAAGAAACAAGAATGAAACTTGCAAAGTCATTCATGCAATAAAAAAAAATATTTTATGTTACAAAACTTGTATAAAATTTAGCTTTATTTAGATTAAACTTTACACTTTCATATTTATAATACTACATAGATGTAATATTTTCAATGTAATTCGAGAGAACGCAAGCAAAATAGGAAACAAAGTAGTAATTCAAATTTATACGTGTAGTAATTTTGTAACATTAATATCTGTTTCATATACATGTGGTTTAAATAAATATAAATACTTTTAAAATACTTTTTAAGTACAACATACATAAGGTAGTTTAATCATTCAATAAAACTCATCAATTGAGGAAAATAAATTCTTATTCTTATAATTGTGATTTATCTCGTGTCTTCATAAACACCATGGCGAGATTGTTGCTACATCGAGCACAAGTAAATATTTGGTTGGAAGCATGAAGAAATATTTGCCGAGTACAGTTAGATTGTGGTTTACTATCTCTTAAAAAATATGAGAACACTTGTAACGTACACACCGAGCTTCACAACACTATGTTAATCATCGCTTACTAAACTATCACAGTCACGGCGACTGAATATTGAAAGATCATCACACTTTCATTACCAGCTGACTCATACAGAGAAAACCGACAGGATTGTACGTGTGTGTGTGTGTGTTCAGTGACAATACATTTTCGAAGTAGTCATATACATATGATATAACATTTTTAATGAAATGAAAGTGTTTTACTCAAATAATTTTTATTTCAGTTACATAAGACGTCACTAAACAAGTAATTTGTTGTTAATGGATATTATTTGAGCACTTTCATATATTAAAACTTGTAAATACATGACGGTGTGATGCCAATTTCCATTTGTAATGAACGAAATTTCCAAGCGAGATTTGTTGAAAAAGGAAAGTCGTTGAAACAGCTCGAGTGTAGTAATTGTAACGAACTTAAATGAATAACACAGAGAGTGGAGTATGCCCGGGCTGGACTGACGGCGGCCGCGGGGCTCTCGTATTAAGGTTTGAGGTTTTGTTGGTCAGTTGTCGATTGACAAGGAAACTGTCAACAAAAAATCACTTTCCTACATGAAGTAAACGCGTACTTGGAATTTAGTATATTATTTTCCATTGGCTTTCGGCTTTCAATTATTCTTATTTACATGTTTTTTATGATCGGAATGCCATTCATAAAGTGAAATTACAATATTCACGTTAAATTATATCCGGCCATTTTTCTTATTTCTAAGTTAATTGAAAACGGCATCAACAGACGTCATGTACTTAAAAAAAACTTGCCAGACAGACATTGAGTATTTCAAGTTTTGTTATCTCATGTAAAAAGAATATACAAAGTTTAACAACTCATTTAAATCTTATAATATTTAACAAATTTGATTTATACGTTTTTGATATTAGACTGCATTACACTCTTATATAAAAATATTTACCCTTACTGTGTATTATTATGTTTCTTAGAAAAGAGACTTCATATTCATCACGTACAGATATAATTTTTGATTCCAAGTCAATTAAAGTATATAAATTATTAATTGTTTCATAATTGTAAACCTGTTCCAGTTGGAGGAGAGCTCAGACTACGAACAACGTCGCCGGCTTCGAGCACGTATCCGTACCCTGATGGCCGAACAGGAAGGTAAGGAATTGAAACATAGTCAATATTGAATATTTTTATATGTTACATTGAAGTAAGTTTCTAAATATATATTATCTTTATTTCAGCATGTGCAAGTGCGGTGACGGAAGCCTTGGCAGCCGCGGGCGAGTCCACGGAGACGGAGGATCAGTCCGGTGAACGCGGTGAGTCTCTTCTCCTGCCGCTGCTGCAGGGGCTGCTTCAAGGAGGCGGTCAACGGCTGTTGGCAGGTCTCGGGGCGGCCTCCCACGACGTTGTAGCTGATGTGAGGCGCTCCTTACAACGTCTGCGGGTCGCACTCGCCCCTCCTAACGACCACCCTCAGGCGCGGGCTCTCCTCACTCTAGCTGACAGGCTCGAGGAAGCACTCGATGCCGCGGACCGACTGGACGGTTGTAAACGAAAGACCCGTCGACGTAGTCGAACATCGAGACACACGGTCGGCGTCACTCGAGAGGAACTCGAGGAAGCACGTAGAATTGTGGACAGAGATCAACTCCTACCCGAACCTATTAATCCGCAAACTCCTAATACACCTTCGATGACCTCGAGGTCCACTAGCGAAGAAAATCCATCTACTCCTGAAAGAAAACAAAGCATAGATGAACATATAACCTTTCATAATGCTAGTGAGGAGCGACAAAAGACCGTTCAAGTTCCACAACATGCTAGTATCAATTCAGTTGCTAAAGTCAATAGAGATGCAAATATAGTTGAAAGACGAGTACCAAATAATCGAAAACCAGACTTTTTCAGACATTCTATAGCGGATGTTAAACCTGAACCCCCTAAGAGTCCAGCTGAGCGATGGCATTCTGAAACTAAAAGTAGTATAGCGGCGATCGCCCAGAAATTTAATGGCAATTTGCAGAAGGAAGCTCCAATACGACGGGCTCCTCTGAACCGACCCACAGTGACAATACATTCAAAAACAGACGAGGAATCTAAACATGCCTCCTTCTATAGGCCACCTCCGCCGGGTTATAATTTTGCGGCACCACAACCTACTGATGACTTGTCGAAACCTCTCAATCGTTTTTCTAATAATAACAGCAAACGTATGCGTATGAAACGTGCTAACACTATAGATATAGGAAAACCACTGGGTGGGTATAAATACGACAGGGAAGACGATGAAAATACACCAAGCCTAGGTCCAAAAGTCCCAGAGTTTCAACCGCAAACAGAAAATGACAGAAAGTTTTTAGCATTTATGCAAAAAAACGAAAACATGAACCGCAGTCCAGGCACGGGTCAAGCTAATTGGAGCAACCGCTTTGGTAATATCAAAAATGCTTTTGAAAATCGAGATCGAGAAGATAATATTAGAGCTTCAAGTGCTTCCTCAGCAAAACGCTTTTGGAAAACAACAAATGAGAACTCTGCTACATCTAATCCTCGACCGCGAAAATTTTTAGCAGACGTTACCTCGGAAATAGTCAAGCCACCTTGGACATCACAGCGCAGAGATTCTCTTCGAACTCAACCAAATGGTCCCCAGGCGTTTGCACAGTCATCAGTAGCGCAAACGGCTCCACTACAAAAAAAACAAAACGTAGTTCAAAAACCTTTCGTAGCAAAACCTATACCGGTAAATCAATTTTCACACGCTCCAATGTCTGCATTCAAACCACCACAAAAAATTACGTCTCCAATATCTGTTGTCCCAAACGTATGGAGTCCTCCCTCTTCAAATATTCCAGTATCTCCATCAGTTGAATACCCACCCGCGTACCCGGTCGTTTCAAATCCGCTTAGTCCTGGATCTGGTGCTTCTAACTCGTTTGTATTACATGATGTTGATAAAAACAAAAAAGTAAATGCATCCCATACGCCCCAGTTTGAAAAAGAAAATCAATCACAAACCGTCATTCAACCAAAAATATATGCATACGGATTTCAGCCCTCGCCTCCGACTCACGTACGTCCACAGGCCTTTAATTACCCTATCAAACCTATACCCAGTCAGAATAACCTGGCTGCCCCTGAACTAGTTAAAAAACTGGGCGAACCAAAAAGTATATTTAGTCCAGAACCATATTCACCGAAATTAGACGCACAACAACTTCAAATTGAATTTTACGAAAGGCAAATTCGTGAAAAACATCGTCGAGATGCAATTAATGAAAGCCGCGACGTTCCTCTTCATAAGCCTCCTCCACCTCCTGCACAATCTGCTTATACAATAGTTGACTATACGCCTCAAAATGTACCGGCTACATTTGTACCTCTTCAACAGACACCTGACATTGAAAAAGCTAAAGCACATAAAGTGGATTACCTCCCCGATGTTGTTATGAACGAAAAAAATAGTTTTGAATGTAATACGCCACCCGGAACAAGAATGACTTCCGCTAGTCCTTCAAAAAAAAAAGTTCCTCAAGAACATCAAAATGGAGATACCACATTGAAAGATGAGACAACTACGGAGCATGACTGCGTTGTGACTCGCGTGATGCGCGGTCCCATCCGAGGCACTGCCACTATTACCACCGGGGTTCGTACGAGACATTCTGAAGGGGCGGCGGACAGCTTGAGAGGCGTCCTCGACAAACTTACTTCTCCCAAAAACAATGTCATCACTCAGATCGAAAAGAAAAAACAAGAAGGATCACGAAGTCAGGTACGACTGGTGGCACCACAGTCAATCCGCCCCGGGCTATCCCCCCCGCACGCCTCTTTGTCGCCCCGTCCATCCAATGCATCCGACCACGACGGGTACCCTCGATCCCCCGCCGGGTTGCGCAGCCCCGCGCTTGCGGCCTCACGTGAATCGGTATTCTCTAGTGAGTCACCAGGAAGTCGTGGCTCGAGTCCAGGATCAGCTCTAGCTCGATCCGGTTCTTGGCACCGCTTCGGTGATTCCGACAAGATGATATCTTCCAAGAGAGTTGTAGCACGTACCAAATCGATGCACCTCTTAGCGGTCCCAAAACTTTTCGAAGGAGGTATCCCATGCGAGGAACTTCCGGATAAGAAGAGGACGGTCGAGGCGTATTTCTCAAAACAGTCGGACAGACAGTCCTCCAGCCGCACGAGCGGGTCCCAGGCGTCTCCGGTACGTGTCCGTACCACTCGCTCCTCTCAGCAGCAGTCGTTCGCTCTGGGCCGCAGCCGCACGATGCCAGCTGTGTCGGAGCTGCAATTCCTCGACGAAAGCAACGCGGACGACGCATTCGAGGACCTCGTGTCGGCGCTCGCGTAGCGCATGCACATTCCACTTGATAGGACGGAGACGAGCGAGACGCGCGTGAGTCGTGTGTGTGTGGGCTGCCTGCCGCTTGTGACGCGTCGCATGCCCCTCCCCCTGTGCCCCTCAACCCCAACCCCAACCCCGCGCCCTAAGGTCACACTCACGTCGATGTACATATTGTAACATAAGATTCATTTCACCGAATCCCGTTAACCGTTTTATTTTGACTAATAGCTTATAAGTATTATTTGTATTGTCTGGCTGTTGTTTTCAAGTGTTCCAAATTTAGTGTTCCGAATTCAAAAAATAATTTGAAAAAACAAAAATAATAATATTCATCCTTAATTCCACAGAGGAAGAGGAAGTGACGACCATAACAACATCAAGCGTTAGGAAAAACTCTTTCGAAAAAACTGTTAGCAGTACCACCACTAAAAATTCTAAAGGTAAGTACAGTCACGTCAGAAAATAATCAGATTTTTCCCTCTTATAATATTACATACTAACCTTGGTTGTTACTTTGAAATAGATCGTTTAAAATGTTAAGTGTGGTCATTGGTTGATGTTTATTTGTACGTGTCCTATCAATTTTCCTTCCAGTTATCGAGAGCATGACCCGACCGGCGCCCAAACCCGTGTCGCCGTTCGCCAAGTTCCGTCAGCTCGAGAAACAAAACTCTACTAATTCCCCCAAGTAAGTGAAACAGTTACCCGCACTCCTACAGACAAATGTACATTCCTATCCTACATTATAAATATTTACATATTACATAAAATACTTCTACCGTGTGAACTCTTACAAAACTATTCTCAACCAACACTCAAATATTCCGTCAGTACCCAACTAGGAGGACACTAGAGATACATATAATCTGCTTCAATTTATATATTTAATGCCACGTATTTATTTATTTTAGCTGCCAAAGCTATGGATACACTATGGAATAGGTAAAAATATTTATTAGCAAATATATTAGTTGGCTCATTATATAAATTAGCGGCATCATAGCATCGCTTCAGTAAGCGCTCACGGAGTTATTTTAATGTAAAAACTGATGGTCGATAACAGTTCACTTATATTATGAATGACTATGAAATTGTTTCTGTAATATTTTCGATCCTCGACTGTTAAATATAAGGTTCATATCGTCACTATGTCAAGGCTGTCTTTTCTCCCGTGTCTCACAACTCCGCGAGCTCTTATCATCACAGAACATATTCCAAGTCACACACCCGGTGTAAGTGTCCATATCACGCGTCAATGATAACAGCACAGCCCATTGTGAGCGCACTGGCTCTAATATCGATAACCCGCGGTCGGGCGGCGAGGCTGACTCCGGAACACTAACCTGAGGCCCCATTGTAGCTCGCCCAAGAGTCCGCAGAGCCCGGGCTCTCCGTCGCAGCCTTACTTCAAGTTCACGGACCCCGCGCTGCAAGCCAGCGCCGTCACTATTAAAGAACGTTTGCTGCAGTGGTGTCGCGACAAGACCCGGGATTACGAGGTACCGCTCACTCCGCACAGCCCCCCAAGCCCCCGACCCTCACACCCCGGCCTTCCATACCCTCCAGTCCGTCACTCTCGGCGGTCATACCCGCTGGGTGAGAGGTCACGACCCAGCCGGGGGGCTTGCGGCTCTTCAGAGTACATTCACGTCCAGGAGCCTACTCCTCACACGACGCTCACACCACGCAGACGCCCTCGCCACTCATACACTCCACGCTTATTTGACGCTTGCTATACTCTGTATATATGCTCGAATATATTATATGTATATGTATTGTATCACCAAATCGTATTACTTTGGTCCAATACGTCGCCTAAAAAACTTACGATATGAGTTATGGAAGCTCCAGGAGGACGACCGATGGATGATGTTATAATCAATATAAAAATAACTAACAGAGAACGATTGAAATGTTTTTTGATTTTAATATTAATATTGATGAACAAGCGAAGCTGAAACAAGGATATGAGGAATATCAACAATAATAATTAAATTAAAACTTTTATTGTATAACTAAATTGCATGATCTGTTTGTGAAATCTGTTTCAAAATTTATATCGACTCTAATTGAAGGTCAAATGAGTTAACAAAGTTTCTTTGATGTGTTCCTAACAAAATTTGTGTACTAAAGACAATTGACATTATTTTTAAAATCCGTTTTAAGAAAGAGGAAAGTGAGTGACTCCAAGAATACAATATATTAGTCCTTCATTATTATTGTATTCTTATGTTATGAATCCAAGACATGTGTCATCTTCATATATATTGATGTGTGATGGTGTGTATCAGAATGTGAAGCTGGAGAACTTCTCGTCGAGCTGGTCGGACGGGCTGGCCTTCTGCGCGCTGCTGCATCACTTCTTGCCGGACGCCTTCGACTACTCCTCGCTCTCCCCCGACTCCCGCAGACACAACTTCACGCTCGCCTTCAAAATTGCAGAGTAAGCCTTCATCACAGTCCCTTCTTAAAAACATATAAGTAACCTCACAGTTTCCTTGCCAGAGGAGATTACATATATTTTAAAATATTATTAAAAATATAAATTAAATAATCATCGTGAATAGTCTTGGTGGGCCAGATACAATGCCATATTCTTTATTGTTTAAGCATGGAGAGACAATGATATAATAAGTTCTACATAAAATTTGTCTATAGAGCAATGGAATTCAAATAGCGTATATTCAGTCATAAATCAATAATTAATTTCTTAGTGTAACCTCAAAACAAACACTCATTGACTTTCTGTTACTCAACAACGCCATCTGCTGTTATGTCATTAAAACAAATATTAAAAGCAATTAGCAATAAGGAGTATTACTATTCGCCAATAGATGTCAGGAAGAGTCGTATTTTAAACGACTCCTTTTTGGTTTTTTTTTTTAAATAAAATAACGTTTTTAAAAATGAAATTCGCTATGTACTAAATTTCATGAAAATCGTTGGAGCGGATTCCGAGATTCCAATAAATATGTATATATATTTATATACAAGAACTGCTCATTTAAATATATAAGATTTAATATTAATGAACAACAATTTTAAGGTTAATCTGTCAAACACGACCATCATTATTTTGATAAATAGTAATATTTCCGTCATGTATACATACATAACGTGCCGCGGTGTTGATTTCCAGTGAGAAGGCGGGCATCTACCCTCTCCTGGACGTGGATGACATGGTCGCCATGCGGAAGCCGGACTGGAAGTGCGTGTTCACGTACGTGCAGTCCATCTACCGCCGGTTCAAGGACGAGCGCTGATCTCCCCCCCCACGACCCCCCCCCCCCCGCCATACACCCGCGCAGTGTCCCGTGTCTCGCCACCAGCCGGGCGTGTGTCAGAGGTCGTGTAGCCGAAGGTGTCGGTCACGAGTGTCCGGTGTCAGTGTGTATGTCCAAAGAGCGCGTGTTGTTATTGTTAGTTTGTGTTTGTTTCTAGATGTTTATCCTTGTCCGCTCAGCTCGTTTCTCCGAACGCTGTCTCGTACACAGCCCTCCTATTTATTTAATCTCAAGATGTATGTGATTTTTTTATACTAGCGAGTAAGATTGACTAACGATTAAATATACGTCGTAGATTATAGTCTGATATTGTATTTTTGTACGGTTCGATCGTCTAACACTAACGACACTGTACTGAGCGGGGATCGCCTCCACTTATTCATCGACATAAGCGAGTCGTATACCCGTGTCGCCCAGTGTACAGCCGAGCTCACTTCACTATTTTATATCTAACTCTTTTAAAATGTGACATTTAACCGCTTCCAATAATTGTCTGCTGACTTTTATGTAACCGATTATTATATAAAATATTAATTTATATGGATATATTGAAATAAAAATGATTAACATTTTATGAGTATTTTATTTCATATCAATCGTGTCTATTTTTCGTTATTTACTCAGCATATGGAGGTCTGTCTCAGCCGCAGTATGACCACCGACATCAACAGCAGTAAGATGAACACTACAGTCGATATCACGAAATACACAAACGTGAGAGACATGTCGGATGTGGAGTGTTCTTATGATATCAATATAGTATTCGGACATCGATGTCTGTGTGTAGGGTTGTTCAGGGTGCTTCAAGGGTCCGGTAAGGTGAAGGGCAGGGCGACCATGAAGGGGTCTGTAATGTTGGTGGCCATGTCGGCGGTGAGGTCCCTCTCCTCCCCCAGCCTCTGTCCCCTGTCCGTCCTCTGCCTCCCCCCCTCCGCCACCACCGTCTCCTGGCTGGCCGTGTCGTCGGTGCTGGCGTCCTCCAGCGCCACATGTACGTGCAGGGTGCTGTCTCTCCACGCTCGCCACGACATCTGGTGCTCCTGGATCTTTAGCAGCATCCACGTCGTCAACAGACCGTTGAGAGCGCCTGAACGATGTTCATCATTATATACTTCATAGACCAGTGCCGATAGCTTTTAAAACATAATTAAATTATAGTAGAATGAAACTCATTAGAAAAGGAGGGGAATATTATAAAATTTAAAGGAAAAATAATTTACGGGCGATCTGAGCTGGGGAAGGGTATGAGGATGGGAATTTAAGGGTAAAAAATCGGTTTTCTCGATTTCCGGCAAAACTAAAAGTCCTACGGAAAAATGTTATATGGCAAACTTGTAGGTAATAAAAAGATCTAAAACTTTTGTATTAACATTTTTTTCACATAACCTCAAATTTTATGTGAAATAATCGAAAAACCAAGGTTTTGGTTTTTTATTTTTATCTCTTATAAAAAACAATTTTTTGTCACGAAATTTGGCGAAAACTTTCCTTTTGATGATAGAAATGCACTGTAATTTATTTGATTACAAATATTTATGTTTTCAGCTTATTTTTAATAAATACCGAAAAATCATCCTCATTTTCAATCGAAAAATCACCCGTCAAAATATCAGCTATTTTAAAAAATTTGGTATGTTTTCAATTTGTTGAAATATCTATTTTCCGATGGTGAAGAAAAAAATATAAATTTCTTACTTGCAGTACCATTTTTGGATAAAATAATCATGTCCCTTTTAATGAAATGACACTCGATATCGTTTGGAAAATGCTTTTTCAATTTATTTTTAATAGTTTTAGCAGCTTAATGTAAATTTTCCGTAAATAACCTAAAAGAGAGACTATCTGGAGAACTTCCAGAGTACACAACTATTAAAAATAAATTAGAAAAAGCATTTTCAAACCGAAGTCGAGTGTCATTTCATTAAAAGAGACATGATTATTTTATCCAAAAATGGAACTGTAAGTAAGAAACTTATATTTATTTTATCGCCATCAAAAAAGAGATTTCAACAAATTGAAAACATACCAAATTTTTAAAAATAGCTGATATTTTGAAGGGTGATTTTTCGATTGAAAATGAGGCTGATTTTTGGGTATTTATTCAAAATAACCTAAAAAAAATTTTTTCTAATCAAATAAATTACAGTGCATTTGTAACATCAAAAGGAAAGTTTTCACCAAATTTCGTGACAAAAAATTGTTTTTTGTAAGAGATAAAAATAAAAAAACAAAAACTTGGTTTTTCGAATTCATCATAAAATTTCAGGTTATGTGAAAAAAATGTTAGTACAAAAGTTTTACATCTTTTTATTACTTACAACTTTGCCATATAACATTTTTCATTAGGACTCTTAGTTTTTCCGGAAATCGAGAAAACCCATCTTTTACCCTTAAAGACCCACGCCCGTACCCTTCCCGACCTCTGATCGCCCGTAAATTATTTTTCCCTTAATTTTTATATTATTCCCCTCCTTTTCTAATGGGTTTCATTCTACTATAATTTATTTTCACTTTTCATTATTTTTAGAGGCATCTGCACTGGCCTATAAGTAATAAAATAATAATAATCATGACCGAGGTACCGAAATTTTGCTTACAAAGCTTAAATTATGACAGCAAATGCTACAAAATAAAGTTTACTCTAAAAATACATTCACATCGACCGTTTGAATTCGATCTCAAACTAAAATTTGTAATTTCTACTAATGGAAATGTCGGATAATTTCTGAAGTCCAAAGTAGAGAAAACGTTTTATGTACGAAGTCACCTAAACATAATGTGTCTCTACTAATTCGGACCCTCAATCGAAGACATCTCACCAATGATACCGATAAGCAGTGAGGAGAAGAGGTTGGCGGCGAGAGCGGAGGCGCCCCCGCGACGGGCCCCGGCCTGCAGCGCGGCGTCACAGGCGTGCAGAGCGCGGGCCGTGCCCAGCACCGAGGCTGCTCCCAGCGCCGCGCCGCGCCACGCGTCCGCCGCCAGGGCAGCGCCGCGCCCCGAGCGCGCCCACTCCATCACCGACCGCGCCCACGACCATCTGCCCACATCACCGCTACACAATACTACATACTGCCCACCACCAAACCATATAGTGCTAAGATTCGAGTATCTCTCGCTGTGTCCACTAACTTGTGGCTCCTGGTGACCACGTAGTGGTGTCGACACAGCTCGCAGTAGGAGGTGGCGGCCTGCAGCAGCCATCGCTCCAGGCACGAGCGGTGCACGGCGGCGATGGTCCCGCGGCACGAGCACGGCTTCACCAGCCTCTCACCCGACTCTCCGCCGAAGCAGATACGACAGATGTTGTCCGAACGACTGCCTGACTCGCTCAACTCCTTAGGTCCCGACCCCTTGAAATATTTTACGCTTTAAATCGATAATATTTGAAAATAATTACACAGATGTAAACTTATCAAGAAAGAGATTGTCTTATATTTTTTGTTTTATTTTTTTATCTCCCCGAGCCTTCACGTCAATAAATTTAAAAACTTTTTTTTAGATTAGGGATAAAAAACAGTACTTAATTGATGGATAGGTTCGAAGTATTACTAAAAAAAGTAAAGTATACAATCTTGAAATATTTGTTATTGAATAGTACATATCTATCTCACTGCAACTGTTACTAATAACTCCGAAAAAGACAATTGAAGTAACTAAAACCGAGCTTGCTATATAGGGAAATCTGTAACACGAGACATGGGTGATAAAGATGGCACTTTTAACATTAAAAATGGGTCTCATCCAAGAATGTTCAAGCGTAGCAATGGACTTTTAAAAACATCAAACCCTCTACAAGCACCAAAAATCTTTTAATAGTATTGCACGTGCATAACTTGTATTAAACGAATGATTTATTTAAACGTAGTAAATACATTAGATACATAATAGAAAATTCAATAACTTAAACAAAAAGAACTACATACAAGTTCGTTTTAATGCCGTATTTTAAACTTGGTAATGTTGCAAATATATTTTAAAATGTTGGATCTAAACAAATTTCATAATATATAGAATAATATAATCTTTGCAAATCTGCGTCCATAAAAAATACCCTAACATTTTTGATATGACATAAATATATGTATTTATACATAAATTGAAAATTAAAGCCATCTTGCATTGTTGTAATTACGAACCTGTTTATTGAGCAATAGAGCACAAACGGAACCAAGTATAGAGACAGAGCGTCTGTTTGGTTGCAGAAGAGACGAGGCTGGCGAGGAGAAGGTAAGAGAGTCAGCGATGCAGGCTCGAAGTTGACGTTGTTCTTCACTATCCGTTATATTTACTGAAATTAATATTATTACCTTTATTTGACCTCTCGAAACTAACATCCCTCGTTTGTACCTAAGATATACTAGATATGTACATATTTATGTTAAAAATTAAATGAACCTGGTGAACCGATGCCGGGTGAATAACGACAACTTATTTCTGTTTGCTGAGCTGTTGATCGCAAATCTCTTTCCCTTTGCGTGTTGCCATTGTTCTATAAACACACCAGAACTTTAAATCATACACAATTTAAACCATGTATGCTTTCAAAAAAATTAACAAGAACCAAGATAAGAATATCCAAAACAGAATCTATCTATTATCATTTAAACTTACAGACGTATGAAGGGACGAGCAGCTAGAAGCTGACATACTTATTGTTATCCTGCTGTCAGAATTCCTCGACCCCCAAAAAATTAATAGAGTTTGTCCCTCCGCTACATTACATTCCTGAAAGTGGTGAATAGCTGCATCTACAGACGTTCTTCATAATATTATTGTATTCTATTTAACAATTTCAATTACCCGAACTAAATTGGAAAAGCTGCAGGTTCTATGAAATTCAAAATTTATCCGTTTTAAGGCCTGCTGAATATTTGGTTTATAAACCACGGGTGCTAAAACAGCTTGCCTTAGGTTTTGAACGGTATCACATGGAAATGTAGGCACTTCATTAGATTCTATATAATAATTAAATTTAACCAATTTATTCATTTTATAAGTAATTTGGTGACATTTTGTCAAAATTAAGCATTTTTATTAACACGATCAATATGAATATAAAAATAACATTATTTGAACGTCGGTTACAATTGACAAGGTTACATTTTCGACAGCAAATTTTATCGTCTAATTGTATTTTATTATTTGACTTTACATGAGTTTTTGTTAATATGAACGTATCTGATTGCGCAATTGGTAGTAATAACTGCTATGAGACATTGACAAATTATCAAGTATGAAGTTACTGTCTTATTGACAGCGGAAAGAGTCAAATCTCCATTGATCGTGTTTTCCCTCCCCACGTGAAGATTAAAATAACTTGTGAAATAGTTTCAAAGAAAAAGGTATTGTTATACGAAAAATAAAATAATGGCGTTACGTGTCCAATTCGAAAACAACAACGAGGTGGGAGTTTTCAGTAAACTTACAAATTCATATTGCCTTGTCGCAATCGGCGGGTCTGAGAATTTTTACAGCGTGTTTGAAGCTGAATTGGCAGACACAATTCCAGTAGTACACATTAGTATTGCTGGTTGCAGAATTATCGGTCGTATGACAGTAGCGAACAAGAACGGCCTGCTGGTCCCGGCATCAACTACAGACACAGAATTACAACATATACGCAACAGCTTGCCGGACAACGTTAAAGTGCAAAGAGTCGAGGAACGTCTAAGTGCCCTCGGTAATGTTATTGCTTGCAATGATTATGTCGCACTAGTTCACCCAGACCTCGATAAAGACACAGAGGAAATTCTCGCTGACACACTGGATGTGGAAGTTTTTAGGCAAACAGTAGCTGGCAATGTTTTGGTAGGATCATATACCGCGCTCAGCAACAGGGGTGGGTTGGTGCACCCCAAGACAACTATACAGGATCAAGACGAGTTATCTTCCCTATTACAAGTACCTCTGGTAGCCGGAACAGTGAATCGTGGCAGTGACGTAGTCGCAGCCGGCCTAGTGGTCAACGACTGGTGCGCCTTCTGTGGCATGGACACTACTTCGACTGAGATATCAGTGATTGAGAGTGTGTTCAAACTGAATGATGCTAAACCTACAGCCATCACTTCAACCATGCGTGCCTCTCTCATAGATAGTATGTCATAACACCGAGTAACAAGGGTTTTATTAAAACATGTTAAGAACCAAATGATGCTATGTGATATTAAATTCAGTTTACTCACGGGTATTCAGATAAATTGTCCGTCATTCAGATTCATTTGACCTGTTCACTATTATTATTATGAGTAAATAATCATAATAAATGTTGTATCATTATTCATTTGTTTCACCAGTCGGCCGCCTCATACCATTTTATATTTTTTAACATTGTGTAATAGATATCACAACATGTACCATGAATGATTTTCTTTTGAAATAAAACAATATATTCTTATATATATTTATTTTAAATAATTACATCAAATGTTTCAAACTATCTACATTGACACAAGTTCATTGGAAGTCATTCACACTCACATCTTGAAACAAAAATACATAACACATAGTTAACAATAGAAGTCACATGTTCCAGCTATACTTTAATGAACAATACCTGATTGTACTAGGAGTACTGAAAACTACAGAATTAATATTAAACTTATAATAAAAAACATATTATTGGTTTAGTGACCTATCGATATATTTTTCTAAGTTTTAATTTTGTTGTAAAGATTCATGATTACTAGAAAGAACTCTTTTCTCAAAATATTACTTGCAAAATGCATAAATATTGTAGTGTGCACTATTCTTTAAAATATGACAGATTCACATAAGAGAAGTACAAATTAAATTATTACTTGCTTGTATAGTATTAAATATATTCAGTACACACAAAAGCAGAATTCAATAATAATTAAAAATAACTATTGAAAATAAAACATACAACAAACATAATATGCATTATACCCGTAATTGATTAACTTTTATCAATTTTGTATAACATTTTGGTATTTAAAATCCAATAAAGTTTTAACGTCAAACACAATGTACATACAGACATAGTCATATATATAAAAGCTACCAGCACACGGTCTGTACCTCAGTCGAACCTATCTAAGCAGCCTCTTCATCATATGGCAACATTCCTTTATAATTAATACAAGCTTTTATCTCTATAATATTTAATGAGAAACTTTTAGTGACTTTAAAGAAGACAAATCAGATTATGCTTCAATAGAAAATATATATTTTTATTATTCAATTCACTAATATAATAATAAAATTTTGAGCACAGCAATGTTTCAAGTTAAATTATAAATTACTTTAACCGTTATATAAACTAGACTCTCTAATCACAACAACTCTTCACATTTATTGACTCCTCAATAGCTTTTTTCTCATAAACAGTAATTTAATGTATATGGTGCACTATTAAGACATGCTTAGAAGTGAAGAAATTTTAATAATAAAGTGTTTTCAAGTGGCACATTAGGCTCTGTACAGAATTTAGACAAAATGTCTGTGATTCTATGAAGCAAGCTGAAGTTTGCTAAGAAGTACTGTAACATTTAAAACCAATTTTCAAGTAAAATCCTATATACACCTTTCTTATATACCTCTAGGATATATGTACAAACATTATGTATTATATAATAACTAGCTTTCCGCCCGCGTGGAGCTCAGTTATATCGAGTTTCCAAGAAAACCTTTCAAAAGTGTGGGATAAAACTATCCTATGTTCTTTCTCAAGGTCAAGTCTATCTCTGTACCAAATTTCATTACAATCAGTTCAGTGCTTTAGGCGTGAAAGCGTAACAGACAGACAGACAGAGTTACTTTCGCATTTATAATATTAGAAGGGGTTATGACGTCATTCATGTCAATCTATCACTAATAGTACACAACCCTAAGGATTGTAAACAGAGGAACCGTCTATGACTGTGTACGGCCTGAGTTACTTCAATAGTGCTCTGTATATTCTCAACTTATACAAATAAACATTACGGTAAAGTAAACGTTTTTCTATCTGTTGATACACCTAGTGTATGGTACACCTAGTGTGGTAGTGTAGTGTCGATCCTTGATCCATGTTTGTATGTGTGATGTTAGAAGTGCGTGGTGAGGGGCTGCGGCGGCGGCGCCAGGCGCTCGTAGAACAGCATGTAGGCCGAGCAGCGGAGCACCTCCGCCAAGGAAACCTCGTGCACCAACGTGTCGGATGTGTACCACCATCTGGGAACGGTCAGGGTCACTGTACACTTACAACGAATACTATATACATACATACTACTATAAAATCCAATAACTAAATGAATACGCTGATTACGTCACAAGTCGCGTTGTAGCCGTGTGTCACAATCCAATTACATCGTGTAAATGTAAAAGCTTTTATAAAATACTAGCTGACCCGGCGAACTTCGTACCGCCTTATAATCAAGAAATATATGTTTATAAAAAATAGGGGTTGATCGTAGAGGGGTGAAAAATTTAGAGTAATATGAGATTTTTTATTGTAAGTCATCAAAAAATAAAAAAAAATTGCCAAAAAATTAAAGTATTTAATTAACAAATAAAAAAAGAAGGGTGGATCTCAGAGGGGTGAAAATTTAGGGTTGTATGTATTTTTGTAGGCTGTGTCATAAAAAAATAAAAACAACAAAATTTTGCCTAAAAAATAAAAACAAAAATTTAGGGGTGGACTACCCTTAACATTTAGGGGGATGAAAAATAGATGTTGGCCGTTGTTCTCAGCCCTGGTTAGTATCCTCGATAAGGATCACGAAAATCGGTCGAGCCGTTTCGGAGGAGTTCAAATTCGAACACCGTGACACGAGAATTTTATATATTAGATTATTTTACATTTAAATCTTTGCTTGCAGTCCCAAACAAGCATACTATTTTAATAGCATTATTTTACAAGTATATAAAATATTCATTCCCCCATTTTGTGTGGCCGCCATATTGGATCCAAGATGACGTCATATACGTACCCATTAACTGTTATTCAAACCAAAAGTGTATACAGACACTCAATTTAATCAGATCTTTTTTAACATATCCCTAAATATAAATCACAAGCTTCATAGTTATTATGGACCAAAAAATTTATTTTAAGTATCAATATTATAATTATTTTTTAGTATTCATCGGATATGTATAACAAGTACAAGTAACAGTTTACAACGCTAGGGGACCGGTAATAGATTTTTTTTAACACTAACATAAATTATACTTTGAAACAGAACCATATTCTAATTGAATAAATGATATATGTCTCTGTATGAGTGAGTGAGTGTGTGAGTGACGCACCGTTTGCTCTCGAAGCCGTTCCCCCTCCTGTAGGTGGCGAAGTGTCCGCTGCGAGGTCCCCCCACGTGCACCACCACCGCGCACAGACGGTAGAGGGCGCGGTCGTCGGTAGGGGGCGCCGCGTTCAGCACCGACAGACCGCCGCGGAGACGACCCTCGCTCAGCAGAGACGACAGCTCCGGCTACACACACACACACACATATATACACATACGGCACAAGGAAGCCTGTATAGTCCGTTAGACTTAAGCTGAGCTTTGCATTTGTGTGAGTGAAAGTAAAAGTAGAGTTAGACAAAAAACATTTAGAATCAAATTTTATTGTATTTTAAATAGATACATAACATAAGTGCTATAATATAAGCAAAACTTGTAATAGGCCATATGGAAATATTATGAAGATTATGGAAAAAAAAATTATTGATTAATAAAAATTTTTAAAAAATTATACAAATTCTTATTCACTTGACGTTGCGTTTTAACATTTGGTTTTGCTACCAGCACAAAAGGTGAAGTGAGGAACGTGCGGAGTGGAGTAAAAGCAGAAAAAACCGGTTCAAAACTAGAAAATCCGTGTGCACTCACACAAATGCAAAGCTCAGCTTAAATCAAACGCACTATACACCTTGTATAAATCATACTTGTGGTTTAGGAGCGGTGGTGTAGGGCGCCATGGGCAGCGTCTCGGGGAAGGCCACGTGGTCGGCTCGCTTGGCCGGAGCACCGCAGCGCCACTCCACACGCGCTACCTGCAGCACCAGGCAGGCCGGCAACTGGGACAAGGGGACGAACAACGATACAGATTATATACATACATATGTACATAGGGGCTTCAAGTATTACGTAAGCACTATGGAGGGGCGGGGGGTCTTTGCTTTAATTATTTTGGATGACATGGGGGGTAGGGGAGTCTAGGTGATGATTACTAAGATCCATAAAAAATATAATTATAATATTTTTCTGGATTTATATATTTTAAAAAACAAATAATTAAAAATGTTTACGTAAGCATTTATACAGGGTGACTGGTGAATTACTATCGATACTTGAGGACGTGATATTTGACGATCATATATGACAAAATAAAAATTAATATAACATAAATATTAATAAACTTCTAAGTAAAGTTAACCAAAAGTTATGTAATTAATTACGCATCGTGTGAACACCCTACAGATTTGGTATACACACACACACACACAAACGCGTGCGGCGGCTTGGTGTTGTATCAGCAGGCCGCCGCACGCGTCCACACTAGGAACACTTGGAACGTGTCCACACTTTATTTATTTATACGGAAATTTGGTCAAAAATTAAGTACCTATTTTTTTTACATAATTCGAATGAGAATCATGTACCGAGTATTCTCCTTAAATATTGATAGTAATTCCAGTCACCCTGTATAATAAGCATATTATATAACGTTATACGTTATATAATAACATTTTTGAAGAAATAAATGCTTTAGACATATGCTACGACAATTTGGTACAATATAGGAAAAAAATTTTGACCTTTTTAAAATAATACATTTATAATGCTTGCGCTATTATTATAATTATAATTTCTATTAAACATGGATCTATTTGTCATGAATTAATTAATGATATTTTTTGTAGACATTTATGAATATTCAAATATATATGTACATATATTATATATTTCCTTCTTAATTGATTTTAGTATAACACATAATGCATTTTTTTTAATTTAATTCTGTGATATTTTAAGTTTGAATTATATTGAAATGTTAAATTGTATTTTCTGTAATAATGTCATTAGTTATGTCAATTTTAGTGATTATTATGTAATGTTTTATTAAATTTATTATTATTGTTTTTAATTTAAATCTTGATTTACTACAATTATAATATTTTGCAAGATGTGATAGCCTATAATTAAAAAGATATTTAAGTTATTATTAATAGTTTGATTATGAAATTAATGTAATAATGTTTTCTTTTGTTGGTTATCCAAATAAAATAAAATAAAAATAAAATAAGCATTGCTTACTTTTGCTGACAAGGGGGATGGGGGGGGGGGTAAATAAATGTAATAAATCTGCTTACGTAATACTTGAACGACCCCATATGTTAAGATAATATTATTAATATTAAAAGAAATTTAACGTTAATAATTACAAAATATTTGTTGACTAAATTTAACTGTTAAAATTAAAATTCCCCAGTGAGGCTGGTCTGAGTTTGACGGAACTTATGCAGCTAAATAACAATTACTTGAAAATTAGTAATCAACTTCATAAAGTAGGAAGGTATCAATATGCATTATGCATATAGCGTTATTTCTTCGATGATGGTCTGATTTTCAATTTATTATAATGTTTCGGAGAGAAACTGCCTGAAATAGTCCTATTGTTACCAAGAAAGGATCTGATTTATATGACAATGAAAAATTGCATGACTCTATAAGTATATGACGACCCTCGTCTAGGCCACGTTACCTTCCCAAAGCCGACCGTCCGTATGTGCTTGGTGTACGCGTGTTGTGTGGCGGGCGAGGCCGCTCCCTGCTGGTCTCCTCCCCCGCAGCACTTGTCACACCTCACGCCCGACACCATCTCCGGGGCCGTGAACGCTCGCAGCAGACCTGACACACACACACACACACACGTGACGTCATCAACTACACCACGAACACCAACACAACACACACATGTACACACCGGACAAGCTGAACCCGCCGGTCAGGCCCGTGCTGGCGTTGGCCATCGACAGAGATATACTGTCGAACTTGTCGTACCTCACCGGGCTCTGCAACACACACACGTTACATCATACACAGATACATGGGCAGCTGGGTTCAGTATGAGTGTAAGGGTACCTTAGTGGAGCAGACGGTGCAGTGCGTGCGGGTGGCAAGGGTGCCGCGGGTGGGGGGCTGCGGCGCGGGGCGGGAGGGTGCCGCCGCCCAGCGACGACCCACCGAGCTGAGGTGACAGAACGAGCGAGACACACCCTTACACAGGCGGGCCGGGGGGTCGCACGGGTCTGACAGAGAATAAAACAACGACACTATTAGGAACTGGCTAATGGTATCATTACATAAAACATTAATAATCACTCAAAGAACGTCACGGGTCGTTACTATCTGTTAGTAATATGAGATAGACCTGGGTCTTGAAGGTCAGGCTCCCCGCCAGGAGCGGCGGAGGCCGGGCGGGCGGGCCGGGGCGGGGCGCCGTCATCCCTCAGAGACAGGGGCGCAGCAGGCGGGGAGGCAGGGGACGCCAGGGCTGACCAGGCACGACCACCGCCCAGACCCAGCGCATCGGAGAGACAGCCCGGCTGAAGAATTGTCAAATGTATATTAATATATATTATGTTCATTGACTTCATTATTCATTAACTTCGACATACAACATTATCTGCTTGTGAGTCGGCCTCACTCAACCGTATGAAACAATCTTTCCCCCTGATGCCACTAGTGATCATTCTTATAGGAGCAATAAAGTTTCTGACAATCCTTAACATAATGTGATTTATATTTACTATTTCATTTCCCAACTGTTGATAGTGAATTAATAACCCTCAAAGACTTTTTTTATAAAAAATAATTTATTAAACTGTTATAGATGCTAATATATGTATCACTATATACAAGTGTTTACAATTTCTCCTGAGTGAATTTATTAAAAATTATACATAATTTTTGGTAATTCTGAGAAGTGCTCATAAATAGTCCTACAAGTTACAACAATATATTTTTCATGTCACAAGCATTTTTGTCAAAGCACTTTATAACCTACATTGTAACTTTCTCTTTAAAACCCAAGAAACAACTCAAGTAGACAAAATTTACATTAAATAGCTAGTATATACTATAAATAAGATTTTTTTTTTTATAAATAAATCCATCAATTAAAAATTTTTACTTTTAGATTACAAAGAAATATTCTAATCAATTGTCAACCTTACCTTCTTAGACATAGCGGTTGTTTCCTCTTCAATGCATGATAACAGTACATGTAACAGCTCATGAGCATCTTGCTGGTCGGCCGGCACCACCCAGCCGGCCGCTCGCAGAGACTGGAGCACCCCCAGAGGACAGACAGGGGTCCCACGGGCCGACTCGTGGGTACCATTCACCACTGATATAGAAATACATACAAAATACATTATATAATAAGTTATATCTTGGAAATGATTCCACTACAATATAAATTCTCTATATATGCATGTACCATTTCAATCATATCACTCAAAAATATCACAATAATAGACATATATGTATATATATACAAGGTTCTCAATTTACAAGATAGTTCAAAAAACCAAGTTATTACATTATTTTTAATATACATATATTTCAATAGGTGTGTTTTTATTAAAATGTTTTGAAACATCAACATATTCATTACTAATGACAAAAAGCTCACTTGATATTGGATTTTTAAGATGAATATAAATATTTTGTTTTATTTACATTGGTTTGTAAAATTTCTTTACTTTTATCTCTCTACAAATATTGGATGTCTTCAGTTAATGCAAATTCAGTGATAATTATAACTTATCATCTTGAATTTGTCCATTGGTTTATACAGAGTGTAATGCAATTGCTATTTTCTCTAGCTTTAGAAAGAAGTTCATATAACAATAACACCTTATTTCAAAAATTATTATAGTTTAACATCTATTGTAGTTCTAAATACACTGATTAATGAAGAAAGCCAACTGTTTATCTTCTTATGTTGATGTATTTTTGTTTACTGTTATAAAAAAAATACAAAATTATGGTTGTACACTATTAACAATTTCTAAATGCAGTACCCTTATATAATTAGTATAAATAAAATTCTTTTAGTATTAAACTTTTTTAATGTCTAATTTACTATGAAATCGATACTCATGTTGCAGTCTATTAAGGAGAATCTTATCTAAATTCTCTTTTACAATAATTTTATGTAATGAATTCGTGTACCTTCAATTACAGTGTAGAGAGTAGTAATCATACTGTTATGACCATCGGCCTTTGCATATTTTTTCAGCCAGTCTATAAAAGTAGGACAGGCAGCCAATGCTTGCAATAATGTGTTTAGAAAGCAAGTTCTTCCTAAATTCTGAAGTCCAGCGATCTGTCCTCGGCGCTTACGAACTTTGGGAGCTCCTCCGGGACCCCATAATACGAATGCTCCAACCACCACTGCCGCAGTTAGACCAGCGGCCACAAGAATCCTATCGCCACCGTCCATTGTGTCTTTACAATTTGCACTTAATTTATTTAAGACACATTTTCACCACTTACTTTTATGGTAACATAATACATCACAATGTGTTTAGAAATATTAGGTTTGTATTAGAAAATTATGATTCCACTCGTGACATTTCATATGACAGGGGATTACTCTTGCCATATACAATTAATATAATTTTTGAACGGAAAATTCAAATAATACTTTTGTTCAAACTTAATTATATATAACTACATATTTTATTTCTATCAAAAAGGATGAAGAAGGAAAAATTAAGATTTATATTATATTTTTCAACTTTCAATTAAAAACAAGTTAATTTGTATGAACGATTATCGACTTTTGTATAAAAATTGACATAAATAGTGTCAAAGTCATTTGTTATCCCACATGCAAATCACTAGTGTGTGCGATTTGTAAACAAACATTTTTTTAGACACAATATACTACTAAATGAAGTCTAATCAGATATTATGAGATTTGACCGTGTTATGCTCCAGTATACACTCTACCGCTGACATATAGGTTCATGTTAAGACTGAAGTCAATATTTTAAATAATGTGGCGGTGGTAAAACTATTTACAAACATAGTGAGAATAATATAATGATACCTTCAAACACCATTTGTGTATCTCAGGAGGGTCCAGCGAATGCCTTAGCACTTAATAAAGATTGTACACAAGTCGTAATCGCTGGCAGGAATGGTAAGATTGGGCATTGATGAACTATTCTAAAATATTAGTATTCTAAATTGAATGTTTTTGTTTTACAGTATTCAAAGTATTTTCGATTGGTGAAAATGAATTTTCCGAAGTATGCAACCTACGGGTAGGCAAGAATTTAAACTTAAATTTCTCATCCATTGATGTAGCATGGAGTACTATTGAAGGTAACATAAAACAGTTTATTGAATGAAACATAATACTTAAATACTTTAAACACTTAGTTCATGAGGTCTGTATTGTTTCTGCAGAGAACACATTAGCTACAGCAGCAACCAATGGAGCTGTGGTTGTGTGGAACCTGGGCAGGTCGGGAAGGTCCAAGCAGGAGCATGTGTTCTCAGACCACAAGAGAACCGTCAACAAGGTTCTTAGTTATATTATTCATATAAAATACAGTTATGCTTATGTTATATTTATAATTTATTGTATGTATCATCAGGTCAGCTTCCACCTGACAGAGCCGTCTCTTCTCATATCAGGCTCCCAGGATGGCATGATGAAGTACTTCGACCTCCGCATGAAGGAGGTAGCTAGAACTTTCATAAGGTAACCTTGGAATACTGGCTGGATGGGTTACTATGAGTGATTTATATCGAGTAATGAGTAACATGTATTTCAGTAACACCGAGTCTATCCGTGACGTTCAGTTCAGTCCTCACGCGGCGCACGTGTTCGCAGCGGTGTCGGAGAACGGCACAGTTCAGCTGTGGGACGCTCGCAGACATGAACGAGCCATGCATCAGTTCACAGCGCATTCAGGGCCTGTGTTTGCCTGTGACTGGCATCCTGACGTGCCGTGGCTGGCCACCGCCTCCAGGGATAAGACCATCAAGGTAGATTGATAGAAGTAGTACCAGAAAACTCTTAACTATCTTTGCTAGGAGTTTGGATGGTCAAACTATTACAGGCAGTTTCCAGACTTTTGTGTGAGAATATCTACATATGAACATCTGGGTACTGTTCAGTCTGTTGATACATACTCTCTTCTAGAGTAGAGTTCTTCATGAAAAACTATTGATTTATCTACTCTTATATCAACATTAGGTAGTAGTTTTGCGTTTATATGAATAATGATGTCATGTCATACAATAAGCGATGTGTTTAATACATAGTCTGGGTCACAACATTTCAATACACACGTGTGTCGTTATCAACCGTCGAGTACCTCGAGGTCGAGTCGTGATCTGCGCGTGTTGTGTCTGGATTACTTTATTATCTAAAAATAATGCAATTCGTCTAATATAAATGGCCTGTATTATGTTTTAGCAGAGTGTCCTATATTTTAGTTAACCTACGAATAATAACAAATGTACCTACATAATATACTTTCAATTGTACATTATGATTAATTAATTATTATTTGTAACAAAGTTCCAATTATATTGTATATTATTGGAACTGTGTAAAAAAACAAGATATGTTTATCGGTCTTAGTTCCTATTTGAATATTTGTATCTAAATATATATATTGATAGATAATTTTCGTGAAGCATTCGAGGTCATCGACTCACATATTGTTTGATATCATAATCACCTGTCACAGGATCCATCTCGGCCATTAATTTAATACTCTATAGTGTATTATTCACTACTCTGATCGTTTCATGCAGGTGTGGGACATCCACGCTCGGCCCAACCTGGAGCACACTATATACACCATCGCATCAGTGGGACACGTCAAGTGGAGACCGCAGAGGAAGTATGCTGACCGCCTCCTTTCTATCTAGTATGATATCTTCCGTCAGATACATGTCTATAGCGTCTGTTCCTCCGCAGGTTCCAGGTGGCGTCGTGTGCCCTGGTGCTGGACTGCGCGGTCCACGTGTGGGATGTGAGGAGGCCGCACGTGCCGCTGGCCACGTTCGCGGAACACCGTGACGTCACCACCGCCATCGCCTGGCAGGCCACGCCGCACGCCTTCCTCTCCACCAGCCGGGTACGTTCTCTTTATATAAGAATGTGTGAATGGTTCTCATGAGGTAACATCGTGTGTCACGTACAGGACTGCAGCCTGTACCGCCACAAGTTCAGCGAGGCGGCCCATCCGGTGCTGTGGGCCAACCCCCAGGCGGTGTGTGTATCGGCTCGCGGTCAGCTGGCCAGCGCTCTCCCGGACGCCCCCCTCCCCCGACCGCGGACCTGCGCCCCCGAGAGACTCGTGCCCGGCCTCGGGTCAGTGTCTCAATAGCTGCATATTTATTCTTCACCCAAACGCATGTCCCTGACGATAGTTCGCCTCCCTCAGTCGTAAGCAGCCCACGGCAGGATCGCTAAGTGCATCTGCGCAGGCGGCCTTAGAGCGCGCGTTCCCGGGCAGCGCGTCCTCCTCCCTGGCCCGTCACAGTCCCGTGTCCTCCCAGGAGCAGCCGGTGTTGTCGTGCGCACACCTGTACCGTATCCGCGGCCAGCCGCCTCATATTCTGGCCGAGCACAACGCGAAGGTCGCGCGTGATCACCAACGATACATGGTCAGTGGAGCCCACTTTACTCGTCTTCCATAGAGTTGTTTGTGTGTCTGTAACTCGTGTGTCCCAGGTGAGTCACGTATGGGAGGTGGTCCGCAGCGTGTACAGCGCCCGCGCCGTCCGCAGCGCCCCCGCCCCGCCGCCGCCCCGCGCCCCGCCACCCGTCGAAGACACGCCGCCCCTGCCACCGTACAGGTACCCGGGGGAACCATGATAAATAAATAAAAAAATTCTTTATTTCTTTTGTACTTCAAATTTGTACTTAAATATAAAGATATTGGAGTCTCCTTTAAAGCATATGAAAAGCGTGCCAGGAAACTCCGCTCTTCCATATCACGAATTAGGTACAAGTATTAAAGATATTTAAGTTACAACAATAATAAAGAAACAATATAAAAAAGTAATAATAAGATAAGTAATTACCAAAAAGAAAGCAAATGTGAGGCTAAAATGTATGTGTATGCATGTGCATTTTTGTGTGCGCGTGCGCATTTGTGTGTGTATGTATGTGTTGTATGTGTATGTTGGTGTGTGTAGGATATAAATGCTAGTTCCTATATTCTAAAAAAAATCCGTTTATTGAAAACTTAAAGATTTATTAATTAATTTAACCATGAATATATCTTCATGCCGTAACCTGTTCCTTATACTTAAACTTTTGTTCCTCAGCGCCGTCGAAGAGGAACCTCTCGAGGAAGTCGAGGAGTGGGAGAACCGTCTGCACCAGCACAGCGGCGTGCTAGGACTACCGACACATGCTGTTTATATACCGCCGGCCAAATACGCCAGGGAAGGTACGAGCGACGAACACTCGACTCCCGAATTAATATGAAGGAACGTTATCTAATGTGGTTAATTACTGGGTTTGAAAAGAAACGTCTTTATAGCTTTAAGTCGTATTTAATAATATTAGAAGATTTTAACATAACATAATGAAAGCTTGGGCCAATGGGCGGTCCACCATATTTGGATGTATACATGAGATATTTTATAAAGGAGTCTTTACACTACACTTAATTCTATAATATAACATACACACTATATTTATTAAACTTCACCTCCAGGGGTGAAAGAAAAACAAATGGGATTACACATATTTTTTGTATACTACTTAACAAAAAGTTTTGTTCTATTCTTATGTACTATGTCTATTCTATTATCTTTAATTATTTTAACATTTAATCCCATATCTTCTAATACAGTAAACGGTACATTGAACAGTTCATCTAATTTTCCATTTGTTTCTGATTTTACTAAAATTAAATCATCTTTATTGTAAACGACAGGATTAACATACTTATCATGTTTAGTTTTTCTATAATATTTCCTATGTAACAAATTATTTCGGGCATCTTTATAAGCAACTTGGAATCTATATTTAAGTTCATTAACATAACGTTCTGGATTATACATAGGTTCTACTGTATTATATAATCGATTAGGGATATAACATTGTCTACCAAATACAAGTTACAGTGTGATGTTGACAGGAGAGAACGGCGGCTGGGTGTCGGCGGCGTCGGCTCACTACGTGGACGTGGAGGCGGCGGACTGGACCCTCCCGGACGAGGCCTTCCCTCTGAGGGCCCCGCCCGCACCCCCCGCACCCCCGCCAGCAGCCTCGCACACGAGACCCAACGAACACGAACATGACACAGGTCGGGCTACACGCATTCACACTACAGAGTGCAAGTGACTTTATTGTGACTCTTTTTTTATTTTATTTAAGATCCACCAGTGATAATCACATTAATACAATATTGGATAAAAAGAAATACAGTGTAGCTTAATTCTAAATGTATTATCTTTTAAGGCAGATACAGCATACAAAAATTAGGCAGTTTATAAATCATTTATTACATAGTATTAAAAACGTATTAACTTATTCGTAAAAATTATTATCTCTATATATAAAAATTAGGTAACAGATGGTTTGTTATATTAAAAATTAGTTCATTACCTATATTTTGTTTATGTAAAAATTATTTATTTAATTTATAGCTGAACAAAAACTTGAAAAACAAAACAAAAACAAAAAAATGAAATGTTTTGAGTGAGTCCCTAAAAGGGTCTAAATGTTTACAACTATCATTTAGAATTTTAAACATTCTGGAAATTGGTGAGTTATTGCCCAAAACAGTTTTTCGAAAAGGTCTTGTAAGAGGATTAATTGTTTTGCGTGGATATCTAGAGGGAACATTAAATTTAATCTTAGACACTAAATCTGGATTATCATAGATATTGTTAAGGCTTTTATTTAAAAACATCAAATCCAACAAGTCTCTTCTTTGGCTCAAGCTATATATATTAAAAAATGCTAGCCTTTCATTATACGAAGAAAGTTTTGGTTATGTTTATTTTATTATGTTTGTTTATGTCTGTCTTTCATTACGAAGTTCTAATACTTTTGTTACTCTACAGAGTCAGTGGTGGCAGGAGGCCCGGTCGTCACCGGACCTGCGGGTCCCTCGTCCCCCGGCTCCTCGGGCTCCGGCACGGGCTCCAGTCGACACGACGGACTACAGCGGTCGAGCAGTCAGAACTGTGGCAGCTCCGTGAGTAACTGACAATCAGTTTGATACATCTGACAACATACGTCTGTTTGAGTATACACGCTTGAACGTTTCAGGAGGGAGAGGGGGGCGAGGGCGGGGAGGGCGTGGAGGGCGGGGCGCTGTGTGTGCGGGAGGGGGCGGGCCGGGGCGCCGGGCGAGCGGCCCTCGACCCCGCGCCGCTGCTGGCCCTGGCGCTGCGCCTGCACGCGGACCTCGGGGACGTACAGACGGCTGCCGTGGTCTGCCTGGCGCTACAGGACCACCGGTGAGTGACCGCAATACACCCTCTTAGAGTGATTTTTTATTTTTACTTTATTGGGAAACAAACAGTAACAAAACCAATCAACTGAAATAATACATACAATAATACAAAAACCGAACCAAGTTTCCTCCGATTACAAGTTCATTTGGAGCAAAGAAGAATAAAACGTCCAAACACACGTTGGCCAAAATTTAATATAACAGATTAAAATTAACATACAAAAATTGATGACATTGAGCAAAAATAATAATATGATCAATGAAAATTAAGACAATTATTAAAAAAATAAATATATAAATCATGAGATTAATATAAATAAATAAAAAAATAATAATAATAATTTAAAAATAAATTAATTACAATTTACAGGCATTACTAATTTCTTTTCTTAATTTATTTTTTGTACACATTCTAAAATCTATACTGGAAAAACATTTATAATATTAATTGTGGCACAGGCACGGAAAATAAAAGTATTTTGAGCATATTTGGTTTTTGTGATAGGTAAATGAAAAAGGGACTGATGACGCGTATAAATTTCAGGACATCTAAAGCATATATTTTTTAACAGGTAGGGTGAATCTACAAAATTTTGAAGTATCTTAAATAAAAACAATTGATCTCTTTCCATGCGACGGTATTCTAAAGACGGAATGTGTGAAATATCTTGATTATGTGGCAAAAACTTATAACTAAAATGTTTAATAAATTTGCGTTGAATATTTTCTAATTGCATAATATGGCATTTATAAAAGGGATTCCAAGCAGTTGAACAGTATTCGAGGATCGATCTAACAAACGAATTATATAAAAGTATTAAAGTATTTGCGTTTTTAAAATCCCTATCTACTCTTAAGACAAATCAAACAGACAAACAAAGGATTCGGAAAGCTTTAGCTGTAACGTAATTAATGTGGGACTTAAAAGTTAGTTTACTATCAATGTAAATACCCTCATCATCTCAAAATTGCAAAACAGATAAAAAACCAACATGATGCTTGCATACTACAGCAGGAACTGAATGTTTTATCTGATTGATGTGGAAGAAACGGTTTGACACTCAATACAGATAAATGTAAATACATAAGATTCTCGCGTAAAAGTCATCCAAACTCGCAGATTTATAAAATTAACAATAAACCATTAAAAGAGGTGGATTATATCAAAGTTTTGGGTGTTGTTTTTGATAGTAAGATTAAATTCCACACTCATATCGACAAAATATCTAGATTAATATTTAGATAACAATATTTTGTTATCTAAAAAAAAAGTTTCATTTTATTTATTTTTAATTTTTTAATTGTTTAATAATAAGTTGGTAATTTGTTATTGTCTTTTGTAATTTACATTTTATATTGTATAATTATTGGTAGTATTTTTTGTTTCCCCTTTTGTATAATTGAAGTAGAAAAAAAAAGTTGTGTTAGGTTAATAGAAAATACTGTCCTTTTCCATGCCGTGGTAACTTTTAATTGAAACAACACTTAGCTAAAAATGTTTACTTTATTTTTAAAACCTATAAATGGTGTATGTTTTGTAAGTTGTCCTTATACATATAAATAAATATATAAATAATTGAAGTTAATATCTTTAGTTTTAAGAGTGAAAGAGATAACATTACATTTCTTTACATTTAAACACAAATAGTTGTCTCAGCGATACTTACATAATTTGTGTAGGTCATTATGTAGGAGTATGCAATCAGAAGTTTGAGTTAGTCTGATCCGAGTGTCCCCCAGGAGCGACCTGTTCCCGTACATCGAGGAGAGCCTGCAGGAGCAGTGGCTGCTGGGCTACATCGAGCTGCTGCAGCGACACAAGCTGTACAACGCGGCCACCGAGGTGATCCGCTGCTCGTGGGTCAGCGGCGTGTGGTCCCTGTCGCAGCAGTCCACCAGCGTGGCGGCGTGCTGTGCGCGCTGCGGCCGCCGCACACGGCCGCGCGCCGCCTGTGACTGTTCGCCGCGTGCGCCGCCCGACCTGTGCGCCGTGTGCCACCAGTGCGTGCGCGGCCTGTACGCCTGGTGCCAGGGCTGCGCGCACGGCGGACACCTGCGGCACGTGCAGGCCTGGCTCAAGGACCACCAGCTGTGCCCGGCCGGCTGCGGACACGCCTGCCAGCTCGCATGACCTCGTCCCTATAGTGAGCGGTTCTATTTTATCTATGAATGGATTCATTAGTTTGATAGTTTTGTTGTTTTCATTTTTTTTTTGTGGTTTGTTTTTAAACACTGCACTGTACTGTCGATTATCAACTATACTCCAGCCACATTCGATCTGGAATTTTAGTAAACAAACCATGAGTCATCATAATTAGGGTTGATACACTCTTAATAAAAAATAATAATTATTATAATTACAACCATATTCATTATAACATAATTTCCTGTTTAAACACAAAAAAAATAATTTATATAGAATCCAAAAAAATATTTAGCCGGTCAATACATAATAATTTATATGAAAATTAGCTTAAAATAATAGTTTAAAAATCTTTAATTACCACTATAACATTACTACAAAACTAACAACACTATATTTTAAAAGTGACGTAAAGAAATCGTAGGTTCGTAACATTTGGAATGTTTTATAAAAGGTATATAATAGCGATACAGGCTCTTTGTAATTGGTGGTGTATATTTTTAGTCGTATTATAATGGTAGTATAACCACAACAGGTTGAGAATGTTAACTAACATACACACAACGTTTCATTACACACGGATTTAAAAAAAGACATCTTGTTTTGGCTAGTATAATTAATATAGCACTATAATCACTGTTTCAACGACATATATTTACATTTTCTTCCAATATAAATTTTATTGCGGTTACATTTTAATATTTAAAAAAATATTTTTTTAACGCAAATAAAGTTAAACGAAACGTAACTACGTAATTTTGTTGCATTATACGCCCGCCATAATGTTTGTTTTGTTTTGTTGTTAGCTTATGCTTACAATTCGCGAGTGTTTTGATTCTGGTATTCTTCCGTTTAATTAATTGTTAGATTTTGTTATCGTTATTTTGTTTTAATTCGTTATTGTTATAAGTATGTTGTTATCTAATATTGTTTGTATTAGATTACGATGAGTAATAACTAATACTGAATAACCTTGTTTTAGTGGGATTGTATCTGTAGCTGAATTTAAATATACACAAAATTTAATTTAAATGAGTCCTGTCGTTTGGGAGGCGATAGATAAAGTTAATAAAGCGAATTATACAGGGTGACTGGTGAATTACTATCAATATTTAAGGAGCATACTCGGTACATGATTCTCATTCGAATTATGTAAAAAAAATAGGTACTTAATTTTTGACAAAATTTCCGTATAAATAAATAAAGTGTGTACACGTTCCAAGTGTTCCAAGTGTGGACGCGTGCGGCGGCGTGCTGATACAACACTACGCCGCCGCCGCGTCTGTGTGAGTGTGTGTGTGTATACCTAATCTGTAGGGTGTTCATACGATGCGTAATTAATTACATAACTTTTGGTTAACTTTACTTAGAAGTTTATTAATATTTATGTTATATTAATTTTTATTTTGTCATATATGATCGTCAAATATCACGTCCTTCAATATCGATAGTAATTCACCAGTCACCCTGTATAACTACGAGGTAATTTCTGATATAATTTTAAAATTGGAGGTATTATTTTTGGGATCTATATTCCAGATGATCATAAGTATTATAATTATAACCAAGAATTAGTCCTTTGTCTTAAATATTTTATTATTAATCATCAATTTTAATTTTTATTAACATCAAAAATAATTGTTGTACATATTTCTAAAAATGTTTTGAGCATCTGCCTGACGCTGGTTGCTAAGCAATACTTTGTTATTAAACATTCCACATCGAATTTGGCTGGAGTATAGGTCTATTACCAAACGAAACAAACATGTTAAGCTCCAGTTGACACCATAATCTGATAAATAGCATCATGCATAGGGTTACTATAGCCAGTACATTGAGAGTAATGACATGACCTTTTAAAGGCTGTTTCAACAATTTGGAAGACCACTTTGTTCCACGCCCTAGTGTGGAGCTTTATGTGCCACCATAGACTAATATAGTTTTACTGAATATATAAATTACACCATACATGTTGAAGTCACGTTCAAATTTATTAAAAGACACTATAACATTACAATGATACACCTACACACTGTGACCTTCACTCATACAACTTCCCCACCTGACTGGTTCGTCTTTTATTTTTTTTAATGATGTTCTTGATTCTTGTTTATAGCTTAAGAGCCCGTGAACGGATACCTGTATGTATTTGACCAGACCTGGGCTTGTGCACGTTGAGACCCCTTTACCTACCGTACATGAGATGGGGACTCACTGAGCCCTAAGTGGTGGACGCGGCTAGTGAACAGGTAGGACAGGTATCGAGTTTTGGCTATCATTAATGCATTTGACCACGTCTGCCGTTTTGATATTTGAAAATATATTATTATTATTAGTGGAAAAAAAACAATGGCAGACCACTATCACGCGTTTAACATTGTGGCAGACGATTTTGAGAATGTAAAAAAAAATATTTGAAAGTAATTGACCAGATCTGCCATCAATATATTTTATTTATTAGTCTTAAAAACTTATATTGTGAATGGCAGACTTATTCATTGCGGATAAACATCAGCACATAAAAATCTGAGATACACTACCCGGTCAGATGTTTACATATTACTATAACAGTTTTACATGAATATAATTTACTTAATCACTGTATTTAATGAATTTAATATATTCCATGTAGTCTACATACTAAACTTTTAAAGTTAAGCGATAAAGAAGGAAATACATAACGAAAAAATGTTAAATATTAAAGTTAACAACAACTAAGATGCTAAGAACAATGAATAATTATAATTTGTATTTAATTTTCAAATTTATTTATTAAATACAAAATTTAAACGTTAGATAACAAAAAACCATTATTGATGCATTACGAAATCAATACATAAGTATATGTATTGACTAGCCATGCCGCGACTTCGTCTGCGTGGAATAGTGACTTCCAGCAGATTTTTGGTTCTTCCCACATAGTTCCCGTTCTTGCGGGGTTTTCGGAATGGTCGAGTTCCCGTAGAATTTTCAGGATAAAACCTATGTTTTTTTTATTCACAATGAAGTATTCTTAACCAACAACATATTTATTTGTTTATTTGAAAAAAGGATAATATTATTATGTTGATACAACTTAAACAAATTATTTCGACCAAATTAGGTACCATAAAAACGGTTTTTGTGAGTTAATCTTAAAAGATAGACATATAATGTCGCGGACTGGTTTTTAGATCGTTAAAAAAACTATTATTCTTTAATACATATTTTTTGTGTATCTTGAACCGTTTTCACGGCGCACGCAACGGAAGGCTTTAAAGATGAAATAATTTCTCCCGTTTTTTACACATTTACCACTATATCTTTGCTCCTATTGGTCGTAGCGTGATGTTATATAGCCCACAGCCTTCCTCGATAACTGGACTATCCAACACAAAAAGAATTATTCAATTCGAACCAGTAGTTTCGCAGATTAGCGCTTTCAAACAAACAAACAAACAAACAAACTCTTCAGCTTTATAATATTAGTATAGATTGTAAATATTAAAGTTGCATCTGAGCCTTCACTCAGTTCTTTGAACATATCGAGATACTCTTTATGTAAATATGAAAAAAAAATAACAACGTCCCCGCTTTATAACATTTTCTTCAAGTAAATTACAAATTTCTTTATAAACAGTTTCATGTATTTCTCGAGATATGCGCCATGAAGTACGGACAGGACTTTTCACCAATGATCGTTTTTGATTCCTGAAATTTTGTCGATAAATATCATGGTAATGTACTTTACGAGAGGAAAAATTTCGTATTTTTGTCTGAAGGTTTTATTGTAAATTTCAGTATCTGGTTTCAATAGTGATAAGATGCTTATTTGAAATTGATCTTTGCTTGAAATACGCAATGGCTCTTTTTTAGACTTGAACTGCTTTTTTTATGCAAAAAAAAAAAACAAAAATTCCGGTTTGCTGAGGCCGCGGTATCAGAAGTCTGAACCGTTGATGATTCTGTGGAATCTTCCAATGGTCTTACTACTTGGCTGTACTACTTCGGCGTCAATATTTTTTTTACAACTTCATTTGCCACAGAAATAAACACGTCACTGAAAATAGAATCTTGTACCATGTTGTCATCAACTATTGGGCTATCAGCTGATGTTGATGTTGTTCAGTTACAGACGAGTACGTACTCTGTAATGGAACTTTTTTATTGGTATCCGTTGAAAAATTTTTTCAAGCTTTAAACGTCTTGTAACAACTGCTATGATATCCTGAATCGAAAATTTCATTCGGTAAATTTATACCATTGAACTTTAAGTTATGAAATTTTTGTAAGCTAAAAAATTTTGACATTTCGCCATAGTCTCTTCCGAAAATATTGATAATTTTACACTTTTTGACGTGATTTTTATTTTTCATCCGCCATAATCTCAATTATATTAAATAGATAATAATCAAATTAACAAAATAAAATAAAGCAACACTATTTATTTTATAAAATTCACAAAACACGAGGCATCTGTGTGAAGGTTGGCAAATAAACTATGAACATCTGACAAAAACCGATAGGGTACTAAGGCTAACATGTGGAGAAAGAAAAAAGATAGCTATATGTATACATCTGACCGGGTAATGTATCTCAGATTTTTTTATGTGCTGATGTTTATCCGCTATGAATAAGTCTGCCATTCACAATATAAGTTTTAAGACTGTAATAAATAAAATATATTGATGGCAGATCTGGTCAATTACTTTCAAAAAAAAAAATTTAACATTCTCAAAATCGTCTGCCACAATGTTAAACGCGTGATAATGGTCTGCCTGTTTTTTTCTTTAATAATAATAATAATATATTTTCAAATATCAAAACGGCAGACGTGGTCAAATGCATTTATAGAAAGCCAAAACTCGATACCTGTCCTACCTGCGCACTAGCCGCGTCCACCACTTTGGGCTTAGTGAGTCCTCATCTCATGTACGGTAGGTAAAGGGTCTCAACGTGCACAAGCCCAAGTCTGGTCAAATACATACAGGTATCCGTTCACTGGCTCTTAAGCTATTATTTCATTAATACAATTAATTTATTTTTTATTAGGTAAGGAAGGCACTCGACAACAATGGACGATAACTAACGAAATAACTTTTAAAATATTAATCATGACGACATATTTTTCATATACTGTTGACTGTTGAGGTTGAACTGGGCTGGGACAATCGGTGTAAAAAATATATTGAATTAATATACTATGTAACATATACTGACCATAAAAAATGTTGTTAATTGTTTAAGTTAAAGTGGGTGAACATATAATATATACATATTGTAAATAAAACAAATAAATCATATTCATGTTTTTATTTATCAACTTATACAAATGTGGGTGTTGCTTGTGAGTCACGGAATATTGTCACTAGCAAACATTATTCATATCAAATTTAAAAAATCTTACAATGTCCAGTATGAGACCCATGTTCCTTGAAGATTTAACTTTGATCGGTAAATTACAATTTCATTATACAACAGACAAATATCAAATAACAAAATAATCGCGTTATATATTGAGCAACCAAGTCGTAACGGTTATCGGGCAGTGTGATTGTGTGTCGTCTGGAGGTTTAATTAGAGCAGGCGGCAGCAGGGGGCGCAGGGCGGCGGGGGGGCCGGCCGGGCCTCCGCCGGGGGCCGCTTGGCGTCGCTGAGCGCGCGGGTCAGCGAGAGGAAGGCCTGGGGGACCGAGCACTCACCACACCACGGAACACGGCTCACAACAAGAGCGGTACAAATATTACGTGGGACTTTAGTGAGGAAACACAGTCCCTGTACTTGGTTGTTTTTTAATTCGGTACAAAAAGACTTTAACCCTACGTTATAAAGCGATGCTCTCTAGTTATACTCTATGTGTTTGTGTTCCTAGCTGGTCTATGACAGATTCATTAAAAAAAATTATTTTAATCTTATGTTAGATATTTATCGTATCGCATTAACAAAAATCGTTTTTTCTCATTACGATATAACTATTTTTCTCTAATAAGTGTTTTTTCGACAGACAGACAAACAAACACTGACACAATACATAGTAATGTAACACATATCGCTACATGTATATATTTAATATATGTATATATAATAATATGTGATAGTGACGCCCGAGCTCGCGGGAGTCACATTAATATTTCACCGTTTCAAACTAATCCAGTTTATTTTATAATAATAATATTTAATATACATCATACATTGAAACACTTCTTCACGAAGCGATTCTTACAAATTCATTTTTATAATATTCGAGGACAAAATGATAGCTTCCATTCTGTCGTAAAACATTCAGTTCGCAACGAACTTATAGTTTATATACAAGCACTAACTTACAATGAATTGTGCTGAGGAATATGATTAACTTAGGAGTAATGAAGTGTTCGATGACATTACACGTGCGGCGACCAAGCGACCATTGAGCGCACGGGACGCAACGTAAAGGTAAGCTCACAGCTCAAAACAAACATGAAGCGACTTAAACTACGAGCGGGAAGAGGGGGGGAGGGAAAGAGACAGACGGAGGGGAGAGAAAGAGAGAGGAGACAGACACGCGGCGGACGGGCGGTCATAGGAACGGTGATCGGCAGTGGAGGGAACATGTACACGACACGATACATTCAGCACTTACTAGCTAAAATAAATACACGAGAATAAATGACGATGCAATATGTACTATATGGAATATGAGCCGCGACACACGACACATGAACCGAACGCGGACACTCGCTCCTCTATTACATGTTCGTACTTCGATTAACATTCTTTATTGTAAAAAATAATAATACAATATTAAATATAGTTTCAACTATACAGTACAAAAAGTCTAACATAACTCCGATTACAGATTTCAACACAGACTTACATGCAAGCGCGGCGCTACGAATAGAACGATAGTCTAGAGAACGCGGACCGTGAGGCGCCGGCGCCGGCTCACTACAATATGGCGCACTTCATCCTCCTGCGACGCTTGCCCTTCACGTCGCCGTTAGTGGCGCGGCTGTCGTCCGACTTGCGGGAGCGGATCTCGCGCATCAGGTCGAAGAACACCTGCGGGAGGAGCCTCGTCAGCACACGGACAGACACCCCACGGACACAGACAGACACACACACACACCCCCCACCCACGGAAACAAACGAGCACAGCGCCGCCCGCCTGCCCGCCGCCACTACGAACAAAGCCAAGACAGCCAAGCGGAGCTGTGCGCTAACAAGCTACGTGAAATATATCTATAGTCGTATTTTTTATTAGACGAAGCCAACTGACAATAGCTAATGTCACTTTGTTAAATAATTTTGCCATATCTAAAGTAATAGTGATGTTTTGAATTTTCGTCTAATCAGATGAATGAATAATGAATGTAAATAGTTATTTATTTGAAAATATAATGACTAAGAAAAATATTTATACTTTACAATAAAACTGTATAAAAGTGCTCTGATATAAGTTACTAGTAGTATGTAACTACTCATATAATTAAAGAAGAAGACGAAATGTATGGTCTCGACCACATGATTGACAATCTTCAGACAGATTTATAATTAATATCACCGAATGTGACTGATGATTTGTTATCTGATTATGAATAAAAACAAATTATGTAGTCAGCGATTTTTTTTATTTTCATTGCCTATGCCGTTGTTATATTTTATACATCTATAGTTTCATAATGTACTGAAAATAGGGCTTTAATGTTTAAAATACACGGTATTCAGTATAGGTAGATAGTATAGGAACATAGTCGTCGAAAAATCGTTGGTAAGTTTTAACTTAAAGCACTATTGAAATTCGAAATTGAAACCTAATATAGGCAGATTGGCACGCTAACTATTCACTAAACAATGAAAGGAATTTCATTCATTTAAGAGTTTTTTCAATCATTCACTTTGTCACAAAACTATTTTTTTCACTAAAAAGTGACAACACAGTAAATGTCAGTTGACTTCGTCTAATTAAAAATATGACTATAGTTAAGGCGACGTCTAAGGTTCGGTGTCTATTCATACTGTGTATAATGTCTGTGTGTGTGTGTGTGTGTGCACGCGTGTGTGTGTGTGTGTACCTTGTCAACGTTTTCCCTGGTCTTGGCGGAGGTCTCGACGTAGGGCACGCGCCAGGCGGCCGCTCGCTCACGGCAGGCGTCCAGCGGCACCCGCCTCTTGTCCCCGAGGTCCGACTTGTTCCCCACCAACAGGAACGGGATGTTCTCGTCGTTCTTCACGCGCAGGATCTGTTCCCTGATACATACAGTACATTTGAGATGTTCATCTGTAGAGGACGTGTCAGTGTATCTTATTTTCTATCTATATCGTGTGCCGACCTGAACTCCTGCGTGGCGTCGAAGCTCTCCGGCTCAGTGATGGAGAAGACGCACAGGAAGCCCTCTCCGGACCGGAAGTAGTTGTCCCTGATGGCGGCGTAGTCCTCCTGGCCCGCCGTGTCCAGGATGTCGATTTGAACCTCCTCGCCGTCCAGCACCACCTGGAACGAAGAGTTACAACACATCACGTACACACTCATATATTATATCATTTATAGTAACAGAGTTTAAACTTTAAATAGTGCACTCGTATTTATTAGATCATGTAAAAGTACGGCATCAAATGTCAGACATCGCGAGCGAGTCTCAAGGCCGCGGATAAATTACCGATAGCGATGAAACCTTCTATAACTTTATCGATTTACTGTACGGCGAATGTAAAACCATTACATTATTTCACTCCACTCATTAAACTAACTATTGTTATCTCTTGAGACACATTAATTAACCACTCTAACAATTGTTACGTTCGTAAGAGCATACTTTCTTAATGAATAATGTTCCGTGGTACCTTTTTCCTGTAGCTGTCAGCCTTGGTGGGCTCGTAGTCCTCCACGAACTCGTCGTACATGAACTGCAGCGTGAGGGCTGACTTGCCGACCCCCCCGGAGCCCACCATGATCACCTTGTGCAGGGTCGGCTGAGTCGCCGGCTTCTTGGACATAGCGCCGGGGGCCAACAGGCGCGGACACTGGGGAAATAACGATACACATATGACATAACAATATATCCTATTAATATTATAATTGCGAAAGTTTGTGAGTGTGTGTGTATGTTTGTTACTCCCTCACGCTCAGACGGCTGAACCGATTTTGATAACATTTTGTATACAGGAAGCTGACGTAAAGGAATAATACATAGGCTACTTTACATCCCGGATATCCGTGGATAACACCGCGGGGTTCAGCTAGTACAAAATAAAATTGAATTTGTACAACCCTTATCTTTTAATATGTTTATAAAATGCTATTGTCACATAAATATAAATCATAAAGTTAAAAAACCTTCAACTGACGACCACCATGATATAAAAAAGTCGTTCATTGTAAAAACGTCAACTATGAAGAGAAGTTTCAATATACGAACACAAAAGACATTGTCTTAACTCAGATCTGACTGATAAGGATAATGAGGAAATCCGTGGGCTAGAACAATGTGTCTGAGAGTGTAAAGTTTAATCTGATGTTTAACATTTGAGGACAATCATTTTCTGTATCACTTTACTAATAAAAACATAAGAATAGATGAAACTTTTTAATAAATATTTATTCTACGCTCGTACTCGAAGTGTTCCTTCAAGATATTCAGGTGACATATAATTCGCACCGCACTATAGTTAATAGACCCGGTACCGTTACATCAGTTTCTCTTTTAGACCGCCTTACTTCTCCACGGGAACCCAAACTGTCATAATAGAATCACCGACGCGACGCCGTAAACATTATTAGTCATACCATCATACCACCCATGTAAATTTTTCTCAACATAAAGAGCTCTGAGACATTCAATTCCATTGTTGTCATTATAACCAAAACTGTCTCGATGTATGCTAATAGTCTGTACAGTTAAAGTATTTGTAATTCCGTGCGTTATCTCGTCGTTCCGGGCTGTATCGATCGTCATGAAACGGTAACAGTGAACTTGGTATAAAACAATGGATTAACATCGACCTGGAACTATTAACATGCGACCTTGAACACTGCCGCCGCGGTGGTGGGCAATGAATTATAAACATCATACCTACGTTACTCAGGAATTGAAATAAAAAATATAAACAGACCAAAAGAGTATTAACTGAATTAACCGATTGTAGCAAATGTCATACCTTTTAATACTTGTTGCTACCTATTGGTATGAATATGTTTATAGTAATGTATCATATAAGTTATATTCGACCAATATTTGCTGTTGTACTGACATATATTTATCCTCGACCGTTTCCGTAGCTTATCAATTCATATATTATGAAGAGTTGCATGTAGATAATGTTACAGATTTAATTTTATATTTTGTTATCGATACATGTTACAAAAAGTTTAAACTTCTGAGATTTGTCTAAATTTTTAGGTCAATTTTTAAATCGGGGAGACAATAATTAAAAATGTAAATAGGTTAAATTTAAAACATAATTAAAAGCTGAAGCTAAAACGTCAGCAGATTTGAATCCTTAGCAATGCTGTGTTCCGTCGTTACCCCCCTCCCCCCGCCCCGCACCTCCTGATTGTACGTACGAGATACTAACCCGTTTAGAAACGCAATTTTCCAGATAGACAGTTATTTAAGTACCTATAAAGATTACGAGCAGCTCACCGTTACATAGATCTTACATTGTTACTGATACTGAACGCGATTTATCTCATGTACTAATATATGTAGTCACTAGTCAGTATGCAATTGTCGTACATTCTGTCAGATAACAAAACTTTAAAATTACAATAAATACTAACAATTTAATATTTTGTCAACTAGTCACGGTTCAAATACTAGAGCGTGACACCGTGACCTCACGCCACAGGTTTTGACTCATTCCATGAATCATAAAGATATTACAAAAAAATGAGCTAATGTACTGCTGATTCACATGAGACTATATTGTGTGTGTTACACAGAAATACTGTGTTTCACTTTGTTAGTAGAATATTTATTACTTTGCTTACAACTTAACTTCTTATATAAGATCTAAAAGGTAATAAAATTGTTTAAACACATGTTTTAATTGTCTCCGAGTGTAACATTTTCTTGTTCTATGTTATATGAACATTACATACTATGTATATTTTTTGTGCAATATTTGTTTGGTGTCTGATGCACTAAAAGAATAGATCGTTTATTACTGCATTAAAGTATTATCTGATTCATTCAATAAATATATTTGCTATTGTATTGACAAAAACAATCTACAATTTGATGTCAAAGTCGAGTGATCATGAATATTCATTAAAAAATCATGAAAGATTTCTAACCAATCTTGTAGAATGACATTTTTTGCTTCGATGACTTTATCAACAGAGATTAAACAGTAAAAAATCTACTGAATGTTAATTATATTTTATGAAGGAGTTTATGAGAAATATAAAATGTAGATATATACTTATGTTTATAAACAGATATTATTAAAAAATCTATGTATATACTGAAACCTTTTGCAAGAAATAGGAAATTTTCAAGACTATATCCAAATATATGAACTATTTTTAATGCAAGTTCTTACCAAAATTCTCAGAATACCTTATGTGAATACACATAAAAAAACATAATGAAAATATATTATAAAATTATTGCCTTTATATTTGATTAAATATTAATATTTATCTTTATACAATCATAACATTAAAATAATGAACACTAAGAAATTCTTGCATTTTAATTGCTTCCTTAATTTGTTGAAGCAGCTTTTTGTGTTGTTTACTTTCACAATTGTAGTTTTTATACTGTACTATTTAGTGTAAAAAATCTATGTAGGACATGATATTGAATATTTATGTTTGTAAAATATATTTCTCATCAGTTACCTTCTCTTCTTCTGAAAATTTTGAGGATAATTGATAGGCAAGAACTGAAAACATTGCTAAGGGCCAGTTGCTGCCTCCTGCTTGCAGGAATTTGAAGAATTCTGTTGCTTTATCATTGCATGCCCGTTAAATTATCACTTGTTCAACTTTCAACTATAACCGACTTATATTTTTTAGTATCTTAATAAAAAACAAAACTGAGAAACATCACATATATAACTTGAGCTATTGTAATATACGTGAGTATTCCTAACACTAAATAAAATCGGTGAAGATGAGGACTGTTTTACACGTGAGAATCCTTAAACAATGCGCGAGAAACTGTGGGAAAATAGAGGCGTTGCCACTGTAGTAAACAATCACGTCACTGGTTCTAAATATGGTACAACCCTTAAAAACTTTCTTGAAAAAAAAGAGTAAATGTTAGGTTTTAACAACTTACCACTGATGCAAAGAAATTGCGAATCGGTTTATCTTATTCCGGGGAATTTTTGCAAGGTTTTTATTCACTTAGTTATTGAATACAAATCCTTCTTCATATGCAGTATTCACAACTCTGTAATGTCGTATGATCTGTCAAGTGATATCGACATTTATGTACCGCGTCGGTTATTGTAAAACAGCGACATCTATGTCAACAAATGCTAAACAATATTTATTACAATATACAGAGTGAAGACCACATATTTTTACTATAACAAAATTAAAATATGATTAAATCATATGATAAATACTTTCCCTAATGCTACTAATATATTCCTGTTTTTAAATAACAAAGCTTTTGATAGATATTTTTATTATTTACCTACTATCACCTTAACATTCTGAATTGTTATTATCATATGTCAAACTGAAATCATAATATTATGCATGCAGTTGATTCACTTGTAATGATAAGAACTTCTCTGACAAACTTTATTATTGAAAATGTAATCTAGGTAGAGTTTCGAATTGTTTAGGAGAGCAATGTTGTAATAGAAATGGCAGGAAGTAAATTGGATGTCCTTTGGTCTCCCATTCACCATGATAAATTTATCGTATGGGGTCAAGACTTAACCTTATACGAAGTATCTAATCTTCAAGATATACCCAAAAACGCTGCATGTAAGTAATTGAGTATAATAATTATTGTTTTTAATAAGGTATTATTTTTAAAATAATTTAACCTATTGTAATTTTGGTGTTATTCGTAACCCTACATTTATAGTCCCATTAACTTTAGTTGAAATTAAAATATTTTATCTCTCATTGTTAACATGTTTTAATGTTACAGATACCCAACTGTGTCCAACAAGAGGAGCCACAGTAGTAGCATCACAGAGTGCCAGCGGAGTTCGTTGTGTGGACATCAGTGCTGTTGTTGAACACCCCGACCCGCTGCTGGCTCTAGGACATGGGAGTGGACGAGTGTTACTCACAAGCTTCAAACAGGCATATGACTCACTAGGCCTTGTGGGAAAAGAATTTGGTAGGTTTTATCACCGATTGCAAGATTTTCTACTACCTTTTCCTACTTCTAAATTTCCAAATTTACATCCATTTTATATATTACAATATAATTTGTAATAATGTGGTTTGACTGGTATGGTGTCTGTTAAATTACTGGTGTGATAAAAATAACAAAAACAAAATAAAATGTACGGAAAAACTAATATTGGTTTATGAGACACTGTGAAAACTTGGACATATATGTAACAAATAGGTAAAAAAACTTTTTAAGTTAAACAGTTTTATGTTAAACATACATTGCAATGTTTAAGATAAATATACTAAATACCAAAAAATAATAAAATAGATACAGTCGTGGGAATTATAAACATATGCACAGACTAGACTAAAATAAAACCGTGGGGCATGTCAATTGTCTACAAATTATCGATTTAATGTGCGATAGAAGAATCGTTTAATTCATCGTTAGGAAGTTGGCCCGCAGACGGTGAGGAAATTACTTACTATTTTCTTGCTCATGGAAATTCTAATAGTTATACACTCCATGTAAATAAAAGAGATGTTTCAACTAGTTTATCGTTGGACATTCACACTGCTGGCTGGCGAGGAATCGTTTCACTGATTGTAGTTTGTCTTTAATTGACAAAACATATGATAAAAGTACTACTTGCTCACCACTATGAAACCCTAAAATTCGCTTCATCGTTATCGGTTGAGCAACTACCTAATTATAGTGTAACATTACAAAACAAACATTTTAATCAACGATTGTAGACAATTGACGTGCTATACGCTTTTATTTTAGTCTAGTCTATGCATATGTTTATAATTCCCACGACTGTATCTATTTTATTATTTTTTGGTTTTTGGTACATTTGTCTTAAACATTGCAATGTATGTTTAACGTAAAACCGTTTAACTTAAAAAGTTTTTTTACCTACTTTTTATTTTCTAGTTTTTAGTTTTCATTTCGCATTCTGTGTAATTTATTTAGTGCTTCATTATTGAAAAGTTTCTATTCTACTTGTTGAGCACTTTCATTTGATACCCATATTGATGGGATTGATAAAACCTACGTTATCCGCCATTTTTTGGCCGCCATCTTGGATTTAATTTTTTATAGTATATTGTATTCTGCTTGTTGAGCCCTTTCATTTGATACCCATATTGATGGGATTAATAAAACAAATTATCCGCCATTTTGTAGCGGCGCCCATCTTGAATTTATTATGATTTTGAATAATAATTGTATTGTCACCAAAATCTAAAGTGTATTTTAATTATCATACCAAATTTCAGATTAATTGGTTGACAGGAAGAGGGTGAAATTTGAATTACTAAATTTGACCCAAGAAAGAATAAATAAAAAAACAAATGGGGCGAGCTAAATAAAACCGTTTAAAAAATACTCACATAATTGTAATAAATAAAATAAAATAAATGAATAATTAGCTCACAACAGGAACATATTTAAACTGCTCTTCCTTCTTGTATGTCCTAATGGTATCTATGTAAGCTTTCAGAAAAACTATTTTCTAATAAACCAAATTTGGAGATTTTATTTTAATAGTCATTATATTAAGATGATGATGTGTTGGGGAATTTAATTATAATTGGACTATTGTGGAGTCATGATCACTAAATTTATTGCCTCTACAGTTAAAACAATTACAAGGACTAAATTTTACATATAATCTATATCTATATATATACAGGGTGACTGGTGAATTACTATCAATATTTAAGGAGCATACTCGGTACATGATTCTCATTCGAATTATGTTAAAAAAAATAGGTACTTAATTTTTGACCAAATTTCCGTATAAATAAATGTAGTAAATAAAAGTGTGTACACGTTCCAAGTGTTCCAAGTGTGGACGCGTGCGGAGGCGTGCTGATACAACACACCGCCGCGCGCGAGTGTGTGTGTGTATACCTAATCTGTAGGGTGTTCATACGATGCGTAATTAATTACATAACTTTTGGTTAACTTTACTTAGAAGTTTATTAATATTTATGTTATATTAATTTTTATTCTGTCATATATGATCGTCAAATATCACGTCGTCAAATATCAATAGTAATTCACCAGTCACCTGTATATATAAATGGTTTGCTGTTCCTTAGTCTCGCTTAAACGCGAGAACAGCTGAACGGATTTATCTTATCTTAGTCTTGAAATGTTCGTGGAGGTTCAGGGAAGGTATAAAAGCTGAAAAATATTGATTCATTACAGAGAAAACCCTAAAAACGGCCCTTTTCTATTTCCCATACAAACGGCCTTTTGACATTAGATTTGACAACTAACTAATATGTCAGTCATTCAAGTGAGCGACAAATTTTCTCACTTTGATTAATTACGTTACGATGCCGCCGAGAAAAAATCTTTAAGGAGGAATAGAGTTCACTCAGTCAGATATACATTTCTAATTCTGAAACTAAAGCAGACGAAGTCGCGGGCAAAAACTAGTCAAAAATATTTGTGCAACATGTGTGTACCAGCTTATTGTGAATTAAATGTTAATCTATAGTTCGCAACTTATTTTCATTGTATTTATATTTATTTTTTGCCCAAAATTTCTTTATTGGTATATTTGTAATTGGCTTCTTTGAGATACATGGTCAAATTGTTTATTTTTATTTTTTGCTTCTGTTAGTTGGCTCTGTACAACTTGAAGGTATGACAGACATTGACATAATTTTCCACCATCCACTGGGACAACTTATAAAGTTTGGTCTTTATTTTGTTATCTGTTGGGTCTATCATAAAGGAAAGTTCAGGAAACACAAAGATAATTTTTTTTTATCTAAGATCTGAGCTATGGAGATTTGAAAATGCTTGCTCTAGGCTTTTAAAGAGCTCTGAGGGAATATTCTGGCTCTCTAATGATTTATTATTTTATCGACTGTATATAGATATAATATTACACAGACATAGCAAGCCAAAGAGAAAATCAAGGAAAACTATGTCAACTTATTTTTAATTTAACTTTTGGCTTAGCCTTTGTGTTTTTTCCTTTGTTAGATTAGTTTTGGTACAAATTAATTTTCGTTGATGTACACAAAATGTTTTGTACATAGTTCCCAAAGATGATGGCATTTCGAGGTCAGCGACATCACATTTTGTATGATGTTCTATCCATAGGTCGGAGCTGCCTCCGAGCTGTTAATTTATTTCGATATGCTATCCAAAAGTTTAATTGTTAGAAGACCCGGCGAACTTCGTATCGCTCTAAAATCAAGAAATATCTGTTACGTTTTTTAATTATATTTTTGGAGTTTACCTTTAAGCCATAAATCTCCGTTTTGTAGTGCGACAGAATGATTGTCATATTAGTTAGTTGTCAAATCTAATGTAAAAAAAAAACCGTTTGTATGGTAAATATAAAAGGGTTGTTTTAGGTCTTTCCCGGAAATGAATCAATTATTTTCAGCTTTTATACCTTCCCTGAACCTCCACGAACATTTCAAGACTAAGATAAGATAAATCCGCTGAGCCGTTCTCGAGTTTTAGTGAGACTAAAAACAGCAATTAATTTTTATATAGTAGATATTTAACATTCGACTCGTTCAATGGTTGCTGTATATAATGTTTGAATGTCGTTGTTCCAGTGCCCCGCTACCCGCGCCAATGCAACTCGGTGTCATGGAACAAAACGGAGGGTCACCTGCTGGTGGTGGGTATGGACAAACATCGCAGCGACAGTGCCGTGCTGCTGTGGGACGTACAAGCGGGCGCCGGCGACGACTTCACTGGTAATAGATAGTGCAACAAGTGGACACAGACTAATACAACAAGAAGTCAGTACAGGGCTAACGTTACAGAGAGCGGTCCATTGAGCGCGGCGGGCGCGGGCGAGGCGGCGGGCTGCGTGTCCTGGTGCGGGTTCGCGCCCCGGACCGTGCTGGCCTCCATGACCTCCAAACACATCAAGATATTCGACATGAGAGGTGGAACTTTATTTGTAATATACAAACACACTTATATATTTTATTTTTATTTTATTTATTTAAAGGTACATCAACATCACACATATTCAGCACACATAAACAACAGATAAAATTGATAAAATCTAGGACCTGATATGAGTGACAATTACAGACGTACACAACATTCACAAAAAGAAAAAAAATAAAACTTATTGTCTACCTGATGAATTTAAGTGATAATTAAATAACAATATACAAAATTACAAGAAAAAGAAAACAAATATAAATATAAATCATAGAAACAGAAACATGTGACAAAATATAACTACAGACTAGGATGTTAATTGACAGAATTTATTCTTAATCTGGGCAAGCCATCAGAAAATACGTCCAAAAACGGGATCTTAGAACATATTTGGTTGTACTCAGAGCAAAGACTATTCATAGGACAGTGTTTGCCGATATTTGTGCGAGAGACCGCTGTATAAAATATATTATAAATAGGCTTTCTAGGAGGTCTAACGGGTACTGAGATGGTAATATACGACAGAAGGTGCTCACTCTTAACTATCCCGTTAATAATTTTATATAAAAATATTAAGTCATGAATTTGCCGACGTTTAGATAAGGTTTCCATTTTAAAGAAATTTAAACGTGTGTCATATGGTGTTCTATGAGATTAAAAGAGATCTGGTAAATGCACGTTGTAAGTTTACTATTCTCTGTGAGTGGACTGTATACGTGGGGTTCCATACTTGGGACGTATATTCAAGAAGACTTCAAGAAGGTTTTACTGTTAAAAGGTTTTGTGTTTCTCTTTATGAAACCGATCATTTGTGATGCCTTCTTGACTATGGTTTCAATATGGGGTATAAATGTGAGTTTCTGGTCGATTGTAATCCCCAGACCACGAACGTCATCAATTTGTTCAACAGATTCTCCATCAATTGTGTATTCAGCTGGATAAGCGTTTATTTTTATTTTGGTAAAACGGATGTGGTACCATTTTTTTGGGTTTAATTTCATATTATTGAGTGCACGTCAATGTTGAACACTATTCAAATCTATATATATTTAATGGTCATATTTTTGTAAATCATTTTAGGTCCATCTTATTTTCACTATATGAACAATTGTTTTCCTTCCTCATTGTTATAAGTGTACATCGTCCTTCTCTTTCAGAGAACCCGGGTAAGGCGAGCAGCTCGGTGTCGACTCGTCAGTGGGCCGGAGCCACGTGCGCCGGCTGGCTGGTTGCGGCGAGGGGCGAGGGTGGGGAGGCGGCGCTGTGTGTGAGGGACGCGCGCATGTTGACCAGGGCGCTGGCCGTGCTGCCGCTACAGAGACCCGCCAGGAAGATACACTGGAGCCCCACCAGGTCAGACACGCGAGCGTGTGCTCTCATCAACTATGTAACACATGCCGATATTAATACATAGTCCGGTCAATTTAGACCAAAAAATGAGAGTGAAATTACATAAAGTCCCACCAAGGTGAATTTTTGTGAAATTGTTCAAAACATAATTATAAACGATGTCTAGAAGTTCCCCATCATTCCCCTGTAAGGAAAAATTTTTATTCTAGGTCAAAGGTCGAAAAAGAGTTTTTCGCGATTTTCAGCAAAACGGTAAGTTTAATCATAAAAGTACCTCAGACAAAAATTATAGATCATAAAATTATCTATAACAAATGTATCAATAATTCTTTTCTTACGAGCCACCGTTTCTGAGATATAACGATTCAAAAAGTTATAAAAGTTGTTATCGTCATAATATGCATGAGTACGACACGTATATACATCTATATATCTTTATATATATAGTTCTTCTGTGAGTGTGTATGTCACTGATCTTCTCTCAAACGACTGGAATTGAAATTTTTTGCGTGTGTTCAAGGGGATCTGGGAATGGTTTAGATTCACAGTTTTGTGCGCTGGACAATGTTTTTCTAATCTTTATGTATAAAAATGAATTGCTGTTCTTTAGTTTCACTAAAACTCGAGAACGGCTGAACGGATTTATCTTATCTTAGTCTTGAAATGTTCGTGGAGATTTAGGGAAGGTTTAAAAACTGAAAAAAATTGACACATTTCCGGGAAAACCCTAAAAACAGCCCTTTTCTATTTCCCAAACAAACGTTTTTTTTCAATAGATTACACAACTAACTAATATGTCAATCATTCTGTCGCACTTCAAAACACGGAGATTTATGGCTTAAAGGTAAACTCCAAAAATATGAATAAAATAACGTATCAGATATTTCTTTATTATATAGCGATACGAAGTTGGCCGGGTCTTCTAGTTTTATATAATATATTATATATAACAGTCAGCTGATTCGACACCGAAAATCTGGGGATTTTCTTCTTTCACTCTCTTCATTTAATTTCTCGCTACAAAACAAGCATAGTTCTTTGAAACAAAAAGCTGATTCACTGATAATAATTGATGTAGTACGAGGAGGACTTGCTGTGGATGTACTGACTTCTTGTTCTTGACGTTGTCTTTTATTAGCAGCAGAAAAAGAAGACTTTCGAGTATAATTTTTACGGCAATTTTCATATAATGTCACAGATTTCTGATTTTTGAGATATTCCGACAAATCATCAGCTCTTTCAATACTTGCTTTAATTAATACCACGTTCAACAGTAACAACTTCACTTTCAGTTAAAAGTTTACACAAATAAATCAATATTTATATATATGTATAAATCTTCTTCTTCTACCTGGCAATTTCCCAGCTATAGCCAGGGCTTTACATGTTGTGAATAGTTTTGGCTATTTGTTTTTACGACTGAACTCCTGCCTGACATCAACCCTCTTTGGGTATCAGCATTAATCAGTGATGTCTAAATACTCGTAGAAAGAACATATAACTCGGAAAAATCACATTGGTACTTGCCCGGGCCAGGATCGAACCCGCACCCTCGTGCATGAGAGGCGGACCTTTTAACCACTAGGCCACCACTGACTGTTATATATATAAAATATAACAACTCTAGATGTATATACATATGTGTCGTATTTATGCATATTATGACGATAACAACTTGTATAACTTTTTGAATCGTTATATCTCAGAAACGGTGGCTCGTAAGAAAATAAGTATTGATACATTTGTTATAGATAATTTTATGATCTATAATTTTTGTCTGAGGTACTTTTATGATAACATTTACCGTTTTGCTGAAAATTGCGAAAAACTCATTTTTTAGACCTTTGACCTAGAATAAAAAAATTTTCTTACAGGGGAATGATGGGGAACTTCTAGACATCGTTTATAATAAAATTATGTTTTGAACAATTTCACAAAAATTCAGTTTGGTGGGACTTTATGTAACTTCGAATGTCTAAATTGACCGGACTGACAGTGAATCTCGTTGCAGACAAAACCTGCTGATATCCCTCCAGAGAGACTCCACGACCCTGAGACTCCACGACATCCAGCACACGCACGACCCGCGTCGGCAGTCCCTCGACGTACGACCGACATGACTCGCTTCATTGTGTTAACGTTCGACGATCATTCAATAGTTCATTCGTGACTACGGTCCTCTTGCAGGCGGCTGCGACGCCGGCCTTGGAGGAGGGCGGGGCGGGGTCCGGCGGCGGGGCGGGGGGTGCGGCTGTGGAGCGTGACGTCACAGTGAGCGGCGTGCCGGTGGCCTCGTTCGCGTGTCACCCCGCACACCGCGCGAGGCTCCTCACGCTCACTACTACAGGTGACCGGCGGAGTCCCGACCGAGAGAAGCTTGAACCGAGGAGAGACGGGTTATGATGTGTGTGTGTGTGTCAGGCTGCGTGGCGGAGTACATGGTGCTGGAGCGCGTGTGCGTGTCGTGGGGCGCGAGCGGCGCGCTGGCGTGGGGCGGCACGTCGCTGAGGGTGCTGCGGCCCGCGCGCCTGCCGCCCTCCACGCCCGACCTCGACATCTCCTACAAGGCGCGCGCGAGAGCTCTCAACGACTACGGCCTCAAGGTTACTTGTCCACGTTTTATTTACACACGTATACTGTATCTGAAACGATCGAAGAGTCTGTGAAGGATTGTTTTAAATGAACCTTATTCCCTTACAGCCCGACCTGTGGCAGAACGCGGAGCTGGCGGAGGACGAGTCGCTGAGCTCGCTGTGGCACTTCCTGGCTCTCAGCAAGTCACTCGTGGAGGACGGTCGGTGATCTTAACACTATTAGTACTCATGATTTGTGTTCCCTCACCACTCAACTCAACTAGCTGATGTATTTATTTTTTTTATTCATTTATTCATTCATTCATTCATTTATTTATTTGTTTATTTAATCGCCAACAAAGTATTTACAAATACAACCATTTAAATTAATACAATTAAGATGCCATGTGCTACCTCAGTTACAGGCAACCACCACATGCTGAAATAGTAACAGAGTGCAGAGTGTAATCACAAAGTTAACATTTTGGTTCAAATACATTTTAGTTTAAATACAGTGCATGAAGAACAAACAACTAGAAAATAAAATCTGAGCTTAATTAATTAAACATTTTTTAAATGTTTTTTTGAATTCGAAAGGCCTTCCCGAGAATATATCAATATAAGTATTATTAAAAAGAGAGTTAAACTTTCATGTCATTCTATTTAAAGGTGAATAATGAGCGAGATTACTTTTACATTTTTTTGTATTGAATGGAGTATACACGAGCCTTCTTGGTAGTTTAACTGGTGCATTAAAGTATAGTTTTGAAAGTAATTGCGGGCTGTCTATATCTTTATTTATAATTTTGAACAGAAATGTATGATCAAGTATTTCTCTTCTATTTTGTAGAGAATCAAGGTTAAAGTATTTTAATCGGTCAATGTAATGAGGGTGTGTTTTAGTTCTGTTACAACTATAAGACAGGTGCCACAAAAACCTCTTTTGAACCCGTTCTATTCTTTTTATATGTATATGTATAATGTATATACTTCATACTGTGTTCCAGACATTGCTTTTTAAATCTTTGCGTGATACGTTCATGGTCTATCAAACTTTCGACTCGAGAATCTAATACCGGACGTACTGGTGTATTCGTAGTCACGTTTAGGTTGCTTACGTATACAGCTTGGACATAACCAATTGCATTTAAACTCAGATGTTAGCTTTGTAGAAGTTTTTTACGATATATAAACGCATAGAAAGTGATAGCTGATGTGTTGTATGTGCCACTAAGTCGAATCACAAAAACCCGAAGTAACTGAAATCATTGTTCACGCATAGGCTGCATCCGCAACAGTGGGTGGAAGCACCCGGGCGTGCGGTCGGTGCTGCGGTCCCCGGGGGAGGGGTACCGCTCGGAGGCCGTGTCCGCGCTGCTGCCCGACCTGCCCTCGAGGAAGGTCACCGTGTACCGGAGCGCCGAGCGGACCAGGGCGCTGCAGCTGTGCGGCTGGGGCTGGGGCTGGGAGAACGCCGCGGCCGGCGTGGAGCGCGCAGAGGCCGAGGGGACGCCGTGCCGCGCCGCCGCGCTCGCCGCCTTCCACCTGCGCGTGCGGGCGGCGCTCGACGTGCTGGCCCGCGCCCGCGCCCCCGCCCTCAGGGTGGCCGCGCTCGCCCTGGCGCCGGCCGCGGCGGGCGCGCCCGAGGAGCGCCTGTGGCGGGACGCGCTGTCCGCCGCGGCGCCCGCGCTGCCCGACCCCTACCTACGCGCGCTGCTCCACTTCGTGGCAGCCGCGGCGCCTCCGCCCCAGCAGCCCCCCGCCCCTCACCACCAGCCGGACTACTCCGACGTGCTCGTGAGTAGTTATGAATCCTCTCTCAGGGACCACATTACAGTTTGAGTACATTTTTTATAATAAAAGTTATACAGTATATTCTATGGACAAACTACTTGTTATTATATATTGTTTTCCTGGATGCTCGTAAAGAAATAACTTGCCAAAATTTTAATTTAAAGAAAACAGAGCACTTTTAAAATGTTTAATATCTTTTACCATATGTTGGTAACTTGGAAGAGAGATTTCATAATTTCATGCTGATATAGAACAGCTTTCGATTAAGTTCTTATCTTAGTTATGGTTGTTACCATAACTGTAATAATTAATAAAGAAGTGTTCTTCTTTCTAGACACTATGGAATTAAAATCTTTTAACTCTTAATTATTTAAATTATCACTTGTTAAGCTACTTTTAATATTAATTTAAGTTTGGTCATTTTCTTTCTTTAATCTTTCAATTATTTATTTTCTGAATAATGGTTTGCATAGGGTTTGTATTTAATCTTTGAATACTATTGAATTCTTTTCATGTATTTAAAAAAATAAAAGTTGTAGTCAAATTAGTAATTGAAAAGTATATGGTTCATAATTAAAGAGATTTTTTTAATTTAGCGGCTGCACTTAAAATGGAGTGAACTATATTTCATGTGTTAAATATCTAGTCTCGGTGTTTTAATAATTACTTATTCTAGGTTTCCAAAAAAAACGACATTTCCCTAAAGTTTAAGTTAAATGGCTTATTTCCATGATTTAGATATGTATGTAGAAGAATTTTTAATTCAAAAGAAGATATTATTCAAAAATATACGATGTGAAGTAGAACGTTTTATTTTAAAGTATTCTTCAAAATTGCAACGTTATCTTCATGAGAATTATCTTCAATTACATCAAGTACATAGCAAATAATATTATTATCCATAAAAACATTAATAATAATTAATAAGTAAAGCCGTGATGTATGTACGTATGTATGTTTTATGAATGGGGAAACGTCATTAAGTAGGAAGCGTTAGCGTACACGATGATAAAAAATGCTCAATGAACGGTATTTTTAGTCCAAGCTGGCTACACGCTACATACGAAAAGCCAACAGTTTTTTTATAGATAAATCTGTGTACATTATAGTCTTATTCTTCCTGGCTATTTCCCAGCTTAATCCAGGCTCTGCCTTACATGTTGTAATTAGTTTTGGCTAATTGTTTTTACCATTGGCCCGTGACATCAACCCGCTTTGGGAAACCCTCTCTCTGTGTACATTATAGTATTAACATAGAATTGAGTGAGAAACGGAAAAGGCTTCGTAAGTTGTATGACGATGAAAACTTGGACCATCCCTACCGACAACTGTTGTTGTAATTAAAAAGACTTCTGTACCAAAATATATGTTTATAATTACCAGTACTTTGTACATTCATATCATTATCTTATATATTTAAATGAGCAATTCTTGTATATATATACATATTTATAACGATTTTCATGAAATTTAGTATGTAGGGTATTTTGGGGGCCATAAATCGTTCTAGCTAGGAATCATTTTTAGAAAATGTAATTTTATTTAAAAAAAATACAAAACGAGTCGTTTAAAATATGACTCTTCCTGACATCTATTGGCGAATAGTAATACTTTGCTTTAACGACACAACAGCAGATGGCATTGTTAAGTACCAGGAAGTCAATGAGTTTTTGGTTTTTCTGGGACACGAATAAAATAAATAGCGTATATTCACCCTTATATTGTGTTGTGTCTTTTATAACGTGTTCGCATAAAAATGCCTAAACGAAATAAAATAAAAAAACACAAAATAAATACTAATAATTCCTAAATTCCGAGCAAAGCTCGATAACCAGATATTATATATTAATGTACTCAGGTTTCTCTATATAATCATTGTAATGTATATCACTGTGCCACTAAATAAATTGCTTGTCATAGTCATAGTAGCAGCATATCAGTCTGGATCCTTGTAAAAATATTTGACGTGCTAGCAATAAAATTAATTCTTTACTACTCCTGCCTCTCATCACCAGCCGGATTACTCAGACGTCCTCGTGAGTAGTGTAATGTGGTGCCCTGAAAGAGGAATGAAAGCCGAGACTGATGAATAGATACTGCCTTTATTTCAATAGATCGTACATTAAATAGGTACAAAATTAGGTTACGTAGTATATAATGGTTAATAAGTATGTTTAGTTAATATAATCTAGTGACTACATGTCAGTAGACCGACCACAGACACACTCATGACGGTCCGCACGATCCAACAACGAGTTGATGCTCCACAGAACGAGACGGGCATGCGCCTGGAGGACCGCGTGGCGTTCGCGTGCATCTTCCTGCCGGACGGGAAGCTGCACGACTACCTGGCGGCCACGTGGAGCTCGCTGAGAGAGGACGGCTCGCTGGCGGCCCTGCTGCTGTCGGGCGCGGGGCCCGAGGGCGCGGGGGCTCTGCAGCGCTGGCTGGAGCGCACGGGCGACCTGCAGAGCGCGGCGCTGGTGGCGGCGCGCGCGTGCCCGGCCGAGCTGGTGCGCGAGGGGCGCGCGGCGAGCTGGCTGGCCGAGTACCGCGCGCTGCTGGACGCGTGGCGCCTGTGGTGGCCGCGCTGCCTGCTGGACACGTGGTTGGCGGCGGCGGGCGCGGGCCCGGAGGCGGGCGCGGGAGCCGCCGTGGCCTGCACGTACTGCGGCAAGCCCGTGGCGGCGGCGGGGGGCGCGCGGCCTCGCCCCGCCTTCGCTCGCCTGCCGCCGCCGGCCGCCAAGATGAAGGTGCCCTTTCAAATTGAATCCACGTCATATTGTTCCTCCAACGTTTGTCGAATTGTTACTACAAATATTCATATTCTGTCTAGTCCAAGCCGCTCAGTTCTGTTGATGACTTTAGTTTCGGAGGTTTGGCAAAATTTTTACAACCATAGTCGTGTCAGACCAATAATCCAAGCACATTCGTCGTTTCTTCGAGTCGATCGACTATATGTGTTTTATCTCTAATAACAATTTTGTTTAAAACATTATGTTTTCAATTCATTGACTATATTTTTAATACTTTTCATTGATTTTTTAATCTATCACCTTTTTATTTGAAAACCGTTAAAGTAAAAATAGGTAATAAAACTTTTTAAGTTAAGTTCTACAAATTATCGACTTAAAGTGCTATAGAAGAATCGTTTAACTCGTCGTTAGGCAGTTGGCCCGCAGACGGTGAGGAAATTACTTACTATTTTCTTGCTCATGGAAATTACAACTGCCTAATTATAGTGTAACATTACAAAACAAACATTTTAATCAACTATTGTACGAGTAGACAATTGACGTGCCCCACGGTTTTATTTTAGTCTAGTCTATGCATATGTTTATAATTCCCACGACTGTGTCTATTTTATTATTTTTGTTTTTAGTACATTTATCTTAAACATTGCCATGTATATGTTTCACGTAAAACCGTTTCACTTAAAAAGTTTTTTTACCTATTTTTATTTTCTAGTTTTTAGTTTTTATTTCGCATTCTGGTTATTTCATTTGTGTTCATTATTGCAAGGTTTCTTGCCCAATAGTTTATTGGAGTCCAACTCCTCTAAAAAAATGTTATCAGCCATTTGGTAGCGGCGGCCATCTTAGATTTCAATTTAGCATAGTAAATTGTATTCTACTTGTTGAGACCTTTCATTTGATTCCCATGTTGATGGGATTGATAAAACCTACGTTATCCGCCATTTTGTAGCGGCCGCCATCTTGGATTTATAATGATAATGAATAAACATAATTGTATTGTCACCAAAATCCAAAGTGTATACAAAACTTCAGATTAATCGGTTGACAGGAAGAGGGTGAAATTTTTATTACTAAATTTGACCCAAGAAAGAATAAATAATAAAACAAACGGGGTGAGCTAAATAAAACTGTTTAAAAATACCACCAACGTTGTGTATAAAGAACTTTATTTCTCATAAGAATTTTACATTCACTTAAAATGACTAATGTGATACAAGGAATATTTGCAAGATAACAATTTTAACAAACGGGCCGTTGGACATGACAGACTTGCTACATTTACTACTACAGCGAGGATGTTCAATATTTTTTTAATTTAACCTTAAACATCCCTATACTGTCACACAGTTTTATTTCGTCTGGTAGTTTATTGAACAGTTGTACTCCCTCAAACAGAATTGTTTTTTTACCATAATTAGTTCTCACGTGATCAATTTGAAGTTTGTATTTATTCCTTAAGTTCGAAATATGCGGTCTCTCACAAATCATTATCTCCGATTGAATGGAACCTGATTTAGTTTGTTTGATTAAAATGCATGTATAGTATGTGTATAATTGTGATATATTCATTATTTTTGTTTCATTATAAAGTTGTGCCGTTGGAGTAAGAAAGTGATATTTATATAGAATTTTAATAATTTTATTTTGTATTCTTTGTAAACTATTTAGATTTGAAGTATGTAGTAGCTGATCCCCAAACTTGTACTTATTAGATATCCTAAATAAGATTTTACTAAAGTATTGTATAAAATATTTCGGATTCTTTTTGGTACACAAGTAGACATTCTAGTCATTGATCCTGACAGTGATTGCAACTTTGTTCTAATATGGTTATTGTGTGTCTTGAAATTTAGTTTATCGTCTAACCATAAGCCAAGATATTTTACATTAACGTTACAATGTTGTCCGTGTGTTTAAAGTCCGTCATATATATTGTTGCAGCAAGTGTCGTCGTGCCCCAACTGCCGCAAGCCCCTGCCTCGCTGCGGCGTGTGCTCGCTGCACCTGGGCACGGGCGCGGCGGGGTCGGCGGGCGCCATGGTGGCGGTGGGCGCGGTGGGCGCCGTGGGCGCGGTGGGCGCGGCGGCGGGCGCTTCGTTCGCAGGCTGGTTCAGCTGGTGCGTGTCGTGTCGTCACGGCGGGCACGCGGCGCACCTGCTGCAGTGGTTCAGCGAGCACGCCGAGTGTCCCGTCAGCTCGTGCACGTGCCGCTGCAGCGAGCTCGACCCGCCGGACGTGCCGCGCGCCTGACCACTGACGACCCTCCGTGTGAGAGAGACAGACAGAGAGAGAGGAAGAGAGACGGCGCTCCTCGTCCTTGAAGTGCCTCGTCCTCGTGTTATAATCAATGTCGTAGTGTATATATTATGTGAACGTTATATTTTTCTTATATGAGTGAAGACGACAAGCTCGAATATCCGCATCAGATACCGTCAGCAAACAAAAAACAATAGTGTGTTTAAACGTTTAATGTATGTTTACCAATTATCGTGTATAAACATTTGAACAGTAAAAACGTGATTGTAAATATAAACAAGAGTTCCTACAGCATCACTTGATCTAATTACATTTAGATGTTTTTCACTAATATATAATCTACTTACTGTTGTTAATTGTCTTCAGTTCAGTGTTGAAGTGTAATAAATATAGTGTGTATAATGTATATTATATTATAAAATTAAGTCTATTGTATATAAAACATCTTTATAATGTATATCTCATGTACACATCTAAATATGGTGGACCACTAATTGGCCCAAGCTTTCATTATGCTATATTAAAATATTCTATTATTATTAAATACGACTTAAAGCCAAAAAGACGTTTCTTTTCAAACCTAGTAAATAACCACATTAGATGGCGACCCTGCCAGTAGTTCCCATTATAATTTTAATTTGTTAATGTAGTATAATAATATAATCCCTAGTTATCATATCAATTAATTTCATTAAATCAGTGCTCAGACACTCACGAATATGATACTCGCCGCCCAAAAAGGAAAGATGTAACATTCCGCACAGATCATGTTGCGAGGCGACATTCTTAAATGTATAATTATTATAAAATAATTGGTTGTGATATTTTTTAATAAATGTTTCCTTTTATAATTATTAGAATTTAGTATGACAGATCAGTTGTGTACAATATATAATTCCTTAATTGAAATAAAAAATACTTAATAAAGACAGGTAAAAAAAGGTTTACTGGGAATATTATAGAAAATAAATTAAACGAGTGCGAAAAACTTGTGTTAAGTAGTAATTTAATTCTAAAATATTAAGTATAGTGAAAAGTCGGATGTAGTGAATAAAGCTATTGAGATATATGAAAATATTAATATACTATATTTAGAAATTAAAAAATTGTGTACTGGATTTCGATTTAAAAACGGCTTGTAGTTTGTTGTCAGTCATGGACTGTCGAAGAGATCACAAAAAGATTAATTGATGGTATCGAAATGTATGCGGATATGCTTAAAGATTCGGATATCCCGTTATTAAATAAATTTATTTTAAAGAGTAGATTATCCGAAAATGCTAAATTGCGCATGTCGATAAATTATACTTCTGTTAAAGATATTGTCAGTGATATGAAAGTTCGTCTTTTAACGAAAAAACCATTTACGGCTATTCAAGCACGTCTTCAACAGACTACTCAGGGTTGGAGATCGGTAGGTGAATGTCATGTCATCAGCCTATCAACGCCCACTGCTGAGCATAGCCTCTTCTCAAATGGAGAAGGTTTTGAGCATTAATCACCACGCTTGCTCAAGACGGGGTGGTGATTTCAAACTTATAATTGTGAAACTATAAGTCCAGGTTTCCTCACGATGTTTTCGATGTTTTGTCAGTGGTGTCTAAATACTCTCAGAAAGTACATATGACTCCGAAAAATCACATTGGTACTTGCCAGGTTTGAACCCGCGCCCTCGGCAACGAGAGGCGGACCCTTTAACCACTAGGCCACCACTGACTAGATGAATATGGAACTGAAATAGAAAAGCTATTCACAGATTTGACAATATGGTGTTTTAAAACCATTGAGTACAGTAGTACAGTACACATTATAGTATTTTAAAACCATTGAGCGAAAAGTTAGCAATTAAATAGTTTTCGCATGGTCTAAAAAATAATAAACTTAGTACCATAATAGCAGCTAGGAACTACAACTCTCTTAAAGATGCGATCCAAGCGGCGAAGGACGAGGAGATTCCCTTGCCTTCTACCTCAACAAATGCTCATGTCATGCACCTAAGGAATACCTCAAATCGAGGTAAAAGAAGATTTCAAGGTAGGTACAAACATAAGAATAATTCTAATAATAGGTACTACAACCAGAGAGGATCCAGCCAACAACGCGATAATTATAATCATAAATATTCTCCACGCTGTAAGTATACTAGAAATGTACAGCGTTTTCGATATTCAAATCGAGGAAAATTTTCTAGGGGTCTTAATCGCGGCAACACTCGTAATGCGTTCCCGATAAATGTGTATAATGATAGAAAAAATATAAATAAAGGCGAAATAGAACAAGAAACAAATCAGTTTTTCGGATTTAAAGATTACATTTTTACATTGAATAATAAGCATAAAATAGTAATTTTTGAATTAAATATACATAAATATTATTTTTTATTAGATACTGGTGCTTCTTTGTCAATTATAAAACGCGAGATATTACCGAAAAATACTACAATTTATAAAAGTAATATTAAAGTTAATGGAATAGGAGGTTGCGTGAAATCTCATGGTCACGTATATTTATCAGTTAAAACTAAACATGAATCATTTCATCATAAATTTTAAATTTTTAGGAATTTATTTTTAAAAGTAGATGGCATTATTGGATTAGATTTTTTATTTAATTTTAGTTGCGATATATTGTTGAATTCTAATCATTTGAGTCTTAACTCAAATGGAAAACAATTAGTGCCTATAGCTTTTAAAACATAATTAAATTAAAGTAGAATGAAACTCATTAGAAAAGGAGGGGAATATTATAAACATTAAAGGAAAAATAATTTACGGGCGATCTGAGTTCGGAAAGGGTATGGGGGTATTAAAGGGTAAAAAATGGGTTTTCTCGATTTCCGGCAAAACTAAAAGTCCTACGAAAAAATATTATATGGCAAAGTTGTAGGTAATAAAAAGATCTAAAACTTTTGTACTAACATTTTTTCACATAATCTCAAAATTTATGTGAAAAATTCGAAAAACCAAGTGTTTGGTTTTTTATTTTTATCTCTTACAAAAAACATTTTTTTCTCACGAAATTTCATGAAAACTTTCCTTTTGATGTTACAAATGCACTGTAATTTATTTGATTAGAAATATTTATTTTTTTCAGCTTATTTTGAATAAACATCGAAAAATCAGCCACATTTTCAATCGAAAAATCACTCATCAAAATATCAGCTATTTTCAAAATAAATACTCATTTTTGGATAAAATAATCATGTCCCTTTTAATGAAATGACACTCGATATCGTTTGGAAAATGCTCTTTCAATATACATATATTTAATAGTTTTAGCAGCTTAATCTCAATTTTTTGTAAATTACCTAAAAGAGGGACTATCTGGAGAACTTCCAGAGTACACAACTATTAAATATAAATTAGAAAGAGCATTTTCAAAACGATGTCGAGTGTCATTTCATTAAAAGGGACATGATTATTTTATCCAAAAATGGTACTGCAAGTAAGAAACTTATATTTTTTTCTTCACTATCGGAAAATAGACATTTCACCAAATTGAAACATACCAAATTTTTGAAAATACCTGATATTTTGACGCATAATTTTTCGATTGAAAATGAGGCTGATTTTTCGGTATTTATTCAAAATAAGCTGAAAAAATAAATATTTCTAATCAGACAAATTACAGTGCATTTGTAACGTCAAAAGGACACAAAATTGTTTTTTGTAAGAATAAAAATAAAAAACCAAAAACTTGGTTTTTCGAATTTATCACATAAATTTTCAGGTTATGTGAAAAAAATGTTAATACAAAAGTTTTAGATCTTTTTAGTACCTACAACTTTGCCATATAACATTTTTCATTAAGACGCTTAGTTTTTCCGGAAATCGAGAAAACCTATTTTTTACCCTTAAATACCCATACCCTACCCGACCTTAGATCGCCCTTAAATTATTTTTCCTTTAATTCTTATAATATTATCCTCCTTTTCTAATGAGTTTCATCCTACTATAATTAATTTTCACTATTCATTAATTTTAAAGGCTTCTGCACTGGCCTAAATGCCTAATGCCAATTTATGAAACACCGGATTATACTTCGAATTATTTATTAATCCCTGCGCGAAGTGAGTCGATTCACTATGTAGCTGTAGAATCAGGTTTGAAAGGTGATGTAGTGGTTTGCGCGAAAGAGTTAGCTAAAGAATTGTTTTTAGGAAGTATGATTGTGAGTGTAAAGGATGGTAAGGTACCAATTAAAATTTTGAATACTGGTGAGAATAATATACGTTTACCTAGATATATGCCTGAGATTCAGTCGTTTAATGAAATTTAGATTGATATTAGAGGAATATGATTTCAAAATTGAGTATATAAAAGGTAAAGAAAACGTAGGAGCTGATGCTTTGTCAAGAATTAATATTACATCAAATGATTTAAAAGGCATGAATGAGCAAGTTATGGCAGTATTAACTAGAAAGAAATGCAAGAAGATAGAGAGAGCGATGTAGAAAATGATACACCCTTTATTATTAACTCTGGAGACGAAAGGACTGATCACCCTCGAGTTGTGGAGTTATTAAGAAAGCCTTATGATTCGGTTGAAATGAATTTGATAGAGGCATCTAAGTTAGATAAATTACGAAAGGTAAGTAGGCTTAGTAAAGAGTATAAATGTTTTTGTAATTGTCCGAGTAGACAAATGTTATACATTAACCTCAGCTTTAAGGCGCAATTCTCGCGAGCCGAATTTGTGACCATGTTGAGTAATTTTTGTAAACAGCTTAGTATCGAAGAGATATGTATAATAAGAGATAAAAGTAATGAAAATTTTATAAAAGATTTAAGAGATGAGATAAAGTCGACTGCAAATTGGTCCGAACCATGCATTCATATATTAAAGAATGTAACTAGGATTGAGAGTGATGAAGAAAAATCATTCATGTTAAATGATTTTCATCTACTACCCACAAGTGGCCAGGCTGGTGTACGTAGAATGATCAATACTATCAAGAGACGATTTTATTAGCCAAATCTCGAAACAGATGTAAGAGATTTCATTAGAAAATGTTCTAAATGCCAAAAATCTAAACATTGTTAATACATAAAAGAGCCTATGGCGATAGCAACCACTGCGTCATATGTATTCGAAAAGATATTTATGTAGGCCCTCTTTCTAAAGATTATGAGGAAAATATGTATATATTAACCTTTCAGCGTGAGTTAAGTAAGTTTATAGATGCTTATCCACTTAAGAATAAGGATTCCATTAGTGTCGCTAGGGCGTGAATTGATAATAATTTTATTTTAAGATTCGACATCCCTAAAATAATAGCAACTGACCGAGGAACTGAGTTTACTTCTGCCACCATGAAACAGGTTTGTAAATTATTAAATATAGATAATATTACATCAACAGCATACATATCTCAAAAACGGTGGCTCGTAGAAAAAAGTATTAATAAATTCTTTTTAGATAATTTTATGATCTACAATTTTTGTCTGAGATATTTTTATGATAAAACTTACCGTTTTGCTGAAAACCGCCAAATTTTGTTTTTAATGATAGTTCAAACAATCTTACCGATTTTCAGCTTGGTGGGAATTTATGTAACCTTACTGTTATTATTTGGTCTGTTTTGACCGGACTATTATAAAGATGCCCAAAATAATTTGTTACATAGCAAATATAATAGAAAAACTAAATATAATAAGTATGTTAATCTTGTTGTTTACAATTAAGATGATTTAATTTTAGTAAAATCAGAAACAAGTGGAAAATTAGACGAACTGTTCAATGGACCGTTTACTATATTAGAAGATATGGGATTAAATGTTAAAATAATTAAAGATAATAAGATAGACATAGAACATAAGAATAGAACAAAACTTTTTGTTAAGTAGTGTACAAAAAAAAATATGTGTAAGCAAGCCTATTTTTGTTTTTCTTTCATCCCCGGAGGTGAAGTGTAATAAATATAGTGTGTATGTTATATTATAGAATTAAGTCTAGTGTAAAGTCGCCTTTATAAAACATCTCATCAATACATCCAAATATGGTGGACCACCCATTGGCCCAAGCTTTCATTATGTTATGTTAAATCTTCTAATATTATTAAATACGACTTAAAGCTAAAAAGACGTTTCTTTTCAAACCCAGTAATTAACCACATTAGAGTGTATTTGCAATATGTATCTCGTCCCGTTGGATCGAATTGTACGATCATTTGTAAGATAAACTGTCATGTAACTTCCATATAGTAGAACCTCTATGTGAATACTCGTCCGGACATATTCTATATAATCTTTTAAGTTACAAACATCTGTCCGGGCGAGGATGAAGCAAAACAAAGTTTCAAGTGAAAGGTGGCTTAATGTCAAGGTTTCATAATTTCTTGTACTATGAGTATCTATGGTTCTTGTACATAGCTATAGAAGTAAGAGGAATGAGGACAGGTGAAATGTTTTACTATTTTTTGTATCTTAGTTTTCTAAGGATTATGTAAAGATATCACGAGGGAAGAGAATGTAAAAAAAACTGCAATGTATTTCCAAATATATATAATATATACATTTATTAAATAACTATTTCATCTGTATTCCAATTTAACAATAAAACTCTCAAAGATACAACATCGTTTAAATCTGCAGCGCGAGGATCGCATCCCCGCCCCGGACAGCCGTACAAAAATATACACACGACGAAGACGCGCGAACAACGAGCGGTCACATATATATATATATACAGAGAGAACTAGCGGGACGACACGCGGGGACGCGGACACGGCGCGGACACAGCTCTCTATACAAAAATAACAATATTTGTTATGAAGTGGACTCCGCTAACAGACCTAACTATATATATAATCTATTATAGACTTTTCTATAAAATGACAACAACGCGGGGTCACGGGGTCACGGTCACGGGTCGCGCTTCGAGGACGGCGCCGTAACGAATACAATTAACGATCACGATAGACTCAATAATTTCTCAAATCTGAAGTCTTTGGTATAGACATAGACAACAACACAAGAGGCTCGCGACGGAATGTTGCAACTCCCTCACTCCCACGGCGCGGCCGCGCTCACAGCGGGCCGCGGCCGACACACTCTCACGATCACTAGGTATTAAAGCTTCAATTAAGATTCGTCTCGCTGCCACCGCCTCGGCTGGAGGCGCCTCCTCGTGAATCACATCGAAGAAACTTTTGACTGAATGTACATACAACACGGCCGGCGCTGCACCCGGCGCCGCTCACTTCACCTCGTCCTGCTCCATGGGCTCCTCCGACACCGAGCGGGAGCTGTCCGCCGACCGGCTGAAACACACGGGGGGAGGTTAGAGGCTGAGAGGGGCGCGGGGCGCGGGGTGTGGGGGGAGGGGGGGTGGGTGACTCACTCGAGGGCCAGCGGCTGGGTCTGCGGCGGCGGCGCCAGCGAGCGGTGCGCGTGCTGCATGGACAGCGTGGCCATGGCGGCCGCGGTGTCGTCGTCGCGCTGAGCGTGCGCCCGCCCGCGGCGAGCCAGCGCGCTCGGGCCCGCCTCCAGGGCCGACACGCCGATCAATGAACTGTACCGCTTCAACTGGAAACACACAGAGCGACCTTCAGCGAACTACTAACTACAGGAGAGGTAGGTGGAGGATGCTCCGGAGTTAGGTTTAGGTCTAAAGAAGTTTATTTCCAAAAAGAACAAAGTTCGCTTACAAAGGAAATTTAAAAAATTATAACTACAATTAAAATTACAAATAATAAACAGTAGTGATATTAAACAAGATCAGTGTAACCATCTAATATATGTGTTCTTAATTGTTTTTTAAATATATTTAGAGGTTTTGAATTTACAACACTTAGAGGTAAAGAGTTATACAGCTGTGCTCCTTCAAATGAAATAGTTTTAATGCCGTACTTCGTTCAAGTTTTAGGTGTTTCTAGTTTATATCTGTTCCTTGTGTGGTAAGAATGGGTTTTGGTTTTAAATGTAATTTGAGAATGAGTAAGGTTTGTTAATATTTTTCGAATAAGTATACGTAATTTATACATATTTATACATTTGTTTAATTGATAAAATTTTAGTTGTTTTATATAAATCTTTAGTAGGTGTATTATAATCCATATGAAATAAGACCTTGATAAGTTTATTTTGAGAGATCTGCAAATTTTTTAAATGTGTTTTAGCCGCGTTGACCCATATTTCTGTAAGGTATTCTAATACTGGTTTTACTAAAGTATTGTAAATAATGTTTCGTACTCTTGGAGGAATACAACGTGCAGATTCACGTAAAGCTCCAGTAAGCGAGGTTATTTTGGAAAGTATGGAATCTATATGAGGTTTCCAAGTAAAATTTTTATCTAAAATTAATCCTAAGTATTTTTAATTATTTGACTGTTTGATGGCTTGTTTGTTATTAGTATCAATTCATTATGAGAAGGAATAGATTTATTTTTGGCCGAAAAAATTATATATGAGATTTTTGAGACGTTTAATGTATGTAAGTAAATTGTACTGTAACCATTCGTTTAGGATATTTAAATCGTTTTGAGCTGTTTCAATAATACTGTGAATCATTACTGTGGATTTTTGAAATTATCTGTTTTTACAATTTGCTGACGATTGCTAAGATTACGATTCCCAAGTTTCGTACGCGATCCCAGTTATTCCAACTCTTCTAATTTTTTGTAATAATATAGAATGTGAAACCGTGTCAACCGCTTTTTTAAATCAATGAATACTGCTACTACAATATTTTTAGTGATAAGATCAATTGTAGCAGAAAGCGTTCCTGCTTTCGGACGAAAACCGTATTGCTTGTTATAAAAAAAGTTTATATCAAGTCAAGTTGTCAATTCAAAATCTGTAAATATATTTAAAAAATGATTAAGAACCCATATATTAGAAGATTTCACTGATCTTGTTTAATATCACTACTGTTTATTATTTGTAATTTTAATTGTAGTTACAATTTTTAAAATTTCCTTTTTTATCGAACTTTGTTCTTTTTGGAAATAAACTTCTTTAAACCTAAACCAAAATATTGACTTAAGCGATTATGAATGATTTTTTCAAATATTTTTGACATAACGGGTAACACAGAAATATGTAGGTCGATAGTTACCAGGGTCTGATTGTGTTCCCGATTTATATATTGGAGTTACTCGTGCAATTTTAAGAGCATCTAGAAAAATTCCTTTACTTATGGATTTATTTATATGTATGTACATTGGCTTAAATTGTTACTTATTAGGTTTTTTATACATTTTATTGATTTTACTGTAACCCCATCAATCCCTGTACTTGTGTTAGAATCTAAACTATTAATTATATTTATTACCTCTTGTTCCGTACAAGGTTTAAGTAGCTCAAGTTTTTGCGTATATTTATGTACAGAGAAAGACAGATAAAGTTGTAATTATGACATTTAGCCGGGATTTGTTTCATTAACACCTTGCCTATAGATAAAAGTAATGATTGAAACACTCACATATGTTAGTTCCCTCAGTAACAGTCTCATTATTTATAATTAATTTTGGAGGAGCACAGCTTTTATTTTTGATTTTATTTACTGCTATGGAATTTATTAAGTCCCACATACGTTTTGAATCATTAAAACACCTTATGAAAGTAATAGTAATTGTCTTTAGTATTTCCTATATTTTCACCAACTTTATTTCTTTCATTGTTAAATTTTAATTCCTCATTATTTTTATTTTGTTTAAGTTTATTCCATAACAAATTTCGCTGACTTATATCTTGAATTATATTTTTTGTTGATCCAATCACTTCTACGTAAGTTTTGTATCTTATATTTAGTTTATTTTGCTGTATTTTGGTTACAATAAAGTTTTCCAATAATTTAAAATCACAATCAGGGTTTATAAAATTAGACTCCTCAATGTTCTTATAAAGGGTATCATAATTTATGACTTCATATTTAAGTTTCCTTTTAGATTCATGTTTAACCTTTTTTAGCTCACAATATATTTGTTTGTGATCCAACTGTGGTGAATCGATAATAGTATAATTAAATTTTTGAGTTATATTTGGACAAACATGATCTAAAATAGATATGGATGTCCCTGTTTCTCTTGTGCAATAAATGTTGTCTATTTTATTTAATTTGTCATAGCCAGCCTCTTTAACAATACGAATATATTTCTTAGTAATAAAATCATTTTTTTTATTAATTTATATTGAAATCACCAAAAATTATACATCTTTTTCTTGTTTCTAATTGTGAAGAATATTGTTCTGAAAATCTCGTTGTATTCGTACTTGGTGGTTTGTAAATTAATCCAATATTAATAGAGCATCTCTCTAAGTAAAATAGTTATTTCCGTCTAAATATTTTTCTTCGGTAACATGATGACACAAATCTTTATGTATAAAAATGTATACACCTCCACCAATTCCCCCCCTTCTGTAGTTAAAGATATGAGTATAATTCGGTAGTTGTATTTCATCAGCATCTTGATCGGATTTTATTCATGTTTCTGTTAAAACACTAAGTGTATCGTGTTCTTAAAAGATTTTAAAATGCATTTTATTTCGTCTAATTTGCATGGTTTTAATAAGCTTCTTACATTGGCGTAAATTTTTTTTAATAAAGTAGAAATTGTATTAATATTTTTATAATCGTATGCTATTTCATAAGTTAGATTCTCGTCTAGGGTGTCTTTATACTTTTGTCGTTTTTTGATGTTATATTAACGATTTTAGGAACTCCATTGTAGTACTTTATAGTAAGATTTTCTCCACTATTTAACCGTTGACGCAGTTCGTTCTTAAAATTTTTAAAATACTTAAGTTGCGCAGAAGTTTGGTCCCAATAGATACGAACATTATTATTTATTATTTTTCTATTACGCAATATATTGTATTGAGCAGTACAAGGTTGTTTAAAGCACACTTTAATATTTCTATTTTTAGTAGCACTCACCACGGGCCAGTGAGGAGCCTGCGCCGCGAGAGCCGTCCTAAGGGCGGCCTGAGCGTGGGGCGCGGGGGCTCGGGCCAGCTCGGACAGCGAGGGCGCGGCGAGGCGTTCTCCCAGCAGCGCACGCACGCACTCCTGCGCACAGTCGCACATGGCGGCCAGGTCGTAGCCGCCCTCCAGCGACAGCACCACCTTCCCGCCCGCCAGCGACATCAGCTCGCGAGTCATGTGAGCGAAGCAGGCCGCCGACACGTTGTAGCCGCCCATGGGCGCGGGGTGACCGGCGGCCGCGTCGAAGCCGCACGACACCAGCACCAGCTCGGGGTCGTACTCCTTGGCTATGGGCATGACGAGGGTGCGGAAGGCGGCCAGGTACTCCGCGTCGGCCAGCGGCGGCGCGCCGGGCCACGCCACGTTCACGGTGTACCCCAGGCCGGGCCCGGCGCCGCACTCGCTGGCCGCGCCCGTGCCCGGGAAGAAGTTCCCGTCGTCGTGTCGGTGGAGCGAGATGTACAGCACGTGAGGGTCCTCGTAGAAGATCTGCTGCGTGCCGTTCCCGTGGTGCACGTCCTGGAGGCCCACACACTCATGTCGGGTCGAGTCACAGTCAATCAACACACGGACAGCGCGCTACTCACCCAGTCCACTATGAGTATCCTTTGCAGGCCGAGCCGCGTGTGCAGGATGCGCGCGGCGATCGCCACGTTGTTGAAGAAGCAGAAGCCCATGGCCTGGTTGGGCTCCGCGTGGTGACCCGGAGGACGGACTATCGCGAACCTGTGGACAGAGCGTGTGGGTCAGGGCCGTGGAGGTGGTGACGGTTTTGTGTAATAAGTAGTATGTAAGTCAGATATTATATAAATATTATAGAACTTTGCGTTGATTATTCAGTTATAAATCATCTTCTACCAAACACACTCGTTTCAATAACATAAGTCCCTTCATGGCGACCCTTGCCATATTTGGGGCGCCATATTGGGACCCGATACTTGCCATAATTGACAAAGTTCGTAGAGGCCTATCCTTTAAAAAATAAAGACACGGTAAGTATAGAACAAAAGCTTTAGTTAATAATTTTATATTAAGGGTCGAGATAACAAACACCTATGGATCGTGGAACAGAGTTCGTATCTACTGTAATGGAACAGGTATGTAAAATTTTAAATATACAAAAATCGACTTCTACAGCTTATCACCACCAATCTATCGATGCACTTGAAAATTCGCATAAAAATTTAGGTGCTTTCTTACGCATTCAGTGTGATGGTCAGAAAGACACCTGGAGTCAATGGTTATCTTTTTGGTGTTTTAGTTTTAATAATACTGTTCATACAGAAAAGAAATACACACCATTCGAGCTAGTTTTTGGTAGACCTAGTGTAATACCTTGTAGAGTAAGTCAATATATTGAACCATTATATAACCCAGATAATTATGATTTAGATCTTAAGTTTAAGTTACAAGTAGCGCAGCAGGATGCTCGTGAAAATTTAATTTTTTATGCAAACAAAATCGTAAGTGTAATTATGATAAATATACAAATAATGTAACTTTTACAAATGGTCAATTAATTTTAATTAAAAATGAAACGGAAAATAAGCTGGATATACAGTGGGTTGGACCATTTGTAGTTTTAGAAGATTTAGGAGTGAATGTAAAATTTTTTAAATATAATAAGCCTTATATTATCCATAAAAATAGAACTAAACCATTTAAAACCTAAATTCAATTATTCCTAAAAAAAATATTTTATCAAACCATTTTTTTTTTCAATTCTCCCCCCGAGGTGTAGTGTAATAAGTAGTACGTAAGTCAGATGTATAAATATTAAGATCGTTGCGTTGATTATTCAGTAATAAATCATGTTGTACCAAACACCAAGTGTTTCAATAACACAAGTCCGTACCCGTTCCTCAGCTCGTTGGTGGCGGTCCGCGTGGCGAGGTCTATGAGCGCGCCGGCGGCCAGCCTGGCGGCGGGCGGCGTGTGCGCGTCGCTGAAGGCCGTGTCGGCGTCCACCCCCAGGCCGCCACAGGCCAGCCGCACGAGGCGCACGGCCCGCCCGTCCCCCGCGCCCGGTCGGCCGCGCCCCGCCCAGGCCGCCACGTGCGCCTCCCCGTGCACCGACTGCAGCTCCTCGAGCGTGGCCTTCCTCGCGCGCGTCCTCTCGGTGCGCGCCGCCAGCCCCGTCTCGCACAGCCGCGCCCACACCGACTGCAGCCGACCGCCGTGCTCGGGGTGCGTGGGCGCGTGGGCGCCGCACGCGCATCTGCAGCGAACGACGAATATTAAAATAGTTCCCAAACATCGTCTCCACATACATAAATATGCTATAATCATTTGTCATCGAACGTCATACGCATCATATGTGTATTTCATAGCTCTTCATATTAAATTATTTTTTGCTTATAAAACTTAAATCTATTAAAGCCTTTTAAAGTTGAATTGCAGGAATTTAAATCGTCCATTGAACTGTTTAGTGCCAAGTATGATGAAATTACCAAGAGTCGAGAACATAGAGAACAACTTAATATCTCTAAAATCTACAAAAAATTAAGTTGAATTAATAAATAATTCTGTTCTGTTCTGTTTTTAAAAGAGGGACTATCTGCAGAACTTCCAGAGTACACAACTATTAAAAATAAATTAAAAAAGGATTTTCAAACCGATGTCGAGTGTCATTTCATTAAAAGAGACATGATTATTTTATCCAAAAATGTTACTGAAGTAAGAAACTTATATTTAATTTTTCACCATCGGAAAATAAAGATTTTAAAAAATTGAAAACATACCAAATTTTTGAAAATAGCTGTTATTTTGACAGGTGATTTTTCGATTGAAAATAAGGATGATTTTTCGGTATTTATTCAAAATAAGCTGAAAAAATAAATATTTCTAATCCAATAAGTTACAGTGCATTTATAACATCAAAAGAAAAGTTTTCACCAAATTTCGTGACAAAAAATTGTATTTTGTAAGAGATAAAAATAAAAAACCAAAAAGTTGGGTTTTCGAATTCATTACATAAAATTTAGGGTTATGTGAAAAAAATGTTAGTACAAAAGTTTTAGATCTTTTTATTACCTACAACTTTGCCACATAACTTTTTTCTGTAGGGCTTTTAGTTTTGAAGGAAATCGAGAAAACCCATTTTTTACCCTTAAATACCCATCCCCATACCCTTCCCGATCTCAGATCGCCTGTAAATTATTTTTCCCTTAATTTTAATAATATTCCCCTCCTTTTCTAATGGGTTTCATTCTACTATAATTTATTTTCACTTTTCATCATTTTTAGAGGCATCTGCACTGGCCTATATTGGGGGCACCAGAGAAAAAGGGTGAAAATCTTATTGATTTGTTTACTTCTTTGTGTCAAAAAGCTGATCTTAATATTGACCCGTCCTTAGATATAGATTTCATAACTCGTGTTGCTCCAATTAATAACAACATAAAGAAACCGAAACCAATTGTTGTAAGTTTTTAGCCCGGCATAAAAAGGATAATTGTTTAAGATTAAGCATTAAAAAGTTTCCGAAATTGGTTTTGTGGCAATAATTCAACAATACATATTTTAATGACCATTTAATTAGTAGTAATAAAAGTCTACTTTTTGAAGCAAAAAAAATTGCTAAAGAAAAGAATTTTGAACACATATGGGTAAAACATTGCGCGATCTTTGTACGACGTAATAATACTAGCCCTGTTATACATATTCAAAGTGAGCAGGATTTAAACGAAATAGGTGTTATTTTTTTATTCATACTTGTAGTTTTTATCGTTGTACTATTTTTTTAATAGCTTAATTTTATTTCGTCATTCTTTTTCGGGTGCAGTTTTTGCGAAGTGTAGAGGAAGCAATTCTTTGAGGTGGTTTTTTTATAGTTTTATTTTAGTTTTATATATTCTATTTTACTATAAATGTGTCAATTTTTTTTAAAATTAACATTTTTTTGAGTATAAATATTATATGCATTTTTTCCTATTCTAATAGTTATGCTAACTGACCTGTCGATCTATTACCAAAATGTTCGTGGCCTCCGTACGAAAACGCAAAACTTTTTAAGTCATTTATTATTATTTAGTGAATGACGGCGACTACAAGGCGCGAGGTGACACAAAGGCGGGTGGAGTCCTTATTGCTGTCCGTAGAGAATTTCTCGTTTGTGATGTAGTGCGTATGTATAAAGTCAGTAAGTAAATGCTACAGCTGATATTTTATCATTAACAATAAATTTGTTACTTTCCACCTTGCGCTTTGCTATACCATGTTGAAATTGAATTCTATGAAACAATTTCCTATAAGATCGTTGATGACCCACCCACACGAAGAATTGCTCCATTATTTTATATTCCTGTAGTTACAACATACCTATTACGCTCGAAACTCATTTATCAACAGAGTTTGCGTAAAATATAATGAAGTATGTATGTATGAATGTATGAATTGATATGTTTAATGTTTCCTTACAGTTATTTAAAGAAATGTTGTTTAAAACCCAAAAATAAATTTTCTAGGTTTATTACTTAATATGTATTCCTTATCCGTAAATAAGATAACAATGCGACGTTTTGTTGATTTTTATAACTATTGTATTTGTTTGTTCTTTTTTTTTTTATTTGTGGCAGCTTCATTGGTGTATGTTTTTGTAATTTTTATTTATAATTTCAGTGTTTTGTGAACTGTTTGTGCTTTAATGAAGCAAAAGAAATAAATAAATTAAAACTTTTAAAGATTTGTTGCAAGGACTCTCACTATCACAGATATTTTGAAAGCAAATATTCTCGTAGCGAAAACAAAATTGCGATGAAAGAAATGAATGCAAATAAAATATAAAAGCGATGTACACATGAAAGTTACCCATGTTTAAGCATGAGCGCGTCGTATGCGAGGCCGGTGGCGGGCGGGCGCGCGCCCACCAGCGGGGAGCTGAGCGCGCGGGCCAGCGGCGCGGCGCCCAGGGCCGGCGCGGGGGCGGGCGGGGCGCTCGGGGAAGGCGGGCGGCGGGACGTCAGGTCGATGACCTCGCCCTCCTCCTCCCGCAGCTGAGCCGCGGCCGCGTCGTGCGCCCTCGTCAGCACCGTCTTCCGGATCTGATCCCGCAGGTAGTGGTGCGCGGAGGGCGGGTGAGGGTGCGTGTGAGGAGCCAGCGCGGGGTCACCCAGCGGCAGGGGCGCCGAGTGTGTCCGGCCGAGCGGCCGCTTGGCGAGACGAGCTCCGAGGGCCGCCGCGCCGCTGTAGGCCTCCGCCTCCGACACGGGCGGCAGGACGGCGGGGGGCGCCGGGCCCACGTGGGGGACGTGCGCGGGCGGCACGTGACGCGGCGCGGCGTGCGGCCGGCCCAGGGAGATGTTGGGTAGAGAGGGCGACGAGAACAGAAGCTCGTTGGCGCGGCCCTCCTCCTCCTCGCGGATGGGAGCCGCCAGCGAGCCGGGCGGGGAGCCGCGGGGGGAGCCGCCCTCGCAGTCTGAAACACCGAAGTGGTTCATGTAGTGATCGAGCGCGGGGAGGGGGTGGTCACCGTGGAGCATGTATCGTTAGAGCGAGCGTCGTGTAAGCGGGTGTGTGTGTACTCACTGCGGTGCTTGATGCGTGTCTTGAGCGGGCGGCGCGCGAGGGGCGAGGCGCGGCGCTCGATGACCCGCGCCTTCAGCCTCACCTTCAGCATGTTGGGCTCCGAGGCTGTACACGCGCATGCGGTTACTCTACGCTACTGGACGCGCTCGGGGACGGGAGCCACGGGCCGCTCGTCCCGTCGCCGAGTGAGTGTTGTTATTGGGAACACACCGGTTAAAGAAAACACAACACATCCGATGACGGAGCAAGTCATCGAGCATGCGACATCGACTCGAGCGATTCGGTTTGACATATTGTTTAGTGATACTCGGGACCTGACGTTAGTTCTCAATGCGATCGAAATAATTCATAAATAAAGTCACACAAGGACGGTAAAGGCGTGTTAGATCACTCGGACATCGATAGTTCCATCCATAGAGTCGGTGGTCGGCCGTACCTGTCTTCCGGAGCGGGAAGTCCGCCGGAGAGGGTTGCGGGGCGGCGGCGGCGGGGGCGAGGGGGAGGGGCGCGGCCGACAGCCGGTAGGGGTGCACGCCGGACACCGCGCTGGTCGACGTGATGGACTCGCCCGACGAGGACTTCACTATACCCCTGGAACATACACCACACCAACTTACATACTGTCCCTCGAAGGGTTCAATTACAGTTTCTAGTCGATGTGTCAATCTGTATATAAAAATAAAAACCACAAATTTGTTAATAAATTGGTCTTACGATGACTCCGAACAATTTATAAAAATAGTGAAATAAAATAATAAAAATATAGCAATGGAAAGCAGGCTTTGCTTTCGTTTTGGATAAACTAAGAGACACATACCAACATGGACGCGCGCGCGCACGCACACACACACACACTCATTTTATTTATATAATTTAATTTTTAAAACGTTGTAATATCGTTAAGATTTCTTATTTTTTTTTTAAATATTAACAACTTTTAGCACAGTACCACTCTCTATGTGATTGTAATTTACCATTATTTTTTTTAAGAGTAGTAATATTTACTGAATCATGTCTGCTTGCAATGAATCGATGTCCACGATACAGGCCTAGCCTAGTGTGGACGTCAACGTTTTATTGTATATTGCATTGTAAAGTTTGTACAAATGTATGAAGGCAATAAATAAATATATGTATACCAGTTTCTGTAGGGCGAGCCGGGCACGGTTCCGTTGGCGCTGGCGGCTGCTTGTTTCTTCTTCAGGAACTCCTGTAAACCAAACGAGCACGTTAATCGTCTTCCTCCCCCTCACTAGTGTATGTAGTGTCCGCGCGTCTTCTACCGACCTGTAACTTCTGCTTGACCTGCGTGGAGGCGTTCGCGCTGTGCTCGTGCTTGTCCTTCTTCCTCATGAGCTCGACGCGGTCCCTCTCGTGCCTCTCCCTGGCCTCCCGCGCCTCCCTCGCCTCCCGCGCCTCCCTCAGCGCCGCCTCCTCCATCGCCTTCTGCTGCTCCCACAACTGTTAGTCACACCCGGAGTCAGCTTGAAGCTAACTTACAGACGACGGAGCATCAGACACACGGCCCGATGGACAACATTATATATTTAAGAGAAACGATTCTTTTTTTGTAAATCCTGGTAACAACACACCGGCCATCGTAGTGATGAATCATCACGGCTGATAAATCAAATCAATATTTTTACTGGTCAATGAATACAAATAGTATGTATACTCAGAGAAACAATTATGAAGTAGTTCACATTAAAATGGAGATGACGAGTATTGATGAAAAGAAAGAATTATAACAAAATACAAGTTTATAGTTTATAGTGAGCAGCCTGAAGCTGTGAAATTCGTAATGAGAGTGACCGTTCACTTCCTGTGTCCAAGACGGGGTACATCTTCTCATCTGTTAATTGGGGTCAGCTTGGGTTAATACGTGACACATCCCAGTGATGTAATTGTTATCGGCCAGAGCCATTCACGGCTAAATATAGAACAACCAGCCGCCACCGGCAGAAACACAGAGTGAGAATATGAAGAGAGAGGGAGACAGACAGACAGACAGAAAGAGAGGAGCCGAGAAGTATGAGTGATGTCATCAACATTTTCAAAACGTTTCGATTAATTCATTAATCACAAAAATGTTAATTTAGATGACTAGGATATTGACTACGTCGAGAATTATAACCGAGAAAATTGTTATTACTTCAATTAATAAATAAATTTCCATATTATATTTAATAAAGATTTCGGTAAAGACGTTTTCTTTCAAATTACCTTCAGGTGATGTCTGATCTGTTGCTCATGCTGCTCGGCGAGCTGTTGCCGCTGCTGCTGGAAGTGCTGCAACAAGATCTCTTGCTGCAGCTGCTGCTGCTTTTTCAGCTGAAAGGGAATTCGCATCAACTGTAATAATACTGGTTTCAATCGACCTTCTGTATTAGTAATAACGAGTAAAAGAATCAAATGACCTATGTGACGGTCTATTCACATGCACGTTTGTGTCATTTCCTAGTCGCTGTTCTCATGATGGATGGCATCACGGGCGTCACCGCCAAGTCGATCAAGGTCATCAGATTTGAAATACAACTTTAGTATCAAAACATTCGCTCATTAACATACATACACTATTTACATTTTAGATTATGTATCCCGTTATTGCGGGACATACCATAGAGCGGACGTGTATTTCTAAATTGCATATAAAATTTATGAAGTATATCTTTATTTGTTCTTTCAATCGTTTCCAAAAAAGGAATATAATTTTAATTAATTATTAGACGTTAGTAACATCGAACACAAAAAACAGTGAATAAATTATAAATATATACACATACTTAATATACATGTACTCCGTAACATAAAACAAAAAACACAATCACTGGATGTGTCCGGAGTGGAGTCGAACGTGTCGCAGCCAACAACAAACGGGAAAAATATAATGAAATTGAAAAATATACAAGACATTCATGTAATTGGGGGAAATAGAACTTATTACTTTGATGTATAGAGTGACATGGACAATGAACAATCAATGTAATGTAGGATCGGTTCTAAGTACTGCTCCATACAGAACACTGTCCTGCCCTGAGTAAACAAATAATACTACACGTATGTACACAGCGACGACATCGCCGACATGTGTATATATGTATGTCTATTCATACATCGGAATATAAATAAATAATATATGATAACACATGTTACTTATGCAACGGTATTTCTAATTAACGGCGGACATTGACGTCAAACAGGAGTTATTTTAATGTATAAACAATTATAAAATCATTGAAGTTTAAATTAAATTCTTTTTTTTATTTATAATAGATTCGTTGACGCCAATTGTCCACGAGGAGCAGACACACGTCCAGCTCCCCAGAGGTACCTACTAGTTGTTGTGGCATGAGACACGGTCGACCGCTCACACATACACTTGTACAATCAAACAACTCACTTGCAGCAGGAAATTATTCTCTAATGTTTGTTTCGCTCTCTCCGCTATATGGTTCGTTCTCGGCCTCTGACTCTGACAAGGAGAGGAAACAGTTGTACTATACAAGCGGAGGAGTCACATGGACCGTGGGACATATTGAGTAGAGGGAGGTTCGATGTTTTTATATATTTGGAAAACGCAATGCGGCGTCGGATCGCTGGCTCCGCATATTTACGGATTAGCAAATATTATTTTGGTATGATGGCAAAAAGAAATGGATTGGGTCGGAATGCGCGCGCGACGGGAATAGCTCGGGGACGAATGTTCAGCGAGCGAGTGGGGGGAGGGGGAGGAGGGGGGGGGCGTCTCGGACCATTGTCAACATGATGATCATAGTGAGGTTTATACATACTTGTAAAATGTACTGATATATGTTGTATAATGTGAATGATTATGTTTTCCTACACTATAGGACTCTAAATCTTCTTCTGGTGAATATATTTATTTCTTATAAGGGACTATCTAGTTAGTATGATGTGACCCGGTCGCGTGTCACCACACACGTATTCAAGTGTAATGGTCTTTAAAGATTCCGCTGTTGTTCAAAACATCACCGGTTATCATATAGTCAGAGTTCTACTCATAAAGATACGATATTTGTTGGAATTGTTCCAAATAAATGAATTATGGAAACGCAACGTTGAATAACGTGTGTACATGTTTTGTTGTGTCCGGTTGGGGCCGCTGTCAATACCCGGTGGTGTCAGGTTAGACTGTGTGCTCGTCCATCGCCAGTAATTGATTTCATTGAGCAGCACGAGCGGCCGATGTATTTTCGCACCGGATATTCGATCCTATCAGCGGGGAACGATAATGGAGGAATGTTTTCGAATCCGCAATATGCGAGTTATATTTACGGAGTCCGGATCGACACGCCCGCTAAAATTAACATAGGATTACACGGACGGGTGTAAATATAGTGTTCGGACGGAGGGACGGAGGGACGGACGAGCGAGCCACTCTTTATATACGTGCATTGTTATTAATAACACGCTGGGGAATTTATAAAAATAATACGACCGTTTTAAAACGACGCGGCGACGACAGACAGACGGCATCGGGAAAAGGTCACGGGAAATACTGCGGTGACGTTGGACGGAGAGCGAGGAGCAGCATCAGGTACATGGAACTAGCAGGAGAGACAGCAGTCGCCTCATGGTCTCAAATACGTCTACCCACACTTGATAGCTTTGTCAATATTTACACGCAGGCAACATAAACGTTTCAAATTTTATTTTGTTTTTGCTAGGAACTGTCTCTTACTGAGGACTTTAGTGTGATGGTATTATAATACTAAAAACTGTTCTGTAAGGTTTATAATATGATTTTACATTTTAGTCGATGTTTTGGTTACTTTACATATGTGACCACGTGACACTACATCTCGTCCGCCCGTAATATAATAAATGAGCGTCGTTTGATCTAAATGTGAACTCGCGAAAATTTTATATGTTGTTATATATCAATATTATTCGTAACTTAAAACTTGTAAAAAAAATAACCATTGTTGACAAAGAAATTAAACTGTTTTTATATGGATTTGTTTCCATTGACATGTTTATTAATAACAAACTGTACATGTACATGTAGGAAAACCTTTTATATATATAAAGTAATATAATTTACAAGGCGGTGGGCGCAGAGAAACACCGAATATGGATTATAATTAGAACGGACGACCTTCAAGTATCTACGTTTTAACCCGCACGAGGAAAAACACATTTAAAACGAACACATAACTAATGTTTATATATGTTATGATTATAATTTATGTGTGTAACATTTTTTAATAACTCGTTTAGAACCACCACAAATATCGTATTTTTAGTAGTTCTCTCGTGTCTATAAATATGTTAGAAATGCTTTTCTTTAGTCAAGTCGTTCTCTATATGCGGGAGTTCGGGTTTCTTTAAATAGCTCCAGTTAACTGGATCGCCTGCTCTTTATGAAACATCCGAGTTTATTTTAATATCAAAATGTCGAATGTCGAACGCTCCACTTGAGTCGCTTCTTCCTCGACTTATAACATCATTAAAACGTATTACAATCTTTATCGTGTGTTCAGCTGGATGAGAGGTGTCGGTGAGGAGGTGGTGTGACTCCGGGGATGGTCGCGTGTGTGTGTGTGTGTGTGTGTGTGTGTGTGTGTGTGTGTGTGTGTGTGTGTGTGTGTGTGTGTGTGTGTGCGTGTGTGTGTCGAGGTGGTACCTGCATGATCTGGTGGTGGATGGCGTCGGGCAGGCGGGAGGCGTGCGGCGGCGACGGCGTGTGCTGCGGGGACCCCTCCGCGCCGCTCGCACTCTCGTGGGCCATCTCTGGAACACAACATGACATGCTTTAAAGTCACCATCAGAAAACACACTCCAACGCTCTACCGTTGTTATTTTATACAGAACTTCAATAGAGAGGCTTATATGACTATAAGACTTCAATGATATAGTTATGATCTTGTATTCTACGATCACTTTAAACTTATCAGGACCAACAACTCTTTCTCCTAGTACATTTAAACTGCCTTATATATTAATCGAGCTTTAGTTGAAGTGTCATCGCCGTATGTTTATGACTATTATAAGAGTGTTATTATACATAAATAGTATTAATGGGGGGTGGTCACCGATAATGCGTCGAAAGTGACCAGATTCCCGAAGTAGGTCAGTCCGGGGCGACAGGGAGAGGGCGGAGGGGCGCGCGGGGGTCGGGGGGCGGAGGGCCACGTTTCTATTTATAGAGTGCTATATTTGGATCGCCTCAGCGCTCCTCGGGACCGCCGTCACAGACAATCCTTTTGTTTTTATATGGAAATAAAAATGTTATTTTCGAACACAAACAGAACTGGTCGCTGACGTACACTTTATATAATGCTAGGGACCAGTCGACAGTCACGACACGTGGACTGACCACTGCCACTGGAACTTTTATCTTGAAATAGTAATTTTTAACAATTTTCTATTTATAGTATATCAACCTATAATGTTTTTTTCTCCACAACATATAGTACGCTAACTATATCGTATGCTCATTGCTCACGTACTCGTCAGGAGTCCGTAGCGCTCTACAACGTGTCTACGAGATGTTTATCTTTTACAACTACCCTAAGCGTTACAAGTGAAATGTATCACTTGTAGTTATTTGGTTTTATTTATGACCCGTTCAATGATCGCTTGTTTTTCTCATATACTATAAATACATGTGTTATGTAAGCCCATAATATATGTTAAGTTATGTTAATACTCCGTCCGGTACATCGGCCAAGGTGCTCCGGGTCCACGGTCTGTTCTCATCTCATCACGTTACGCAAAATAAACGATAATCTTTATCTTATCAGGTCATCGGTCGTCGTGTTATTATTAAATTACATTAATTTATATGAGAAATAAACAACTCGAAAGTCACAGTCCGAAATAGAGCTCGTGTTTTAGGAATCGTGTTCGTTGACTTTCAACAAAAAAATAATTAATTCTTATAAAAAGTCACTAAGCTAACAACATACAAGGACGGAAGTTTTCCTCGGAGCTCCATTTTATTCAAACATTTTATCAATTAACATAACAAGGATGTGTTGTATAACTGGCACAGGTTTCCTTCTACCTTGGAACACGTCACACTGTCATATGATAACAGTTAGGAAACAACAAAACAAGACGTCCCTCAGAGCCGAGGGTCGTAAAAATAGAAATGTATAGCGACAAGTGAAGGACTCGCCCCGGCCGGGGGTGGATGGTGGATGGTACCATCGACTCATGAGGATATTAATAGACCGGCCACGGGACACCGCGCCTACAACGTGCTGCTGAAGGACCGCGGTGTAAAGGTTGAAGGGTTCACGTCACCTGTGACAACTACTTTCTACGTATTGTTATTTCAAGATAATCATTTGTATTGGTTTACGGAATATTATTTTTTTGTACAACACAGTGATCGTGTGGTGCTCGTGATGTTAGCTCGTTACTAGTAGGTCCTTCCCCCCCTCTCCCCCTCCTAACACTTGCTCCACTAACTCTGCACCGCACTATTTCTGCTGAATGTTTATTTCACGACCAGCGCCGCGTCTATTTCCAATCTTCTAAATGCAGCGCCGGAAATATGTTTACGATTCTGACTTTTATACTTTTTGTAACAAATAAAACTGTTACTTATTTATAAGTTATGTATAATGAGGTATTTGAAATTTAGAACTGTTTAAGAGCGTCAATTAAACAACAAACATTACATCATACAGATTATAGGTTACATAAAAACAATGAGAGAAATGCATATAATTATAAAGTGAACATTGTATTGCACCGTTTAATTATTATATATAAAAATAAAATGAACAAGTCGAAGTGATTAATACAGAGAACGTCGTTACTGTATCAACTGTATTTGAAACAAGAGTGAATACAACTTTACCTACATATTGTTAATATGTGAATAGCTCTGTTGGTTCGTGAATCAGAACGCGTGAACGGTATCAAAAATATTGTTATTCCTGTCACAAATAGTCCTCAGTCCACCATATAATCAAAAGAAAAAAGATTTCCCTTTGAAACAAAAGCATACATTTACGCGACAAATTATAAACAAAAAACTAACCAAGGACAAACACGAAAGAAATTAGTTCGGAGAGTGATAACGGAAACAATGAAATGATAATAATTGTTTTACGCCGCGTGTAAGGCGAGGAGTGAGGACTGTCTGTGAGAGTCCATGCTTCATGTGTATCATGAGGTACAGGTTTAGTGTAGCTCAGTGTTTAGTGTAGTTCTGTTAGTGACGTAGTTGGCTCCGCGGCCAAGTATGCGCGGCTCGTCCGGTGCTCGGCGACTCTTGCCACACTAATCATATTCAGTAATCGTGTAATGAATGAACCTCGCTATGTATCGGACCGTTCAATACAAATATGATTTGATTCTCATCCAGCATCAGCTCCGCTTCCTCCTGCCGAGGATCGCCTCAGATATTTATATCTTCTAGGTCACGCCGGCTTAATGTGAACGCTTACATATTTAGATATTATATCTGCCGCGATAACAGTACAGATAATTGTAACGTAGGTGGTCCTGGTGCTCGCAACCTACTCATTAAACTACAGAGTTATTTTGATACGAAACAATACGTAACCATGTAGCTGTAATTGATTTATGAAATGATAAATCAGTTATCGCTTCAAACATTGTTCGATGTGAATATATTTTATTGGACGTTAATGATTTCCGTAAATATGAAATCACAGCCAGTGTTACAGCAGCGGGCGGGCGCTAGTCGTGCGTCGTGTGTCAGTAACAACTGCGGAGTCTAGTCCGGAGCTGCGCAGGAGGCTGAGTCACGTCTATAATAAGCCGTCTATATATAGATCATAATACAAACACTGGTGTCGAGGGCCGCCTCTCCTCCTCCACTCTTCAACTCTTTGTCTTGCCACCACTCGTATGTTGATCCGAGTCGGTTCCTCGTCACCTCTCCCCGCACCGTACATTATATTTATTTCATATTTCAGTCTCAGATAACGTTAGATAACACGTGTCATATCTCTGTTTATCTTCGGCGCCGATATAACGCTCTATAAATAAGTCTTACGACAGCGGCGTAGTAATTGTCGGAAAACTTGACGTCTATATCTCGAGAGTCGACTTTTCTGTTGTGAACGCTGTGCGTGTTCTATTTGTTCGCTTTTCGTGTTAAGATTGTTCTGAACTAACTTACTTTCAGTGACTAGTACACATTTTCCACTCCATCCGCCTCATCATAACTCTCTCTCCTCGCAGCAGGTCGTGTGTCGTCACCTGTCCGTGTCAACCTGCCACCCTCGATCCCCTCCTCGACTGTTCTATATCCAGCACATTCCGATCCATTTTATTTTAGTCTCATCCTAATTCCGTCTCCATCTAATGAGCGGTCATCGTAAACATCATGTTATATATATTTTCCCCGTGGTTCCCCTGCCTCAATGTTTCCGTACCATTTTTCTGTGTAACGCTGTCTTTCACATCTCACGCGTATCTTTTAATGCTTGTTATTATCATAGTAGTCTATCATCATCATCTTTTTCTTTTCTCTCTCTCTACCAGCATGTTCCATCTCTTTCTCTCCGTCTCTGTTTTCTCCAGTATACTATAATAATTCCATTCCCGTTGTCTGTCCGTTCTATTCTCGTCCTTCTTTATACGAGGTTCTATTTTGGTTCTGGTTTTGTTTAGTTACCGATCAATTATTTATTAGTTCCAATATCCCCGCAACTCTTTACACACACACACACACACACACACACACACACACACACACACACACTATAATTGTCAATCGATCATCTGTCCGTCTGTTTATAAGTAATACCGTTTTTCAAATTCCATCCATAACAATTAATTTTTTTATGACAACATTTTATCTGATAATAATATTTTACTACGTACGGTATTCAACGTTTTAATGACTACGATATAGAATACAAAGGGATTACATTTAATCATATTATAATTGGTAGTAATAAGGAAATTAATTTATTATAATTTTATAATAACACCGTTGACACTGAATCGTCCGTTACATTAATATTCATGTATAATAATGTACACGTGTGACAGTAATTAGAAAACCTTCGATAAGCGTTGATCACTCCGAGTCCTGAGACTAATAATAAACTGTGGTGACTGTCTTTAGATGATGTGACGTAATGGACACAATACAATATTTAACTATATATGAATAGTTCAAACAGTTGTAGAGACATATATGCTCTTACAATAAACGTATACCCTCAATATTGTCTATACATATAATAATGAGACAGGTGAACATTCACATTTGCATATTATGTTTAAATGAATATATTATCCTCTCTTAAAACTAATTATCGTAATTGGATGAAAGAATTCAGTACTGTATATATTTGTGTGATATAATTCTAAATAGTTTATAAGTCGGAACATATTATCAGTTAGTTTAGTACAAGTTTTTATCGTGTACGTCAACAGCGGAAATTTTCGTATTTCCCATTCATGAATGTACATATACATATACAAGAATTATGAATGAACAAACTACATACTGTCAGTATGTTCATTGTTCAGTCTGTCGGTGTACGCTCGTACTGGGGATACAGGTGATCTGTGGTGTATGTGTGTGTGTGTGTGTGTATGTGTGTGTGTGTGTGTATGTGTGTGTGTGTTACTTCGTACCACATCACCTTTGAACAAATAAAAACCACAATCGTCGGACAACTCATGCCTGGTCATCCATCAGGTTCAAATTATAACACACATTTGTTCATGGATCACTTAATTTGATCATTAAAAGTATGTACAGATATAAACTACTTTGTTTTCCTCCCTTTGAATGTTCGCTAATAGAATTTTGTATTGAAACTTGATTAAAGTTAATAAAATAGAGGTTGATAAGATTTTTATGTCAAGATATATTTCGTATTTATACTGAAAAACTTAGTTAGTATAATTAACACTTTCGTTGTGAAACATTTAATTTAAAAAAAGGCACATTTTATCACATTGCGAATTTCATAGACACAGAATAACAGACAGACCGAAATGTTTATATACATATTTTGTCAAGTAATGTTAGTTGTTATAATACTAACAATTCGGCAGTTGAGAAATTAACGTTATTTTAAACTAAGAGCATATTTCTGTGTTAAAGCGAGGACCTTGGCGCAACATGGTCGGTTCAGTCGGTTCAGGAAGCGCCTGTTCCTAGAATAGATTTGGCAATGATGACCACCACTCACGGTGAGACCCGCCGGACACTTTGACTTTCATCACTAACAACAACAGCTTTCAATGGAATTTACATTTATATTAAAATCGTCATAATAAAAGCAATGTTGACTTCCATCATTCATATATTTATATTATATAATATAACTGTATATATGTGTATACATGTTTACTAGATTTAATTTTATTTTTATTTAAGATTAAAAATACTAAACGGATTTTGATAAAACTTCAGGATCGGACAAAGCAAATACAACACAATTTACCGTGTACTATAGAACACACTATAATTAGTTGTGTAAGACTAATTAATAAGTCCACGCGGACGAAGTCGCGGACAAAAACTATTATTATTATATATGTATTTAAAGTTTCCTACACCCCCCCTCCCTCCTGCCCCTCCTCCCCGTCCCGCCACATCTGCTACTATTTCTGTGAGTCCAATATATTTCCGCGTGTGTTTTCTCCAATCTATTTCTAATTCTCTCGACTGTCCGTCCTTCTAATAAATCTCTTAATGGGATATTAATTCTTCGTGTTCAGTTTTCGATTCAGTATTTATGTTAGTTTACATTTAGAAGTTATGATGTAATGGCTATCAGTAGTATAACAAAACGTTTTGCATCAGCCAGTTTATGAATGTGTGAGAGTGATCATTTGTTGTGGGTCTACATATGTAGGTGTGGGGACCTTGACACTGACGTGGGCCGTGGGACCGGCATCGACTATTCTTCAGAAGATAGAGGCCAAGTTCATGTGTGTTAGTTTTGAATCAGAGGTCGAAGCAGTGGGCTTCATCCATTATGCGAACGTGTCCAGTGTAAGGCAGCGTCGTATCTACCCAGGTTGTCAATTTTCCATTGCAAACATTGAGTTTTATTTAAAAACAATTTTATATAATTGATAAAAATCGACAAAATATCTAATTTGAACCTTCTTTTCGAACAGAAAACATATAAAGTATTTCCATTGTTGGTTTATGTAATCTAAGATAAATATTAGTCGTCGGTGCATTACTGCAAGTGGTCAGCTCGGAGCCCACACTGATAACACTTCCTGCGAGGTCATCAACCTTCCGGCTGTTATCGGTCAGCTGGCGTGACTCTGTGACCCTCACACATAGACCAGCACCCGCCTGTATCATCACTCACCTTGGTCTCGAAACACATTCATAAACTTGCTCCTCGTCTTAGAGAAAGACGCAATCGGCGTACCGGTGTTTACTAATGCTATTGATTTATAGCTAAATAAACAAAATTTACATAATATCACGCCCGCGTCGTTCTGGTTACACTGACCTTTAATAATAACATTCATTAATTAATTAAAATTTATAGCTGTCAACGATCGTCAAACATTTAATATTATCGTATTCTTTATATGTAACACTTACTTGGGACTTAAAATATTTTCTATTACCAATCAATTGATTTTCTGGGCAGGTGTTTTATGATTTCGGAGAGGTTTATGGGTTGAATTTCTGGAAGTTTTTTAAATATATCCAGTGTTTTACATTAATACGGCCGATGTGTCCAATATATAGTTCCTATCGAGTAATTATTATAACAAGGAAAATCCTTATTGTGCAACACTTTACAGTTTTCCCGTTCAAAAATAGATTAATCAAAGTTTATATTAATAAGATTGTTATTCATACTATTTATAGACGGCTGTTGTTTCCTTTTGTGTTATTTTCAGTGTTGTTTGTTACTGTACGGTCGTTTGTACAGGTTTCCTGTTCCATAACATAATCACTACCCACTCTATATAAACTGTCGCTAATCTCACTTGTACATTAATACATTTGTTTCGACACCTAATTATCTCCGTGTCATATTTCAATCACAATGACAGTAGTAAGTCTCGTTGTATTCGCTAATTAAAATTGTATAATACAAAGCTAGTTATTTTAGTCTTTTGGCTCGTCGCTGACAGTCCATCAATCAGACCGCGGGGTGTTACGACAGCGGCCACAGATACCAGCTGATGTATTATGATGTCTTCATCCTTACTATCTCTTATGATGGTCCTCGTGTTCTCAGAGCCTCGCCTGTTGCTCATCACCAGCTTTATAACTAAAGCAAGTCTTTAATCCTCACTGCCAACTAATTATCGTGTCGGAGCGTGCATATAATTAATAAAGGTAATGGACGCGACCCATTCAAACATTAGTTTTGACATTTTATTATTGTAAGTGTCGTGTGTATGTTGTCATACGTTTAAAGTGGACAAACTGGAGCACGACGAGACGTGGCAATGATCGTGGAGCTCGGAGACCACACGACTGGTGAGGTCACACCGATGACACGATATAAACATACTAACGAAATAGACCACACCAGATAAAACCTGTTACTGTTTATCGAATACATTTGTACTTACAGACGTCATGATAGGAATCATTTCAAAATATGAATATATATCTTCCAATAGTAAGATCTTTCATAATTCCTTGATATACTAACCATATAATGAGAAGCGCAAAGATACTTATACACTGTGTGGAAAATTAATAGAGATGAAAATAATGAGACAGAAGTCATCGTGTTTAGTGCGCAGTTGAAGAAGTCTTTAGATAGAATCGAGCAATGAGGCGTTAGATATTAAAATATTTATATACGATACTGTTACTTGAATAGGGGCTTAGAAGGGTTTGAGTGGTACTGGGACTTTAGAGGAATAAAGAGGATATCGGTCAATAATGTCTTGGACAAATAAAGAGAGGTCCTTGGACGAATCAGTATTAATGTATTGTGGACGCCTTCACATAGTTTTAGTTAGCTATTAAAGCGTCCAGTCATGTTGATAATTAGAAGGGTGTAGGAGTAACAGACCGCTAACACTTATGTTTGTTTTCACGTTACGAATTTATATGTAATTGTATTAAACAAGAAAATTTGTATCTTATTGAAGTTAAAGTATATTGATATATATATATAGAAATATAAATGAATTATTTATATTATTGAATCCAAAAAGCGTCGTGCGAACCGCTCGCTGGCTCGCTTCCAATTAGGTGCGAGGAACATATAGTTTGTCCATATCTAATAATAAACGGGCGAGCTGGCCGTTTATAGAATAACCAGAATAGTAGCCGGCGGATACACTGTTTATAGATGCTGCTCTATACAGACATACGTACATACACGGGCTAAAAACGACCAGCAACCCGCGACCCGCGACCCGCGACATGACCTTACTCAAATAGACCACTCTCAGGCCGAACGTTTAATGTACTAATAGGAATTAACATTATATATATAGTGTAAGTGTATCGTGGATGTAGCGTGCGTCATTTCCGACATCAACCGCCCTTAACACATTTCCGTTCGATTTTCGAGAAATCATACGATAATAATATATCCGAAAAAAATGATAACAAATGCATTTGGCCTAATCTCGTTTACTACATTCGTTTTTAGTGAGTTTAAGTATCGCCACTAACTAGACAGCCTGTATATGATATGATAGGTGTTCCAGGTAGGTGGCAACCCTTGATAGTCACCATATATTAATATTAAATACATCAGTAATATTCACTCAGCCTGGAGTCATCTTTTCATTTAGTTCAATATATAACTAAATACTTCAATGATCAAAATTCTTTTCTATTTTATAATATACAATGAACATATCATCATCAGTCGACAATCGTCTTTATTTTCTCGTAATAAAAGATATTTAATAAGTCAGTAGTGAGTAGCGTCCGGTGTAAATGTTAAATAATTTAATTTTCAATGTCATACAGTTATTCAGTAGATAATAATGTATGTAATGTTGTTTGTACTTGTATAATATAATACATATAATGTGTAATGAGGAAACGTGACGTCACCCGCTAAGGTTTAGTGCACACCTCACTTTATTAATAATATATATGTATATAAAAGTAATTATTATTTCACTCCTAAAATATTTATGTATTTATTCTTATTGTTATAAGAGCATGTGTGCTGTAAACTATAACAAATCTATTTACTTTTTATGATATAAATGACCACTTATTCCCAATAAGTCACATGCTCCCTCTGGTCATGTGAGCTCCGCTGGTGAACATACTGACATCAAAATATACAAGACACTACAATATCTATGTAATATCGCGAGTATTCATTTAAATGAAACTAACATTTTCGGATTGCTAGCGTATTTATTACTTTAAAAAACGACAAACTCCCGACGTTTCGGTTACTTTTCAGCAACCATGATCACGAGCATACGAGATGTAAATGTGCTGAAAAGTAACTGAAACGTAGTAATTATATAGTTCTTTAAAATAATAAAATACGCGTAGTAAAATCCGAAAACTATTAGTTTAATTTAAAATACCGTATATTAATAATATGTTGAAGACTGCAAAGAAATAGTTTTAAAACATCTACTTCATAAAAAAGACCTCAAAGTACACGAGAATAAAATAAAGATGATTCTTAATTACATTTATAAAAGACGTGGCATCCGAAACTTTCTTTTTTGACTTAATTTGAGTTACATGTTTATTAGTTTGGTTCAAATAACTGGATTAGAACAGAGAGGTTCTGCAAAAAAAATTCTACCAACATATTTATTGTATATCCTTATGTATGTACTGTTGTATTTTCTACATTATAAATGACACGTATCATTTTAACCAATTAATAAAAGTGAAAGCCATATATATATGTAACTAATCCTAAGATATATAATTATTTTAATTTTATGTATTAATCATGTATTTGAATGAAAATCATGTTTTATTGTGAAATAACAGGAAAACCGTATATCTACCTACCCTACCGTTGACGCGAGCCTCCGTCCCGAGCTGGTCGGAATATTCAATCATTACCCAAGTGTATATCGTAACGCGTCAAACCAAAATTCAAAAAAATATTTCAATGACTCGTGTTGGTGAAAACGAGGTCACAGCCGCCATCTTTTTTTTTATAAATCAAGTTTTGCGCAACTCCTTTTCAAAAGTGGTTATTTTTGGCTGTCGGTTTTTTACTTTTACTTTTACCGAAACTCGAAATGTTTAAGGTTATGAATGTACATTCAAAAAGCGAGCACGATACGTTATAAAAAAAATATAACACAACCAAAAATACTTCTAGAACATGAATACAGCTCCTAGGTCGAATATATTGAATTGGATATTTAAAAATAAAAAAATTAAGAATTTAAATGTATTTAAAATATGCAATATTTACATATAGACTTCATAATAGGTATAAAAAAGGAGGTGTTTTCCAACGATTAAAGTAAAGTTATATTTTAACTGGCGAATAATAACTCATTATTATTATTATCAGCCTATCAGAACCAACTGCTGAGCAAGGCCTCTTTCTCACATAGAGAAGGTTTGAGCATTAATCCCCACGCTTGCTCAAGACGGGTTGGTGATTTCAAACTTATAATTGTGATATTATAAGTCCAGGTTTCCTCACCATGTTTTCCTTCACCGTATGTCAGTAGTGTCTAAATACTCTTAGAAAGTACATTGACTCGGAAAAATCACATTGGTACTTGCCAGGATCGAACCCACGCCCTCGGCAACGAGAGGCGGGTCCTTTAACCACAAGGCCACCACTGACTTCTATATAATAACTAGGTACATACATATTTTGCTCCCAAATAAATTTATTATACAAATGGGATGATTGACATCTATGGAATTCAAACTACAAATTAATATTCGATATTTTCAAAAATATTTCGAAAATCGTCGACGAAAAAAGAGATCCAAAATCATCAAATTGGTGATTTGAATTTCAAATAGAGTCAATTAAAATTTTTAATTTGAATCAAAAAACCCAAGGAGTATTTTCGTCTGTATTTTTATCGGTCGTCGCTGGTGCTAGTGTTTCTTGTTTGTCAATATATAATCTCCTGCAAAGACTCTCCTATTCATCATCTCAGGCCGCTCCATGTCTTACTCCATACACTCCACGCATTATCTAACCCGCCCCCGCTGTAGTAATAATCTCTCGTATGTTTACATACACACGGAATATACGGCACATTGTAACATATTGTTTGTCTTTAAAAATAACAGCGTTCACTTCTATATATTTATTACATCCAGAGATGTTAAGCTAGAAAGACTGATTTGAATGAATGATATGTAGTATTCAGATATATGGAGAAACATCAGCTTGCCTCCGCGGCGTCCTCGGGGAATAGCGACCTCTGACATTTGGATTGAGAAAAAAAGTTGACATAATAATGAAGAGATAGAACGAGCTTCGAAAACTACCAGCCACGTGTAAAGGTGTTAACATTATACGTTCAACGAGACTGTATTTAAGATGTTCAAATGTACTCTTTGACTTATTGACTGCAATAACTTCGTGGCTCGTTGTACATGCGCCGGTCTATTGGTCCACCGGTCCATCGGTCCACCGGTCCACCGTTCCGCTGCAATTCGCTCTATATTTACTACCGCAACGACTAGACGTCATAAATTATGATAATGATCTCGCCCTACTCACCTAATTCCGTCATATTGACTTACTATGACAAATTATTATTAGAATTAAACTTTATTATATTTTGAACAAATATCATAGTATAATTGATTAACTTTCGCTTGTTCAGTTAGAAGAAATTTTTATCTTAAAGCTGTTTTTATAATATTAAAATCCTCTGAAGATTTTGCAGAAATACATAGAAATTAATAGGAACCATGGAAACGAGTGAATTATTAATATTTCGACAATATGAACAAACGTTATTAGATGACGATGTATGCTTAAGAAATACGAAAAAAATTAATCAGAGCAGAACAATATATAAAAGGAAAAGGGCTTGTCCATAATATAATACATTTATTTATCTATATACATTAATATATGTAAAATAAGCAGTGAACATGAGGCGAGACAAAAACAAAGTTAAAGATCACGAGATGTATATATGTATATATATAAACCTGTTCTATGTTTATTGATATATAAAAACAAAAGAATACCATGTAATGTAATGTAATGCGATTGTTGTTTATACAATATATTAATGTGAATGAGGTAATAACGTTGAGTTCTGATGCAACTATACTTCTAAATCCGCGAACACCATCCGGGTGCGATGACATTGTTAATGAATAAACAAACAGACATACGTATGTATGTTAATATTAATATAGTATATGTGATAGATGATGATGATGATCGGTTCGTCAGACCGTATCAGTGGACCGGTAGACCGCGGGGATCGACACTTGTATATAACAACAAATATAGTGCGTTTGATTTAAGCTGAGCTTTGCATTTGTGTGAGTGTAGGTGTGATGTCAAATTTTTGAATGCCACGTTCTTTTCTAGTTTTGAACCGGTTTATTCTGCTTTTACTCCGCCCCGCACTTACCGCACTTTACCTTTTGTACTGGTAGCAAAATTAAAAACGCAATATCAAATGAAGAAGAATTTGTATAGTTTTTTCAAAATGTTTTTTTAATTAATTTTTTTTTCCATAATATCGTAATATTTTCATCTGGCCTTTTACAAGTTTTGCTTATTATATAGCACTTATGTTATGTATCTATTTAAAATATAATAAAATTTATTTTTAAAACTCTTTTGTATGACACCAATTTTTACTTACACTCACACAAATGCAAAGCTCAGCTTAAGTCTAACGGACTATACCCTTATTCAGTTTCGTAATTTTGTCAGAGGGAGGTCGTTCTATGAGGAAAATATTTTTAATTAATAAAAGAAAACCTACAAACTATACAATACAATCTTCATAAAACCCTTAAAAGGAACTAATGAAAAATAGAACAGGAAAATCATTACGAGCGGTATGATCACGGACTGTGTTACGACCTTCGACACGACGCTACCTACAGTAACAGTAATTCAAACTACTGTATCAATTCCTTGTGTTTTTCTTCTACTCGGAAGTCGGCATGAGACGCAAATAGATCTTGATTTGTCCAAAAAAAGTATTAGAATTCAATCATATTATTTCATCACAGTTCAGTGTTAGGTATTAGTTGTTGTTCCTCGTTTACCTTCCCTCACCTCAAGAACGACCGTCTCTGCGGTCGATGACGTGTGTGTGACGTGCATCGAACAGAACAGTACCATTACGAAGCAATTTATAGAGAATGAAAAACGTTTGTAATAGGACTTTAATTATTATTGATTCCGATGAAACCGACGGGGAACAAATAAACACAGTCACACAGACCGCTGTGATGAGACGCTGACACTGACTAATAAAGGAGCCGCCGGCAGCCGACACCGCAGAACATAATTAATATACAACTATTATTATTATTATATATATGAAGTATGCTAAATATTGTGGTAATATGAACTTCAAGTCAAAAATATACCGTTCAGTCAATGTTTTTTATTATTCTGTTCATGATTTGTTGTATAGAACTAAAAAATAATTGAAGGGAGGAACAAAACGAGGGAAAATAGATACATTAGAAGCCATAACGTCGGAGGACCGGAGAGATACCGAGTAACATAACCGTCCTAACAATAACAAAGGAAAATTTTATACGGAAAACATTAAAGACTTCACTACACTCATAACATTACACTACACAGCACATATTTGACTGTAATTACATATAAAAACGAGAATTAAACAACAAGGTCGATACAAAACAAATAAGAGATCAATGTACCAAGAAAAATATGAATGTTCACCAACAGACATCGGTACATGGATCATATGATGTCTGACGGACACGACACGATGACGTCACACATGAAAACAATATGTGTTAGTGGGCCAGCGACGGAGATTATGTTCAGATGATAATTTACGAGAACGTTGGACCAGACTAAACTAACCTGTACCGAGAGAACTAACTTCTAACTATTGATAGGTATAGGCTTAAAGACTTTCAAATCAGTGGTGGCCTAGTGGTTAAAAAGGCCCGCCTCTCATGCACGAGGGCGCGGGTTCGATCCTGTCCCGGGGAAGTACAAATGTGATTTTTCCGAATCATATGTACTTTCTAAGAATATTTAGACATCACTGATTAATGCTGATTCCCAAGAGGGTTGATGCCAGGCAGGCGGCCGGTCGTAAAAACAATAAGCCAAAAATTTTTTTCACAATATGTAAGGCAGACCCTGGCTATAGCTGGGAAATTGCCAGGTAGAAGAAGAAGGACTTTCAGAGGCTCAACCGCTGCTGTACATCAAAGTGAGCGTATAGTCAAAATTAATCCAGAGTGTATTAATGAATGATCTAAGATAAACAAGGGTTTGTTCTGCGAGGAGGTCAGTGTCCCTCTCCGCGCCGGTCCGTCTCAGAAGTCATAGAGACCCGCTCTCAATCCAGATTGATGTAAACATGTGGATACTTAACGTGCACTAGACATAGAGGAACCCGAAACGTAATGTTATCTGCTCATATATGTACTAGGATATAATATGTTGTACTAATTAATTGAGTCTCATTATATAAATAATAATAGATTTAACAAGTTGGATTCGATTCATAAATTTGCATCAAACAACATTGTATTTAATAACGAGAGACAATTAAAATAATTTATATAAAATTTAATAAGCAATGACAGAGGAATTACGACGGTATAATTATCTCAAAATGTTACATTAATTAGTCTCATATTTATTTAATGAAAACATACATATATTGTCGACGAGTTCGACAGGTTTGTATTCTGATATAGACAAAATATTCTCAACAGACTTTGAGTCTGTGTACCATGGAGCAGTTCCAGGATGTAGGGGTCTCAAGCATCAGTCCACCGTCAGCCGATGACAGTATGAACGGAGCTCAGCCAAGATAAGAATGACGAAACAGAACTCAGTAGGTAAACATGAGACAAATAAACATGGCACTGCTGATAAGGGATGTTTACTTTAAACTGTATATATATAAACTAAGGAACTCCGATAACACGCACACTTTACTGATGAACCGACTAAAGATTATGACACACGGACAACATACTCTTATATGATATAATATATACGAGACTGGAGACAGGTTACATACTAGTTAATATTAGGAATATCGAAATGCTGAGTGTCCCTACCAAAGATCCATCGGAGAAAAAAAACAAAAAACATCACCATACTATTAGATAATTGTTAACATTATGAAATACATATAACGAGTCTCAAGTTCGTCAACAGAAAATAAATAAATACATAGATGTAAAATTAGACAGATCAATAGATTCATTACGAAAAAAATATCATACAATGTTCGTCAACAAGAGAGTGGTATATTGTATTTTAAACCGTTGTAACTGATGTTTGTTGCATTCCTTATAGTTTAATATTTACAGTCCGTCTCAATTCGTGACATAAATCGTGAGGACGACACATGAAGTAGTTTGCGGTAACATCGAGCAAAGACACTGATAACACACTCGACACGGATGAGACACTCGCACTCGCAACGACGAACACACACACGACCGGCCGTGTGTTACAGCGGGCACACGCACACTACAGCACGGTAAAAATAGAAACAACGATAGCACGCACACACACACACGGACGTACGTGAACTGTAATAAAAACATACATAGAAACATCGAGTGCGCTATGAATAAAGCACTAATTGAAATGGAGGCATACGACTTGTTTATAAAAAAGAGAGGCCTACGAGCCGACCGCGAGCACGGGCTGGCTCTGTGACGTCAGAGAGAAACACCGGAGAGAAGGAACACAAGGGACCGAGCACGAGGAGCGATCAGGTGCGGTCCGACCATAACTAGAGGCTTGGTCGATCTATCGACCGAGTACCGGTTCCGTCTGGTTCAGTAATAGGGCGGCGGAGAAGGAGGAATGTTCAGGATTGCGGACTCACCTAAATTAATGACATACATGGCCTGGGAGCGCTCGAGCCGCTGCGCGTGCTCCACGGCCTGGTACAGTCCGGAATCCACTTTAAACACTTTGATAAACACTATTCGTAACCACTGCGCTACACGCGAGCATCTTATGTAGAAACTAGCACTGCTGCCAGAGTTCGGCGGCTGGCAAGTAGCGAGCTGCACAACGAGTGACAGGCGGTGTAAACAGAAAGTGTCGCACGAGTCACACACGACGGGCGCGGGCGGATTGCGCGCGGACACTGAGTGGCCGACCGCGGTCACGATGGAGGGAAGAGGAGGAGGAGGCAAGGGGGGAGGAGGAACAGCGCGAACGCAGCGCTCGGCGCTTGTGATAACTCAGCGCCTCATTCATTCGACCAGCGAAGACCGGGGAGCCGGAGCGCGGGAGTGTTCCACCGCACCAACACACGACGCACGCGCGCGCTGACGCACATCACTTTATGTGATAAACACTAAAAATCTTGGCAGGAGAGGCACCGCGCCGTTTGCCAGAGACGAAATGCAGCTTTCTCGGAATCCTATGATGAGGGAGCCAGCCGCAGATATGAACGTGACGATACAATCATTGTGTTGCAAATTTATAGAGTCAAGGGAAGATCGCGACCCTACATAAAAAATACTGATGTCATCGTTGATGATGACGCAAATACGTTCTGATTAGAAACATATTTGGACATAACAGTTGGGTACACAAGTCATGGATGTTTCCAAAGGTCAAACGAAATTGTATAAATTAATTAATTTAATATAGGTAGGTACGTGTCACTACATTTTAACTTATATTAGAGGCGATGGTGAGTTCGTTCATTCGTCTGTTCTGATTTTTGTTGTTTTTGGAACAATTACAGGATAGGGATGTCGAAAATTCCATGTTCCTGGAGGACACCAATCGAAGCCTCGTGAATGTATGGTACTAGAATCACATCAACAGTTAATATAATAGTTAAACTATTAACGTTACATGATATGTCTGTTAACAGATTCATTCTAGACTTTTCTGTGAAAAGTTTTACTTCGCCAAGTATTTTTTCATCTTAATATTTTAATTGTAATATTAACTCAACGCCGTTTACTGCTATAAAAAGGTTTTATATTTATTAAGTTGCGTTATTTTGTTTCATATAATTAAAGTAACAACGTCAATCGAGCCCGTAAAAATTAATTACGATGAAAATAAAATCTATATATAGTTCATTTAAATAAAAAATAACAGAAAAATCTTTGACATTACAAGGCTAAAATAAAACACGAATGTTAGTGGACCGTCCGAAAAAATTGAATCGAGACACTGACGCAGGAGGACAAACAAAAACAAAAACAAAAATGACATTAAGTTATGATTTTAAACCAAAAAAAAACTTGTGATAACCTTGATAGGACAGGACCTTCTGTAAACAACAATATAACACGCATCACAACATGGATATTAGTTCCTGAGAATTGGTTCAGTGGTGGCAAGGTCGAGAGCTACAGGTCGGTGGTACCAGCCGATGGTAACGGTCACTCAAACAAACAGTACCGTCTCATATAACTGTTGCAAGATGTTACTGAATATTTCTCGTCAAAGTCGAGGTCGAGGTGTCAAACTAACGAGTTCCGTAGGTTTTTTTTATTGGAAGCAGTAAATCATTTCAAATGTCTTACGTAAAATATAAAGGCTGAATATTTGTTTGCTTTCCATCCATCCAGTAGTGAGTGGGCGATTACAGCAGAGTTCATGTAACACTTGGTCTATATATAGGTGATAAGATAACTACTAAGTGTGGTTTCTATTTTTAAATGGAAATTAACAAAGTGAAGTGGCTTTAGATAAATGTTTTTCCCTCAAGATAGTGAGATAATTATCGTTAAACAACGGCTGTGTCCGTAGTCGTCACGTCACATTTTAATTTAAATATGTTCCTCATACGTGTGAGAGTCACAAAGTCAGTGGTGGCCTAGTGGTTAAAAGGCCCGCCTCTCATGTATGAGGGCGCGGGTTCGATCCTGGCAAGTACCAATGTGATTTTTCAGAGTCTTATGTACTTTATAAGAGTACTTATATATCACTGATTAATGCATTCCCAAAGAGGGTTGATTTCAGGCAGGCTGCCGGTCTAAAACTATTACAACATGTAATGCACACCCTGGCTAAAGCTGGGAAATTTTCAGGAAGAGGAAGACGTGTGAGAGTCACAGTGAAGCCTGTCTGTCTGTCTTTTGGTTTTCTTAATGACGTGTTCTAAGATTTTCGCGAGTTGTATTAATTTATCTAAATATCCGAAACGTCGGGAGTATGTAGGTTTTTACAAAAATAAAGTCGCGTAGTATAATACGAAAAATACTAGTTTCATTTCTTAATGACTCTATTCTTTGCTGTAACTCGTCTCCGACGCAATGTGTTATGACTTATCACAAGTGTTGTGTTATATGTACACACTCACAATCCTCAAGGTCGGCTTTTACCATTCCTTATTAAACATATCTTTCGGTTCATATTCATATCAGACTATAAACAAATTTCACGGAGACAGTTGGAAACAGCTCAAAAAAACTATCTTCAATTTTAATAAACTCGAACGAGTTATTTATTTTGCGTCAAATTCTAAAATTTACGCTTGTAAAAACTTTAGAACAGAAAAATTTTAAAACAATAAAATGACTTAAATGAAAAAGAAATAGAATTTCCAAGAACTTTCATTTCATTGAACGACGATGTTAGACCGAGAACACAACACATATTATAACAAATTGAACAATTATATAAATGCTATGATATGCCTTGGAAAGAATCTTCATATATGTATATCGATCAAAATAACCTTACATAATAAGTTTCAAACAAAAAAAAACGCAACGGAAAATACAAGTGCACGCGATAACAAAACATCAATAGCGTTTCAAAGAAATCTAAATATAATTATTACGAGACTTTCATAAACACAATTACATAAAAATAAAAATAAATAAACTTAATAAATTACCTGACCTTCAATAACTTTATTTTCTACAGTCGAGTAGTTGTAACGGAATTCACTCTATACAATTTACTTCCTAGAATAAGAAACTACAAAACAATTTACGTAAATAAAATAATCGTTTTTGAGGCATTTATTTCTTATTTAAAACTTGCTGCAACGCTTACAAAACAACAAGAAGACGGAATTGTATTTATTTTATACTAGCTTTCCGGCCGCAGCTTCGCCCGCGTGGAGTTCGGTTATATCGAGTTTCCAAGAGAACCTTTCAAAAGTCTGTGATAAAAACTATCATATGTTCTTTCTCAAGGTCAACTCTATGTCTGTACCAAATTTCATTAAAATCAGTTCAGTGGTTTAGGCGTGAAAGCGTAACAGACAGACAGAGTTACTTTCGCATTTATAATATTATAGTAGGTGTTCATATAAAAATCGAACTAAATAGGATTTTTTTACTTTTCCAAATAAATAAATATTTTAAATGTTTGTGAGGTGAGTCACTTGGTATACTTTCTTTCAATGTATGTTATGTAACAATTGATTATTATCTTTGAACGCCTGTCGTAATCCTCTTTCAATGAATCTGTATACACTTACTTAAGGCGATAAATAATTGCTAATAGGTACTATACTATAAAACTTAGCTCCACTTTATCCGTGGTAAAAATATAATAGACCTGAGAGTTTTGAATGCCTTTTACCCATACCCTTTACCCTTTACCCATAGTATCAACGTACATTGATGCCTGTAACACTCAAAATACTCCGTCTGTAGTGTGGAGAACAATCTTGTAAGGACATTGCTGATGATTATAGGTAACGGTACATCAACACCAGTAGCTTGTTTGTTATTGATAATTGTTAAGATTTCAATATACGCATAAAACAGTTATATGAAAAAACGTTTCCTTTTTACTGATAAGTGATTACACACTTTGATATTTTCATTGGTGTGACTTACAAAATCATATTGAAATGTTTTGGAAAACATTAACAATACTTTTACATTTATAAGTACTTAGTTCATAATTTTATAGAAGCAACAACATTCTGAAAGGTACTCGCCTTGAGGATCAACCATATGTATGTATTATATAACATTATTGTACTTTAGATATAATTAAGACACGAGTCATCGTCATCCAGTCTATAGGATGGTTAGGGTGTTGGAGGGTGTGTGGGGGGGGGGTGTCAGTCACACGATGACGTCACCATGGACAAACAAACAGTGAGGGAGCAGCGGCACCAGTCACAGACGACACGTAAATAGATGAACAGTCACCGCTGTACGGACATGAAGTGGATCGATGACTTACAAGTTACAACTCATATACAGGGTGATGACGAGTAAGAGCCTGTGGTTCATTAAGAGAGCGACAAATGTATCAGGGGAAAGAAGGAAAGAACAGAAGATGTTCCTAAATGTCTATATGAATATTGTTTTATTGTACATGTAGCTCAAGTTCATGCAGCTGATGATGTATCAACATATATCACAACGAGAGCGTGCGAGGTGTCGCCGTGTCGCCGCCACTGGTATCTATTTTGAATGAACCCGTCTCGCTGTGGCCCGTGACTCAGTGGGAAGTCCGTCCGAGCTTCCTAGTCACAGTCACTCGTTTAAAGTGCGTCAATCGACCACTAAAAATATACAAAACTGAGGTTTACATCGACTCTGAGTAGTCAAGAGAGATGGCTATCAAGTAACAAGACACTTGTAGTGATGGATGAGGTTCAAGGTCAATGTTACCACTTTCCATGGTTCCTGGACACCAGTAAGAGTCATTACTATAATTATTTCAATTTTAATAAAGCTCTTGCCGTCTTGCCGCTAGTCACAACACGTGTGTACATATGTGTAAGGGCATTACACACACACAGTCCATGGTACAAACATTTAAAATATTTTAACCTTACCGTTCGTCTACTTGTATTCTATAAAAACGTTTCTAAACGGAATTTCCTATTTCCGTGTTTTTTTATACTCCAAATACATTTCAAATTACTTTTAATTTATTGTTTTTTCTAAAACACAAATTCCCCGAGAATATGTTAATTCTTATTATTTTTTAACGACCAACTTTCAAAAATAATTTGAATAAGAGAAATGTTAAAGAAGATTTTATTCAAAAAAATTAACACGTCTTTTAAGTATGGGGGTCAATGAACTCGTGTTTCAAAAAAATTAAATATAATTTTGAATATAGAGATGTTCACCTTCAAAAAAAAAACATAATGATATAAGCCAACGTCGTTGACGGGACGATTGAAATTATATATAATATGATGTATTAATATGAATATATTAAAACAAAACCTGACAGTGTTTGACGGACTGATGGAAAAATGATTAGAATTGATTATGCATTATAGAAACATCTAGATTATATAGAGATATATAATTGAAAGACAGGCAGGCGGCCGGTCGTAAAAACAATTAGCTATAACTATTCACAACGTCAACATGTAAGGCAGACCCTGGCTAAAGCTGGGAAATTGTCAGGTAGAAGAAGATATAGTTGAAAGACATAGTATGTAGTTATTGAACAATAATAAAATGATATAATTCAAGAATTAATTACTTTTTCTAAAATCTCGTGACAGGTCAAAGCTCCTTAACTAAATCGTCAGAGTCGACTAGCCTTATATGGCCTTATTAATATATATATAAATAAATAAAAATAATTATATAAATTTCTTTATATATAAGTATACTTGTATATAAACAACATTTGGCACATCTCAGACTAACACATCAGAGCTTGAAGAGATTAAGGGGTTTGTTTTTGCTTTATTAATAAACTGACAGCCTAATAATAATAATCGTTTAATCCTTGTTAGTATGTATAGTGGATCAGCTGTTTCATTATATACTTTACAACGATTTGTTTATTTTCATTAACTTAATTCAGTTATTACTATAACGATTCTTAATTATTAATTCCTAATTTCTCATATATTCGAATATGTAGGAATATAATTAATAGTAAGATACGGGAACATAGGAATGAGACCTGTTGAAATGAACACAAAAAAAAAAGTGAATGAATAAAGTGAATTAGTTCAACGAATGTGAAAATAACTTAATTTTTAGTGTAAAACATAAAAATCCGTACAAATAATCTTTAATCAAAACTTCGTCCGTCTTTGTAAAGTTATTAAATGAACTTCTAACGGAATATACATTATATATAAATCAAATAATCACTGACACTTCGTATCATATGATGTGTAAGTCTCGAGCTACCTGCTGCAGCCACAGGTGCCTGACTTGTTGTATGTAACTAGGGTCATATAAACAATACTGTAACAAACTGTACTCAAAAAAACGTGTTAAATATCAAAAGTATCATAGACGGTAACTGTCTCCCTGAGAACATGTTCCAGTACATAGAGACACGCTGCTTACAAACACGATAATTATAAATGACTGATTACTTCTTATCGAGCTATGGAAAAATATCAAATGTTCCATACAAACATATGCTTAAAAGAATGCATGTTAAGAAAAGGAAAAATATATTGGCGCACAAAACGTTTTCCATTAAATTTTAAAACATAGAAACGTTTAGAAATATTACATGTATGTATCACTAAATACGCCGCGATGTTAAATGTCTGTATTATTATAATACTACATAAATAAACTAACAGACAGTGGAGGACGCACGGACACGTTAATATTAATGTACCGGCCACCGTCCAGCAGCTAGTTCGCTGAGGACGGGCTGTGTGTGAGTGTACCTGCGGCCACAGCTGACGGAGTGTTGGACATCCTCAGCGAAGGTCGCTCAGTTGAAGAGGTGAACGGGGCGGAGACGACACTCACACTGAACCGAACAGACGGACCATCAACGTCAGTGTAGCAAACGGTCAGTCCAGTCTGTGTGGTCACATGTTAATGCATCAACATGACGCGAGGACTGCTGCAGGCGGCGGTCGGCTAGCGACTGAGGCCGGGCGGCCGGGAGCGTGCCCCGGGGCGGACAGGGTGGCTGAAGGAAACGCAGCCTCCGACCCGCGAGTATTATGTAAGTACGAGGGTACACGCTATTTATAGAACCGAGCCAGGAGGCTTACACGTAACAATACACAAGTCATATGGCGTAGGAGCGATGGTAAAGTTCATGATAGGTGTTTGGGACCGGCGGCGGCAGGAGGGCTAAGGGAGTTGTGACGGGAAAATAATATACATGGAAAATATATTATAAATGATGTAAACGAAAAATTATTGTCTCATTACCTGTGATAGAATATGAAGATATACTAGATTGTATATTCCAAAATTGTACAATTTTCATAGAACCTTTGGGGATATAACTTAAAACAAAACGATGTCTAGTTAATTGAGAATTTAAACAATTTCCATCGGTTATATATCAGGTATTACTAATTTTAAAGTGAGCATGTTAATGAGAAACCTTCGGAGTTACTCTTATACTGACGTCTTTGGAACAATAAATAATTACAATCGATTAGAAACGAAACAACGCAGAACAAGTCCAAGGGAAGACGAAAATGGAGGAAAAACAATAAGGAGAAACAAAGAATATAGAATGTTAATGATGTTTATAATTGTGTAAATGGATATTAAACATTAAATTCAAGTTTGATATCTCAGAGTTCCACGTGCACGCCGATGGCCGACCACCGAACACTCACCACTCACCACCCGCCGCCCGTCACCACCCTTATTAAGTACTTGCACATTTTTATATGGAACTTATATTGTACACAGACATTATAATGAGAAAACTGTTAGCCGACGCGACCTTTGAACCTTTCAACTTAATCTCGACGTATAAGACGCCTCAAAAGAAATTATTATATCAAAATGTATGAGAACGAATAAAAGATAGAAATTTATGGATGAAATTACCTACTCGACTTATTACTATCAGATACGTATTACGTATCTATCTAGTAGTATATATATACAATATTCTTTTTGTCTCTGCTGTAAGTTGATATCATTGTCCTATAACATTATAAATTAAAATCCCAGGATCGTTCAAATTAAATTAATCAAAATCGTAGTCTCTATCGGAGCCTATAACGATCTTTGTAAAATACACATCACGATTTCCTGGAACCCATCAGAGGTGAGGGGTGAGGGGTGAGGGGGCTGTCCTCCACGCGGGGTGTCCTCCACACCCTGTAGCGGGGTGTCCCGTACCCCCGGCCCGGCCCGGTCGAGGCTCTGTTCCGTGGGCGTGTGTTGACAAACTGTATCGCCGACTCTATTTCTATCCGGAGCCACGCCCATGTGGAGGGTGTGGGGGCGAGCACCCCCGGCCTCCCGTGAGCGCCCTTGACCTTCGGTATCCAAACAACCGTAGTCACAACACTCTGAGACACTCGCCTAATTTGTTCCTATAACGGAGTAACGTTCGGAATGCTTTACGGCTAATAGACATTAAGCAATATACTAACAACATTGTTAGACTATTGCTTATATTAAAAGGCAGAAACCTCTCTATTCTGACAACGCTCAACATAATACAAGGAAAAAAAATTCAACACATTTGAACACACATTCTTTTTCAATATTAGTCGACTTTATCTCCATATACTTCTGAACCCTGGGAGCGTGCGACCCATCAGCCGACTCACTGCTACATCAAAACAAAACCATATTTATTAATTTAAGTTTCGTTTATAAAATTCTTGATGTACAAACTCGATGTTATTGATACATTTTATTAAAAAAATGTACATGAAATAAAAGTGTATTAACAATAGAAAAGAAGTTCGCTTGTTTTTCTTTATAGATGCTCTAAAACTTTAATTGTTATTGAAGTTGAGTATTGTTTATGAAGCTCATTAAGATTTAAGAGTTCAGAATAATTTTGCTCGCTGTAATTGCTGATAATATCAAGATACGAGTACATACTGGACACAGTACATGTATTCAAATAATAATTATTTCTCAACTAATATTTTAGCTACATGAGCGGAGTCCTTACAGTGTTGGCCACAGTCGTATATTATTCATATACATGTGTTATTAACATATAAAGTTGTTTTAAACCAAGTAACGCCACATTCCTATACGTTATAACATCTCTAATCCATAAAGATTATAGGTTTTTTTCAATGTATTCATTAATCGGAAGCTCGTTAACAAATGTTTATAGTTACTAATTATAATATACTAGCTTGCCGCCCGCAGCTTCGCCCGCGTGGAGTTCATTTATATCACGTTTCCAAGAGAACCTTTCAAAAGTCTGTGATAAAAACTATCCTATGTTCTTTCTCAAGGTCAACTCTATCTCTGTACCAAATTTAATTATAATCTGTTCTTTGGTTTAGGCGTGAAGGCGTAACAGACAGACAGACAGACAGAGTTACTTTCGCATTTACAATATTAGTAGGGATTCTGTGACAGCCTCGATATGATAATGTACGAAGTCAAACAAAAATACGTTCACAGGACTCTCGTGATGTTGTATACAAAATATATAATTAAAAAATATGTACACATATGGAATATTCCAATGATGTCGTGTACAATGACAAGGGAGGTGTGTCATTGCTAGGAAACAGAATTATAAAGGCATCCGTAAATAAGGAGAGCTCCCCCTCCCCCCTACCACACACACACACACAGCGGAGAGTCAAGTGTAACAGATATTATAGAAAACATGTTGTATACAGTGTAGTATTCTTTAAACATTAATTACTGATATAAATTCTGAGAAGAATAAGGGAAAAACACAGTCCCAATCAATTAGAGTTAGTGACTGAATGCGTTTAGTTCTAGATAGCTTGCTGATTGCTTCTCTCAACAGTTTATTGACTCGTCAATCAATCAATATAAGGAAATTAAGGCTGGTGGTGGCTCTATCGGGGAAGAGAACTTCACTTCAATCAGGAAAAGAGCTCACAGGATGACTGGGAGCAGTCTGGCCGCACGCCGTCATCACTCAACACGCTACTGAGGTTCGTGTTATCAATATGAGCACAGCCACTATAAATAGATCTTTATTATTATAATAAATCCGCCTCGCCCCGCCGACACCGGGCTGATAACAACACCACACAAACAACACGAACATCTGCGGAGACAGACTGAAAGAAGAACGAACAGGGAACAGACACTAGTATTCAGCAGTAGCTCTGAAAGCGAAAATCCAGAAACTAGGAAACTCCTCCCTTGATCGCTATTCACAACGTGTTTTCAATTTAAAAAACCTCATCGTAATTTTTCATTAAGTTAATTGTTTTCCGTGGATCACAAGATTTCCAGGTTCCGTAGTAATTGAGTTTCTATTGTACGTATTAATTACAATTAACCGCAGCGAGTGATAGATCGTTCGTTATAATGACGACGGCCAGACACATTGCAGTTTAAACATTTATACGACCTGTGTGTCATATGTAATATCAATATTACTGGGGATACCATTAACATATATATTGATGATTCGCAGAAAAGAAATCAATAGACCTTAAAGTTTTCACAATTTTTTTTAATCATTATAATGAGTATTAGTATTGATCATCCATCAAGCCGTGTGTAGTCTGTGTGTACAACGTCCGGTCACAAATTATCCATAACGTAGATAGTAATCGCCACAACAAACTTCTGTTATCAGTTTTTAATGATATCGGAATCTTTATATTCCATACACGAGCCTCATACACACGTGGAGGATGACAAGGTCAAGGGGGCGTCGAACCGGGGGTGGGGGCTGTCCAGGGTGTGGCGGCCGGGGGTGCGGGTAGCGGGGCGGGGGGCAGGAGGTGGGGGCGCGGGCGCTGTAGGGCTGTCGCTATTTATATGTAATCGATATCGCGGTATCGCGCGGCCGTGGCCTTGCGGCCATCGATCTGGTCGAGCCCCCGACTCACAGCCCTAGATTTCAGGAACTTTCAGGAACGTTTCAAATATTCAACAGCGTCGGAGACGAGCAGTTTGTTGTTGTTACTATCTACTGTCGCTGTTCACGTTTAATAAATGTCAGTTTCCTAGATCAGAGCCAGATTCTCCTACACCATGGAGTGTGACGACTAACACATGTCAATAGAAATATGTAACACTCATCATACATACAATACGATCTCGAAAAAAGTCGGAACGCGATTCGAATGAGGAAAAGACGCGCTCAAAGCTTAGTTCGAAAAATGATATATGTAATAAAATATAATTGCAAGCTCAATTATTTATTTGTTGTATAAAAAAATATTTAAAAAATCTTAAATTGATATTCACTAATATTTTTTTTATTTTACACAAAAACATAAATTATTGTGATTATCCCTTCCCCATCCCCTATTTTGACGACTGTCAGTGGAATTCAGATACATGTATAAATATTTTTTTTTTGAAAATATTCTAAGGAAACACTGAAATTTGGATAAGATAAAGTTCCTGTTATTTAGATTGTTTTGTTTCCACTATTCATTGTGCACGAGTGCAGTAAGTGTCTAATAACATGATTTTTTTGAGCTACCATATAATATTGGAAATTTATTATAATCAATATTACTAATATAGCAATATACAACTCATTTCATTTAAACAAGTAATAACTATATTTTATAGAAAAATATAGTTGAATTTCATTGATCGGCAAATGAAATATTATTTTCAGTAATAAGGAACCATGTTACTGTTATGCATTAAGAATAACTTACCCGACTGTGATGCTGGATGTCCTCGGTCATCGGCCATGTTCACACCCACCCTGGAACAACAAATATAGAAAAAGATTTAGTAAAGTAGACTTTCAACTAATAATAAACTTTAACTTAGTTACATTTATATTGAAAAATTTATATAGATTTTTATGTTATAATAACATTAATTTAATATTATACTTAAATGAAAATTCAATAATGTAATTAATATTGAGACAAACTGTTTGAAACAAAACAAAGAAATGTTTCTTCTCCAATTATATGGACACATACCACAGTATGTTGGTTCGGTAATATTTGATGGATATTTATAATGTAGTATTATGTAATAAAAAACATTTATAATACAAAAACAATTGAACTCTTAAATTCTCTTAATATTCACTATTTTTAATATTGTCACTGTCTATATGCAAGTTATGGCTACTTCAAATATCATACCTTAAAATTTCATCTGTCTTTTATTTAATCACACTAAATTTCTCTCCGACAAATTCTTTGATACCTTACATTTCAAATGTATTTTTATGGTCAAAGCAAACTTTGGAAGTGATTTTTTTCTTATTATAATGATATTTTGAATATTGAAATACAAAATTTTTAATACTACTCATTTATATGGACGATATATCTTGTAACATGAACTTTACTAACAATTATATGAGTATCAATATAAACATAACACTAACCTTTAAAATAAAAGATTAAATATAGTAAATTATGGATAGTTGAAATTTAAGTTCACACTTCAAGAAGCGGGAAATTCTTAAAGCATGAAAGGGTTGTTGAACTAAATAAAAGTTGAGCTCTATTAGGAAATGTAAATCTTATAAGAAAGTTAAATACTATAGCAATAATTGACGCTAAAAAATATGATAACCCGTTACAAACCAGCTGGACTTCCAAGAACAAGTGACGAGATTATACACAAACACCACCAGACTATGAAACGTTCAACAAGACTAACATTATTATATTTTACACAGCACATTTGCACATCATAATATTAAAGAAATTCTTATTAAAAAAAAAATCTTTCAAAACAACACAAAATATAATGTTTTGACCAAGTTTTGACGTCTCCTTAAGTCGGATAATAAGTTCTTTTCGACAAACATATTTAACTGACCCATTTTCATTGGTTATGATTGGTTAAAAGGATTCTAACTTGAATCTTGTTTTATAGGGACCAATCAAAATATTTTTTACAAGTAGAATTAAAACTGAGTAACGTTTTACTAATACTATTTACTTAAAAACTTCAATAATAGGTTAATAAAAATGTATTAATAGAATGTTTTAAATATGTTAATTTTTTAATTTTAGAAATTCTTAGAGTATATTTGTTTTAAGATTTAATTTTACCATCACTGGATTATAATCTGCCTCTTACGTCATCTGTTAGCTGTCATTCAAAATTGACAACTTGTAAACTAAAAATCAATCTTCATTGACTTATTGTATTTTATTTGTTATTACTCATTTGTCAGCGTGTTTGTTCTAGTGGTTTTGGACTTTGTGTTTATCTAATACAATATTTCATCATGTTTTCGTCATTTTTTGGAAAACGGCGGTCATCGCCCGTGGAAGATGAAACTCCACAAATTCCTGGACCGAAGTCAGATGACGGTTTCGTTATTGTAGATCAGACTTCTCCTAGAGGTAGCTTATATCCAAGTATCAGTGGTTCAGTGTATCCCCAGCGGCCGGCTCCACCGCCTCCAGTGGTTCCGAAACCGGAGCAATGCTTCCATTACCTACAAGGAGTCCCGTTCACACTGTCCCGGGAGTTACGGATGACAACAAATAAGGATGCAATCGCTACTGAAATTGGAGATATTCTGGCATTCCTCTCCAACAAGTTAAACGTGAATGACTATAACTATGATTTTTCAGTAGAAAAAAGTGTTTTGAAAGAATATTAATGTATTTTTGGTTAAGAAATCAATCAAGATGTGATCGTTATTGGTATAATAATAGATTATATAAATAAAAAATTGCTTATTAATGTATTTAGTTTTTCGATAAATTGGAATATATAATTGTAGGTAAGTGTAAGCCTATGTATTTTAGGATTGTTCTCAATAATTCTATGAATGATATGATATGGAAATATTGCTTGAACAAATTGAAAAACTTCGTGATTTGTACTAACAAGAAAAGATTTACTTTAAAAAAGTACATGAGTATACTTCTACTTATCTCTGTGTGATAGTTGATAGTTTTCATAGGTTGGTTGTAAATTTCCTTGAAACAAATTCTAATTGATTTGTAATTCATATGGTTATGGTTATTAAGTAAAGTTTTAATTCTATTGGTTAATAATAAATAACACCTTTTATTTAAAGTCACTAAGTCAGTCACCTTTTTATATAAAAGTGTTTTCTCGACATAATCATGTAATTTTTTTTAATGTAATTTCAGTGGAGAACTTGGATGAAGTAAAGTAAAATCAAATAATGTTATTAGTCCTGGGATTTATAAATTTTAATTTAAATAACAAAGTCCTTAAAATTATATATATTGTATGATATGTCTATATTTGTATTATGGTTCCAATGTTATGCAATGCTTCTATATTTTAGTCAAAAATATTATAAATGAGGTTGTATATCTCTTGTTCCATGACTGTAAACACCATCATCTAATATGTAATTGTGTTGCCATTGGTAAAAAATAATTTTTCACATTGCAACATAACTTGCAGATGTTACCGTAGAGAAAATGTAATAAAGAAGTATTACATGTAACACCATAATAATTTGTGTTATAAATTTCTAATATAAATGTGCCATCTATAAACTAACTGTCATAATGATGTCTACATGTATTAAAACATTTATTTTTATTACAATACTATATATAAGAAGGCAATGTTTATATTTTAGAAGTCATTTTATCTAATTGAGTTCTAAGACTTAATAAAGTTTTTCAAAATACATATAGCCGAGATGTTTAAATTAGAATGTACCACATAATATAAGGAAGGCATTTAAAAAAGTCATATATTTTGACAATATTAAATTTTTATATACAAAAAATCAGTTCCAGACACTAACACCTAATAGATTGCTGAAGCTATACAAAACTATAATTAAAACATCACTGTCATCTATTTACTAGATACACTTATTTTTATCATAGGAAAGCCATTTATATATTATAAATTTTGGAAATTACAAATTAAAAAAAATTAAAATAAAATGCTCCTTCTAATATAGGCCTCGTTTGAAAATACATGAATCAGTCCTTAAATATCAGAACCATATTTTACAATTAAATAACTTAATAAATAAAAAACGGAATGAGAACTGTGGGATGAATTTAACAAAAAACTATATTATACATGATCTAGGGATACAGAAAACGACAGTAGACAATATTTTAGAAAGACAGATATTTCTTTGAGTGTGATTTAATTCACCAAAAGCTTTTAATGTACACACATATCCCATCTTTAACCGCCAATCACCCGACAAACCAATGTGCATTTATAGCACAGCTACAACATAACATTATTTCCATTATCTGATAAGAACTTTCTAGATCATAGCCGCTAATCCACAGATAAATGCTACAATGATGAAAAACGGCAGCCACGTCTTTAAGAATGCCCCGAAACTGTAAACAAAAAATCATTATTGTTGGACTAAATCTGTTTTTCATATAAATCCCTACTAATATTATAAATGCGAAAGTAACTCTGTCTGTCTGTCTGTTACGCTTTCATGTCTAAACTACTGAACTGGTTTTAATGAAATTTAGTACTGAGATGGAGTTGACCTTGAGAAAGAACATAGGATAGTTTTTATCCCAGACTTTTGAATAGTTCTCTTGGAAATGCGATATAACCGAACTCCACGCGGGCGAAGATGCGGGCGGTAAAGCTATAATTTACATATTTACCAACCTGACATATTTAGAATATGGTATCATGTAAAAAGCCAGCTTCACCATGTTCCAGTTCTTACAGCCACCGTAGTTCATGATGTTGAGTGCTGCGGCCACATGTGAGTGACAGTTATCATAGAATATTATGTGCTGGAACACAACAAATAGTTTAGTTGGTCTATGTTGATACATTTAGTATAATATTCACTATGCTGTGACTTTACATGTAGTTTATCTGTTTGTGTTTCATTCTTCTTGAAGGATAATGTGAATTTTTAAATAATATTTAGTTCCTTTATTATGAAGACAAAAAAATACTATGAACAGGTTGGTTTTTAAACTACCTTAAATGAGAAAGTGGCAGAAAGTTGTATAGAAGAAGTATTAAAGATCAGAATGCAAAAACATAATATTTTAAACACTATAAATGGGGATTATTCTTGTAGCTTATGACCTTATTCACAGAATATGAATGTTTTTCATACTTTAGTGATGAACTGTTTAGAATATAAAAGTGAGTCTGAAAGAAAACTGATAAGAAACAGTTTCATGAGCTGCCACATAAATATTAGGACAAACCAGAAAGATTACAGACAGGCCAAAGAACATAGTATTATTATCAATTAATTCTTTAAGTGATCACATCCAAAGGTAAATAGTTTATGCTTAGTCATTTTTTACTTAACATTAATATGTTGTGTAAAAATATTTATGTTTATCATTGGAATAGTATTCTAGTGGTGACATAAGTTTCTCTGTAGAATAAAAATTGTATAAAAAACTTATGAGTTATTTCATAATTTGATCAGGTATTGTATTTACTAACATTAGTTATAAGGTTGACATGTATTACTAATATTTAAATATGGACTATGTCTGAGATAAAAATAAATTATTATTATTATTATTATTGTACCATTCTTTTTTTATATATTTCTGAGGCCTCTGCTACTGCCGCGTCCCACCCCGCCTGACCATTAGTTGCCTTCTGTGGTGACAACTGCCAGTACTTAGTGGGGTTTCCAAACGCCATAAGATCTTCTGATACAAAATATGGGCCGGCGAAATCACGAATAACGCCATTTGACATGCAAATACCCATATGACCAAGGAACGGGAATATCCATCTGTTTATACAAAATATTAACTTGTGTTAAGAATGTTTAAATATCAATTTCGGTTTAATTTTTGTGGATAATTAATTATGTACTAACGTTAGCACAGGAATGGGAGTCCAAACTATACAGTAAGGATATCTGGCGCGGGCATGATCGATGGGATCCATTAAAACTGCCTGTTCACGATCACTTAAGTCTAGTGGACTTCCAGGACTTTGATCACTGTTCATTATAAAAAACAGTTAAACACACGACAAATCCATATCCTTGTATGGTAAAAACCCAAAGAATTTCCTAATTCTGCTTACATGGATAACATAAATTCGTTTACATCAACTAAGTGCTTATCGTTCGTAAATAGAATCAATTTTACTATGATTTTACCCTGCAGTATGCAAATTGCAAAAACATTAAATTTGACATTGACATACAAGAATGTATTCTGTTTTAATAAATGTAAATCTTCATATGTATTCACCATTAAAATTCAATAAATTTGCTAATTAAGTGATTAAATATATAAAAATTAAGTGATTCATGATAATCAATATCAGATTATAAGTTCTATGTAGAAGCTCAAACTCAATTCACGGTTTTTGATTACTGGGCGGTTTTATAACTGGCAACAAGCATTTGTTGTTTTGTGAGTTGTCTGTTATGACTTGTGTCTACTGTCTGCTATAACGTTTGGCGCTTAATGCTTGTAGGCACCTACTTAAAGAAAAATGTTCGGCGCGAAGATATGTCTCAATGTTTACTGTTAACAGTGTATCATTTTAAAGTTTTTGGTTTATTTAATTAATTCCAGAAACTCATACAACATGCCTGCCTTCCTTAAATATATTGATATGGAAAACTTCAAGTCCTATCGCGGCCACCACCGCATAGGTCCTCTGAAGTCTTTCACCGCCGTTGTAGGCCCAAATGGATCGGGTATGTTTCACAATACTTGTTAACATACAAGTTTCCCTACAGTGATAAAAATATGTATTAATAGGATGTCTAATTGTACTTTATAGGGAAATCCAATTTTATGGACGCCGTGAGTTTTGTGATGGGAGAAAAAACATCTTTGTTGCGAGTGAAACGTCTTAGTGATTTGATACATGGTGCCTCCATTAACAAACCAGTATCAAGAAGGTTCTATATATGTTACATTTATATAAAATTCTATGATTAAAACAAAGCTGATGAATATTTACGTCAACTTTTTTTTAGTGCGTCGGTGACTGCAACCTTTATTTTAGAGGATATGACTGAAAAACAATTTCAAAGATCTGTAATTGGACAATCTTCTGATCACAAAATTGATGGGCATGTGAGTGTTGATTATTTTCTTGTCTTTTGCAAAGTTAAATCTGTGTTTGTTGTCATAACTATATATGTAATTTTATTGTAACCCAACAGTCAGTGCCAATAAGTCAATACCTGACAGAGTTAGAAAAGCTTGGTATTAATGTGAAGGCCAAGAACTTTTTGGTTTTCCAAGGAGCAGTGGAGAGCATTGCAATGAAGAACCCTAAGGAAAGAACGGCTTTATTTGAAGAAATCAGTGGGTAGGTCGATATGGCTTAATATGTTTGATATATGATGATATATTATTATGAAATATTAATTCTTTTCTAAATAGCTCTGGTGTGCTAAAAGAGCAGTATGAAGCTTGTCGGGCTGAGGTCAACAGGGCCGATGAAGAAGCACAGTTCTCATATCAAAAGAAAAAAGGTGTGGCGGCTGAGCGGAAAGAGGCCAAGTTTGAAAAGGAGGAAGCGGAGAAATACACAAGACTAAAGGAAGAATTGGTAAATTACAGTAACAACTATTTTATGTACAAAATTGTCCAAAATCTAAATTAAAATGTATTTTTCTAGCAACAACAAAAAATAGAATTGCAGCTATTCCACCTTTATCACAATGAGAAAGATATCCAAGCAGCTGAAGAAGAACTTCAGCATAAACAATCAGAACTGGCTAAAGTAGAGAAGAAACGGCAGAAAGCAGAAGATGCTCTAAAAGAAAAGAAGAAGGAGTCCGGCACAGTACAGAGAGAACTGGCTAAGATAGAACAGGAGATAAGAGAAGTGGTCCGTTATATATAACTGTTACTTCATTTATTAGACTAAATGCCTTTTTTTTATTTGTTAAAGTAAATTTAAAATTTTTTGGCAACATGTTTTCATTATAAAGAGTATATAATACTTTGGTCCCCTAAACTGGAAGAACATCTTTTCTAGAATTGAATTGTTTAATTTAAAACCTGCTATAAATTATTTGATGCTTGTAGGAAGCAGAGATATCAAAGAAACGGCCAACCTTTATCAAGGCTAAAGAACGTGTGACTCACACACAGAAGAAACTGGAGAGTGCCTTGAAAACATTAGAGCAGGCTCGGAAGGCACACGAGGCTCACCAGGCTGATATAAGGTTATTTAACATTGATTGATTTCTGAAATCATTATACAGTTTTTGTATGGCTTAAAATTTTGGAAAATGTTATAGTTTTGTATTAATGGTTCCCATCCATTTAAATTCACAGTTTAAAGTTGAATGGTTTATTATGTTCTCTGTCACTACTGGCTTGGAAATTGAAAAAAAAAATTAATATAATTAAAGTAGTAGCTTTCAATGTGAAGTTACTAAAAGTGAGTGTATGTACAACATTTGCCTCACAGGAAACTAGAAGAAGAGCTCCGTCAGGTGGAAGAAGAGAAGGCAGCGTGGGAAGCAACGCTGACCGGCACCAGCACCAGCAGGGCTGACGTGCATCTGGAGGAGGCCCAGGTAATGAGGATACTTACTTAGGATTTGTTTGAAAATTCTGAAGAATATTCATGCAAAAGGTTTATAACTATTTCTACTATACTCTGTAGATATGGGTTATAAGAACATATACAGGGTGACTGGTGAATTACTATCAATATTTAAGGAGAATACTCGGTACATGATTCTCATTCGAATTATGTAAAAAAAATAGGCACTTAATTTTTGACAAAATTTCCGTATAAATAAATAAAGTGTTGACACGTTCCAAGTGTTCCAAGTGTGGACGCGCGCGGCGGCGTTCTGATACAACACCACGCCGCCGCGCGCGTATGTGTGAGTGTGTGTGTGTGTACCTAATCTGTAGGGTGTTCACACGATGCGTAATTAATTACATAACTTTTGGTTAACTTTACTTAGAAGTTTATTAATATTTATGTTATATTAATTTTTATTTTGTCATATATGATCGTCAAATATCACGTCCTCAAGTATCGATAGTAATTCACCAGTCACCCTGTATAAATACATTACAAGGCCTTTGCCGTTTTGTAGAATGGAAACATACAAAATATGTTGCGAGGACAAACTTCTGACATTTAAATTGTTTAATAAAACATCACATCAAACTTTAAGAAAATAATAGTCATCTCCATATTGTAAAAGTGAAGTCTTTTAAGACAGAATTTTAAGTTAATCCTAGAAGTTAGTGTTGTTCATATTAAATTTGTATATAATAATTAATAAGCAATAAAAAAGCACTGTTTAATGTAAATGAATCAGGGACATAAAGTTATTTTGACTAATTCTATTTGATGTTATTAAGATAAGAGAATACGAGGAGCTGAAGATGGAAGCGTCGAGACAAGCGGCGCGCTACCTACAGGAACTAGACTCTGTGAACAGAGAACAGAAGGCGGACCAGGACCGGCTGGACAACGAGATGAGGAAGAAGGGGGAACTGGAGAACAAACACAGGCAGAAGGTAGTATAGAGACTCGTCAGGATGGAAAAACTTTATAAGAAATCTACTTTAGAATATTATTACAAACAAGAAGTAAATTCCAGGGCCACGAGAGGAACGAGGCGATGAAACGTGTGGAGAAACTGAACGAACACATCAAGAGCTCGGAGCAGGCGCTCGAGGAACAGAGGAGGCTTAGGGCGGAGTTACAGGTGAGGGGGTAGATGGAACTATATGAGGGAGGGGGACACTGATGATTGACTTGGGTTGTGTTCATTACAGGCGGACGTGGGCTCCTGTCGAGGACGAGCGGCGGCCCTGCAGCAGGCGCTGGAGGAAGTGGCCTCCCAGCTGGGAGACGCGCGGGTCGACAAACACGAGGAGGCGCGACGGAGGAAGAAACAGGAGATCGTGGAGAGCTTCAAGCGGGAGATACCTGGAGTGGTGAGGGACATGATTTTGATGAATTTTTTTGTGTGTGTTCAAGAGGATCTGGGAATGGTTTAGATTCACAATTTTGTCCGCTGGACAATGTTTTTTTGATTAATTTTTAATTTTTTAGTAGTTGTTGATACAAACGTTTTTTTGTTGGCATTAGATCTGACAACTAACTAATATGTCAATCATTCTGTCGCACTTCAAAACACGGAGATTTATTGCTTTAATAGGTAAACTCCAAATATATAAATAATAAAAAAACGTAACAGATATTTCTTGATTATAGGGCGATACGAAGTTCGCCGGGTCTTCTAGTATACATATACAGTGCAACCTTAATATAACATACCTCAATATAACGAATTTTTCGTAATCCCCTTGAATTGTCCATACGAGTCAATATAAAATATACCTCTAAATTGCGAACATTCTTTTCTTACAACCTCTTTATTTTTAGCGAATTTTCAACTATCAAGAAAAAGTATTCATACCTCTAATTAACGAATTTTGCCAACTCAAAACCTTTATATAAAGTTCCCACCAATAATATAACTCTTAATCTTATATTATAATTCATGTTTCGACACGCTTTTGTTGGTAAAGTAATTGTTGTTATTTGATGAAAAGTAGGTAATGTAAACTCTTCTGCTTGTAGAAGTTAGAACTTTAACAATAGTGGCTTGTCACTATTGTTAAAGTTAAAATGGCTCAGAAGCGTAAAAGTTGTTCCTTATCGGTCGCAGAAAAGCTAAACATCATTAATTATGTTGACCAAAATCCTATGACGAAAAGATTAGACATAGCTAATAAGTTCGGGATTCCCCCCAAATACATTGACTACAATTTTAAAATTTGAAGATAAGTTTTCAGAAGAAAGTGGTTTGAATGTAAACAGTAGTAATTTTATTAAAATGTGTTGTCAATCATATTTTATTAGTAGAAGTTGTTCGCTATAACAAGATCTTTACGTAATGTTGAGGTAAATAAAATTATGTATTACTTTACCTTTTTATAACGAATTTTAGACCAACCTTACCTCAACATTGCAAACCTCAGTTCAACGAATTACAGTCAATCTGGGTAACTTTGACAGATAAGGGTGATATTTTATACTACATTATGACCAGTGGCGGCTGTACCTTAAGTGCACTCGTGCGCTGAACCACCAATTCAAAAGATTTGAAAATTACAAAATATTACTTCATCTTTATTTTTAAATTACCATTTTAATATTTATTTTCTAAACATACAAAAACGTATAAAAATTAAATTTCTAATTATATATATAGTCAAAAAGTTTGAGCGCTTTAAGTAATATCTCGTGCGCTTCGGCGAGTGCACGAGGACTCCTAATACATCTTGTATGAGATACGCATTAATACGCCTGGCGCGTGAAACAAAAGATAGTTCATAGAAATGTACCGAGTAATGAGTCGGTTTTCGAGCGCCGCACGAGCGGTCGAAGATTACCGAGAGCACCCGATGTATGACGAATTGGAATTAAAAAGAATCAAAACTTTTCTCCGATATACCATGCACTTGCAAAATGCACTTTCTGTGCTTAGTATTGAAAAAAATAATTATACAAACAATATCCGATTTTAATAAAAATTTGATTGAATATTTCGCTTCAGAAAAATGTCGTCGCATTGATTTAATGTATAATAAATAAACATAGTTTATGTCAATTGGTTTTTTGTTACATTTTCTAATTTAATATTTTAGTAAAGTGCACCACCAGTTCGATAACCCACCAGCCGCCACTGATTATGACTGTACTTGATATAACGAATATTTTCTTGTTCCCCTCCGATTTGTTATATCGAGTTTGCACTGTATAACTTTCGATTTGATAGTGTTGAATTGTATGAAGTATGTTGATAATCAAGTTCCCTATCTCCCGTCTGACTGCTGTGTTTTGTCGCCCGCAGTACGACCGTATGATAAACATGTGCCAGCCGACCCACAAGCGGTACAACGTGGCCATCACCAAGGTGCTGGGCAAGTACATGGAGGCCATCGTGGTGGACACGGAGAAGACGGCGCGCCGCTGTATACAGGTGCTGAAGGAGCGCATGCTGGAGCCCGAGACCTTCCTGCCGCTCGACTACATACAGGCCAAGCCGCTGCGGGAGAGGCTACGGTCAGTACACACGCCCTACATATACTACTCCTCACTGATTCGTCTAGGCAGCTGTGAATGGTCTAGAATCTAAAACATATCCTTTTCATTCAAACTGTTTCAATGTCTCATTTCATTATTTCGTGTTTATATAATGATTTTGGAACTTTTTAAATACGTACAGATAAGAATATAATGTACATGTCACGTTTGTTACATTATAGTAGGCTAAACGTTAGGAGTGTAAGGCCTCGGCCTCGAATTTTGCGGGCAGCGGGAGCGGCAAGATCATACGCGTATAATCAAATGGACCGACCCTCGAATACAGCGGTGCAGGAGCAGGGTGGGGGCGGGCAACGAGCGGTGCACGGGTGCACTCCAGTCAAGCGGTGACCGCCCGCGTTGCGCGTCTGCATTGTAGTGTTGTAATTTTTTTTTGTGACGTATCAAAATGTATTCGGACGTGCAAGAGCAAATTATTTCGGCAATCTTTGAGAGGACACCCTTATGGAACAGCAAAGATGTGAACCATAAAAATAGAAGACGAATTAACCAATTATGGGAAGAAATAAAAAACGATCTGAATATTGAAGGTAAATATAATAATGATTTATTATGTCAATACAATATTCTTTTGCCCACAATAAATCGAGCATTAGGAATGATTTCGAATCATAAAGATGTCGCCGTTATTCAGACATTTTTTTCGCGAATAAAACAAATATCTCGACAACACAACCACGAACATAACACTACACCGCTATAGTGCCGCGCGATCTGCCCGCTAGTTTCGAGAACAGGTATGCGTTGCCCGCCCCCTTGGCGCGCCGCTGCCGCTTCCGCCCCGCTACCCGCGAGATTCGAGGCCGAGGCCTAAGTTTCTTATGTTTGATAAAGTATTTCTCGTCCAGAGACATCAAGGAGCCCAAGAACGTGAAGCTGTTGTTCGACGTGCTGCGGTTCGAGCCGGCCGCCATCCACCGCGCCGTGCTGTTCGTGACCAACAACGCGCTGGTGTGTGAGACGCCCGAGGACGCCTCGCGGGTCGCGTACGACCTGGACCGCACCAAGAACAGCAGATACGATGTAACATACTACATATATTATAATAAAATAATATTTTGTTAGGACTAGGATGTACATAGAACTTTAAACACAATAATAAATATACAGCTAGTATACCGGGTAAACGTTTTGCCCCATATAAAAATAGGGATTGTATTTTTAATGCTAACATATATAAAAAAAACTCGTCCCAATAAAAATTAAGGGTGAACAACCCTTATGACTTAAAGGAATGAAAAATTGATGTTGGCCAATTCTCAGACCTACTCAATATGCTTATAAAATTTCATCAAAATCGGACAGCCGTTTCGGAGAACTTCTCTGTGACACGAGAATTTTTTTATATATAAGATAAAACTGTCTTTATAAATTATTAATTGTAAGTTGAAAATAATAAAATAAGGATCAAATTCCAGTCTTTCAACATCGATCACATTTATATTGTTTCGTTTAGGTTCTGTATTACAGTTGGTTCTTTGTTATGTTTGCTATAGAATTTTTATTATCTAAAAAAAAAAGTTTCATTAATTTATTTTTAAATTTTTAATTGTTTAGTAATAATTTGGTAATTTGTTATTGTCTTTTGTAATTTACATTTTATATTGTATAATTATTGGTAGTGTTTTTTGTTTCCCCTTTTGTATAATAGAAGTACAAAAAAAAGTTGTGTTAGGTTAATAGGAAATACTGTCCTTTTTCATGCCGAGATAACTTTTAATTGAAACAACACTTAACTAAAAATGTAATTACCTTTATTTTAAAACCTATAAATAGTGTATGTTTCGTAAGTTGTCCTTATAAATAAATAAAATAATGTTTGTCATCATCCATGTGTGTACCAGGCCCTGGCGTTAGACGGAACCTTCTACCAGAAGTCAGGCATCATCTCCGGGGGGTCACTGGACCTGGCGCGGAAGGCCAAGCGCTGGGACGAGAAACATCTGTCACAACTCAAGGCTAAAAAGGTATTGAATGGTTTATTCGTTTAATAGGCTGTTCTGAGGACGTAGTATTATTTAAATATCGAACAACTTACAGGAGAAACTGACGGAGGAGTTGCGGGAGTCCATGAAGAAGTCTCGCAAGGAGTCCGAGTTGACCACCGTGGACTCGCAGATACGGGGCCTGGAGAGTCGGCTCAAGTACGCGCTCACGGACAGAGACACTACGGTATGTGTACTATGGATATATATAACATGTCTGCAGTATGGAGAATCAAAGTTTTTTTTACCCCCTACCGAACATAGATATTTATATTAAAAACTCCGTCACGTTCTACAACCCTATCTGTTAAAATCAGTTTACTTGGCTCTCGAACCCGGTATCCCGGTCTGGGGAGGTACCTGCAAAACCCAACTTATTCACTTAGAAAGAGCCCATAGATCATTATTAAAAGTAATGTTCTTTAAAACGTATGGATGCGCAACATATAATCTACAGGGTGACTGGTGAATTACTATCGATACTTGAGGACGTAATATTTGACGATCATATATGACAAAATAAAAATTATAATATATCATAAATATTAATAAACTTCTAAGTAAAGTTAACCAAAAGTTATGTAATTAATTACGCATCGTATGAACACCCTACAGATTAGGTATACACACACACACACACACACATACACACACGTGCGACGGCGTGGTGTTGTATCATCACGCCGCCGCACGCGTCCACACTTGGAACACTTGAAACGTGTCCACATTTTATTTATTTATACGGAAATTTGGTCAAAAATTAAGTGCCTATTTTTATTACATAATTCGAATGAGAATCATGTACCGAGTATTCTCCTTAAATATTGATAGTAATTCACCAGTCACCCTGTATATTCAACAACCAAAATATTAACAATCAGACAACTTTACGTTCTACAAAGTGTGTTAAGAGTTCATAAGTCAATAATGTATAATAAACCAGACAAGAATAGAAGACGAAATCATGCAGTAATTAACTTACAACATTGCAACACACAATTTGCTAACAGACAATACAACAAACTTTATAATAAAATAAACAGGATTATTAACTTTTATGACCTTCAATATCATCAGTGTAAACAAACATTAACTAATTGGCATTATACTTTAGACTATCATGCTACTGAAGAATTGTTAACTGTACAAACGTAAGAAATATTAATATAAATATTAATTAATAAAAAAATAATAATAAGCAAATAGGTTTAAAAATAAAATTATATAATAACACCCACACTAATACATACACACTCACTCACACACACAAAAACACACATGTTTTCCATTACCATCTTTAATCTTAAAAATAAGTTAAGTATTTGTTAGTTTATGATTGTATGTTTCGATATATGTATATCCAGGAGGAGGAGTGAGTATTTTGAGATACAGGTTAAACCTACTTCAAAATTCCCGTTGCTAACTATTGCTGTACAAACTGATTTATACAATTTTTTTTATATGTACATACAGATTTTTATCAACTTAGTAGCAAGTGTTTCAATAGACACTAATAAAATGTAATTACTTCACATAAATTTTAAATGAGAAAATGAATTGATGCATAAATATAGATTTATTTAATGTAAGTTATTATCAAATTAAATGAACTTGTTTAGTAATCATGACATCTTTAATTTCAGCTGAAGCAAATCAAAACCTTCGACGCCGAGATCGAAGAGCTGGAGCGGAAAATAGAGATGTTTGGGGTAAATACATAGTGATCTTCTATGTGAGATTTTCACCGATATATTGACACATCGCTCAATTTTCGCAAAATGATGTTAAAATAATGTATGAACGAATTTTGCCATATCCCAATTAGAAGTTGCATGGTTGGGTTATTAAGTCAGTGGTGGCCTAGTGATTAGCCAGCCTCTCATGCATGAGGGCGCGGGTTCGATCTTGGCCCGGGCAAGTGCCAATATGATTTTTCCGAGTCATATGTACTTTCTAAAAGTATTTAGACATTACTGATTAATGCATTCCCAAAGAGGGTTGATGTCAGGCAGGCGGCCGGTCGTAAAAACAATTAGTTAAAAACTATTTACAACATGTAAGGCAGACCTGGCTAAAGCTGGGAAAAATTGCCAGGTAGAAGAAGAAGGCTGCGTAGTTGGGTGTTACCTATGAAAATTTTAATTTAACGACTAGTATTTTTATTTATACATATTATTATTTTATAATGTATAATATAATAATGAGTTGTGTCCCGGCTTACAGCCTCAAGTGGAGGAGATCGAGCGAACAATACGAGCGCGGGACGCCAAGATACAAGAGGTGAAGGAGAACATGAACAACGTGGAGGACGTGGTGTTCAGGGCCTTCTGTAGAGACATCGGGGTCGCCAACATACGGTATGTATACACACATGAGTGCTGGACCTAACAAGCTCTAGTAACATGGGCTGGTCACCCGCTGGCTGATTTAATAATGATAATATACCGATACAGACAGTACGAGGAACGGGAGCTGCGCGCGCAGCAGGAGAGAGCCAAGAAAAGGATGGAGTATGAGGCGCACATCGACCGGATAGGATCCAACTTGGAGTTTGAACGGTCGAGGGACACACAGAGTGAGTGACGGAGTAGAGGGAGGGAGGAGTGGTCTGAGAGGTTACTAACACACACATGTTGCACAGAAAACGTAACGAGGTGGGAGAGGACGGTGCAGGACGGAGAGGATGAGCTGGAGGTCAGCAGGCAGGCGGAGGCCAAGCAGCGGGCCGACGTGGACCGGGAGCTGCGGCGGGCAGAGGAACTCAAGGCGGAGCGGGCCGCGGCCAGGGCGGCGCTGGAGAAGGCGGACGACGCCGCCGCCGGCGCCAGGAGGGACCTGGCCGCCGTCAACAAGGACATACAGACCCTGCAGAAACACGTGGCCGCTGTGGAGGCGCGCATCGAGAGCAAGCGGAGCGACCGACACAACATACTGAGGCAGTGCAAGGTACGAACGAGACTAGCCACCTTAGATAATACATTATATTAGAAATAGATGCGCCACTGTGGGTTTCAGTTTAGAAAACTACTATATACCATGTACGCTAGATGTCGCTGAATTTAATAGCTAGGACGTGCTGCCACTAAATGGCGCTTAATGTTATACGAATTTAATAGGGAAAATGCAAATTTCAAATTTATTATTAACTTTAATCTTTGGTTGATGAAAGTTAATAATAAAATTAAATAAGAATAAATAATGTGCATGGGTTCACAAATCCAATTTCTGGTGTTCTTGCCTCTATTTACATTATTTACTTAGCACACAGAAAAAAATAAATACAAATACAATAAACTTTTTATACCATTTTTTATTTACTTCAAATCTCATTGAGTTTAATACAAGTAATGTTTCATCCCACAGTTTGCAATGTGGAGAATTCGTTTTCAATGCAATCCTATATAATTTAGCATCTTCCTGATAACTATGACCATTGAACGAGTCAAAGAGTTTATCTACAAGAAGCAGCAGGTCAGCTGTGGCGACACACTCTTTTGGCAAAATATTATGATCTGGAAATAAAAAATATATTAAAATTATTTTTAGACATAGGCCTTATCATTAGATAGATAAACTTCTTTCTAAATTTCTAAATCTGTGGTTTAAATTTATATTGTATTTAAAATGCTTTATACTGTTTTATAATTTAAAAGTAAATAAAGCATTCACAGTTTTAAGCTTAGTTATATGCCCATAACTTACCTTTAGGAAATAATTGAGAGGAATTAGGAGAACTCCTTTGTGGCTGACCTTGATTCATATTTAAATCCAAGTTGTGACTACAAGATGTGTCATTGTCTTCTTTTTGTGTATCAAAACATTTTTCAGTTTCAACAGAATGTGATACGTGTACAGTCTCAAATGTTGATGCGGCTAAATAAAATATATTTTTTAATACAAATAAATATATTAAAAGAAAAGTTAAATGTTGAAGAAAAGTTGAATGATAACATATTGTCATGATTGTATCTTTCTCTCTCGTTTCTTTTAGAGTTTCTGATTGAATGTAAATAGACTTGCAATTTTTACTGAATTGAACACTGCCATTCTTATTTTACATAAAAAACTATAAACAACTTTTTTTGGTTTGTAGTTATCCAGTGAAATTATAATCTCTGCATATTTAGAACACTTTGTTACATTAATTTCTTACACGTTAATTATGACAGTTTCATCCCCATGAACTAGACTAGCCACACACACTTATATACTGACACTGTGATGTATTGGTTGCAGATCGACGACATCCAGGTGCCGCTGGTGGAAGGCTCGCTGGACGACACGGCCGAGGAGTCCGAGCCCTCCTCGATGTCCACCACGCAACAGCATCTCCGGGACTCCAGGTGAACCATCACATTATACAAATATGATCCACTAGATTATTGACAAGGAATTATATCTCAACATTGACCTGGTATCAGAATCCGTGTGGACTACCGCATGCTGGGCGAGTCCCTCCGCGAGCTGGACGAGCCGGACGAGGTGAAGCGGCGCGGAGACAAGCTGCTGAAGGCCATCAACTCCCTGCAGAACACCGTCGACAAGATACAGGCGCCCAACATGAGGGTCAACACTATACACCATACTTCATATAAGCCTCCATTTTCTCCCTTTAATACATATATTCTCGTTTACAGGCTATGCAGAAACTTAATGAGGTGCGAGAAAAAGTGAGCGCTACGAATGAAGCTTTCTTAGCGGCTAGGAAACGAGCGCACAAGGCGAAACTAGCCTTCGAAAAGGTTCGTACATTATTTGTTTACACGAAAAAGATACGATAACATACTTATACAATAATCCATGTCTCTTAATATGATATAATCTGTCAGGTGAAGAAGGAGCGGTACGATAAATTCATGAACTGCTTCGAACACGTCGCCAATGAAATAGACGCCATATACAAGGTGCGTTACATTACATATTATATTGATAGTTAATAATTATAAAAATGATGACTATAACATAACCGCTCGTGTCAACAGGCGCTGGCCATGAACCAGTCGGCGCAGGCGTTCCTGGGCCCAGAGAACCCTGAAGAGCCCTACCTGGACGGAGTCAACTACAACTGTGTAGCGCCGGGGAAACGGTTCCAGCCCATGTCCAACCTGTCCGGAGGAGAGAAAACAGTGGCTGCCCTGGCCCTGCTCTTCGCTATACACAGGTACACTGATTAGACATCAATTGGAGGTGGAACGCTATTGAAACACTAGACTATCCAACACAAAAAGAATTATTCAATTCGAACCAGTAGTTTCGGAGATTAGCGCGTTCAAACAAACTCTTCAGCTTTATAATATTAGTATAGATTTCATCGCGATCTCTGTTGTCACACAGAGTTTGTTTAGTGACATCCAACCTGAGCCGGCTTTTAACATTATATTATTTCGTATGATAAGCCTATCGAGTCATTTCTTAGTATAATATCCTCTACAAATGTCCCTCGCCCCGTCAGCTACCAGCCCGCGCCCTTCTTCCTGCTGGACGAGATCGACGCGGCGCTGGACAACACCAACATCGGGAAGGTGGCGTCCTTCATCCGCTCCAAGAAGGGTTCCCTGCAGACCATCGTCATCTCGCTCAAGGAGGAGTTCTACGGCTGCGCGGACGCACTCGTCGGCATCTGCTCTGAGGTAAACACGAGTCTGTACTTGGCAGAAGAACGAGGCCGATCAATGTATACATTCAAATATCTATAGTATCACAATTCACAACATAAGAACTGAAAATCAGAAAAATTGTTCAATCAATTATGAACATTTTTTTAAGTTATCCCTTACTCAAGTGTATGGAAAAAAATATGTAGGATAAAGTCAGAAAAGTTTTATCAATTTCATAAAAATAAGCATAACTCATTTATCGTTCCATTACTCATTTGTAAAATAGTTATCCAAAAGTTAGTTTAGTTGATAGTCTACATGGTTTATATAATTGTGTCATCATGTTCTGTTCTCAGCCCGCGGATTGCCTCGTCAGTGACGTCATCACTCTCAGCCTCGAGAGCTACAACGACTAAAATCCACCATCACTAACACCGCCCCGAGGAAAGCCTGCTTGAAGCCGAAGACCTAAATATTGTTCCAATCACATGATTGTATTTGAGATGCGAGGATATTCAAATATTTAATGGAGTCTAGGAAACAACTTATAAAAAATAATATTACTATTTTTCACATTACAATTTTAAATGTATGTTGACTTTAGAACTGTTCTGTCGCTTGAAAGAGTAAGCAGTTAAAGATGCGCTTCATATACAGAGCTCATTTCGAGATACATCACTTAGTAATTTCTGCGTTATGAATCCAGCATTCATTTAGACTTCACCCTCCAGACTTGACATAGAAATAGACTTCTCACGGGTGGTGGCTTTAATATGTACTGGTATGTATTATAATTAAAGACAGTACTTAGGACTGGCTTTCAGAATTCGTAATAAATACATAAAAAAGTCGACGTTCCATTTGATTTCTAAGTATTAGGTATGTTGTGGGAAAATAAGTGACTTCAATAAATATGTAACTCTTTATTTACAATAAAATATCTTATAGTATTATCTAGTTTTATTGAACTTAACGGGCGATCACATCTGACGGGCCGCGGGCACCGAGGACAAAAAGAGATGAACATACGACGATGTGGCAAGTGGTAGGGAACAGTTAAAATGTTAGTAGCACAAGGTTTATTACTGGACGACCTAGTACACCTGCAGCACCTGGTAGTACAGGCTCCTCACTCCAGCACAAGCATACTACTGGTGTCATTATAGGTCTTCGATTTCCGAGACATTCATATTAATTGGACAAGAATACTTATTTGAATCAAATTTGTCGCACCAAAAATCGTGTTAATTAAATAACATTACATTGTTTATTTTTGATTGTTACGATCACACGCTGAGCCTTCGAGGGAGTCGCAATAAACCGTTTTGTTAAATGTGGAATTGTAGACCAGTGCCGATAGCTTTAAAACATATTTAAATTATAGTAGAATGAAACTCATTAGTAAAGGAGGATAATATTATAAAAATTAAAGGAAAAATAATTTAAATAATCATGTCTGTTTTAATGAAATGACACTCGAAATCGTTTTGAAAATGCTCTTTCTGATTTATTTTTAATAGTTGTGTACTCTGAAAGTTCTCCATTTAGTTTCCTTTTAGGTAATTTACAGAAAATTGACATTAAGCTGTTAAAACTATAATAAAAAATAAATTAAAAGAGCATTTTCCAAACAAAATCGAGTGTCATTTCATTAAAAGGGACATGATTATTTTATCCAAAAAAGGTACTGTAAGTAAGAAACTTATATTTTTTTTCACCATCAAAAAATACAGATTTCATCGAACAGAAAACACACCAAATGTTTGAAAAAAGCTGATATTTTGACGGGTGATTTTTCCATTGAAAATGAGGCTGATTTTTCGGTATTTATTCAAAATAAGCTGAAAAAGTAAATATTTCTAATCAAATAAATTACAGTGTATTTGGAATATCAAAAGGAAAGTTTTCACCAAATTTCGTGACAAAATATTGTTTTTTGTAAGAGCTAAAAACAAAAAAGTAGGTTTTTTGAAATTTTCACATAAATTTTGAGGTTATGTGAAAAAATGTTAATACAAAAGTTTTAGATCTTTTTATTACCTACAACTTTACCATATAACTTTTTTCTGTAGGGCTTTTAGTTTTGAAGGAAATCGAGAAAACTCATTTTTTACCCTTAAATACCCATCTCCATACCCTTCCTGACCTTAGATCGCCCGTAAATTTTTATAATATTATCCTCCTTTTCTAATGAGTTTCATTCTACTATAATTTATTTTCACTTTTCATTAATTTTAAAGGCTTCTGCACTGGCCTATTGATATTTTATAACAATATATTATTAAAGATGGATGACAATTTGTATCTTGTTACATTTTATGTTGAGTAAGGCGGTATTCTATATCATTATTTTAAATAAGATAATATTTACGTGTTTATTTATTTCCAAATAAGGAGCGGCGAGTCGACCGCCATTTGTTTTAATTATTTAAATCATACAATGTATCTATTGATTTGCAAGCAATGCGTTGTGTCGCTAGTCGGGCGAGTTGGGCGGGCGGGTGCTGAAGTAGGGCGCGGCGTGCGGCTGCAGCAGCGTGCGGCACACGGAGCACACGCGCGCCGGCAACCCGCGCGGCCCGCTGGCCACCACCTGGCTGACACACGGCCCGCAGAAGATGCGGCCGCAGTGCCGGCAGTGGATCTTCTTCTTGTTGGAGGGCAGCGGCGCGCGGCACGCGGGACACTCGCTCACGTCCTCGTCGTGCTGCCAGCGCACCTCGGAGTCCGCCTCCCGTATCCGCTGCAGCTGCACCTGCAGACTCTGCGACAGCCGCACGAAGTCCTGCTGGACCTTCTCACTGTTGTCCAGCTCCTGCTGCAGCACGCACACCCTCGTGCGCACCTCGCTCACCTCGTTCTGGAGACGTTTCTGAAACGAGAAATGACGATATAAGCTTTATTTTATTTATTTGGTTCTCCAACAATGTGTACACTAAATAAATACAATTTACAATGAATAAATCTTAAAACTTAGTGTCACAATTATTTAGCGGAACAACATTTTATTATTTATGATATACATATATTATACGAAATATATGGTATATAAAACATAATCAAACAAAATGAAAATGAAATAAGCAAACAAAAAAAAGAGTCCAAATAAATTGAATTGGTAATTTCTATTTTAGTACAAATTTTTTACTGATTTTATGGATGTAGTAGTTAAATCAATACTATCTTGGTACTCAGAAAATACATAATACATTCTTGATAGAGGACTGTACAATTTAAGGTTAGTATAATGTCTAGCCTGACAGAACAAATGTAGATTACATGACCTTGGCAGTCTGGAAGGAATACAAAAATTAATTTTATTTTAATAGATTGAGAGCATTTAAGTTCCCCTAACAATTTTGGTAAGAAATATTAAGTCCAAAAATTTTCTGCGATTAGACAATGTCGCAAAATTTAAATAACAAAGACGATTCTGATAGGAAGTAAGGTTTCTTTTTAGATTACAACTATAAGTTAAATGCCTCACAATTTTTCTTTTGAATTTTTGTTTAATACTTAACGAGTAAAAACCACCTAAAAGACGATTAAAGATTAGCCGTACTTTATCGTCAAGAAGCTTCTCGATGGTGTCGTTGGACTGCCTCAGCTTGTCCGCCAGCTCCTTCATCTGCTCGTGCTCGGTCTGCAGCCGGTCCAGCTCTTTGCTGCGATTGAAAATAAAATACAATGAGCTCATGTGACCTAACGATAACTGATTAATCAATGTACACTGTACACGGACCCGACGTCCTTGAGCCTGGCGCCCTGCTCGGCCAGCTCGTCTTCTCTCCGGTGAAGCATGGCGGCGTGCTGCTGTAGCTGTGCTCGCAGCTCCTCCTCGTTCTCCAGCGCCCTCTCCCGCCCCACCTGACACACGAGCAGCTGTTCGTGCAGCTGGATCGCCTTCTCCTGTAGCGCGGGCACGTCGTCCGGCAGGTCGATGACCTCGCTCTCCATCTCCGCGGCCTTCCGTAGGTATCTTCCCACGAGCATCTCGTTTTCCCTCTCCAGTTCGTCCAGCTTCCCCTGCAGCGTTTCCCTGGCGACCGTGAGCGCCGTCACGTTGTGCAGCGCCTGTCGTGAGGCCCGCTCGGCCTGCTCGCTCCTGTGTGCTATCTGTTCCTTGGCCTGGTCGAGGGCCTGCTGCAGGTCCGCGAGGCGCGCCCCTCCCTCCGTCCTCTCGGCCTGCCAGGCCCGCGTCGTCTCGTCGTGGACGCTGCGGACGCCCTCTAACTCTTCCGTGGCCTAAATAATTCCATATTAAAGACTATACGTGCAGGTTAACATATAATGCATAGAGCTACTAATGAGTCTCTTACCAATTTGAGCGAGAGTTCAAATTTCCTCGCTTTATCTCGTGCGTGGTCCGCGCGTGTCTGCTCCGCGACCAGTTGTCTCTCGTAGTTGGCGCACATGTCACAGCCGCGGCTCTCTGTGAATTTCGACCTCTATGGTTACGAAGCCTCTATATCCTGGTAACATTTTCTTTGAACAGTTGTTTCAACTTATTAAGGCACGTCAAGTATTCGCAACAGACTATTTATTCAAATTTAACTTTGACAATATATCAGATACACAGTTTACATACTTTTGCATAGATGGCCTTAGTAGTAACAAATTTTGATACACTATTTCAACACCCCCACTTATCAAAATAAACTGAACAACTAATAACTAGTTACAATAGAAATAAACCTAACATGTGGATGAATTTATAGTGTTTCACAGAACACAAACCTTTGGTCAAAAGATCTGCAGGCATTTCTTCAGAAGGAACATAATCAATTTTTACATAATTATTCTTAGCAACATCCCTAATATAGTGATGACGCAGATCTATATGTTTAGACCTACTATGACTCTGATGACCAAATGCTGGTTTCAATGCACTTTGGTTATCACAATACAAATTAATTACATACAATTTTCCTGTATTTTCATGTAATAAATTTCTTAAATATACAGCTTCTCTAGAAGCTTCAGACAAAGCTGTGTATTCTGACTCTGTACTGGAAAGACCTACAGTGCTCTGTTTCGGACTATGCCAAGAAATGGCTCATTCAGACATCACAAAACAGAAACCGGTGTAAGATTTCCTATCTAGAGCATCACTTGCCCAATCACTATCTACATAACCTTGTAAATCAGTGTCACTATTACTATATTTTAAACAATAACCTTTGGTACAAATCAGAATTCGTTGTGCATAGTTGTAACAAGTAATATTATAGCAATTATTGGCTAAGATAACTGACGGCATAGGCAATGTCAGGTCTTGTTAATACTGCCAAGTACATTAAACTACCAATAAGTTTTTGGTAAGGTACATCCGATAAACATTCTTTAGATTTCTGTACATTTAATTTTGGTTCAATTGGAGTACTCTGTGGCTTACAATCAGACATTTGAAATTTAGATGCTAACTGTTCAATGTACTGCTTTTGGTCTTAAGTTATTACATTTTTATTTTTATCTAAATTTACTCTCATGCCTAGATGCTGTCTTACAAGTCCTAAGTCCTTTAATTTGAACTTTGATCCTAAAGCCTTTTTTAACTTTTCAGTTTCAATATCACTGTTTGAAAAGATCAAAAAATCGTCCACATACAATGCTACTATTATTTTAACTTTACCATCAGTTTTCGCAAACAAACATGGTTTATACTTACTATTTCTAAAGCCTAATTCACAAAGACAATCTTTAACCCGTTCATACCATACTAACGAAGACTGCTTTAAACACAACTCACCCGTTTCCGGTTTGGAGTCGCCGCCGCTGGCCACGGCCGCCGAGGTGTTGGCAGCTGCTACTTTTGATTTCTGTAACGATAACAATGTTCATATATGACCGTTCTGTCATCGATCCTCATATACCTCCTACCCCCGCCCCTCCTCACCAGCGCGTCCTGCAGCAGCGCGTCGTTCTCCCGCAGCTTGTTCTTGAGCGCGCCTATCTCCATCTCGAGCGGCTGTATGATGCTCTGCAGCAGCTCGTCCTCGGCCTTCCTGGACGGCGGCTCCTCCGGCTCCGCGCCCAGCTTGCGAGCCAACGACCGTACGAACGTGGCCGGCGCCAGGGGAAGCTCCTGTGATAGTCGGAACCACATTATAACTATGAATTATAATCAATGGTATTCAAAAGAATTAACTGGTAGTTACGCTTGTGCTCATTTGAAACACAATACAAATAAAACATTAGCTGGGATAGAGGTTTTCGTTTTTAAAATTCAAACACTTTGTATAATTATGTAAATCGGTCGTATCTCATGAGTACACATCACTTAACAAATGTTTTTACTGAAATTCTTATCGATAATGACTTAATTTTGTGTGCAAAAATTTTATTTAAAATTATAACTATCGATCGGAATCCATTTATAAAGTAAATTAAAAATATATGTTACAATATTTACCTTAAGTTCCTCGAGTGGATTTTTAGCGGCCAGTAAAAAAAAGAAAAAACTAATTATGTTGTAACAAAACCCTGTGCAAGCACTAGTTAAAGGGCGATAAGACACAGAACCAACTAGTAACGACCTTACATAAATGTAAGTGTGTCACTGAGTGGGGTACAAATGTCTTAGATATTTCTTCATTTTAACTTGTTTTGAGTTAAAGTTATTTATTTTTAAACTTTAAAATTGACGCAAAAGTTTTAATATCAATTAATAATAATAAATGTTCGTGGGTGTTGCAAGTCACCTGTTGTTGTCTAAGTTGTGCGAGTTGTTGTTCCAAGTCGATGTTCCGAGCTCGGAGTCTCCTCACCTCCTCGGAGCCCGACGAAGATGCCTCCACTGTCTCTGTTGAAGACCAATATAGATTTGAAAAAAAAAAGCAATCAAACGACATCATATATCGTACGAAGTTTTATATTAGCAATATACCTTTGGGGCCCCAAAAACAAAACGTTGGTAGCATTATTGAAATGAAATTGAAAGTAACACAAATATACAGAGTCCATTCGATTATGATCATGTTATAAGGATAAAGGAAACTTAATTATATTCGATAACGTTGGATCCAGTTAATTAAAGACCTCACTATAGCTTTTAGGGGTCTGTACTTGAAATCGTAAAAATTAAACTTTAATAGAATCGGTTTATTATTCATCTATCTGTTTTCTGTGTAGAACTTTGTGCAGCGAATTTTTTTGAATGATGTCTTGAAGCACCCAGATAATTAAAAATTTCCATCAACACAAACTAGAACACATTTCTATATTATTGGATATAACCAAAAGTTCTTTTACTGCAACATTTCATTTGTACCTCAAAAGAATTTATCTTTTCTTTAAAGTTTAAAAGAAACATTTTTATGCTAACAAGTTACCCTGAATATCTTTTATTGCTATACGGAACCCGCGTATTACATTAGACTTTCATGAGTCGGATTTTTTTCACGTCATTATTGATAACTTTTATAATTAACGAGTTGGTAGTAGCTTTATCGTTACAACACATCCCTAAACACAGTAGTCATGTCAACAGCCTTTCAGAAGCCCACTGCTGAGCAAGGCCTCTTTCTCACATGGAGAAGGTTTGAGTATTAATCACCACGCTTGCTCAAGACGGGTTGGTGATTTCAAACTTATAATTATGAAACTATAAGTCCAGGTTTCCTCACGATGTTTTCCTTCACCGTATGTCAGTGATGTCTTAATACTCTCAGAAAGTACATATGACTCCGAAAAATCACATGGGTACTTGCCAGGTTTGAACCCGCGCCCTTGGCAACGAGAGGCGGGCCTCTTAACCACTAGGCCACCACTGACTAAACACAGTAGTACAACACCACAACTGTTTCTTACCACTGACTAACATCTGTAAGCTCTGTATCTCTGACTTCTGGTTCTCGCTGAGTGTTTGTAGTTGTTGCAGCTCCTCTCGTAAGCCCAACACCTCCGAGTCCAGCTGTTGCTTCTCTAGCACCAGTTGACGGAGGTCCTCTGCAATGTGTTTATTAACATTGTTGTAAGTAAAATTTTATTTAAATCTGATTCTATGGATTCTGAAGTATTTTTTGCTATTTTCTTGGTGAGACACACAATCCGTTAAAATTATTTCTGTGTCAGTGTTTAGGTAATGTTTTAAAAATTAATGAATTGGTTTTAATCGAGTTTTAACTTAATGATAGGTTAATAGGACTACATATAGGCTATATTTTACCTATAATTGGACTGTTGACACTCACAGGAATAGCATAGAATGGAATGAAGCAGCAAAGTACCAATAGTGGATCAAAAATATATTACATAATTTAAAAATAATTTTCCATAGAAAAAATACCACTATAGCCTGATCTGAAGCTATTCTAAAGCCACTTATGGATTTTCATATTGCTCAAGAGTTATTAAGGAATGTGGAAATAATGAACGCTTCACTTTCCGTGATGACTTTTAGTTTTTTAAATATGCTCATCAGCAGCAACAAACAATACACTGTACGAGAAATTAGAAGGAATTTGCTAAATCATGTGTACATACATTATTGCCTACATATCTGTAACTTTAAGACTTATTAATGGTTAGAAAAAAATTTAAAAAATAACTTTTACCATATGAAACTTTATTATGGTGATAAGACAAAAAGTTTATTTGTAACATACCTTGTGTATACAGGGTGACTGGTGAATTACTATCAATATTTAAGGAGAATACTCGGTACATGATTCTCATTCGAATTATGAAAAAAAAATCCCCACTTAATTTTTGACAAAATTTCGGTATAAATAAATAAAGTGTTGACACGTTCCAAGTGTTGCAAGTGTGGACGCGTGCGGCGGCGTGCTGATACAACACCACGCCCCGCTCGCTTATGTGTGAGTGTGAGTGTATACCTAATCTGTAGGGTGTTCATACGATGCGTAATTAATTACATAACTTTTGGTTAAGTTTACTTAGAAGTTTATTAATATTTATGTTATATTAATTTTTATTTTGTCATATATGATCGTCAAATATCACGTCCTCAAGTATCGATAGTAATTCACCAGTCACCCTGTATATAGTAAACTATACAAATGAATAGTCCATATGGTTATTTATGCGTCTTGTATGGTCATATGTTTAGTTAGCAAGCATTAAACATTGTAATAGCAGAGACCCTTATATAACAGATTTCTTTTTATACTGCTCTGAAAAAAAAATACAAACTGACTTTCAAACAGCAAGTTAAAAATATTGTGGATCGTCCATATATTTTTTATTTACCCAAGACTAGTCATGTTGTTATGAAAAGTGAGAAAAAGTATTTGTAAATTATCGTTTTTGAAGTTTTCTCATTTAGAGTTAAGCAAGAACAGACATTAAGTGTGTAGAAGCATTTATACTGGTAAACTGAGAATATGCTAAGGCAATGGCCCCTGACATAGAAAAAAACTAAGAGTGACAAAAATGTCATATCAAATGAACATTGCATTAATGAGTGTAATTATAATTTACTAACAGTCAATAAAATACCTATGTTTAATGTTTAATAAAATATACAAAAAAAATTCTCAGCTTACATCATTATTTATAATTACTGCTTGCAAAAAAATAGCTCTTTGGATGTCAAATTGTTGTAGTATCTAAACACAATGCTGTACATCTAAGATTGTGATGTTTACACAGCAACTATAAGGTCCATAGGAGTTTTAAAAGCAAATACTTGTCCAATATAAGAATAATGTTAATTTTCTATGTGAATTATTCAAATACTGAAAAATATAGTTTATGGATTGTGAAATAAGATATGACTAACATATACATGTAGTATGGAAGTTAGATCCCCTTAAAGAAAATGATACAAACTTCCTTGTTTTAATATTGAAATAACCATGAACCAAGCACATATACCCTGCACATAAAGACTAGCATCTGGACTACTAACCTTCTTTCTGTAAGAATAACTCTTTCATTTTAGCTCTTTGCACGTTAAACTCCTCTTCCAGATCTCGCTTAGCGTTCTGAGGACCTGTAGCACCTTCTTCTCCGCTCTCTACTTGAAAAATAAATACTTCTCAACATCCTGAAGACATTCGCACATATAAAACACAACACACAACACACCTTTCAAAACTGCGGAACCGCTAGCCATTTTCGTTTTTTCATCCATAATTGGTTTCAGTACTATTATGTCGATCTCGATGTTGATTTTTTGAAATGTAACATATTTTTAACGAATGTAATTAAATAATAAAAATAACAAATCCAATAATATCTGATGATGCTGATGAAAGTAAGAAACAACTTGACATATCTACACTGATCTGTCATATGTCAAGTTATTTGGTTTTGACGTTATTGGTAAATTTCTTAGATCTGTTAATTAATTAAACCACAAGTACGATTGACAAGAATAGATTTAACTGACGAAACCTGTTTTCCCAGAACTCCGCCTAGACCTTGTTTTACAATTACACAACCTCCTACGCTTCTAATAAAAAAAATATTTTGATATTATATTATACTATTTTTAAAAGTAATAAAGGTAGTGGTTTTTTACAATTAGAATCCTGTACATAATGATTGATTAATTATTTGTTGCATAATTGGTAATATTAGAAGACAGAAGCCCAAGAAAAACATAAGAACTATCGCAAAAATTCTATTTACACTCTTATGTTATTCATTGATTTAAAGATATCAAATAATTAAAAATTATTATTTTATAATTATTGAAAATTATTGTGAATAATGATAATATATTTAATTATTCAGAGTAATAAATATTTCATTTAAATGTCTAGAATTTTTTACTTTTCTCCTGGGATTAAATTCTAATGTTCTAAGAAATGTTAAGTTTTCTGTTTTAGTCCAAACTGATTGTCATATTTATTTTATTAGGTTAAAGATCTTGCCTTTCTTTCCTCTCATTTAAAGCTTATGAAATGTAGCCTTTCGGTACCTTTTTGGTGACCAATCATGAATTAAGATGAGCCATTTTATTGTTAATGCTATGCAAGAGTATCCCATGTCTAATTACTCATTCTGCATATCTAAACTCATTGCATGGATCTTGTATTTAGCATTTTTGTCCTGTCAAATAAATACTTCAATATATCCGTATCTTGAGCTTTCTTGCTTGATCCTAACCTTATTCTGTTACTTTGTGCTTTTATAATAAACTGTTTATGGAAATGAAGTCTTGATTCTAGCTTTGGGGTATCTTTATCCTTTTGGAGCGATGTAACGACATCATCATGGGATTTCCCAAGGATACATCTCTTGGAAACTCTCAGGTGTTTATAGAGCTCTGATGGCCTTTTTAGATTCATCCTCAAACTATTGCGATCAATGAATAAAATTGAGGAATCAACCAATACTACAATCCCGAGCTACATCTTCTAAACTTTTATGACTCTTGCATCTAACTTTGAAAAAATGGTTTTATTAAAATCGGAGACAAGAAAAGCGTTATTTAGATATTATACGTGATATTAGGTAATTATCGTAAATCCAAGCATTTTGGACGTTACTGATCGGTTGATGATCTACTTTGTTAAGATCATTTAAAAAGCTATTTATTTTTAACAGTTTTTAGGGTTACCCGTCAGAATTTCGAGATCGTCACCGAAGGCTTACATGGATTCTGTGTATTTATTTTTAAAATTGAACTACATAATGTTTTTATTAACATTTAATATTTTTGTAGATAAACAACAGGTTCGAAATAGTTTGATATTGTAACTTGAACTTAAATAACTAATGTTGTTACAAGTTGTACCAATAATTTCATATGTCAGACCTGATTTTTATTTTAACGAAAATTGATAAAAGGCGTGACGGAATAAAAACACACAAACTCATAAAATAAACATTGTATTCGTCACAACTACATCGAATTAGATATAATTCGTTTTGGTTGAAATTATATAAACCATAAATTTATGTGAAAATGATCATTATTATCTTAATTAGGACAAATAAATAATTAATTTACTATTACAAATACTCTTTGACTAACGTGATGAACGTGAAATGTGAAATCATTACAGCGCCACCATCCAAGCAATATACATTACAGAACAATTGAAGGCACAGTCATATCACAGGTTTATAACGTGTATTATAAAAATTAATTACATTTTATTATTTACAATTACTCCATGAAACACACGTTTAAATGCAATAATATACAGCGTTTAGTTTCGAGCAGACTAACTAACAGATGGCGCTGGATCACACTAGTTCCGCTATCCGACGAGAGATGTCGTCAGAAGCCTTGCTTCGCTTCTCTGAACCGCCGGCCGGAGGGAAGGTCCTCGAAGCAGGGCACTTGGACTATATTGAAATAGATGTGCCCCATGAGGTGCGAGGCGGACGTGTTGGTGGTCTTCAAACAGTCGAAGAGCATGTCGTCGCAGGTGCAGTGAGACTTGCTGTAGAGGGAGTTGTTGGTGAGGTTGTAGCGGGTGGAGAAGGCGCGCACCTTGCTGGGGCACAGGTCGTGCGTGCGGCAGCAGCGGTCCAGCGGCCGGTCGGAGCCCAGGTCGTGGTAGTCCGCCGCGATGTCGCCCGTGCCGCACCACTTAGTGCCTGTACAAACATGACATGAGTCGTAGAGATGATCTCTTTACATGTTATAGGAGTAGTGTTATCGCTCGCTGTGTATCCTCACCAGGTATGATCCCCTGCAGCAGTGACAGCGGACTGCCCCCCAGCAGCCCCGCGTGCTGCCCGCCCGCCCTCAGTCTCGCTGCTCCTCGTTCCCGCCAGTCCGACCTCCGCCGGGACGCCGCCCAGCCCTCCGACCCTTCTACACCGTCCACCTTCACATACAAATAATATACATCTTTATTTATTATATAAAAAGACACATTGCAAGTCATACAACATCCTAGTCACCGCTCCAACCCCACACCTCTTTATCTATTTTACATATCTATAGATTAGTAATAATTTTTAGTACAGATCGATTATCATAGATATTGTATAATGAGTGTGCATAATATTTCCACATAATGACCGCTCTGCTGACCTACATCGTTATAATTTAAAGATAATAGTCAAATACCTAATTTTAGAGGTTACTTCCAACAATGCACGCAATGTTATTGTTACAAATAATTTTCAATGCAATCGTTTATCTGCAATATGTTAAATCATATTATTTATAACGATGACACGGGGAATATAAGATGGAAAGTTAAATCTGACATTAACAACGGGTGTGTTATCACAGGTCAGAGGAAATAAGATCCTAAATTTGGCAATAACTGATATATTATGTGGCGAACAGGAAATTGGAAGCATGTAGCGGATATAAACCTCACTAGAATAAGTAGCATTATCATAAATATCATCAGTCAAATAAAATCACAGTCACAGAAAGCAAAAGTTATTACATGATCCGAACAATATTTCAGCTTGGCACGTAATCATTTTCGTCGGAATAACAATGAATAGTGTATTCTTTTATTATGAGATCGTTTGTATCTCGGCTACTCAGCAGTTTTGATCATAATGTGGATGCTGAGATACATTTTTCATCAATCCAAGCCTGAAGTAGCGGCGGCCGGCCGTCTGTGCTCGAGAGACCGCGGACAATCAACTCGCTTACACAGCTCTTTGACTCACAAAAGAAAACCCGGTCAAGGCTGTCTCAGATGAACTTCGGTTAAATATCAGGAAAAATACTGTTTTAAAATAATAACTTATGTATGTTTTTTGCTAGTTTTCTATATACAATAGTTACAAATAATAAAGTATTGATAAAACGTCGTCGCTTCACCGTCACGAGCCGGTGTGGCTGATATTTTAAATTATTCATATCCAGTCGATATCGGCCTGAGGTCACATATATATTTCATAGAAATTATGTAATGAGCTTCGTAAGTTATTTTATATTTAGCAGATTATGTAACTATTTTTATTAGATGCATGTTACGAAGACAGAAACGCAATCGATTGAATTCTGGTCAATTTGAATATTATAATAATTGAATATATAAAATTAAAAATTGCTTTATAAAGACTACATCTGACAAAGTCAAAAAGTTATAGTTTAAAATAGTATAATTATGCTTATGCACACCCTGGTTTTGCGAGATTATTAAAATTACATATTACCAAGATTTCAACATTTACGGTAAATTTATATTAATTTTAATATTGAAGACAAGGCAGTCGCTTGCCAAGTTTGTTCAGTAGTGTTATATTGCGTGCGTACCTGCTGACACTGGCTCATCAACTTAGTCATCTGTGGGAAGCTGATGGCCAGAGGTCTGTTGATGACGCTCAACTGGCGCAGGAGGCGGCTCGTGTCGTCCTCATCACTACAACAACAACATTCATGAATTAACAACACTGTACTCTGTAGCGACAGTAAAGTCATGTGTAGTTTATTACAGGTTCTGTTGTCCTACAGCTCAAATACGTTTTTAAAATTTAGGTACATATACATATATTATAATATAGGAAATGGTATTGCAAATTAGGTCAAAGTAAGCAAAATTTAGAATATGGACCTCTAATACGTGGGTTAGACACTATAGTTAGTAGTTAGTAGACAGAAAACACACATGTTCATATCAAAGTAATTGAGGGGACAGCCAAATGTTGCTTGAGCAGTAGTGAAGAAAGAGCAAGAAACACATCATTGCGAATATAGTGAGACTAAAAATTATCGTTTTTTTAAAATACTAGTACAGTGTTATTTAATATTAAATTAAAATCTGTGGAATTGGCTACTAATTTTGGCTAAGAACCAATTTTCTGAAATATAAAATTTAATTCAATTTAAATATACCCAGTAGGAATAGTGTTTGCCGTAATGCGCATAAAACTGCAGACCACAGAAGTCTTATAAAATCATGGTTTTAAAAAATCTAATAGTGAATTCTATTAACCTTATGTTTTCCTTCTTAGGTTTAAATAAAAGCTTAAGCTCTTATAAATGAAAAACATAAACAAAAAGTATAAGTATATGAAAATGTTTCTATTTGAAGTATAATGAATCTGCTCCGGGCGCCATGAAACGTCAAACATTTCACAAAACCTTAAAGTTTATTCCAATTTCACAAAAGTTTTCTTGACGTGTTGTCAAATGAGGAGGCACCTACTGCCAAGTAAAAATTTTATTTATAGCATTTCGCAGCTTATACTTCCAGAACTTTTATTTGTTATTAAAAAATATAATAAATGAATTAATTTAATAACCATTTAATTTTATGCCCACATATGTGATTGAAAATTGTAAATAAAATAAAACGACATTTTGTACACAAATCTAAAATAAATAAAATACTTATATCAAATATCATTGATAAATTTGGATAAAATATTTCAATGAATATGATACAAAAAGTATAAATAACCAAGTTAAATATTTTATACGTAGCGTTTTAAACGAGTCATTTGTGATTTGAGTATAATTTAAACAAACCAGTTGTTGAAGAAGGATCCGGAGAAAGTTGTAGGTCGAGGTTGAGATGGATGTTACGTAAAAATGATCCACGAAAAATATGTGTATTATAGACGTCGAGATAGTTTTAGTGGAATAAAATATATTGAAATACATAAAAAACGAATATATAAACTACTTATATTAGTAGGAATAAGAATAAGTAATGCTTTTGTAGACAGATATATTAATCCTGTCGATGCAGTCATGAAATAACATTTTAAACAATACATATAAACGCCAATTTTATGAGAAATATATGTTTAGTGAAATAATAGCCGGCTTCTTACAGGTACAAGCGGAACTGTCATGGTCGGAGGATTCGTTTGTCGTGACTGGAACTTCCGATGAAAACTACTAGTTATAAATGTAGTTATAACTACCAATTAAATATACGAAATATCATTCTCTGAAATAAAAGTATTAATTATATAAAGATATTTATTGAAACTTCGACACGATCATATTTTTGGTATAACGAAATATCTTTTGTTTTAAATACCGAAAAAATCAGTAGAATTTTACCAAATAAGAGATTTTTTGCCAGTTTTTATGACAATTTATATAGTTTAAAATATGTTTTACGTTAAAATATTGAAGCGGAACGTGGTCGTGAAAGTCTTTGGTGCTAATTACAATAACTCAACACTATGTAGTTCATTGGGTTCAATACTAGAAGCAGGCGAGTCACGGGCGACACACTCTGAGTCTATGTGGCGGATCATAATGTTACATGTACCTGGTATATTATATGTTCTGAACGACAATATTAATAGTAGTAATTCACCCGGCCACCCACAGAGTACTATCGATCAATCATAAATAATTCGATGGATCGAATAGATATAAATAAATAATTCACTTATAAAATTTATAAAAATAAAAATGGTCACAGTCAGTGTTTTTTAAATATGACTTCTTTTAAATATTTGATCGTGAATGCGTCTGAGGCAAAGGGAGAACTTAGTTCCGCATAAAGGTAGCAAATAAGAAAATTTTGCATCTTCTTAAATCAATATTTTTAATCTTTTTTGGTCAAATTTTTATTCCGAAAATTATCTTATGGCCGTCTCATGGTTTTAAGCTACCTCTCCACAAATTAACAACCAGATCCGTACCTCTAAATATTATCATTTAGGCTTCAAATATAAAAGATTTTTGGTTCAAATATTAAAGAAATATATATAACTGATATTTATCAACAATATCTATTTCTAGACCTGTTCACTAATTAGCAATCTGTGTCAATACAATGGCGATGTGTCTCACATTGCTGTGACCACTAGAAAGTAGACAGCACTTTGTTAGCGGCCCTTCTATTAGTTAGAAACTATCAGCGACTTGTCAAATGTGTCACATTCAGTCACCAGGGCTGCCATGTGACGGAACTCAGAAGACGATATCGTTGAAAGATTTGCAAAATAAAGCAAATTTATTTAAGACTAAATGACTAAATTAATATCGTATTCTCGTAAGGCGTACATCTGCCACAATAAATATCAAGTGATGATCACAATTCTGACAAGAGTGTTACGACCAAGAAGAAGAAGATTTAAGACTACATATATTGTAGATTTCAAATTTATTGAAATTTCCTAAAAATATTTTCATACATTTAAACGGTATACAAATAAACAGTAACACAAAATACTTACTAACCAATACTCGGCTAGTAACGATATAGTTTTATACAATTTATTGTCATAGCGACCTTCAACATTTCAATTTGATTTTCTATCGATTTCATTGGAATTGCAGATTTAATTGATGTTGACATGAATGACTAACACCTCAATAAGGACTACCGTTTATTGGCGACTATTATTGATTGCAATATATCACTTTAAGGTAAAAAAGATACCTAAAGTATTGACTGTTTAATTGAACAGGGATTATTTCATAATTAATATGAAAATGGCATAACATGTTTGTAATATTTAGAAATTTGAAATCTTCTTTGTTACATAATTAAATGTATATTTTGTCTGTATCTCATAAAGTGCTGATGAATCCTTGAGCTACATGCAAGGATGTTGCAACACTGAGAGTCATTGCGGAGGTTTGCTGAGGCTTCTTTGATGAAAGTTTTTGTTTATGATATTATATTTTAGTAAAAACAAAGAGGAATATATTTAAATTATTCAGAATAACTTCTGTAAAAAATAAAGTAAGTATAAAATTACGATGTCTTCCATTCATTTCACATACATATATCGTTTTCTTTTATACATTTTATAGGACCTCATAAAGCTAGGTATATTCCACTACTTTACCTATTTCCCTAACGCCACTCACTAGTCTCAGGTAAAGTGACTGTCTAACCTTCAACTAGTAGGATATTTAATTAACACACCATTTACAGTTACTTCTATTGATAGCAAAACACATTTTTATAATACCAATACATTCTTACCAATTATTGAAAATTATTATCAGATTTATTGACAATGGCAACACAATGAGTCTTTTATTTCGATCATACGTTTCCTAATTTGTAATAGGTATATGCGTTAAGTAGAGTCTAAATATTATTTTTTTTAAGTATTTTTATTTTTTAAAGAAAGGTGAGTGATTTTCTAACAGCGATACCCAAAGCATATAAAGTGTCAGAGTGGTTTGTAGAAGTCAGCGAGTCACGTTTCAAGACATTAAGACACACGAGACTAATTTACGAACGGGTTTATGTAGGAGCGAAACAACGACCACATAAATATAACTATAAATATATACTCATGTTATCAGTAAAGAATCAATTGAACACGACACTAACGTGATAAAACATAATGATTATTAATTTTCAATTAAAATTACGTTTAAGGTTGAATTAAGTACATGGTAGAAAAAAATATTGATGTCAAATTAAATATGAAATTTTATATTAATCATGAGCTTCATTATATGGAAACCATCGTAATCTTTATATATATAACGTAAAATATTTTCTGCTCCACTCTCGCATAAGAGTAACCCGTCGCAGATTCCGAAGAGCAATTGTCGATTATTGAATCAGTGACGCGCGTCCCCCGGAGATATGACCCTCAGACTGTTCTAGAACGACTTCTAGGAAAAGGTGAGGAAACGTCTCACTACAAAATAGGGTCATTGAAGACTAACCTAAGAAAATTTTGACTACAATCTACGCTTACACTAATAAGGTTCTATTAGGAAGCTTTTTATTAAATGCTAAAGTTTTAAATATTGCAAAAAATGTTATTATTTATTAGATTAGTGTTGTAATGTATCAGGAGGTAGCGTGTAGTTCACGTGTCATGAACTCACGTGTTTCATAGAAGTCCGTGAAGTGCGGACTGTAACGCATCAGTCCACGGTTCATCGCCAGCCTGAGGCGAGGACTGATCAATAATAATACATAATATATGTTCACGTGCTCACTGAAATCCATTACGAGTTTATTTTTATCAAACTTCGATAGTTTTAATGTATTTTCTTAATCAGTTTAACCCGAGTTTAATACATTGTTAGTTAAAATTTAACTCGAAAAACTATTTAGGACTTTTTAATAACTAACTAGTGTCTCCATATTCTAATCAAGATTGTCTTAACACGCGCCGTCGTAATAAAATCTTCTAAAACATAATTGTAGAGTCCGAACAACCTCGCAAATCTTGCGTGATGTTTAAAATGCATTTATATTTCAATCTCGTAGTTTTACATAACAACTTAACCTTCAAAGTTAATTCGTAGTCTCATAGAGTCACGGAGTTCATGTAACAATTTCGATGCACCTGTTTAGTTAGTGACTATACAAGCTCCGAATTGTCTAAATTGTCATTGTCGTGAGATATTAAACAATTTGTTTTTAATAATATCTCACCCACTATAGAACATTATTAATTGTTTACTATTTAACTAAAACAATATGAATTATTATATTACAGAGCAGCCATATTATGTACGAAATAAAAATTATAAAAATCACTCGTCGAAACCACAAATTCAAAGAACATAAAATCAACAGCAAAGCTTAATTAAGATGAATTTTACGGACTTGTAAATATTCTCAATATAATGTGAAGTACCCTATTGACCAGATTATTTGATCAAATATAATACATATGTTATTTGTAATTGATGAACACATAAGAAGTGTAATATAGTTATATAAAAATTAATTATTATATAAAATTATAACTATGTACTTACAATTCAATGAAATCGAGAATATGAGATTATTTTGACAAATTTAAATCTATGTCAAAAACAAGAACCCCAATTTTTTTGTAACACAATGTACATTTCGTAACAGTATATATAATATGTAGTTGTTCTTTATTTGGCGTGTGTTATCCGTTCAGATGTCGCAAAATTAGCTAATTTGAATGTAACATGATGTGTGCTGATGATTCGCTAACAATGCGGCGTGTCACTGGAGATGCTATTGTACGCATTGTACAGCCATCCGAGCCGTTCAATAGACGACGACCACGCCGCTTGCGAGAATAACGATATGAACCGACGGACACAGGAACGGATCACGTTCATACCTTACTTGTAATTATATCATTTTTGGTTTGAAAACAGTGAGAGAGATGGCCTATGCTTTCGGCTCATAACGTCTTAAGTACGGTACTATTTTGAGAGATAAAGATAGACCGAAATTTCGTTTCCTCTCTTTCTTTCGAAATGCCACAATTCTCATCTCTAAGGCATGTCCATTAGTATATTTCGATGTTATATACGACTTTATGAGCTCGTTACAGAAGACCAGGCTCGTTACAGGGTATCGAAGCCAAGGAACAATTGGAGAGAAATAACTAACCAGCATTAGAGGACTATGGAGATCTTGAATTAAATGTTTAAGAATGTATATGACGTAATTTATTGACCAATAACAAACAGAACAATCACTATTAAGAAGTCTGAAGGGCACAATAGGTTGTATAAATAACGTTTGTTAAAACAAAAGTCCTCCGACAATAGAGCGATGACGGAGGTGTGTTGTGATGATACCATCATGAGCTTATCGTGACCATCATCATCATCATCATCATCTGTCTTATTTCTTCTTCTGACGTCGTATCTGAATGCATTCTTCTATCTCACAATCTAAGCGAACTTCTGTCGACCTTTCTTTAACCTTGTTACCTATTACTCATCTTTTTCTAAATCAATCTGTCACTAAAATAATCTTTCAAGCTACGGTTATCATAAAGATATAGTGACTGTAATTAAATTTATCGAAGACAATAATCTATATCATCGATTAAAAATAGCTATTAAATGACTTGGCAGTGCATGTTATAATTACAATGAAATAGTTTGTAAAATAAAACACGCAAAGCCATTAGTGACATATTATAATTTCTGACTTAACAGACAATTACTATGAAAATCCATATTTTACGTATGCGGGTGGTAAAACTGTTCATAATCATTAAATTTATATCAAAATCTTTTTAGAATAAGGTTCTTTACATAAAATAAGGTATAAAAAATTTATAGCAAAGATTTAAAGATGTGTAAATTCAACTCTCTCTGCCTGCTTTAGAATACTTTGTCTGAATGTTTTAGTAACGTAACTGTTAAACTTATTTTTTAAACTAAAGAAGACGAACCGTTAAATATGGTAATTAATGGAAAAATATTTCCTCCTGGTATTAAAACAAGAATTAACAGTTCAATAACACTTCGTAGTGGTAGTGTTTACGCTCTTAGTACTGGTTTCATCGACAATTTAATACGAACGGTTTTCACGTATTTTAATAACAAATTACCGATCATTTTTTTGGGTTATCAATGAGAAACTTTGAAGTTATTTGGTTCAAGTTGACCTATAAAACAGTTCATACTATGCTCAAAGGCTACTGTTTGACAAGTCGCATTCATTTCCGCAACCTTCCAACTTTGTATCTCCGTCAAAGCCTTCTTTTCAGGCTTCGGTGTCTATTTACAGAATGTATTTTTAAGTAGTCTTTCACACGATTTTTTTTTCATACTTTTCTATGTCATAAGTCATACGGAACCCCATTTCTCATTCTATGGCACGTTTTATCTTTTACATAAATATAGGTTTTAGTCTATAAATGTTAAATTTGTTTTATCAGCATTCATTAAGATCTGTTTTATCAGCATTCATTCATTAAGAAGTGTATATTAAATTGTAAATCGTATTTTTCCTACAACATACGCTTATAACTTTTTTGTTATTTCTTGAAAATGAAGGAAAACCTAAGTATTAAGTTAGATATACTATAAATATATAAATTTTATTATTAATCTATATTTCACAACGAAAATAAAATACAAAATGGCAGCTATCATGACTTTTAATGTATCTTATATTATTTTCAATCGAACAATGAACTATCATGAGATCTATTGTTTGGTAAATTAAAACTTTTTCGGTTTGATGCAATACAATTATTATATTTTAATTAATGACAAAATTTGTTTAATATTTTGAAATAACGGAAGAAATGACAGATATTTAAATTATTACATCACTTCAGTTAAATCATCGCGAGATCAAATATGTACTCATAAATATTGTCTTTGCAGTAATAAAAATCGGAATTTTCTTATTGGTAATTTATCTTAGATTTTGAAATTTCTTTTTAAAGCAATCACTTTTAAATATTTTATAGTTTAAATTTGTAAAAGCGGACGATATGTCGAGCATCTATAGCACAGGAATACTTAATTGAAAAAGAAAACTAAGCGAATGGCGGTTAATAAAAGAATAAAGGAAGATGTTTAGGACTTCCTTCAGTGAGGTGAGGGTAGTGCGACGATCTAAACAACACACGAGGTGGAAACTATGTATAAAGAACTGTGTTGACCCATGAAACTGTTATACGTGTTTTTAGATTTGTATTTATATATTTATTCATATATGCCATCTTTAAATAATTAAATGTTTTGAGTTGGTTTTCTATGGAATATTTAAATCCATAGTCCAGTTTTTTAGCGGAATCTTAAATAGTTTTTTTACACACTTGATAAACATCAAATCATGAGTGTTTACTTTCTCTGTGTGTAAGTTTTCACCGAACTAACAGCTAGCTCATTGTCATGTGTGACTGTTTATGGGGAAGGCTTATTACGAGAATCACAAATGACCAACCTCAGGACCAGCCGTCTCTCTAGTCGTTTCCAGTCAATCTTAATCCGAACATCCGCTATATATTATTTGCGAACCGACAGATGCTCAAACTTCATAAATATCTGTTCTCGTACAAAATTCCCGCTCTTAAAACTACGTGTGTAAGGCTTAGAATGCTTATCAATTACATCAATTGCTGTAATATTTGATAGTAATTTTCGGTACGAATTAGAAACGACGGGGCAAGGACCTCAAGCAATAAAAAATAATAATGAAAATTAATGCAAATATTTCTTTTGAAAGTAATCATCCCTTGTGAAGTTGTGACTGAGGTACATTCAAATGTTGCAATTTTATTTCAAACTGAATCGAGTTATACATTAAAATTTTCCTCGCAACTTTGAATAAGCAATAAAATATATCGGAATGGCCCTAGAGATTTTCCAGTATTTGCTCGCTATAAACATTTCATGAAATCTTTATATGACAAATATATTTTTCTGCCAATATTTTAAATATGTATTACTTTTAAAGTTATATGGTCCACACTTAGAAAAAATATTTCTAAAATTGAAGTTAGAAACATACCTTTTTTTGTTGTTTGTTTCACCAAACATTCTACCAATACTCTCGTTTGTATTAAATATAAAATAAATGAAATATGTAACTATATTAATGTAAACTGTGGTGAAGATGAGAATGATCTGTAACTCACTATGTCTCGATGAGCTCGCAGTTAAGGAGCAGCTTGTCCAGGCCGAGCTCGACCACGGCCACGGTCTGGTCGTGGTAGTAGATCATGCGGAGGGTGTCGTTGGAGACTCTCCGCTCGGTGTAGGGCTTCACCCCCGCGGGCTCCCGCCGGTGGTCCTCGGAGCGAGCGCCCACGCCGCCCACCAGCCCGGCCAGGGACCAGCTCGCCGGGAAGCTGAAGGCGAAGGGCTTGGCGGACGCCGACTGCGGGGAGGACACGGCGATGCAGAGGATCACCACCAGCGATACGAGCGACTTGATCACACCGTCGGCCATGGGCGCGCCCCTCGTGAGCGCCTCGCGGGCCGACCGCACCGCGCTGAGCAGTCGTCGGAAGGACATCATACACCGGCCATCCCGCGGCCGCTCCACGCTACACTGACGGCTCACAGCTCACGGCCCGCGACTCAGGCGATACAACACTTTCATCGGTGTGACGTCACGTAATTTCACTTCGTATTACGTTATCAAACGCACACACCGCCCGCAGCTGTTAGGATGAGGTGGACAGTTTACAAAATACATATAAACTTTATATACGGCATCACTTGACTGGAGTTTATAAAGTCCGGTTCTGTACACCCTCTAGTAAAGGTCTCTACTTTTATGTATTATTGAAATATCTGTGGAGAGCGGAAAGTAAATAATAAAAATAAAAGTCTACAGAGTACCAGTTTATAAAACTAATCAACAGCCGAAGTTAAATTATTTGTAAAAAATGTGTAAGTAATACATACCTATATGTTAAACAATTTATGTTACAATTGATAAGCGAAAAATTCGTATAAAGACGTTTTGTTTATGTTAAACTAAGTAATGAGATTTTTGAAAGTTTTTGACTAAGGAATGACTCTATTAGAAAACGTAAGTTTAATCTTTCTTATAATTGAACAGTGAAAGAAAGTTTTTTATTCCATCTATATAATTTCATGTTATCAAATGAAAGAATTATTTTACAATTTATAATTTGGGTTCAAAATTAGTAATAAACGAATTTATTTAATTATATTTAAAAAAAAATCTTCTCTTCAACAGTTAACTATATTATAATTTGTATTTAATCTTTATTTATTACTTCCATTATCCACGAGTAATGTGAATGCAGTAAATATGCAGCAAAGTTTGTGTGCGAGTCGAGTTGAGCGATCGCTACCATTAATATTTTATTTCCAAGCGAAAGTACCACCGGCCCGCCAGAACCCACCTGAAACATAAAATATATTAATTTCTATTTCTTGTTTCTATAAAATGTTACTTTAAAAAATTAACACAATAAATATTTTACCATTCGTATATCAAACTCATTTTCACTTCGAGGAGATAAACAAATTAAAGAAGATTCATCTACAAATCTATAATTAGCTTTACAGACATCTGATTCTAAAGTGATAGCCTTAAAAGTCGCCAAGTTCAATGTGTCCTGACCAGAAGTAGGATCCTGAAAATTGAAAACTATTTTTTATGACAGCGCCATCTTTTGTCGAAGGATTTATTAGGATTACTAGCTCTATCTAGTGTTAAATAGATAAAGCTTTATTTAATGTGTTCTGAATCCAAATGTCTATTTTTATTTTTAATGTATTAACATATTAATTATTATGAATTCATAAGTAATAATATTATTATAAGAAATATAACATTTTACCTTATTTAATATCCAGCCATACACAACCACTTCAATACCAGAACTTATCTTCTCCAAAACTATGTCCATAAAAATCCCTTCTACAGGTGGTTCTATTTTCAATAAAGCTACACTTGGAATTTTCATTCCATGGAAAGAGGAAGTATTATTAATTCTAGAGAGTCCATTAGATATCGGATTTAATAATATTTCAGTAACGTTGTGAACAGAGCCATCTGTGAGAGGATCGTTTGCGTTCGCTATTACAGAATAGTGAGTTTGAAACAAATTAAAATTTCTGAAAACAAAGTCACCATAAATAAGAATTAGTATTATTTACTCGATACTAGTATATGTACACGTCATGTTTATAATGATTAACTTTTTATATATATGAGAGAGTAAATCCACGCAAGCAGCGGCCGTGATCACCCAATGTGGCGAGAGTAGACTTCCGCCGCATGTCTGAGCGGTAATATTCAATACAGTTTCAAAGATTGACACTAAAAATGTCTTATTCGTCTTTTGTACACCTATTCCACTGTCTGTGATATCTTTGTACGCTTTTATATCTTGTATATAGTGATTATGTTTTTCATCGTGAGCTCTAACAGGGCGATGATCACCGTATCTCACTTCATCGTCCGTGTTAACAATATTATGTCTACTTATATCGGTCCATACAATATCTTCATAAAAGGGATCGCATTCAGAAAGTGTTACATCAACATTACTCCCTTTGACCGTTTCTCGTAATGTTGTATTTAAAATATTCTCAAATCCTAAAAATATATTTAACTTTAATATAATATAATATATTCATAATATAAGTAATGTGTCTTTATTTACCGGGCAGGTTGTCTACGAGGAACACGAACACCGTAACACTCGCCATAACAGTAAATACTTAACGATCAACTGTTATGTTTCCGAGTCCAAGTCGTCGTTTTTCAAGGTTATGAAAACATTTCTGTTCCGAGTACGAATAAACGCAATGTTATGAATATTTTTCAACTTCTACTAAGGTGATAGAGGAAAAAACAAACAACACTCTCAGACATAATTTTATTTTAAAAGGCAATCACAACCTTTGAAGAAGTCAAAGTTTTATTACAATTTTTATTATTATTACATAAATTTATACATTAAAATGGAAAATACATATTAAAATTACTTTTCATGATACTAATAGTCCTCTAGAGCTTGAAATATATGTTAATAAATCCAATAAACAAGAAACATGTAGAGTGTAGACACTAAGTACTTTAAGAATTTGTCACTAAATAATTTTATCAAAATAATTTTCATGTCACAATCAAATACAATTTTTATTTCTATAAGTACAATGAATATATGTTTAAAGATTCTACATTATATAGACACATAGTATAGAAAACACTTCAAGTGCCTTTGTCAGTGACTATAGAGACTTGATATATTACTTTACTATTAGTCAAAATTTGTTAGAAATATTACATTGAGTCGGGATCATTTATTAAGTATATTAAATGGAAACATTTACTTGATATTTTCTATGTTACTTACTTGAATATTGTTAGATTCAATACAGATAGATAATTAATTAATTATAAATTTATAAATAAATTTTTATACAAGTCTAATTTTGAATACTATTTGCTAATTTCTTTGGACACAAATATAATATTAAATTCATGAAAATACGAGTAGTACATGCTACTTTACACTTATAAACTTCACTTGGCTAGTTCACTTCACTTCATTGCCGACGGTCACTCAAACAAGTTTATTTTTTGCCAGATATCATCTGCCTTATTCTCCAACACTCCATTTCAATCCACCACTAGCTGACCCCGTCCATCACAACCCCCTTAATGAAGGGCAGGCCCGTGCTCACTCTCTTCTGATACTCCAAGTACTGCTTCCCAAAGAACGAGATCAGGAACATCTCCTCGGCAAAGATGCGTTCATTGAAGAACATCCACGACACCAACGCATAGATGACCACACAGATTGGGTTGAGAAGGATTATCTGAAAAAAAATATCATTGAGTTTTTAGTTAGTATGGTAGAAATTTATTATTCTTTTTGTCAGAGCCATCGGCTTCAACACATATCGCTGGCTAACTTTTGACCATATTTGTGTTGATAGTAGATTAGGTCGCCTTTAACTTTGCTAAAAATCCACCAAATAATGGAAACTTCATATAAATCACAGGACAAAAAGGATTTCTGTTTGGAACAATCTAACTCTCAACCTGGACCTTTTGTGCAATCAGAAGCAATATGAATTCCCTACAGATGTAATATTGTCAGGACAATAGAGAAAGTATAATGGAATTATTGGGTCTAGTTTAACTGTTATATATCAAAATGGCATCCTATCAATCAATCTCTATTTTATTTTCATATTAATTGTTATCAACAAAGCCTGAAAAAATTTCACAGCTTTGTATTTAGATTCCTCTATTTCCTGCATAATCTTTCTTCTGACATTTTCTTTAAAGCTATGTAGGATCTCTAAATAATCAAGTGGCAGTTGTTTCATAAGTTTAACAAAACAAAACATGATTATTAGAACTGTGGGATTGAAATCCAAAATCAAATTTCTAAGTTCATTGTATAAATTAAGTCTAGATTAAGAAAACTGAAACATGAAGTTAATTGAGAAAGTATTTTGTTGGAAGTTAAGGAAAACATTTACAGTCAACTATGTTTTATATTGTAAATCTTCAGTATTTACCTGTGTGCCTATAGACCAGTAGAACCAGCCCACATAACTGGGGTGTCGACACAGAGAGTAAACACCATTGGTGACCAGTCGGTGGTCGGGCTTCTTTATTGTTTGGACCTACAGATTAGACAAAATTTTAATATATTGAATCAGTTTAATTTTATGTTTTCCTTGTTTTTATTATTCTACAACTACATATTATGATTTTAATTATAATATATTGAATCAGTTAAATTTAATGCTTGCCTTATTTTTATTACTCTGCAAATTTAGTATAACTTAAAACAGTTATGTTTAATATAAGTATATTTTAATATAAAAACTCAGACTCATCTCTCATTAAACTAGTTTCTTATCATTTCAGACTCGTTAAACAAGTTTCTTATCATTTCAAACTACTTACATGATGGTTAAAGTTGGTCTTGGCGGTAAACATAGCCACCTTCCTTAAAACCTCACCCACAATGCACATCACTACTCCAATATGAGACAACCAGAAATATGACTTCATACCTGAAATATTATCATGTTAAATATCTTGCTAAGAAATGAAAATTTTCAGAATTACATATTAAATGTCTTTATCGGTCAATAAGTTATTTAAAAAAATTACAGTATTTTATATATATTAGACACTCACAAGTCTCTGATAACTCTTCTGAATTGTAGATAATTATTTCTGGTAGTTTTAATTGTTACTTACTTGGGAAGAAGTAATATTCCACACCGGCCTCCAGCCAGCTTGTCACGGCAGCTATCCAATACTGGGTGCTGTGATTTAATATAAATGAATCAACAGTAAGGGTCTGGGGATTTGTGAGAGCAACCGTAAAGAACTCGGAGAAGTGGAACAAGGATATGGCCATGGCATAGAGACCAAATATGTGGAAACTATTATCAAATGTTGCAAAGTAGAGTCCCGTCGCGAAAACTGAACCCAACAGTGCTGCCCTTGTGGCTACCTGGAAATATTTACAAATATGTGAGAATATTAGAAACAAGAGGAAACCTAGACTTAAAGATTAATCTATCAAAACACCCACAGACATATGATTGTATTTCATTTGGAATAATTGATTTATGACATTTATTTATAATGCTATAATTCGACTAACTCACATAAAGTTGATTTTATGTAATTCAATTATCGTACCTCGTATGTGAAGCCTTTTAAAAAGTAGCGGAGAATAAAATTTAGTAGGCAAAAATAAAGGGCCGGTCCCCAGTACGTGAGCGCCCATAGTTCAGAGGTGTAGCCTAAAACACTAGCCGAGAAAAAAGACACAACAAACATTAGGCTAGATAGAGCAAAATAAAAGAGCGACTGCTTGGCTGCTGGACACACATTCTCCATTTTTGCAATATAGCACTTGAATCATTTATTCATTAAATATAATTATTATAATAAACAGGTTTTAAGAAATTAATATTCAAAAACTAGACATTTTGCTTCCTGACAGTAACATGAGTTTAGTTATTGCTGTTTATAGATGAATGTCTCATATATTTTTAATACAGATGAACTTAACTAAAATTATATAAATGAATACAGAAAAATTATCTATATTATTAAAATTCGTTTAAGGAAATCATAAACACTGACATTAGTACAACTCACGAGAACACTAAAAAGATCGACTTGTTTACAAAATTACAAAGCGGTTATCGATGATTCGGTGGCCATGGCAACACTTTTTGTTGTTTGATGTCATCGAAATTCTGTAAGACTAGTTTTCGTAGCAAAATGTTCGTTAATTTGGACAGAAAAATGTAAAAACTGTCGCCCCAATGTAAAACCGTTACCATCATTTAATTTGAATGAAAAATAATCAAATATTTGTAAAATTTAGGATTCCAGTTTTAAAAGTTTTGAATGGTGTAGAAAAGTTTGGTAATGTATATTATTTTCGAATAAATAAATTATAAGAAACTAAAATGTTTTCAAGTATGGAACTTTTTATCCACTTTGCATGGAGGATAGTTACATGCTAAAGCGACTAATATTAATCAAAGCCTGACGTAATCAGCTGACATCAGAAACAAATTTTAGCAATATAATTTCGCAGCGGATGTAATCACTAACACTTTAAAACTGACGGAGATTTGCAAGTAATGTCCTCGTTTAAGTAAGTGCTGATGAATTATTAGCTGCTGATAAGTTTAATATTGTTACGATGAACGACCCGTGGGATGTGAAATCAGTGAGACAATCCAACCAGTACATGTCGTGTATGAAGTTAAACGGAGTCCCACTCTTACCGCCCGTTGTGAGTACATAAAAAATACGTAGCATTCAATTTGTATAATATTTAATTTAATAATTATTAGTATGGTAAATATTTTTCATCATTATTTATTATTTTTTATCGCAATGATTTATTTAAATATTTTTATGGTTTCCAGATTTATAATGTTATCTATTTCTAAAATTACAACTTTTTTGAAAGAATGTGTTTTAATTTTCTTGTTTAAAGTTTACATTCAATTACAGAAATTATTGTTTTTTCCTGAACCTGAGGTGATTGGAACTTTTTTTAAATATTTTTTTATTTAATTCATAACTACATGATTTTTTTTTTGCAGCTTTCGAAAGAATGTTACTTAGAGATGCAATATTATAAGCTCCTGGCCAAAGAAGTTGAGAAAAGGATTCAAAAGTTAAAGCCATATGTAGTGGAAAGTGATTCCGAGTCCAGTGAAGATAGAACTGATGCACCGGAGCTTCCAGAGTCAGAACAAAGTTACGACGTGTCTCCTGATGCCATAGAAGCTGAATTAAATAGCATTTCCACCCATCTCTCAACAGAGAAATGTCTGGAAGATTGCAACATTGTCCGAGTGCAGCCCGTCAGCAACACATATGACAATATCACATCCAACTTTTCAATGGATTCTGAAAGTGCATCATCAAAACTTTCATCCAAATATGTCATAGACTTAAGTTTGAGTATCAAGGAAACTGATCGAAACATAGTTGACAGTGTAAATACTTCTTACACACCTATTGAGATACCTGAAAGAGACTGTGATTATTCCTCCAAGAAACCTAAAGCGACTGTAACTGAACTTAAAGAAGAAAAATGTCAAGCAGCAGATCAGATAAACTTCAGTGTCAGCATTAAAGACACACATATAGATGCATTGAATATATGTCAAGAAGATCCTCCCTCTCTAAGTTGTAAGAGTTTCACAGGCTCCCTTAACAATATTCACACGGAAAGTGTCAAAGAAGCTGAAATAAAACCTCTTATCAGACAAAGATCATACACAGTCTTAATACCAAGCCCCATGTTGTTGGCTCACCTGGAGGTTCAGTCAATAAATACAGGGATGGATATCACATCGATCTCGATGAGTGAGTCCATGTCGAACATTAGTAACACTAAGAAAAGGAGGAGCTGGGATCTAGAAACAGCCAAAGTGAAATGGTCCTCTATGGCCTTGGAACTGAAAGAAAAAAATATAAATAACAACGGTAAAGCTGCAAACTCTCGGAGTGTTTCATCGAAACCTGTCACTAAGAAAGTATCGCAGGCTACTCCGCAGAGACCGAGATCATTGGCGCAGGAAAGAATAAAACGAAGTCCTCCCAAGACTACCAACAAGTCTGAACCAGTACAAAGACCGAGAAATTCATCTAGTCCGGTTAGGAACACTACTTTACAAAAACCTGCAAAACCAATAATTCCAAATAAAGTTCCACAAAAGACTGAAGTAGAAACACATAATAAAAATGATACGTCAGAACCAGACCCCGCGACACGGGTCCGGGAACTGTATGATAAGATACAGAAACAACAGCTCATACAGATGGCGAACCTCGTGGAGAAACAGAAGAAAGAACAAATGTTACTTCAACAGGTGTTTGAAGAACAAAACAATTTGTTGTTCACGCAACTCAAAACGATATGCCCGAAATCTCCCATAGATGTCAAAGAAGCTTGGGTCGATCACAGTAAAGAAGACGGCAGCCGCGGGCCGGTCAGTTTGAGTCAGCTTATAAACCAGAAGCAACCCGAGCAATCACACAGCAGTCCAGTGCCGTCCACATTGATAGAGACCAATAACTACATCAACTACTGTGACAACGTACTCAAGAAATCGAGAGACTTAAAAGGGAGCATAAAGAAGGCCGAAGACAAGGACGTCAGCAAGAGTCATTCTTGTCAGCAGGTTCAACGACCCCGGGCGTGTTCCCCGACCCGCAGGAACACTCCTACATCGAGAAAACTAACCTACGACAACAGCGGCTCCTCCGACAGAGATAAGGACCAGCTGACGGACCGCACCAACGACACTATGGCTGACATACTGAACGTCACCTTCCCTTCAGACTACAGCGACGAGTGTCCGCCCTGTGTGAGCAATACGACCATCACCTGCCCGGAGACCAGGAGTACGGCGGGGTCCTGCAGGTCCACTGACAGGGCGATCAGGAGTATGGAACAAACGATACAGAACTCCATCAACAGTATGTCCGGCAGACGGAAGATGCAGCAGTGGAGAGAGCCGACACCTCAGGAGGTAAAGATTCCACTACTGTTATTAACTATAGTTATAATGATCAATATGAATGTCGAACATCCCTGTAGTGATATTGTTATCATCCACTATAATCACTAGTCCTTCTCTGAAGACGGTACATGGTAATCTATATATTTTATACTATCTCTATAAGTTTTCCTTCGTGTCCTCTCACCGGTCGTTCTCTTTCTTCCTCTCCTTCCTGATAGCCTCCTTCAGATTCCTCGCTCCTCTTTCTCACGTGGTATCTCAGTTGTCTTACAAAACAATTTTATGTACAACCTCAGCGCGCGGCAGCTACAAAGATAGTGTCGTATGCTAAAGGCTACCTAGTCCGTCGTCTGATGAGCACGGAGCGCGTGCAGGCCACCGTACAGACTATCAAGGACGCGCTGCTGTGCGCGCTGCAGCTGCACCAGGAGCGGGAGGGCATCCGGGGCGCGGACGTGGACCTGCACCGGAGACTCATACAACAGGTGACCTGGACACAAGAACATCATGTGGAGCTCGGAATAACGTGCTCAGTGACTTCTGTACACTGACATGTTGTTGTATAGCAAAAATATACACATATCTATCGTTTGAACTAATATAGAATTAAACAACAGCATACTTTTTTATATTAAAACATTACTTTAAAAACGATACAGATAATATTTATCTGTCAGCCATTAGACGAAGCTCTAGAGCAGGAATTAATATTAGTGGCTTGTAAAGACATTTAAACGGACATTTGTGCGTGGTAGGACGCTCGATATATCTAACAGACCATCAAATGCCTTAACACGATGTTACTTATTTAACAATGATTGGTGAAACTGGGTCTTAATCTGTTTAATTCTAACGTTACAGATAACAGCCGCGTGTTACTCCCTGCACGATACTTTTATCACCAGCACGTCATCGGAGCGCTGTGCCTTGATCGCCGCTGACCGCAGCCGGCGTCGCTCGCTAGCAGCCCGCCTTCCAACCCCTACACTGACACCCACCCCCACACACAGACATCGACACACGTTAGTACACACACTGTTATATACACGCATACTACTTTATATGTATGTATAACATATGTTCACATGTATGTATTAAATATTTTGCCTTAGGCTTAGACCAAATCGACTTTTTTCCTGGAAAGATCTAGAAAAGATCCGCTAGGGGCAGCACTAATGTAGTAAATGTATTCAAAATATAAGTGTGGTGCTGTCCCTAGTGGATTTTTTAAAATCTATCCAGGGAAAAAGTTGATTAAAAATAAAGAAACATTGTGACACCTAGAATTCTACGTTTTAGTGTATGCCAACCAAGGGTTGTCAATTAAAACAAGTTGTCCTTATTCCAGTTAGTGAATGATGGTTTATATGTTTCGTAATCGTAATAACACGCTTGTACGTGCGTACATAAGCAAAGTTGGTGAAGTGTATGGGAGATGCGACATTCCTCAATTCACAGGTTCGAATCCTGCGCGTATACATGTTACGTTTATAAATTTCTATTAAATTGATTTTTTATGTACGTATGTACCTGTGTTTACGATTTACAAGTCAGTGGTTAGGTTATGTTAGGTGGTAAGGAACTTGTAGGTATAAAAAAGTTGATATTTCAAATATGTGTTTTGATATTTAGTATAACATAATATATTTATAGTCTTAACAGCTTTCTAATCCGTATGTTTATTAAGTCGTCCCATAATATAATATATGTTTAAGTACATATTAATATGAACATAAGGTGTTGGTATATAACATCGCAGGGACGTTATGTCACAAAGTCACAGCGGCGCCTTCCCGTCGCGCATCAAGCGCCAGCCTCCGTCGATAATGACTCAATCCAATTATGGTAACACTCGTGTTGGACTCACTCACTTACTGAATGATCTGTGAATGTTGCCAGCTTACATATCAACTTATTATTCATTGAATGTATACTTTATTTGCATTTCGTGTTCCTAACGCTTTGATACAGTATCATTTTACTATTAGGTATGCTAGTGGCTTTGGGCTTGAATATTTATGATGTTTGTCTTGTAAAGATATCTTATTTTATTATAAACTTGTTTCATATTTTATTGATGCTTAATAAGGAAGATGAATCTTAAATGCACATTAATATATGTAATAATGTAAGTACATATGTGTTATGTATTATAATGTTATTATTGTGGATTTCAGAGACATTTAGCTGCGACAAGAGCGTACGGCGGTATATGCCGAGCCCCAGGCGTCGTCCGTGGCGCTGATTAGACAGAGCATCGCATACAAAACGATATAGCATACATAACACAGAAAAGAAAGTGACTTGAAATGTACTTGTATGTAATGTTTACATGAACAAAATAATAACTAATTATTTAATGTTTCCACTTTGTTTTATATCGTTGAAACAATTGTGAATGTCATTAACAGATAACAAATAACTCATATCGTAAATCTTTTTATAATAACATGTACAATGGCAAATGTGAGTTCAAATTATTTTTTTTCTAACAAAGATTACATAGTAATCAAAAATAATGTTCTGTAAATGGTTATTAATATTTAAACAACTACTGAGCCCATACACGGTGACCTAACAATAATGTAGTGTTAATTATATAAAGGTTGTATCCTGGCTTCCATGGCTCTGGTGCATGTACATACTCTTTATAACATGTCTAACGTTTTCTATTAGCTTTATATTTATAGAAGTCTGATTTTTGTTTCAACTATTTATTGGTAGCCTATGGTTCTTTTATATTGTAAAACATTTAAATTGTATCTCGTATTAACCTAAACATTATCAAGTTTTAACCAGTACTGCTTTTACTTATTTATATTTGATTTAAACTGATAGATACGCTTTTAATATTTTACACGAACGCTCTAGTACTAAGATGTCATCTACAATATTTAAACTGAAGGAAAATAAAAAAAAATTGAATCGAGTTATCGTTTATTTCTCCATATAACGTACCCCTCCGATTTAAACATTAAAATTATCGTAAAATCTGGGTAAAACCGATCGACGTAGAATCACGAAAACAATAAGCGCAATCCGACACGGGGCGTGACCAAACGAACTACTATGAAATATGTAAAGACACACGAGACGTGTCAGGAGAGTGAAGGCGTGTCCCAAGCACAGAATATAACACACACGGTAACACTAGCACGGCACATGTCACCCGGCCGGGCGGCTGGCGGCCGCCGAATTTAAAATAAAATGATCCTCGACACTGAATATCGTACAAAAGCTGCTATGATGCATTTAAATGCCACAAAAATGCGCCGTCGGGTGCGGACTCTCCGTAAATGAATAATTTCGGTTCGTGAGTGTTCTGAGGATGTTTTTTTGTATTTTCTGTTAGCCGGTGTAGGTTAGGGCAGCGTGTACTTGACGTACGGCACCTCGATGTCGTTGTCGTCCTCGTCGTTGCAGCACAGCTCGAACACCAGCGCCTTCACGTGCGGCTCCAGCTTCTTCTTGGACACCTTCATCACCACCTCCGACATGGGCAGGTTGAGGCGCTCCTGGCGTTTGGCTTTTAGCATGAAGAACGAGTACAGCATGCACACGCCCTGCGACAGCATCGTGATGTCCAGCTTGTGCTCGTTCTTGAAGTAGTCTATGAACTCCTGCAGCGTGATCTCGCCCTTCACCTCGAACCTGTCCCAGAGGGTCCATTTCTTGTCGTAGTACGTGTTGGTGGGCGCGGCGATCGGCTCGGAGAACCCGAAGAACGGCAGGGCCAAGTTGACGAAGCCGTTCTTGAACACGTCTAGAGTGTTGAAGCCCTGGGCCAGCTTGTACAGCTCGAGGCACACGAGGCCGGCGACCACGGACGTGGTGGTGGCGATGGCGGGGATGATCTTGCCGGCGATGAGCTTGGAGCGATGTCTGTCTGCGGGCGGGATCTTGTAGTTGGCGGCGCGCAGGTTGGACGCGGCCACGATGAAGTCCATGTGGAAGTTGGTGTCATCGTCCTTCTCAAACTCCAGCGGGGTTATTTTGAGGTTGCCGAGTTTGTTCGGCGGGGGCAGGTTGTCCACTATGGTCTCCACCTTATCTTGGTCCATTTTGTCATCGCTCTGTTGCAGCTGAGCATCCGTCACGGCGATTTTGACTCCCGACTTCGGTTTGAATTTAGGCACCTATAAGAAAACAAAAAATAAACTTTATTCTGTTAATAGGGTAAGAAACAATCAAACTTGTCCACTTTACTATGGTACAGCTCTGAATGATTTCAAACTTGTGATACGTGTATTAACTAACCTCTACAGACATGGCGACCTTAGCGATCCTCTCTCTGTCCACACACGTGGGTATTCCATACACCTGAGCCTTCAGGTTAGCGGCGGCCACGATGTAGTCCATGTGTAGTTCATCTTCAGGGTCAAATTCTAGTGGTGAAGGACACCGTTTGGGTCCGGACCAGAAGGGCGCGCCCAGTAATGTGACCTGCATCGGCGGGAAGTTGTATAGCAACTGTTTGATCTGGTTGGAATACTGAGCCTCCCAGTGCATGCGAGCCCAGGTCACACAGTCGTCGAAGTTCATAGGGCGGTCCACGATCGCGTTCTGGAAATATAATAATACTATAATTAATGTTTTATGTTTTAGAATCAATCTTCACTTAGTTTTTTTATTGCATTGCATCCTTAGAAGTACAAGATTTATAGTTTAGTTGTCATTTAAAATGGCTCAATAAGAAAAATTATTCATCAATAGAACATGTCGCTCATCAAAAAGAATATTGACGTAATTACGTTTTTGCGATTTTTCAGGAGAGCGTTTTAAAAGTTTGACATCGAAAATAATGTGTATTTCCAATAATACTATTGATATATTTTAATAGTTATGTTGTGTTACTATAGCATCAATAACATTATGTAAAAAGGTTGAGAGAAAAATTAAGATAACTATTAGAAAATACCAAATAAAACAAACCAGATTTATGACATTTTAGAAACTAAATAAAACAATTATTACATGATACTAGGTTTGGATATGGGAATAAATCATGAATTTAAACAACATTTTGTTTTGTTTTGTTTCAATAAATCAGTCTAAATTTTATACCTTTTTTTATTGTAATAAAAATAAGTTTAAAAATACACATAAACTATTTTTAAAAGAATCTAAGTTACTAAATGTAATATGTATTGAAAATAATAAATGTATATAAGAAGATACTTGGATAGTGTTTAAAGTAATAATGAGATCAAGAGAAATTACAATTAATCTTAAATTAAAGTTAAAGGCATCTTTAACCGGGCACCATTGTCCATTAGGTTCTTGTACCTACTTATATAATAGTAGCATAAGCTTAAGGAGCATAATTATTATAAACTGGTAGGAATATAAAATAATATCACAATGATTCATTAATCTAACAATTTTGCTATAAAAATTTGTCTTAATCGTTCACCAGTCTTACAGTAGTATATATCAAAATCTGCACGAATGAAAAATACGTCGATGTTTCCTCGGAACCTTACGTAAAATAGACCAAAACCGTAACGACACTAACTCTCTCCGGATGAAACGAATGGAATAACAATTCTGTCGTTTTTACCATTGATAAAACGTGCAAAATATAAAGTTATGGCATCAAAAACTCATTTTCGACTTTTTGGTAATTGTGTCATTATTCTTTTGGATGAGCGATGTATGTCGAACATCAACTTATTATAAAAATTGTCATCATCAGAAGGAACAATGAGGAGACTGGTTCTGTGAGGCATCATAATGAATGGAATGTGACAATATTGACTGATTCTAATTCTTTATTCATAGACCCATGTTATACTATCACGTGGAAAGATCTATAAATGATGAACTAAATGTTATAAAAATTATAACTTTACGCACTACTTGTCATTTAACTATTATACTAAAACTTTAAAGCACTGGATCAAATGGTGGCAGGATAATAATGATTTACATTGTTTTAGAAAAGACCTGGTTTTAAACAATACAGAAGAATTCCCGATAAGAAACTTTCAAAAGACATAAACGCAGTGAAATAGGTCCATCTATTTTAAAGCTACGAAGCAACGAACAGACACACACAGAGAGCTACGTCAAACTTATCGAACTCCCTTGTTAAATTGTTGGTTAAACGACGAGAAACGGCCCATGTTTATAGTATGTAAAGTAATTCTAGAGCTAAACTAACGTCAGTGATTCATCTTAAACATGTTACCTGAACACTCTCCAACGCGTCTAGCGGCTGGCTGCCCGGTAAGTTCATAGTTCTCTCGAGGAAGTGTGGGTCTCTCAGGTACTGCGCGGCGTGCTCCGCGGCCTGCCGGAACAGACCCTCGAACTCATCCCGCGCCCACTGTAGAGTGTGCTCGATGGCGTTCGGGAAGTTCTTGAGGGTACAGATAGGGATGCTCTTCTCTGGAGGGTCTTGAGATGAACTGTAGGACTCGGTCAGGAAGGGAACCACCACCTAAGTTGGGGAAAATTATTATGATTATTATTAAATACTTGTATATGATTGTGACATTTTTGTGCTCAGCTTTATATGTATATATAATTGTGAGTGTGTATGTCACTGAACTTCTCTCAAACGACTGGACCGATTTTGATGAAAGCTTTTGTGTGTGTTCAAGGGGATCTGGAAATGGTTTAGATTCACAATTTTATCCACTGGACAATGTTTTTTTAATTAATTTTTAATTTATTAGTAGTTGTTGATACAAACGTTTTTTTTTGACATTAGATTTGACTACTAACTAATATGTCAATCATTCTGTCGCACTTCAAAACACGGAGATTTATGGCTTTAATAGGTAGACTCCAAAAATATAAATAAAAAAACGTAACAGATATTTCTTGATTATAGGGCGATACGAAGTTCGCCGGGTCTTCTAGTCTAATATATGAAACCTGTAATATATACCTGAGTGTTGCCCTTCGTGCCGAGCGTGCCACTCTCCAACAAGGGCTTCCTGTAGTACACACATCGCCGGTCCATGTATATCCTGGCGTCCACGTTGTCCAAGGCGTTGGCCACTCCGTCCAGGGCCTCGAAGAACGCGTCGTCATATACACACTCCGTCTCGGGACACACGCGGTGCTCTTGGGCTATTACGTTCATTGATGGATTCATTTGTTTGATGACCTGAAAGAATACATGATAAGATAAATAAATAGTAAATTTGAACTATGGTCAGTGAATTGAAAGCTCTTGTTATGTTTACTCCAAATTTTATGTGAAATTATTAAATGGATCTTCAATATGTTACTGAGTTACAAATCTGAATCCTTTAATTCTGCTATCATTAGTAAGGGGCTGTCCATTAATCACGTGAGGCTTGAAAGGGGGGGGTGGGGTTTGATAAAAATCACGAAAATATCACAAGGGGGAGGGGGGGGTGTAGTAAGATATCACGTGTATTTATTTTTTCGTCTAACGCGCGATTTTTAAACAAATATTTAAAAAAAACTTGCAACCTGGTGTAGACATTTTTATTATGGTCCTTAATGTCAGAATAAAATAAGATTATAGTTTATACCTGTATTTAAATTAAGATAATATTCAGAAAATTTTAAGATTCGTTGTAGCTACTAAAAATACACGTGATGTTGAGAAGGGGGAGGGGGGGGTGGTCTTAAACCTCACTACGTATCACCAATGGGGGCGGGGGGGTTAAAAAATGCTAAAAAAAGATCACGTGATTAATGGACAACCCCTAAGGTATTCAAAAATTAAAAAAAAAGTATACCCTGGCAGCTGTACTAGACTTGGGTTTCTGAACATCTTGAGGTCTGAAGAGGAACTGTCGGTTGAGGTTAGACTTCTCAATGAGATCCATATCAGTGACGGTGACTGCACCGCCTGCTGCACCCACACCCATCATGGCAAAGTTCTTCAGTAACTCACAACCAATGGCGCCCGCACCTGGAATACAAACAAAACAATCATATAAAGCCGTGGTTTTCAATCTGTGGGTCATGAACCCTAGGGGATCGCGAAGACTTAATGGGGGGCAAAAAGGAAAAGGTGAAGTTCTACAAAACAATAAAAAGCAAATCTTAAAGAAAAGGATGGGTTCGTTTATTTTTGAAAAGCATGTCATGTCGCGGTGCTATTTTTGAAATGTTGACTATCAAATCAACTTGTAATTGAAGTTTATTTCTCTTTTTTGTTTTTATCTCCACCATTGCAGAGATTGGCTTTAACTTTCATTTAGCCTTTTGGTTTAATAATTTCCTTGCCTTCCATGATACAAGAGAGGGTTGCAAAAATTTTAACACCCATAAAGGGGTAACGATATTAAAAAGATTGAAAAACACTCATACAATGCATTCCCCCTCAAGGTATAAGGCAAATCATGTTTCAGAACAAATGTGATAATATTTTGTAATGACAACTAACTTTTTATCAAAACAACAATGATGCTGTAATTTTTAATCACAAGTGACAGTCTATAGGGTCATTGACCCTCACTATTGTTAAGTACCTAATAATGACAACACATGACATAGTATGATTTGTTTACATTTATGGTAACAAGTATGGAACCAACATTCTAGTAATTTGTCAATGTTTTCATCAATACTAACCAACAATGAAATACTTCAGCTCCCCAATCTTCTTTTGTATATTTTGTCCAAATACTGCTATCTGGCCGTCATATCGGGAGCCAACAGGTTTACAGGACTCCTCGTTGAGACCCGATCTGTCTTTTGGAAGACACTCGATAGCATCAAGGTACAGCCACTGAACAATAGGATGGAACTTGCCGGAGCTGGCCTTCATTACTTCCTGAGCGACCACACCTCCTATTGCAGCATTCATGGGATTAAGATCTCCAGCTGAGACCTAAGAAAGTTTAATAGTCAAATATCAATATATAACATTGTTTAAATATATAGCAACAATTAGTAAATAATTAGACTTCAACTCTTACCTTGCAGAATGTTTCGAGCAGTTCCTTATTAATTTCAATTTCACCCTTTTTAAACAATTCCTCGCTTTGGACAATATTATCCACGAAGCCCATGAATTTGTCAACATCAGCATTACACCAAGGTTTGGGAAATCGACCCTCAGCCGCTTGGAACTTATGGAGGGCTGCAAACCCTACATGCAGTTGTTGAGGATAGTCCATCTTACCAAAATCGGTGATCAAAAACTCTGGATTCTTGATGGATTCTTTAAGAGGTTTGAAGCTGAGTTTTTTGGGCATCTTGACTTGAGTGACGATGCCACCTCTGACATACTTAGAGCAGCTTGTTGTGTCTCCAATACTGAAGGTATATGGTCCCAGCACCTTGATCTTACGTGGCTCACAGCCATTTAACTCAGTCATACCTTGAATCTGGAACATAAATTATTAGAAATTAAACTTCATCTATTTTTTGCACTTCTATGTAATGAACAATGATTTTCATATGATTATAGATTATGACTAATGCAGAATACTTTTCTAAATGTTAGTCATATGTCCTTACTCAAGGCATAATTATATACTACATGCATTGTTTGCTTAAAAACACTAAGTCTGGCTTATATACTTTTAAATATAAAAAAGTTATTCCTGATTAATGTTTCATTTGAATACTTATTTATTTGTACACCAAGTAAATATAGTAAAATCATATAAAATTATAGATATTGCTTCAGTAAATTTTTAAATAGCTATCCCAAGTTAGTGATTTAAATTGTGAAGTTTTTGTACGCTATGACCACAAAACTGATAAACATATTGTGGAAAAGAATGTTCCTCTTACACTTTTCAAATGGATTTGAAACCTATGATACATATTCCATTTACATATGAATTTAGATACAAGTATTTATAGCAGCATAATTTGCAAGTTAACCAGTTAAAATTATAGTAATAGTTAGTCTTTGTTATTTTTGTATTTACCTCACTAAATGTAACATAATCTCCATCTTCCAGTCCATGACGAGTATCATCCAAACATGTCACAACAGCCTCGTACTCATGGGTAATGTCGGCTATCATGGCTGATACAGGGTTCTCTCCGGTCACATCTAGCACCGTGAATTCGGACCCGAAATCACAGAAAACCTGAGAAAACAGACCCCGGGTGTCTGCAATGACTAAAGCTATGTTGTTAGCGTGTGTTATAGCAGCAACTTGCTCCTGTTGTTCCCAGGAAGCGCCAGTCAATACTACAACACGGAACTTCTTCAGAAACTCTTCAGTGAGTGGTCCGGTATATGATGTAGTCGGCACGTAACGATTCAGTTCTGAAAGCTGTTCACAGGATGCTTCTGCTCTGTTTTTACCAATATCTGACTCGGACAGGTAAAACTGAGATGATAAATCAGCGATGGTGCAGGTTTTTTCATCATGAAGAGTTACTGACTTGACTCCGCCGAGTATCACATTTTTGGCAATTTCTACACCAAGACCTCCGAGACCAGATATCAAAACATCCGAATTTGCCATTCGGCGCATAGCATCGTGACCGAGTACGTATAATTGTCGTGAATATAAGCTTTCGTCAATTTCATCCTCCACACGCGTTCCATTGTTCGCCATTGCTGAGGATTTGCAACTCGCCTCTCCTGTGTTTAGCTTCCGCTTTTTCGCCGGGGGGTCAACGGAATTATCGGCGACTTCAGCACTAGACATCGGGCACGAACGCGCACAATTTTGACGGAATTTTGCTTTGCTTTCTTCGACCACAATCAAGAAAAAGTCTTCATATAATTGCCGACGACATTCGCAATTCGCTCTTCACTTTGTTGAAGGCCCGCTTACTCACTGCCTTGAAGTCGGCAACAATCAACGTGGAAAGTATAATATAAATAATCTATGGAGTGATATGCAGAATTATTTTATAGAATATTTTAGTTAATAAATATATTTTAAATAAAAACAATGACCAACAATTCTAAATGACAAATAAAAGTGTGAATGATTGAAATTACTTTACAAACTTTTTTCATCTTTTTAAGTAAGTTTCCCTTATTATATTTTATGTTTGGGATTTTTATGAAATATATATTTAATTAATTTTAATGTTACATGGTCATCATATTTATTTTATCATATAAAAATATCTTTATGTATGGCAATTTCGAAGACGGTCGTCGTCACTGTCAGAACCGTAGCTTGTTTCAGCTTCAAGTCATTCAATATCAATCCATTCCACGAACGTCGTCGATTAGTTGTCGTTCGTACAGCAAATTGTGATTTGTTCTATTTTGACATTCGATAATTTGTCCAATCGTCTGTATTTTCCGAACGACATGCACTAAATAGAGAATATTTAATTAATCATACGCACAAGTGCCCTTTATAATAAAATGACTATAGTTTAAAGTCCCTCAAGAGGATCTGGAATCCTTTCTGTGCTTAAAGACTTTTGTTGCTAAGTTCATAATTTCGTCACCATGGTTCAGGAGTATGTTTCACCCGTGAGGGTACACAAGTATCCCTTCGAAATGGTTATGGCTGTAAGTAAACACAATATTCTTATTGGTAAACAAGTTATTGTTATAATTGAAAACTTTGATAGTCGTTTTTATCGTTTATAAGAGAATGTTCTTAACGTAACTTGGATTTTGTTAAGAGTTTGATTATAATAATGAAAAAATAGTATAGTCATATTTGTTTTCTTAACAATTCAGTTGTCAAACTGTCAATAAACAAGGATTCAACACTAAGGTCACATGAAAGAAACAGTGATAAAGTGAAAGAAAAATAATTTAATTCTTATTTGATATAAAACTCCATCCATATTCATAATTATCTTTTAAGATTCAACATTGTAGTATAAGATATAATTCACAGTGGATAAATACAATTTTTATTATTTCAAAATTAAGATGCTATATTGAAATAGCTTTGAATGTCTAAAGCTATTAAAGTCTAGCTGCATTTGTAAAGCATCAAAATATTGGAGACTTAAATATATTTATTATACTAGGACTTTTAGTTCATTTATAGTAATTTATGTATATTCTTCTAATACAATGGACTAAAAAACATTTGGGTTGGATGGTTGGTATACATTAAATATGTAGATACTAGAAATAGAATGAACTAGATAGATGGTGGAGGTTTTATATGTACATAAATATGTAATTTTTTGTATGATAATAATACAGTTTAGTTCAATATTAATTTTACACACTTGACTTTATTAATAAAATTATGATAATGATGTATCATATCTCTATATTATTTATAGAGTCAAGAAACTTATGATTAAGAGGAATTAACACATTATAATTTATAATATGTTACTCTTAAGAAAACAAAAATCATATACATTTGAATTCTTATTCATAAATGGTTTCCATTAATAGATTTCCTAAACAATTATCATAAAACATTTGCTATAATAGAATTTTGCAATAAACAATATTTAATGTTATTTTGGTAAAAATAAATATTTCTTAAGTTTCAAAAAAGAGGTGATTGTCTTTAGTTTAGCTTTTTTTATATTTTTTGTGGATTGTCATGTCGTTGATCATGTAAAAAATTACTCGGTTCAATTCTATCCCTTATTATACTCAACCAAAGTTATATTATCCCTTTATACTCAACCAAAGATTTTCAATGCATGTTAGCGAAGTGTCACCACACAAATATCTCTAGTGAGTTTTCAAATAAAAAATACTGCACCAAAATCTGGCAGCACTCCAGGGTTATCATTTGTTGGGTGTTTTATCTTGGTGTCCTTGCTAAGATTATTAATCCTATAGTCTGCATTTTCGGAGAAGCGCTTTTCCTAATCAATAGAGTTTATAATGAATGCTGCTGAATCTAATTTTTTATGAGAATGGTGGCAAACAAGCAGATGGCCTACTTGATGAACAGTAGTGACCATTCCCCATAGACATACCTAACATAAAAGATGTTACAGATATGTTTCCAATCTTGGTTATTGAGGAATAGGGAGGGGAAATAAGGAAATCGCAGAAAAGGGTGGGAACAGGAAAAGGGTAACCTTCTCTATCACTTATTGGATGAATCACAGCCACTAAAGGCTTCTTCAAGCCGATCTTCTGTGAGAGGGCGGTACTTCCCCGGTTGAGCCAGCCCATATTTGAGCTGTAGTAACTTAACCACAGCTAGGCCAAACCACCTTCCACTTTCTATTTCCTTTAGGAGTTATGGTTTTGGTTGCAAAAAAACATCATTCATGATGAGGTCTTGTCGTGGTGGGACTTCTGAGGTCGTTTCCGACGGATGACCTTCAAGCTAATAAGTGTCTAAGTGTGTTTTGGTATAAACCCAGACGTGCCATGTCAAAGGTCTCTTTAAGGCTTTGCACAACTTAGCTATCTTAATTTAACATAATATGTTAATCTGTTCTACAGCATTCTTTATCAGTTGCTTTTATTATACGCCCTCAAGATGTATTTCCTGATCTTCCAAACTCAAACTCAAACTCAAACTCAAACAACTTTATTCAATATAGAAGTATTACACTTTCTTATTGATGGTCATATTGAGACTACCACCGGTTCGGAAAAGAAAATACCCTGACCTGAGAAGAACCGGCGAAAGAAACTCAGCGGGTTTTTTTTTTTTTTTATATATATATATTTCTCTCATATATTATATACACAATTTAATATGAGATGAAATAGCCAGGAGGCGAGCGTTTCATTCCCAAGGTGTGCTATCGTTCATAAACTCCTTAATTGTATAGTAACCTTTTGCACACAAGCGTTCCTTAACAATTTTTTTAAATTTAGCAATAGAGGCATTTTGAACGCTTTCTGGGATCCTGTTGTAAAACCGTATACATTGCCCCACAAAGGAGTTACTGACTCTATGTAGTCGAGTAACAGGAGTAACAAGTTTATGTTTGTTCCTTGTACCAATGCTATGAGTATCACATTTTCTCATGAAATCATTAATATTTTTTCGTACATACATAACATTGCAGAATATATATTGAGAAGCAACAGTCAATATCTTGATTTCTTTAAATTTATTCCTTAACGATTCTTTAGCTCCTAGGTTATAGATTGCGCGAATAGCCCTCTTCTGTAGCACAAATATAGTATGGATAGCGGCTGCGTTGCCCCACAGCATAATACCGTATGACATTATACTGTGAAAGTAACTGAAATATACTAAGCGAGCCGTATCAACATCGGTACATAATCTAATTTTTTTGACCGCGAATGCCGCAGAACTCAGTCCACTCGCCAATCCGCTAATATGGGGGCCCCATTGCAACTTAGCATCAACAGTAAGGCCAAGAAACTCAGCAGAATCAATTGGATCCATCGATTCCCCGTTAATTAGTACATCGGCTTTTACATTATGTACATTAGGTGTACTAAATTTTACATTTGTACAATTGTACATTAGGTGTACTAAATTTTCCAAGAAGACGTTTTCCATGTCTGTTTATTGTCTTGTCTATAGTAGCTGCATGTTAACACAATGTGACTGTTCCATCCCTCTTGTAGTGTAGAAAGACGACACTCTGAATAACGTTACATTACGTCTGTTGTTTCTTTCATTGAATTTGCCCCAGTTCAAACAAAACATCATTGTATGGTTCATTGAACCCGAGTTTCGTGATTCCTGCTATATTAAAATATACCGTGAGATTATTACGCTCAAATAATATTATTTTCACGCATTAAAGAAAGAAATTTATAATATTTCGACCATATTAAACAAGTATTCCGTGCTTATATTAACAAATGTCATGTATAATTTTGATATAGATTTATATTTTGTTGTTACGTTTCTTTATTGGAAGTATTTTTCTTAGTATTCCTATTGAAGTTTACTCAAATTAATTTGTAAAGAATCCTTATAACTCTTTCAATGAAGTAATAAAAATAATATATGATTGTTTAGTAATATTATTTTAATCGAAGTAAGAGGTATAACCTTACTTTTACTTGTTTTACGTAACTTTCGACGGATCACGAAGATTCCCGATGAATAATAATGTTACATATGTAAGTTTTATTGAAGTATAACAAAACAAATAATTTATATAAATGTATGTCAATTCATTGTTAATTATTTAACCCTAACATTTCATTGTTCCAAATAATTTACATTGTTACGTATATGTAATGACGGTTGTATTGTTTTTTCAATATAAATGTTTGCTAGTAATGCAGGTAATTACATTTATTTACATAAACAATAAATAAAGATTCTAATTAAATAGAAAATGTAGTGTGTTAGGTATTTGTGAGCGTTTAATCAATAATGGTCACTATGTATGTTGTAGTCAGTGTTTACTGGAATGAGGCTCGTTCATCAGCTTCATATTTTGATGATGATGATGATGATGATGATGTATGAACAGATCACAGTAACGCGACGTTTGTCGTAACGTGTCTGTGTCAAACAAGGAAACTATCAATTAATACGTGATATAATTACTTATTGTAGAACCAAATGTCTTGATTACACTAGTTTTTGCCCGCGACTTAATTCGCGTTAATTTCGATATCAGTAATATATGGACCGAGCGAATTCTATTCCTTACTAGAGGCGATAAATGACCAGATATTGAAATTTATTAAGTATTTTTTTCTTTTTCGGTCGAAGAGAATTATACATATATCCTACGTCCGTCTCCTGGTTCTAAGCTATCAGCCCACCAATTTTCAACCATATCCGTTAAGCCATTCTTGAGTTGTAAATATTGTAACTAATTACTAACCCAACTTTATTTTATACTGGATTTGCCCGCGACTTCGTCCGCGTTAATTTCGACATTAGTAATATATAAAAGAAAGCCCACAAATGGGGCAATACCCAACAACTACAAAACGACAGAAATGTTAAAAAAATTAAGAATTACGTTAACATGAATAGTTTAGCAGTATTTAACAAATTAACTACAGAAAGAAACTTTTGTCTATAGATATTGTCTATCATAACTCTTTTTTTTTTAACGAAAGGAATGCTTATTGACTGTCGATCGTGCCTACATAGAAAACGTGGAGCTATCTTAATCTAAAGTGTAAACAATCTATTGTGGTATATTATTTTCCCTAATCATGATGTATTTATATTTTATAAAAAACCAAAATCGTCACGACATACTCTTGTATATTTTTAAGATTTCCTTTCACATATATTCTTACTTACAGATATAGTCACGACTCTCGTATCAAGTGGTTTTTTTATATACATATATATATGTTACTTAAAATATTTACCAGAGAATCTCTTGAGAACCCTGTAAGTTAACCGAAGTCGGGGTATGACGATAGTTATACATAGTATTACATCTTACTTCCTACCCATCTGTCTTCGAATGTGGTTGTCAAAAATCTTGATGACATTTCAAGATCGACATTCTCATATATGTATTATCTGTATCACTATAAACCTTGCACAGATTAAATATTTATTATACAGGTTTTATTAGAAGAAATAAAAAACATAGGTAGATTTATGAATGAATAGTTATTATGTAGTGTCACTGGCAGCCATGTTTTTTTGTATTGAAATT